CTAAGTAAGTAAATTATTTACTATAGTCCTAGTCCTATTAGTAAAAAAGCTAGATAGAGAAGTATAATTCTATATTAATTACTATAGATTAAATAAGTTAATAAATTAATAATTATTATCTATTATTATTAATTAAAGAGATACTAAGGAATATAGAGTAGACTAAATAGTTTTCTAAACTAGATATTATTATTATTTTCTATAAGATTTATATCTAACTAAGAGAAGAATAGAAAACAATATTTTAGATATAGTATAATCTATATAAATAGAATATTACTCTATTTAGACTAATTAATATACTAATAACTTTCTAGAAATATATTAATAGGACCCTATAAGAGTATTTTAATAATTCTATATCTATATATATAAATAATATTATTATATATAGTAATAGATTATTAGGGGATTATTAATAGAAAGTAGAATAAGTACTATAGAAACTATAGGAAGTAGACCTATAGTATAATATTAGAAAATTAAAGTTTAAGTAAGATTCTATAAAATATCTAGGGTTTATTATATAAATAAGTAAAAGAATCTATATTAATCTAAAAAAAATTATAACTATCTTAGAATAGGAAGTATTAAAATTAATATAAGATATATAGAGCTTCCTTAGATTTACTAACTTTTACTATTTATCTATATTTTAATTTACTAATCTCTTAATATCTTTAATAAAATTAATAAGAAAAGATATCTAATTTATATAGGATAATAACTACTAATAAATATTTAAAGAATTAAAAGGTCTCTTTATTAATATCCTGATTCTAATATATTTTAAAGAGGATAAAGAAACTATTATTAAGATAGATATATTAAGATAGACTATAAGAGCTATCTTATTATAATATAGACTAGATAAGTAGCTGTATTTATATACTTACCTCTCCTAGAAACTATTACTAATAAAGTTAAATTATAAGATTTATAATAAAAAGCTACTAGTAATTATATATACTCTCTAAAAATAGAGACTAAAGTTAAAGATAATATTTTAATTTACTATTATAATAGACTATAAAAACCTATAATACTTTAATAAAATATAATATCTAAATAAATAATAAATAAGATAGATAGATACTCTTATAGAGTTTAATTATAAACTAAAGTATTACTCTAAGAAGCTTATTATAAGATCTAATATATTTTTATAGTAAAGCTAAGATACCCTATAGTATATTATAGATAAAAGGTTATTAAATTAGTTCTAAACCCTATTAAAAAAGATATAGATTAAGATAGAATAACCTAATCTACTAGTAGTAGAAAGAATTAATTTTAAGAAGGAAATACCCTTATTTAAGAAGTCTATACTATAATAAGAATAGAAGAATATAAGATCTACTAATCTAGAATATTAGAAGATATATAAAGCCTTAGTAAAGAAAGACTAATAAATTACTATTAAAGTAAATATAAAAATAAGCCTATTAAAATACTATCTAGATAAATAAGGACTATTTTACTTTAGATAATAGATATAGATCCTAAATAATAAGATATTATATATAAGGATTATATAGAAGGTCTATAACTCTTATATTATAGTATATTTTAATTAAGATATTATTTATATAATATTATTATAGAGATTCTTCTAGCTAGAAGTAGTAAAAGATATATAATACTTTTTATAAAACTATATAGTTTATAACTATAGTAATATATAGTAGGATATAAAGTATAGACTACTAAAACTATTACTAATTCTATAGTAAATATAGATAGAATTATCTATAGATTTTATTATAGAACTACCCCTAATAGTATATATAGATATAATAAACTTAATAGTAATTATAGATTAGCTTATAAAAAGTATAATTCTTATAAGTATAGTAGAGATAACTATTAAAAAAGTAATAAATATATTCTTTATCTATTTTTATATATACTATAGACTACTATAAGTAGTTATAAGTAACTATAGATCCTAATTTATAGGTATATTCTAATAAATAGTATATAAGAAGCTATTAATTTAATATTAACTATTAATTACTTTCTATCTATAATTTAATAATATTATAGAGTATATAAACTAAGAAGTTAAATAGATCTTATATATATTTATAACCTATATATAAAATAATTAGAATATATTACTTCCTACTATTACTATAATAATTAATAACTATAATACTAATATAATAGGACTATCCCTCTTCTTCTTTATATATAATTACTATATTAATCCTATTAAGATAGAAGAGATAGAAGAATCCTATAAAACCTATATATAACTAAGAATTATAAGTAAAATATTTATAAATTAACTATAAGAAGCTATTAATTAGACCTAAGCTATAATTACTTCTATATAAGCTCTATAAGAAAAGTAATTAAATAAATAATAATAGGCTATACTAGTCTATAAGAAAGATAACTAGATATAGCTAAATTTATAGAATATATATATATAATAATAATTAAAGAAGCTAGACTAGCTATATACTTAATATTAAGTTTTAGATATTCCTATACTTTATATAGTATAATTAGAAGTATCTACTAGTATTTATCTAATATTCTATATAAAACTAGTTAGATAAGTTACTTTAGACCTATTCTTATTATAGATTATAGATAATTTATATCTCCTACTAATACTAATTAATAGAAAACTTAAGTATAAAGTAGAAGAGATAATAGATATAAGATATAAGAAAATCAATTAAGAATACTATAATAAAGCCCTAATAAAATAGATAGATTAAGTAGAATAGACCTAATAAAATCTTAATAATATTTAAGATTACTCTATATTAGATATCTTTAAAAGATAATTCGGCCCTATTTTAACTCTATTATAGGCCTAAAGACGACTGAATACAACTATAATATATATAAGAAGGATTACCCTAAAGAAGGAATACTATTATAGACTAATATCTAGTATAAGGTTATATAATATATATAACTATAATAGCCTAATATATAGAATACCTACTTAGTAATTCTCTCCTTAAGCTTTTTATATATAGTATATAGCCTAGCTCAATTAGATATAAATTCTGCTTTAGCCCTTCATATACACAAGAAGAATAGTAAATAAGCTAAAAGATAGTATTAGTAAGCTTTTTTTTAGATATAAGTAGAATTATACTACTAAAAGAAGATAATATAATAATAAAGTAATACTAATTATTAAACTAATAGAAGATTAAAAAGAAAGAAGACTTATAACTAAAAGAGGGGGATTATTACTTTATATAGACCCCTATAGATAGAAAGCTTTATAAAGCTAAGTAAGAGACCTTAGACTAATATAAGTATTTATAATACTAGAAGTAGTAATTATAATACTATTTAGAAAACCCTATATAAATTATTATTATAGTCTTTCTCTTCTTACTATTTATTATATTATTATTAAAACTATCTAGAAATAACTAATAGGCTACTATTAAGCCTAAGACTATTAATTTAAAAGCTAGAAAAGTAACTTATAAGGCTTTACTATCTCTATATCCCTAGAATACTATAAATTATATAATAATCCTTAATATTACTAGTATTCCCTTATATAATATTTATAATATAATTAGATTATTTACTATATAGCTAGATATACTAGTATAAGCTATCATATAAGATAATTCAGGATTAGCTGAAATCAAGCTATATAGTACTCTTATAAAGATAAATTATAAATATTTATAATTCTCTATATATATAATTATATTATAGGTATTTTATATACTACTACTCTATATAAATACTTAAGATTGAGATAATCTTTAATTAAATAGGGAAGGATAAGATATTTTTATCTAATTCTCCCTATATATTTTATATATTATAATCTATTATATTTATTTATATATAGTAATATCTATATCTATATCTATTGCTATCTATTATAATTAGCTGATTATATATAATCAGGCCCTATCTGTTTACTATGTTTGTTTAACTAGTATATATATATTAACTATTATTTCCCCTAACTTAGTAATATATATTTATTTATACCCTAAGATCTTAATAGTCTTATTTTAATATAATTTTATAGTTAATTCTTAGTTAATTTCAAGATAATTTATTAATTAATTACTAACTAAAGATATTTAATTATTATTATTAATATTTTACTAGCTTATTCTTAGGGTTATTCTATTTCTTTAGATATAATATTTTTTAATATTATCTATTATAACTTTATTAATTTATAATTAATTTAGTTATTTCTTTTTATAGATAAAGTTATATAATACTTAGGCTATTAATTTCTTAATCTTTATTCTTCTTATATTAATTAATCTAATTATATAATTTATATAGTTCTAATATCCTATCTATTCTTTATTTCTTATAAATATATTAATATACTCTTTTCTTATTAAGTATTAAGTATTAATATCTTATAGTTAAAAATCTCTTAATATTATACTATCTTTCTATTAGGAAATAATATATATAATATTATTCTTACTAATAATTATAAATATCTAGATTAAAATATATAACCTAAGTAATTTAATCTTAATTTAAGATTACTTTATTTAAGATCTATATAAATATTCTAATATATAAAAGATTAAATAACTAAACTAATACTTTATTTATAGTTATATAATAATAATATCTATTATCAATTAGGATTATATAAATTAGATTTTATTTTCTTTAGTATTAATTAGAAATAGTAGTATTTCTTATTTTAGGAATAATTTATATACAGTTTTAGATTTTTATAATATCTAATTAGAAGCTTTTTATATATGAAGGGCTAAAACAGAATTTATATTTAATTAAGCTAGGCTATAAACTATATATAAAACCTTAAAGAGAGAGTTACTAAGTGGGTATTCTATATAATAGTAGACTTAGTTATAAACTTTTTACTTTAGTAATATAATATGTATATACAATAAACTTAGTAATTCAAGATCTTAGTAATATAAGGAAGCCAATATAAAAAAGGAGGGAGAAGAGAGTATAGTAAGTATAGTCTATAGGAATAAAGCTATATAGAGGAGCTTATGGGGTAGAGCTATAGGGGCCTTTAGGCTAGATCTAATATTTTTAAGGCTTTCCGAATAATATAGGATATTATAGAGAGGGTATTATAGAAGTTTAGCAATAGTATAGTAATATATACTGAAAGGATACTAGAGATTGATTATATAGTGTAGATACTATTTAATATATTTTATATAGTTTTGCTTTATTTCTCGGGGTATTGAAATTATAGATAGATAACTTTTTTATACTATAGTATATAGTACTTCCTATCTATAGTATTAGCTTATAATAGCTATCAGAAATATAGTATATTAATATTTCCTTAATATAAAGTTAAATAATAGTAATATATTAGTATAAATCTGCAGCTTTATATATACCAAGACCTAGATTTTATGCAAAAATAGTTTTTGTTGGAGCCCTATTGGGGAACTGCAGTGGTTTGTGGGTTGGGTTTTGGGGCCAAGGTTTGGCCCCAATTGCGGTTTTTGGCGCAGTCTATGTATATATATATATATATATATTTACTTCATTTCTCGACAAGCCAGTACCCCTATAAGCATACCTTGTAGGATATTTTAGGCCTTGTCCGGCGCAGGCGCCCTTGTTTCCCTAGCTACAGCAGGCCTAATAGCAACCTTGGTATAGCCGGCTTAGCAGCCGGCTACAGCAGATCAATTAACTTCAATCAATCAATTATATATAGACTAATTAGATAATTAATCTAGAGAGTAGGTATCCGCCTGTATATATATAGTATAGCTCCCTCTCTTCTTCCCTCTTCATCAACGTTGTTATTCGTTGTTCTTCGCATCTTTCTCCATTCTGGTAGATCGTAGGCGCCTTATTACAACAACAACAACAAAAACAACAACAACAACAACTACTACTACTACTACTACTACTACTACTACTATTACTACTACTACTACTACTACTACTACTACTACTACTACTACTACTACTACTACTACTACTACTACTACTACTACTACTACTACTACTACTACTACTACTACTACTACTACTACTACTACTACTACTACTACTACTACTACTACTACTACTACTACTACTACTACTACTACTACTACTACTACTACTACTACTACTACTACTACTACTACTACTACTACTACTACTACTACTACTACTACTACTACTACTACTACTACTACTACTACTACTACTACTACTACTACTACTACTACTACATGGTATAGGGTTATATAGAATTCAATAATCGGGATATAAGAAATTATTACCAGACTGTACTACCTCGACGACAGCTATTTTGACATATAAAACCGGTATCAAAATATAGATAGCGAGGTAACTAAGAATTTGAACTAGGTCTTAGGCTCCTAGGACCTCTGGTTGACAAGTTGTTCTAAGAAACATATTTGATAAGAGATAGTTGTTTTGATATATATTTAGGGTATAGAGAAGTTAATAGAGGAAAGGAGGTGTGAGTAATACGGGAAGCTGTAGTAAGCCTACGGGCTGCGGTATATGTTTGTTTTGTTTGTATGTATTTAGTCTTCTCTCTCTATTCTATATATGCTATAGTTATTCCGGCTATCCTATAGTACCCTGCCGGCAAATCGGGCCTTATGCCTGACAGTTCTGTGAATAAATGAATGAATGAATGAATGAATGAATCAATCAATCAATCAATCAATCAATATATGATCCCAATATGTGATGCTGTAATCTCAATATTACCTGCAATATCTACGCCCGGTTTATTATAAAGAGGATGTTTAGCAGTTACTAATAGAATCTTTAATTATAGGAATCCAAGCTCATCACCAATGTTCTAGAGCGAGGGACTGGAGAGACAGACACACAGCGCTTCCAACGGTAAAGGATCAACTTAGACGACAAAGACCAACCTGACTAATAAACTAGAGTGGCATTGAGTATTTTAAGCTACAAAAATAGAAAAAGGTCCACTGCGAACATGTATACAATACCTTTCTCAAAGTGATGACGAGTGTATGTAGGTGGTTCAAGGTGATCCACATGGGCAAAACATGTACAAACGTTGCCAATAGATAGTCTCCACAATAAATAGATTGAGACTAAAGGCTGTGAAACCTACCAATGTTCTTTGTCGCAAAGGAAGCAGATACCATTGGGAAGTTAGATCTCTGGCTATCGGGGTATAGTAATCTACGGGACTACATGTAAGAAGATATAGACGCAAGTCTGCCATACGTGTCATGAACTTTTTTTGTTTTCCTATCGACCAGGAGACAATAATTGCCATGGTTGGCCAGTATTTGACAACACTTCAAAATGAAAACCCTCCTTACACAGCCTCGAGGACTGTCTCCTTGAACTCCCGCTCCACCTTCTGGCCCTTGTCGTCGGTAGCGGACTCACCGTGGAGAGCCAGAAGAGCACCAAGGTCGAACTTGGGGGACTTGAGCAACTTGACCTTGCGGATGTGCACCTAAGAACATATGTTAGACCTTGCCATTATTTGAAAACAACATTTAATTGCTGTCGTAGATGATGCTGCTTTGATTCAAAGAAGTCATCGCCAAGGATTGTCAACTTACGTTCTGCAGGGGGTAGATGCCCTGGGTAGACTTCTCAATCTCGCGTCCAATAACCTCAGGAATGAGCTTGTGGGTAAGCTGAGACAGAGTGCAGCTGGTGGCCTCGCGCTGGATAATCTCGGTCATCTTCTTGCGAATGGCACGGATTTGAGACGAGGCGGCGTAGGTGGTCTTCTTGATCTGGTTGGGGCGTCTCTTGGTGAAGGCAATGGCGAACAGACGGATGAGGTAGTCGTCGGTGGTCTTAACGGTGACGTTGGCCTCGATCAGAGACTGCCACTTGCGGACCAGGGAGCGCAGCTTGTCAGTGGTGAAGTCCAGACCGTGGAAGTTGGTCAGACAGTTCTTGCCCTGGATCTCATCCACACGGAGCTTGACCTTGCGGAATGAGTGGTCCTCATCGTTCTGAAGGTCAGCGAGGGAGACCTCGAAGATACGGCCCTTCAGGGAGTCGTTGGCGTTCTTCAGACCGCTGGTGCGGTTGACGAGGGTCTTGCCGACACTGTTGAAAACCCGTTAATACAAGAAAGTCCAGGCCAGAGATTGCGAACGTGGGTCGATTGAAAGGAAGATGATTGCCAAGGGAGGGTAGATTGGAGGGGGTGTTCCTACTCGCGAGTCTGGAAGGTTGAGGGAGCCTGGTTAAGAAATAGTTAGTCGACATTGATCATAAGAAATAAAAAGACATCTGACGTTGCAAAGACTAACCTTCACGGAGTACTCATCCTTGCGGGTGAAGGGATCAACAGTGCGCTTCTTGATACCCTTCTTACCCTTTGAAAGACGCTTGTTCCTATAGTGAGCGAGTTAGACGGAGGGAACAATTTATTTTTTTCGAAAGCGACGGCATCAATGGAGTGATCAAGAGGGAAAAGGTGGTGTAGACGTACTTGCCAACAGCCATGATTGCGAGTCGGGTCTATCTGTGTGTTGTTGGAAGACAGACAAAGGTATCGCACCACGGCGCTCGGAAGGTTTCGAGATTCTCGCTGCACGGGTCAACGAGGGTTGAATAAAAACCCACAGAAAAATCGGCTAAGCGAGCGCAGCGGGCCCTACCCAGTGCTGACTCAGTCGGTCAGGACCGTGCACGTGACACACAGAAGAATTCCACCAACAGCCGAAATATGATTGGTCAGTTCCATCGACTTGCTCCATACTCTGTACTTAGTGCTCCGTACTCTACTCTGCTAGCAGTGTACTCCGTACTTAACCCGTCGTGCGTCATAGTTAAAAACTATGTGTACTGCATACTCCATATGTATACTGTTAATATGAAGGAACTCATTATGAGTTGAAAATGGCTACATCGAGTTTTCATATACGCTCAAAGTATAGAATGACTACATTCCCGTGACTTATATCTCTATAGGTTCATGTTCCTACATGCTATACTGTACCCCCAGGTTGCTGAAGTAGAAACTTTTCGTACTGTATACTTAAGTATGTACCCGTGCACATTTAGTGGTGTTCCCATTTGAAGTTAGTTAACATTGATGATTACATAATGAACTGGAGAGCTCCGACTTTCATTCTCCGCACAGAATCCACCCCTCATCATACATAACTTCCCCCTCTTTTCATTCTTCCGAAAGTTCCTGACCTTCCCATCACCTTCCTTGGTCGTTTTGGATCGCGGAGCATGGTAAATTGATTCCTCCTCGCCCCACCCAACTAATCCCAACTAATCCCGCCAAGAACACCAATTGACTGACCTTTTACTCACAGGGCAAACGCAAGAAGTCAAGTCGTACACCCCAAGGGCCGCGAAAGGTAAGGAAAAAAGACCTAGATCGCGGTTTGTTTCAAATCTAACTAGCGCGCAGCGAGAACCCCTATCAACCACTTTTGCCTGTCTATTCTGCAATCACGAAAACTCGGTCGTTGTCAAACTAGACAAGAAGCTTGGTCTAGGTGATCTATCCTGCAAAGTTTGTGGGCAGAAATTCCAGACTGGCATCAATTGTATGTTGTTCTCTCATTGAATGATGTTCGTCACCTAATGCGCTACCCAATAGATCTTTCTGCCGCTGTCGATGTATATTCGGATTGGGTGGACGCGTGCGACGCGGTTGCCAAGGACACAGCGAATCAATATGACGGACCAGGTGGCTCACAGGTAACTGCTAGCAAGCAGGGGATCTCTGCAGACACGGCACCTGGTGATAACTTTGACGATGGAGACTATTGATTCTGAGATTACGGCGGCGAACTGGCGCTTGGGAATGGTATCGATCGATCAATTCGGCGGGAACTCAATTTAATGTACAATTCGGCGCATGCGCAACATTTATCTTTAATCTGGTCGTAGGTCATTTTCTCTGCGCGCCATTATTGGCAACCTATCTCTTCTCTTCTTCTTCTTTTTTTTTTTTAAGAAAAATACCAGGAGGGTTATTGAATATTACTCTGAACTTGACCAAATAGGAAGTTTATCTCCCTATAACGTGATGGATGCAGGCGAATCGAATGCTTGTTCTACACATGAGATATGCTGGATTACAAAACAAACTACCTACCAACTATCGAGGCCGAGAGGGGTGATATTATAGTGTATAGTATCGGTCACCAAAATCTCCCAACCCCGGAATGATGTACCTATGACCTTGTCAATATAATGTTGGGTTCTTATCTCTGGGGGATACTTTTGGGATTCTCACTTTTTGTCATCTAGTCCTTGATCAATGAAGGCTGTGACTACACGCAGCTTGGGGAATCTTTCAGCAAATTCTGCAACCCCAGAAGGACTTGCGATCAAGTTGAGGAAGAGAATTCGGTGCTCAGGAACACCCTTCTGCTTCAGTACCTCAACGGCCAATGTTGCGGAGCCACCTGAAGGATCATATTAGCACGGCCGGGATCTCTGAAAGAAACCATCATAAATACGTACCGGTTGCGAACATGGGATCCAGGAGCAGCACCCATCGATCTGCGATATCAGTGGGTAATTTCTCATAGAAGAGCTTTGGCATACAAGTCTCTTCATCTCTTTGAATCAGTATCTTGCCAATTCGAACGGATCGGCAGCAGTCCCGCAATCCTTGTTCCATGGCCTCGCCAGCTCTCATGATTGATACACCGCAAATCTTTCCTTCAAATTTGACACCCAAGTAGTCACGCCCGACGGGAGTAGTAACCGATTGCTCTACTACAGGCAGGTGATTCAAGCCTTCCTCCACCAGTAGTCGGATAATTCGATTGGAGTAGAAAATGAAATCTGCGCGACCGGTCCGTTTGTCGCGAATCATCCTATCGGTCTGTGAGATGTGCTATTCGAGCATCCCGAGGAATAAAGGGTGGTTCTCACGTCAATAAAGCAATTAACTGGGGGGTTTGGGAAAGCACGTGGACATTCTCGTAGGAGACTTCTTTAGACACAGTTGCAGTAGGCTTCTCGCCGTCGGGTTGGTAAACAGGGCCAACGCCCTGAGCGGGAGACGGATCTGGAGTTTTGGTATCCATGATGGAGGAATGGAAGTGCTGTTAAGTTGTGTCAAGCACGACCTCGGGACATCTGCAAGTGTGCAGAATAAAAGCGGGGGAGGGTTTTTTCTCTCTCTTATCGGGACTCTTATCTGCCAGGTGGTCGGGCTTTTCTCATCTCCGCTTTTATCGTTAGATGAATAAGCCTCCCGGGATTCACTGATGCGCAACACCATCACACCTTCCGGTCAACTAGTCTTCTTCTTGGCGCATAGGATCTTACTGACTTCTTGGCCTTTCAACATTGCGCAACCCTTTTTCTTTCTCCCTGGCACCTTCTAAGTTCGAGAGAACTCGATCCCCTTTGGATCCTCAGTCGTTTGCGGCATGTCTCCTTCGATCGCAACCCTCCCTTCCAGCTCTATTGGACAAACTTGCTGAGGATTCCAACACGGTCATCACGATTTGCGATCACTCTCAGTCGCATATTATTCCTTTGATTTAATTCAGCTTTCCGAAGATACATCAGCAACCGACAATGGAATCGCGACCCCGAAGTCGACGGCTGACGACCTATGGCTCCACCGCGAAAAATCAGCCTTTGCAAATGAAAAATGCGCATTCCTCCAGAACCAACCCAATCCCAAACAAATCCAGTTGCAGGATTGAAGGCGAGAAAACCGAATACCAACACCAAAGATTAAGTGATACCGAAGGTGCCAAGATCTATGACCTACCGTCATCAGATGAAGAAGATCGACAGCTTATCACGCGGATAAAGCGTCGAAAATTTGGTTCTACTGGGCGCGCCAGCTTAATAAAAGAACCCTTGAGCCCCCCAAGACAAAGAACCGATGATGCAGAAACCAAGCCGAGCATAACACCCGCAAAAATACATACCACAGCAAGCCAGGATCCCGAGACAACATTGCCACCAAAAAGAAATACTACGCAAGAATCCCACCGGTCTTCTAGGTATAAGAGTAGAGCTCGTTCACCAAGAAGCAGCAATAAGACGGCGGCGGAGATATCTGCACCAATTGAGAATACCGAGAGAACTCAAAAGCCTGGCGCCTTGCTAGCTGATGATGATTCACCCCCAAAGCCCGATACAAGGCAAAAAGCCTCCCAAACCACGAAGTCAAGTGACTGGTCTCCCAAATCCCCCAATCGCTCTAAATCCCCGACCCACATTATATCATCTCAGGGGACCGGCACCCCTGGTCGTAGAAGACTAGTTGACTCACTGGGCACCAGGAATCAGTCGGCTGACGAGTCATCCGCGGACATTCTGACAGATAGCCAATTGTCTCTCGCCGCCGCCCCTGCTACTCCTACCCGGCGGGATGCGTCCGTTCCATTCAAAGCATCAACTGGAGATCAGCGTGGGGGTGAGAGTCATGACCATGATATTGCTGTTACCATTTCGCCTCACCTGCGTGGCTCTAAAGTGACTTATGCTCGCCAGCGTTCATTCCTGGATGACATGCTCCTAGAAGCTGAATCTTCGTATTCGAGTCTTCCACTTGGCGAACACGATCCACTTGCTCAAATGACCCAGCGGGACACAGACGGCGATGTGCGAGGTCGCCTTCTTACAATCGAGGAGCCTGTGAATGATGATGGGACCGTTCGAAGCATTCATGAACTCCGTCAAGCCGGTGGGAATGCTCGTTATCGAGGTGCTGTTGATTCGATCTTTGAAGATCTCGAGGACTCACATATCTCCATATCGGGACGATGCAATGCTTTCGTGCAACTCTGCACCAAGTTGCTTGATCCAAAGCTTGCAGGTCAATTCTTAGAGTGTAGTTTTGACAAGAGGCTCGTTGATCTCCTTTCCCAAGACCTTGATCTAACTTCCTATTCACTTGGACTTTGCGCTTATGACCTCTGCTTTTTTGGAAAACCTATTCCTTACATCCTCGCCACGAATGCATGGCCCAAGCTGTTGGATATAGCACCTTCGTTGTTAGATGCCCAAGATGATTTACTTACAATTACACGCGCGCCACGACAAAAAATATCCAAGGCCACTCAAATGTCTATTAAAAAGATTCTTCCACAACTTCGGTCAACTCTTTTTCCCGATGCGCTTATGACCAAACTTTCCCCTTGTTTCTTACTTCTGAACTGTCTAAAATCGACACTTTCTGCATTTCAGGCAAAGGGGGAGAACCCCACTAGCCTGTCTGTACGAGTTTTGAAACAAGTGGTCAATCTCATGCTGTGTACTACATCCTCCCAGGGAGGAAATACACCGTCTACTATTGAACCGGACAGGTCGCAACTTTTGGCCCTGGGATTATCTATTCTCGAGGCGCATACCGCCTCAAGTCATTCCCTTGGGCGTGAACAACGTGATGTTCTGAGCTTGCTTCCTAAACTGACCGAAATGCTCTTTAAGAGTAATAACGACTCTGTGAATACAACGACCCGTCAAATCCAAGCGCTTTACATTCGAGTGATCTTGAATGTGACCAACAGTCACCCTGTTCTTTGTGATACGTTTGCCACGTCTAGAATAATTGATGAACTGACCGAAGTCACCATTGCCCACTTTGAAAGCCTATCAGAGGACTCTCTTTCCCAAAATTCCAACGGTGGCTCTTTGGATACAGTGATATTGGCACTGGGTGCATTGATCAACCTGACTGAACAAAGTGAAATTTCACGTGTGATTTTCCTCGATTCAGGGACCAAGGGGAAATCTCTCCTTGGCAGGTTGTTGGAACTTTTTATGTCTCATGTTGATTCCACGTCCGAGGTATGGCTTTATCCCCAGCGTTTCATTTCCTTCCTCGGATTTTTTCGCTCATTAAATCGCTTTTAGGCCCATTCGGTTCCAGAAGTACACCATAACGTTGCGATAGGGTACCTGGCAGTGCTCCTCTTGGCTCTCTGCTTGAACTCTACTGCTCGACTCGAGGTAAAAGAGTCTTTGCAATCCAAGGGGCTCACAATCATCATTTCAATTGCCGATGAATTCTTGCAGTATCATCGCAAGATCGAGCGCGAGCTACATCCCCTTCCTGTCCATGGCGAAGCAGGTGGATTTCCTGTTCGGTTGCAGGACTTGATCAGCCAAATCCAACATTCTGAATCCTGATGAAACTCCGACCTTTTCTCATTTAAGTCCTCATGTACACCATTAGCGTTGACCCCCCCGTTCTCTTTTGCCCCATCGTTTTCTTGTTTCCCCCATTTTTTTTGTCTTGTGTCTGCAGGGAAGTCCACATACACAGAGAGAGAAGTCTGTGGGGAAATTAATGATTTATTATACCCTTTCCCCCTCTGACAATCATAGAAAGCCGTTGAGACTTTACAATACCCGTCATGATTAGTAGAATCAATATTTTATTGAAACCATTACCACCACATGCCTGAATATTCTCTAGAACATGAATGTGCATTCTATTACGTAGTGTATATTGCGAGTAACATCCCCAATTTGCCTCCTCGATCCGCGCGACGCGGATCGGGTATATGATCGGTTGTTTGCAGCGTTTGCAGCCGATCGAGCTCCCCCGAACTGCTTCAAGCGCGGGCGGATTTGCCACTCCGACCGCAAGCTCCATCGGTCGCCAATCATTAACCATTTCCTTGACCTTTCTCCTACCCTTCATCTAATATTCCCCCCGTTTCTGTTGATTAAATTCATCCTATACGATGCCTGCTGCGCCGAAACAGAGAAAGATTGCCATCGTTGGCAGTCGTTCAGTGGGTATGAACCTTGATCCGCTTGTTAATTGAATTAGAACACACCCATAAATTAACACCAACCCCTAGGAAAATCTTCCCTGACAGTCCGTTTCGTCGAGCATCACTTTGTCGAAAGTTATTACCCTACAATCGAGAACACCTTTAGCCGAATTATCAAATACAATGGCCAGGATTATGCTACTGAGATCGTGGATACTGCTGGACAGGTATATATGTCCTTAACACTCGGGGCCTAAGTTTCTCGCAGGGCTAACATATTTGAATTGGCCACAGGACGAATACAGCATTTTGAACTCCAAGCACTTCATTGGAATTCATGGATATATCATTGCTTACTCGGTGACGTCGCGACAATCGTATGAGATGGTGAGAACTATCCGTGACAAGATTTTGAACCATCTTGTAAGTTTATCTACTCCATCTCGATTCTAGATACATATTCTTAACCGGCTATACACGTCATAATAGGGTGCGGATGAGGTACCCTTGGTTATAGTGGGCAATAAGAGCGATTTGAAGCCCGAGCAACGACAAGTTTCCACTGACGAGGGACGTCAATTGGCTGAAGAGCTTAACTGTGCATTTACCGAGGCCAGTGCCTTCCTTGACTTCAATGTCTCCAAGGCATTTGAGTTGATGATCGGGCAGATTGAGAAGTCCCAGAATCCCTCCCAGCCAACTGGGGGGAATAAGTGTGCTCTGATGTGAGCCCGCAGTGGTTGATTCGCTCAATGGCATCTACTGCCTGGTAAGCCGCAGATTTCTTGTGTTATTTCTTTTTTTTAGGACTTGTCTTTTCTCTTTGCAGGTTTCCAGGATCTTCTTTTTTGCCAGAACGAAAGCCTCGGAAAGATTGGAAGACGATCGAGATTTCAACTCTTCTCTTTTCTATACGAAACATTCTCTTACTCCATTCCTTTCCCCCTGTTGGCCTCTCATTCAATATTTCCAAAAAGGCGCCGCTTGTTTTTGCATGACTGGCTCAAAACTAACATGACTTCTTCATCTAGGAGCTCTTCTCTTGGGCGTTCTTAACGACCATTTGATATTTCTTCTTCTTATTGGATTTTACTGTGTTGTTTTATATTTCTTAACTTTATGTTCTTCTTGTTCCTGGTTTCCTGGTGGTTATGGCTTGGTGGAATTTTGGGATTGTTTTGGGCTGCATTGAATCATGGGTTTGCTTTTGCTTTTTTCCCTCCCTTATTGCGTCCTGGGATAAGGAAGTCTGTTATTGGCTTGTGCATAGAGTATAATGAAATACAGGGCTACGTCAGCCTTCCATATATAGATCATATTGTGTTGGCACTGGTAGATATCAGACTGGTGCATCAATTGATCCATATATAGCTCCTCTGTACACTTACAGACAGCCCCGCCCCGGCCCAGCCAGTGGAGTGGCAGAATAATTTCTGTTTACCGCTTCCTGGGCGGTCGCTTTTTTCCCCCTCTACCCCTCCATACATGCTTAGTGACTCACGTTCTACTACTAGGAATCCCTTTTTAATCATGTTGGACCTTAATGATTTTGTCACCGAGCGTGGTGGTGATCCTAAGAAGATCAAGGAGAGCCAGCGCAAGCGTTTCGCTCCCGAGGAAGTAGTGGACGAAGTCATTGCACTGTATGAGGAGGCCCGCAAAGGTATGTCTGAACCTCTCGATAATGAGAAGACAGGTCCTGATTCCATGACTAGCACGATATGCCGTGACCCAAGTCAGCTCCGAGCTCAATGCTCTTATGAAATCGATTGGTATGAAGAGAAAGGTATCTAGTCTCACTACGTCTTCTACTCCATATTAAGAACGAATTGCTCACAAACTATTCCTCGAACAGAACAAGGAAGACGCGAGCGACCTGATCAGCCAAAAGGGAGACTTAGAAAAGAAGAAGAAAGAGGCGGAGGACTTAGCGCTCGGCAAGGAAGTTGAGCGAGACCGTAAGATTCGCACTATTGGAAACTTCGTGCATGAGTCCGTCCCCGTGAGCAACAATGAGGTAAGAATCACATTTAGGAGGAAGCAATTTCGATTTACAAGGGGAATGAACAACATCTGACTTTGATTCTAGGACGACAATACCATTATCAAGACCTGGACTCCCGAAGAGGCTGCGATGCAGAGGCCCAACTGTCTCTCTCACCACGAAGTCCTGACTCGCCTGGACGGTTACGACCCAGAACGTGGAGTGAAGATCGTCGGTCACCGAGGATATTGCTTGACTGGTTACGGACTGTTTTTGAACCTTGCCCTCATCAACTACGGATTGGAGTTCCTTTTCAACAAGGGTTATAAGCCCAACCAGCCCCCTCAATTCATGCTGAAGGAGCTTATGGCCAAGACCGCCCAACTTGAGCAATTCGACGAGGAGCTGTACAAAGTGACTGAGGGCGAGGACAAGTCCACAGACAAATATCTTATTGCTACCTCCGAGCAGCCTCTGTCCGCGCTGCACGATAGCGAGTGGTTGCAAGACAGTGACCTGCCCATCAAGTAAGCACTACCAACATGCCAGTTAGGTCCTTATATTATATGTGCCATATTGATACATATGTTTTAGATATGCCGGATACAGCACTTGCTACCGTAAGGAAGCTGGATCACACGGCAAGGATGCGTGGGGTATTTTCCGTGTCCACCAATTCGAGAAGGTTAGAAGACTCGACCCCTGTCTCTCTTATTATTGATATCTAACATGTGCTCCAGATCGAACAATTCGTTTTGACCAAGCCGGAGGACTCTTGGCAAGCGTTTGAAGATATGATGGCTACCTCCGAGGAGTTCTATAAGTCTTTGGGACTCCCTTACCAAATCGTGGCCATTGTGTCTGGTGCCCTGAACAACGCAGCAGCCAAGAAGTACGACCTGGAGGCTTGGTTCCCATTCCAGCAGGAGTACAAGGAGCTTGTCTCCTGTTCCAATTGCCTTGACTATCAATCTCGGGCTCTGGAGATCCGCTACGGTGTCAAGAAGGCTACGGATCTGAAGAAGACTTATGTTCATGCCCTGAATGCCACCCTGTGTGCTACCGAGCGCACCTTGTGCTGTGTTCTGGAGAACTATCAGCGCGAAGACGTACGTCTACCCACTCTCCCCGTTCTTTTCTTGGTTTTTTTTTATGCATCTTGATCGATCTGTTACTGACTGATTCGGCGTTAGGGTATCGAAGTTCCCGAGGTTCTCCGCAAATACATTCCCGGTAACCCCGAGTTCCTCCCATACGTCAAGGAGCTTCCCAAGGATACAACTTCCCAGCGCGCCAAGGGGAAGCAGGGCAAGGGAGCTGCTGAGGCGACCAAGAAGATGGAGGATCTCAAAGTCTAAAAGACCAAATGTTCTTAATGTAGATCCATATATCAGTGCCGAAGGAAAGAAAAGGAACAAAAGAAGAACCATTGGTTGATATTATATATATATGTTTCTGTTTTATCGTATCAAATAATTCTAGATTTATAGATATACAGCAAGTATACTCCTTAATACAAAGACCAATTAAGCACTGGTGGGCTGACCGAATTGGCATTGACGCCCCACATGCACCACGGCCTGTTCATTGGCCGCGTTCAGAACAAAAGGCGGAAAAACGTAAAAATCTAAAATTGAATTGAATTGCAAATCTGCCGGGTTTTTTGCCCCGCTAAGATGGAAAATTTCAAAAGAAAAAGAAAAAAGAGAGTAAGATGTCAAAGTGGTCGTAGCTTGATCACGCCAGAGGATGAGTCACCTTATACTACTATTCTACTATGTACTATTCTACTATGTAGTCCGTATAGTCTATTGTACTCATACGCACAGCATTAATATATACTATGATAATAAATATAATAAATAGGCATTGATTCTTATCTACAAGAATATATATATATATATATATATATATAATCCAATTAAATCACCTTGAAACAATTACTCACAATTGCCTTCCAATCTCTCTTCTTGTCATAGCCGATTCCGGAGACCCTCGGTGAGCTTATTATATAAGTTGCCCCTATGGCCCAATGATTCATTTCTCCAAAATCTCCCCTCCTTCTGTCTTATTTCTGTAACATTCACCTTCCACAAGTTTGTCTTGTTACCGACGTTAATCGTCCTCTCCATTTGCTTTTTCCTGCGCTTCGCAACCCCTCCTCCCCCACCTTCGTCCTATCCCCGCCTCCTCCGATCCCGTCATGTCGTCCGCCAGAGATATTCGTCCCCGCCAGGATGACCTGGGTGTTCAAACTCAATACATCTCGACCTCGCCTTCAGCTTCATTCCACTCCCCCTCCAGCCACACCTCGGCTCTTAACCGCACAATTCCTGTGATCAATGCCAAGCACCTGAAGCCCTTTGCGACAACAGACATCAAGGTCCTACTTTTGGAGAATGTGAACCAGGCTGGTCGTGACATGCTCCAGCAGCAGGGTTACCAGGTGGAATTCCTCAAGTCCTCTCTCCCAGAGGATCAACTCATTGAGAAGATTCGGTAGCGCTCCCCCGACATCTCCATAAAATACTGAGTGACTCAGAGGCTGACCCGGGATCAAAATCAGTGACGTACATGTTATTGGTATCCGTTCAAAGACCAAGCTCACCGAGCGCGTCTTGAGGGAGGCTAAGAACCTCATTGTCATCGGTTGTTTCTGTATCGGAACCAACCAGGTTGACCTGCAGTGTGCCGCTGCCCAAGGTGTCGCCGTCTTCAACTCACCATTCAGCAACTCCCGCAGTGTCGCTGAGCTGGTCATCGGTGAGATCATTGCCCTTGCCCGACAATTGGGTGATCGTTCCAATGAGATGCACAACGGCACATGGAACAAGGTCAGCAATAAGTGCTGGGAAATCCGTGGCAAGACATTAGGTACGTTGTCCAAACCCCTCGTTACATTGGTGGTCTATGGCTCACATCAATTGCCTCAGGTATCATCGGATACGGTCACATTGGTGCTCAATTGTCTGTGTTGGCGGAAGCCATGAGCATGTCAGTCATCTATTTCGATGTCTTGAACATGATGTCCCTGGGTACTGCTCGCCAGGTCGAGTCCTTAGATCAGCTTTTGGCCCAGGCCGATTTCATTACCTGCCATGTCCCCGAGCTTCCCGAGACCAAGGGCATGATTGGCAAGGCCCAATTCGAGAAGATGAAGACCGGCAGCTACTTGATCAATGCCAGCCGTGGAACCGTTGTAGACATCCCTGCTCTCATTGAGGCCATGCGCAGTGGCCGTGTTGCCGGTGCCGCGTTGGACGTGTACCCCAACGAGCCCGCTGGAAACGGCGACTACTTCACCAATGACCTGAACGAATGGGCTGCCGACCTCCGATCATTGAAGAACCTTATCCTTACCCCTCACATTGGAGGAAGTACTGAGGAGGCCCAGAGCGCCATTGGTGTGGAGGTTGCTCAAGCCCTCACCCAATACGTCAACGAGGGTACCACACTGGGCGCTGTTAACCTGCCCGAGGTCACTCTCCGTTCTTTGACCATGGACGAGCCCAACCACTGTCGCGTAAGTCATTTTTGTGATGAGCATCATACAGATATCTTATGACCTTCACCTTGAACGATCGAAGCTAACATTCCTTCTTCTCTTTCTCAGGTTGTTTATATCCACAAGAACATTCCTGGTGTGCTGCGAAAAGGTAAATACTACCTCCCCAAAGGGCAAGAAACGAAACCATGGTATTAACAAATCATTTCCAGTCAACGAGATTATCGGTGACCACAATGTCGATAAGCAAATGACCGACAGCAGAGGCGATGTACGTTGCAGATCGTGTACAGATGTGATACGCAATGCTAATAATCAACTAGGTTGCCTACCTGATGGCTGATATCAGCGACGTGAATGCCGATGTCATCAAGGACTTGTATGAGAGATTCGAGAGTCTGTCCTGTAAGATGACCCCCTTTCCGTCTCATTTTTGCTCTCTTTCAAATCTAACCATATCATCCAGCCCGAATTATGACCCGCATTCTATACTAAACGCAGTTTTTTTTTTCAAAAAAAAAATTTACCACTGTAATCAACTTGACATGTTTTGTGCGCCAAAAAAGGCTATTACAACCCGACGAACTACTCACTGGACTTTTTCAACGAGGTCCCATCCATGCAAAAGAATATCGGCCATATAAAGTGGTCATATATGTCGCATCTTCCACTTACTAGCTATTAGATGGTATATTGGGAAAACTTGAAGAGAGTAGAAAAAATATCAAATTTATGGTTTATTCGTACAAATATCTCCATCGCGATGTTTTGGTACTACGTCCTAGGGCTGACATCTAGTATCTAGGTAGTCACTATAAAAGCTTTAAAGAGCATCACAGCTGGGCCTGTCGGTATACTAGATACTCGAACTGAGAACAGTCATCGCGTGTGGATGGCAGAAGCTTTGGACTTAGAAGCTACAAATGGGTTATTAACAATACGTCGGGTTTCCCCAATTAAAGAACGTGGAACCAAGGGTGATCTTTCAAATGCTTATATGTATTGTCATTATGATAAACTGCAGTCACCTAAGATCTTCGCGACTCGTTCATGTAAAATGCGTCTTTACGATTACGGGTATTGCCAAACCTAAGTCATTCATAGAAACTAGGGAAAAAACCAATATTTTATCCAGCTCCTCTGAAACCAGGGCTTCGACTTCGTCTCCGTGCTGGTTCACGGCGGTAGTCACGCCGACCAGACCCTCGCCAATCTGCTCCACCGGACGACGGGTTCTCGGACGAATTGCCATAATTTGGGACGTAAGAATCCACATTATTGTTAGAAAACCTGCCTCCTCCCCCTCCGCCCCCGCCTCCACCCCCTCCACGGTTGGGGTTAAATCGATCCCGTCTTGTGTCATCTCGCCCATCTGTCCGGGAGGACTGGGCGCCATCCCACTGTGCATGGGACATAGGAGGTCGTGGCGGAAGGCCGCTATCTCGTTGGGATGTGGGGAAAGGGCCTCGTCGATGGGGATTACCTGGCATTCCAGGTGCGTTTGGACGGCCGCCTCGCGCACCACCTGGGATTCTACTTCGAGAATCCGGTCTAGGGCCTGAGCTAGCCCAGCCTCCATTGGAAGAGTTGTCGGTGGCACCGCCCCCTGGAACAGGAGGCATAGGAACCTGTTGGTTGCGAAATTTCTTTCGATCCAATTCATGAGAATCCTGGAAGTGAGGAATTTCCCCGGGGCGTGCCGGTAATGGTGGTGTGGTGAAGTACGGGTGTTTCAAGGCATCGATGGCATTAATACGTTTTCGCCAGTTGAGTTTCAGAAGCTCATGTAGTAGTGAGATGGCGGTGGGACTTTGTCTGCGATATTGTTAGTCATTCCATCAGAGGTAGCCCCTATGCGCCGAAGTACGCGCGGGAGAACTGGCGAGGCCAATATTAAAACAAGGGAACATACTCTTTGAAGACATCGTGAAGATTTCCGCGCCTGAACCCAAAACTCTTGACGCCTTCACAGCCCGGCAATGAGCTCCATCCAGGCATGTTCTCTTCAGTGGGGGTGCCCACGAGGCTGAAAATGAGCTGCGCTTGGTTCAAATCACTATTGCCTGAAAGGATTGGCTTTCCTTTGAACATTTCACCAAAAACACAACTAGAGGCCATCAGAACTAGATCAGCAGGAAAAAGGAATTTAAACATACCCAACACCCCATATATCAACGGCCGTCGTGTACTTTCGTAGCGAAAGTAACAACTCCGGTGGCCGATACCATCGGGTCACAACAAGTGCTGTGTATTCTCTTTTTCCCTCACCACCGCCCTTCCCAGGTAGCGGAGGGGGTTCATCGTAAGGGCGTGCGAGACCAAAATCGGCAATTTGGAGAATGCCTCCATTGCTGATCAAGAGATTGGCAGCTATATTGCTCGTTAGTGGGAGAAAAACGTATCATGAGAGTATAGTAGACATACCCTTCATGTCGCGGTGTAGAATCCGATTCTGCTATTAGTGTCAGACAGAGTATCTTCTTTAGACAGAGTGATCATAGTTTAAGTCGTACCGCATGTAGGTACCGAAGACCTTCCAGAAGTTGCATCAGATAACACTTAATCTGTGGCTCAGTGAATTGAACAGTCGGGTTCTCTAAAAGTCCGGACAGGTCATGCTCCATGTACGGTGTCACCATGTACAGACTGGGCTTCTTCCGACCCTCGCCTGAAACCAATGTTAGGAATCAAAGAAGCAAAAAGACAAATGTCACAGCAAATATTCTCGTTATCCAAAACATATGCTTACCTTTGCTCCGTTCGACCGCCATCTCTTTCAGCTGTAGAACATTTGGATGGGACAGCATCTTCAAAATCTTGATTTCTCGGATAGCTGTGATGGGAAACTTTGTGAGGCCTATTAGCAGTGAAGTAAGCTGTAACACTAAAGGCCGGGGAAGAAACGTACACCCTCCTTCTCATGGTGCATGAGAATCTTCTTCAGGGCTACTATCGCATTGCCCTTTTTGGATCTTGCCTTATAAACTTCACTGTTATACATTAGTCTTTCGTAAATCCCATTTGATCCGGATTGACATACCCGAAAGTTCCCTCTCCAAGCTTGTTGATGAACTCGAAATCGCGGATATTCGAACAGCCAGGGAATCGAGGCCGGCCATTGTCGTCCGTCTCCAGAGATGATAGAGACATTGCTGTTTTTTTTTTTTTTTTTTTTTTTTTGCGCAGTATAGCTCCTCCTTCCCACAACAAGGTCTTTTCGGGGTGTTTTGAACGTGTTATATCGAAGGTGCTGAGCTCCTGCGCTCTATATCACCGGGGGGTTCGCGTGTGTGGATCTCGCGCGCGTGAGGTTTCAATCGGAGATCATGGGGTTTAGTCGAGGCGTAGCGGTGGTTCTGGGGCGAGGAGCTTAAATAGGGAAATTCGGCAAATAAGTGAACCATAGTAACATTCACCGATCAAATGAGTAACTGAGCGGGACATGGAGAAGGCCTTGACATCGCCGGGGTCGTTCAGGCAGGCATTCAAGGGTCTCAGTAACGAGACCGAAATTGAATCAGGGGTGCAACAGAAGTATCTTATCAGATCACCAGCTGACCTGACCTTACCGTTGAACCAGAGAATAAAACCAATATCAAAACCAAGTTTCGTAAGTTGAAAAAGAGCAGAGTTCAGTCATGTTCAAGAAGAAAAGAAAGAGAGCTGGTGCCGTCACTGGTCACGTGGTTGCGATGCCGCTTCCTCAACTTCCCGCTTTCAACTCCTTCACATCTCGACTTTCGCGAAGCCCAGCATCTGGTCCTGCATTTCACAGTACGTCAGTCCTTCCGGGCTGTTATTAACGTGGGCTTTACTGATTACAATTGTATACAGTCATGGCAGGCAACTCCCACCACCCGGTTCATATCCATGCGGCCCGACCGCTCTATCGTTTCACTGCCACTGCCTTGGGCGCCAGCATGTGGTTCTTCGTATGACTCCCACCCCCAGATAACTGACTGTCCAACCCAATTGAACTAACGAGGTGCTTTTGATATAGTTGATGTACCGTGCTAAGAAGGATGGCCCCGCTCTGCTGGGCTGGAAGCACCCTTGGGATCACTAGACAGACGAGTTGATATGTACCATACTATTTTATTAGGGGACAACAAGAACACCCCATACGAACTCTCTATTGATCTATAACTTCCGCTCTCTATCGTTTTATTTATAAACACAAGCATTGCGCTGGTTTCTCATGTGCCTAAATCTCACAGACCCATCTCCTCAAGAAGGACCTTGTACTGGCGACGTTTCTTGCGGTAATTCGGTTGCAGTCGAGTGCGTGCATGTCCAAGAATGCGTGCTAGCTTGGGGAATATGAAGGATTCTCCAACCCAAGCCAATCCAAATATTCCCAATGCAAGGACCAGGAGCGCACCTCTATAGCTGTCCGACATTGAAGTCAACTCCATTGCGTTCTTCACCCAGTCAGAAGGTCGGAAGAGCATATACGCCGCAACGAATAGATCGATAATGATGGTGCATAGATAAGGAGCTATCGTAGAACAGAGAATTAGTCATGGTTCTGGCAATAATTACTGCTCGGACAGCCAGAATGCATGTTCCAATGGCTTGTTTCCTACCATTTAATGTCATCGGTTGTCGGAAAGGTGGGCCAACACTCAGAATGATACTAGTTAGGATGTATTGGAAGCATGAGAACAAAAACAACGCAGTATTCTCTGAATTGACGATGTTGCTCTTTTCCAAATTCAGTTGGGGAGGCAGGAACCTGGTTTTGGCAGTCAGTGGTTTGCTCAACCTATACTACATAAAAAGACTTACCATGGTTGCAACTGAACAGTCTTAAATACCACAAACTGGGCGAGAGCAACCATTGCAATCTGGCCTAAGAGAGGAGTCAAGACCTTTCGCGATACAAGATCTGCTGTCGGCCGTTTGCGAGAAAGCGTAGGATATGGACCGGTCCAACCCACTAGGTATTGGTTAGTTGGCTACATATCATTAAACATGAGACAAAAGATCACTCACTGAATATAGCGATTGGCATGATAAGAGCCAAGTCAATGAACAGAAACTAGATGGCTTACAGTTAGGGGTTGCACGGATATTTGTGAGACCTAGGGCTTTTTGACTGTTAACTCACCTGAAAGTCACCCAGGTTAGAGCCAGATGTATAGAGGAAGCTGACAGAGGAGAACTGGATAGCGGAGTATAGACTCATAAACTTGAAGCAGCTGAAACTTGTCACCAAAGCAGCCCGACCCTCGCTATTTCAACTTGTAAGCTCGAAGTATATAGAGAAAGGGGTGGGTTGTACTCTTACCGAATCAATTTTGGGACACAAGATATGTCAAACTGTCGGCTTGTAAAGGGGGCAGCAACAGATGCCTCAGCATCAGACAAAGAAATTCCAACGTCAGCGGCCTTTAGAGCACCGCAATCGTTCGCACCATCTCCGCAAAAGCCACAGCAGTAATCAATAGATTGGAGCTTTTCGACCAACTCGTGCTTCTCATCCGGCGACATGCGAGCGAAAACTTTGCCGGCGACCAAAACCTAAGTATCAAATACAATGAGCCAAAATTATTCTTTCAAGGGGAAAATCTGTGCGAAAAATCCTACCCTTTTCAATACATCCTCGTTGCCATAATCAACCAACCACCGGAAAACATCGCCTGTGACAGCAACACAATAATTTTGGTCACGAAGTGCGTTCCCTGGGATAGATACATCATTCTCGGTTGAAATCTGAAGAGGCTAGTGATTTGTTAGAAACCCTTCAGAGTGAGTAAGAGTAGGGGCTGATTCTTACCAGAAGCGTTCTTGGGTCCAACCTGAGGTCGGGGTTATCCACACTTTCCCATATAAGGGAAGTCTTAGCATAGAGGCCAGAATCTTGATGTTTTCTCGATTAGCTGAGTTATTTCGGCTGGGCTCCCTGGATTACGCATACCTTCAATTAAATGCGGAATATAACATTGTTCATCATGGCTAACCATCTCGCACTCCTTGGCAACACTGATAGCTGTCAGGATGTTGTCACCAGTACACATGACGTTGCGAATTCCAGCTTTATTCAGCTCTGAAATCACACCAGCTGTGCTAGGCTTCAGCTTGTTCTCAAAAATGATAAAGCCTAGAAATTCAAGATTGCTTTCTGCCTCGGTCCGGGTTATTTTCTGAGCTTTCATCCAACTTAACTTCCGCTCGTATTTAGTAGCACAGGCAATAACTCGGAATCCCTTGTGTGTGTAGTAATTCAAAAGTTCATCATAATCAGAAGGCACTAAATTTAGGGTCAGTAAAGTAGACTCCACGATGTCATCGTAAAGGGGGAGGCAACTGACGAGTTTGAGGAATACATATATCTCGAATGCTCTCGGGGGCGCCCTTTACGAAAAAGCTTGCCCCGTTGTCACTGAACTGCCGTACCACAACACTTGCACGACGTAGCTCAGATACAAATTCGAAGTTTCGAACGATACCAAGTTCGACAGGCGCCTATATGGATCCTCGGTGTGAATATGTTTCAAATCAGAACGAAATTTCTTAGATAACTTACATTTGAACCGTTCTGTCGGCCTGAGCCCGTATGAGGCAACGGCGGCTTCGCAACAGAAGGGAGAATATTATCAAATTTTGGGCTTGTCGGTTCCGAGGGACGGTCGCCGCCTTCTTCATAAGACCAGCCGGTGAACTGAAACATTTTAACGTCAAGGGGGTCGCCTAGTAATTCACCGTCTACAACCCTTAGGGAGTGACATGTCGCCATTGTGTAAATGATCCTCTGCTGTTTTTCTAGGTCATATGGTGAGTTTGCTGGTGAACTTGGCTGCAGTAAACCCATAGATGTTTCCGACAGCAATCCGGAGAACCTTTGGTTACTGCTCACGGCCCTCGCACCTAGAACATCCAGTCCATCTTCTGTAAGTGTTCCCGTTTTATCGAAGCAGACGACATCCAGCTTTCCCCCCACGTTGACCTTCTGCGGGCTAATGCAGAAGATGCTCTGCTTCTTAAGACGCGAAAGTGCGAAATTGGTGCCAATGCTGAGCGTTGCTGGAAGAGCTGGAGGAACGACGATTGTAATCAAATCGAGCGCACGAACAATGATCAAATGCCAAGCGAGTCCTAGTTTAATGAAATTGATGAACGAAGCCACGAAGCCACAGAGTGCCACCACTCCCATCACGGCAATGTATCGAAATGAGTCTCGGTAGAATTTGAAGCCTGAAGGTTTGGGGAACAGCATCGAGCGGACTAATGCACCCTTGGTGGTGGAAAAGCCGGTTCTAGTAACTATGGCTAGGGCAACAGCTTCATCGTCATCAACATTTTGGGGCCTTCGAGCTCGAATAATCTTGGTTCCACTGAAGAGAAAGTGCTTCGCAACATTTGGATGTATGGATGGGGCGCTGAGGTCAAGATACTTGAGGGCATCATCGATGAATGGAAACTTAGAAACGGGTACGGATTCGCCAGTCAGCATGCTCTCGTTCACAATGCAATCGCCGGACAGTAATATGGCGTCACAGGGGACCTGATTCAGTGAAGGGTCTGAAAATTCAAAAACATCACCCGGTATCAAGTCGTGTGATGGAACTGATCGCCAGAATCCATTTCTGAGGACGCGCACGTCACACTCGAATAAGGATATTTCTCTAAGTCTTCCCATGGTCTGTTTGAGAGTTAGCATAGGCATGTAATTAGAGTGTCGGGGTCTAGAAACCTACCGATTTGGTTTCTAGCACAGTGGTGGCAATGCTGAAGAGAGAGATGAGAAAAATGCAAACCGCATAATAATAGTATTCGTCCATGGACCACAGAAGAAGACTTGCGACTTGGAACATGTAGAAAGGGTGGAAAGCCTGATTTTGGTAAGAGAGAAGAACACAAAAGCGGTTTTGGTCCGGGGAGGTAAACATACCTCGTCAATGAGTAGTTGAGGCACAGTCTTTTGCTGAATGTCAATGACATTTTGCCCAAAGATTTGCTCTCTACTATCCCATTCATCGGCATCTAGACCTGCACGCATAGCCTTGGCATTGATCCATGCGGGGTCTTTCCAGCCATTGATTAATGAGAATTTATCTTCGACGGGGTGGAAGAAGAATCGCAAGTATCTGTAATCAAGAAACCGAAGTGACTCAATAGTCGGGTCACGGTCTTCGTCATAAACCTGACCAGAGGCGTCAGGGAAGACGGTGGACACTGGGCGCCCATATTGTTGACAGCCGACATCATGGATAGTGAACTGGTTCCATTGATCCTACCGATGGGGTTAGCAAAACTCCACCAGAGCCATTTATAGCTGGGTTTTCTTGTCCTACCTCAATAGCCATCCAGCTACATTTCCCTAGAGGACTGGCTTTACCAATCAGCCTCACTCGCCACCGTGGCAGCCAGCGGAATAGAAGATAGGCAAAGCCACCGGTCAATATACACAGGGCGATATAGACAGCAAGCCCTGCTGAGCTGGTCGTGAACCCCGCAAAAACAGCAGTTAGATCCTCCGATGCAATGTACACTTTTTGATTGAGCCTACTTCCAGACCTTCTTTCACGACCGTATGAACTTGCAGAAATATACCGAGAAAGGAGCGGGTGCTCCGCCGAGTCTCGCGATTGGGAGAGCCTTTTGGACACAAAGGAACTCCTTCTTGACTCGATCTCGGCCTCGGTGAGCCCATGGAGTGATTCCTCTTCAATCGCGTAGCCCATGTCCTCCATGTCATCTTCCACCGCATCTTCGTTCGACCATTCTGCGAAGTCTTCCTCGTCTTGGAAATAAGTAAAACTGACAGTGGATCCGGCTCGGTCTCGACGGTGGGAGAAGGATACAACGCTAGATGGGATACTTTCTGAGATGGGTCCATCGAAAACCTATGCGACTGTTAGTTTAGTCCCATTATTCTCTGCGAAGATAGCAATAGCAATTGCACCAGGATCATACCTCATGTCGAGCCATCTCCACGTCCGACACTACGCTCACACTAGAGAATTATGTTAGCGACATGTTGGACAATTATAGATTAGGAAGGATATAAATGGCATTGCTAACCTGCTCCTTAAAGAATCTCGGCGCATACTTGCCCGAGGCATCGCGACGCCCACAGGGCCATTTTCCGGTGGGGACGGGGGTCGGCTACCCATGGCGATACAGTCCAATGGATCGTGCCCAAGAGATTCGTAGTTAGCAGTGGATTCAAGGTCACGGGATAATGATGCAACACGACCAGATAACTATGAGGCTTCTGATCTGGCCCTGTACATCCTCCACGGTCGGACAGAAAGAATATGATGCGGCGACTGCGGAGAGAGCTCATGTGCAAATTCCCGCCTGGGCATGACATCGGTTATCACCACGTGACCGAGATAAGCCGGCAAATGGCCTCGCGGGTGATATAAGCAGACCTTGCCTCTTCTGGGTTAAAAGGAGGGGCAAATGTGTATTCAATGGAGGGGGAGGGAGAGAGAGAGAATAGACGACAATATACTATGTATGAATGTAAATCAATACACTATATACATTCATAGATCTACAGAACCCATAATATTACTCATCTGAGCTTCTATATATACTTACTACTTGATTCTTCCCCAGATCTATCTATATATATATAAACATATGCATGAGGTTTAATATAGGGGAGGCCTCTCTATACTTGAACATGATCGGCAATGGATGACGGGTATATATAATGCTGCTCTCTAGGGGGCCAACCATTTAAATACCGACAGGATCAATTGGCACCGTCGATATAACTTTCTATCGAATGTTCTTCAAGATCCTCTCTGATCTTTACTCGATGTGGGTTCTCTCCAAACATCCATGAGATCGCCCCAACCCTGGAAACCGGTCTTTGTTTCTAAAATTAACATTTGGCACGATGGGGCACAGCCAGCGGGCTTGGTCCCAAGGACGATTGGAGAGTGGAATTGGAGATCTCAAAGATCTCTTGTTTTTTTTTTCTATATTTTATATTTATATTTGATGTCTGAATATATTGATCTTGTTTGTCTACTTCAAATGTTGTATAGTTTATAAAATACTGTCCCCGTATTTCTTTCACCTTCAATACATTGATTCACCATTTAGTAATAGATCAATTCTTCAATCTAAGAAGAAGAAATACAAGTAAGAAAAAGCACCAAAGGATTTCTAATAGATAGCTATATATGATAACTATCATCCAACACTTTTTTTTCTTGTCAAAAATACCAATCACCCCAAGGGATATCGACACAGAGAGGGGAAAGGCGAAGTTGTTGGGAGGGCAAGTTTTCAACCAGAACCGCGTCCCGCCAAGCCCCTCCGGCCACCGGCGCTAAGGATCCCACCATCCAGACTCCTCCCTCCCCCCAAAACTCACGACCCATGATCAATTTTCTTCTCTCCTTTTCTGATCTCCAACTCCATCTCTCTTTCTACCACCCCCCTACCCTCCCCCTCTCTTCATACATCCACCATGTCTGAACCCATCAGGAATAAGAAGGCTGATTTCCCGGTCGCCCCGTAAGGATTTTCCCCTTCGTTCCCTTGACCGCTTATCGCCCCCCCCAGCAAAATCACTAAGTGAAAAAATTATACATAGGACCCCGCAAAACACACCAGCCAGCAATGCCCCTATCTCCTCTCACGCCCAGCAGCCTGGTGTGTCAAGCATCAAGGAAGGTAAGCATATATCCCTTTTCTCATTTCCTTTCCTCATCCGTGAGAGTGAAGTTTTCTAACTAGATTGCGTATTCTTAGAAACCCTGGACAATGCCGCCGCCGCTTCCCTCTTCGCTCGTAACCCCGCTCTGGTTTCCATGATCCAGGGTAAGCTGGGCCAGCTCGTTGGCCGCTCATCTGGTTACATTGAGTCACTTCCCGTCGTGGTCCGCCGTCGTGTCGCTGGTCTGAAGGGTATCCAGAAGGAGCACGCCAAGCTGGAGGCTCAGTTCCAGGAGGAGGTTTTGGAGCTCGAGAAGAAGTACTTTGCCAAGTTCACCCCGCTGTACGAGCGTCGGGCAACTATCGTTAACGGAGGTGTTGAGCCCACCGAGGGTGAGGTTGAAGCTGGCAAGGAGGAGGACGAGGAAGAGGATGAGGAGAGCAAGGAAGCTACTGAGGAGAAGAAGGAGGAGGAGTCCGAGTCTTTGGCTGGTATCCCAGAGTTCTGGCTGTCTGCCATGAAGAACCAGATCTCTCTTGCTGAAATGATCACCGAGCGAGATGAGGATGCCCTCAAGCACCTCGTCGACATTCGCATGGAGTACCTGGACCGCCCTGGATTCCGCTTGATCTTTGAATTCTCCGAGAACGAGTTCTTCACCAACAGGACCATCACCAAGGCTTACTACTACAAGGATGAGAATGGATACGGCGGCGACTTCATCTACGACCACGCCGAGGGCTCTAAGATTGACTGGAAGGCCGAGAAGGATCTCACCTTGCGCCTTGAGAGCAAGAAGCAGCGAAACAAGAGTATGTGGAATTTCAAAATATCCTTATCCATTTTGGCTCATTCCTTCTTTTTTGGGGGCCCTATCGACCATGAAAGCTAATAAAATCATCTCCAGACACCAAACAGACCCGTGTTGTCAAGATCAGCGTGCCTACCGAATCATTCTTCAACTTCTTTGCTCCCCCTCAACCCCCAGCTGACGAGGATGACGACGTATCTATTGCCAGCGATATCGAAGAGCGCCTGGAGTTGGACTACCAACTGGGTGAGGATATTAAGGAGAAGTTGATTCCCCGTGCCATCGACTGGTTCACCGGCGAGGCACTTCAGTTTGAGGAGCTCGGTGAGGGTATGGACCCCGATGAGTTCGAGGACGAGGACGATGAGGAAGAAGAGGATGAGGATGAGGACGACGAGGATGAGGACGAGCAAGGATCAGACCGCGATGTGGAGGACGACTCCGACGAAGAGGTATGTTCACCCTGTGTCACTCTCTGGCCATTCGCTGGTCATTTTCAAAGTTTTAATACTAACTCATTCAAACAGGATGGCACTTCCAAGCCCAAGAAGGAGGCTGCCGAGTGCAAGCAAAACTAGAATGAGAAGAAAGAACCCAAAACAAAAGTCTTGTCCACCTTTGGGTAGCACACGGCTCACTCGATATGCTTCATGGAATTCGTCGTTGATTTTATTGCTATGTTTCCTTTTTACTATTTCCTCCCCCCCCCCCTTCTTCATCCTTTCATCATCTCACTGATGCTCCTGTCCCCCTCTGCACTGCGTGAAACTTTTGTATCTACCTAATATCTCTCAATAAACCGCCATAATCAGTGTGTAATGAACCTTTCCCTCTCACTAGGGGGAAACTTGGGAGGGAGAGACTGTATTGACCTGGCGTTTAGTGGCTTGGCCCTTTATAGATAGAGTCCTGCAATGGGTTCTAAAGTTTGATTTGATTTGAATAAGTTGCTCCGTGTCTTTATATCTTATTTTTATACTTCTTAAGACCATCTCTATAGTACCGGGTAGATCACTATAACTATAATAACTATGACCAACGACATAATAAAGCCTGCTATAGATGAGGTTATAAATGTAACTAGGTATAATAAGCCACCTAGAAAACTCTTGTATTATTCTTCACACTGACTTACATTTTCCATTATATCCCATTTCTACCAATTCACACTCTATAAAGTCGGAATCAAGACCCGCGTTAAAGAGGATGGCGGTGACAGCTGTGGGGGCTGTGGCGCGGCAACCCCAACTTAGTCCCGAAGCTCCCTCTCTTCAGGGGTTTCTCTCGCTAAAACAAGTGTCACCAACAGCTTGCCTCCCCATCTTTTCCTTCTTCCATCATTCTTCTCCCCCAACACCTACCAGGCTCTTATTTCTTTATTTCTTATTTGCGTTTTCGGACCATGTGTCGATGAGGGGTCACAGTGAGACCCCTTGTCTTTGGACTGTTTTGTGATTGATTTGCCCTTTATTTCTCGCCCCTTTGGATGCACGAGCCTCGTACAGTCTCCTTAGGCGTTTCGCATATCATTTGACCGATTCATTTATTTTCACGACACAACACCCCGATACGCTGAACGACGCCCACCATGGCACATATCTATGAGGTTGGGACAAGGGCCTGGCAGCCCGACACGACAGACGGATGGGTTGCATCCGAGGTGAAGGAAAAGCTCGTGGATGGAGAAAAAGTGCAACTGGTGTTTGAGTTGGAGAATGGCGAGGTGAGTATTGGGTTTATCCATGCAGAAGGCCACTTGCGCGGCTTGGTGGATGGAGCGGAGCTGACCACGTATGGAATAATAGACCAAGACCGTCGATACCACACAGGCCGAGTTGCAGGTTGACAACAATCCGAATTTGCCGCCCTTGATGAATCCAGCTATGCTGGAAGCGAGCGAAGATCTGACCAACTTGTCTCATCTGAATGAGCCCGCTGGTTCGTCCCGCCGCATATTGAAGATCTTATTCCATCGACTGACGGCCTTGAAGTTCTGCAGGCTATTAAACTCCGTTACGCCCAGAAAGAAATATATACCTACAGTGGAATTGTCCTGATCGCTACAAACCCGTTTGCCAGAGTGGATTCTCTCTATGTGCCACAGATGGTTCAAGTGTATGCTGGGAAACAGCGCGCTTCCCAGGCACCCCACTTGTTCGCTATTGCAGAGGAGGCTTTTGCGTAAGATATAATAGTTGATTTCCCTATGGCATTGATGATGACTCTAACCATATTTCCTTCGTTTTCTGTGCACAGTGACATGCTTCGCGACGGGAAAAACCAGACAATTGTGGTATCCGGTGAATCTGGTGCTGGAAAGACTGTAAGTGCTAAATATATCATGCGATATTTTGCCACTCGCGAGTCTTCCGATCAGCCAGGAAAGTACACCACGAGTCGAGCGGATGCAATCAGTGAGACGGAGGAGCAAATTTTGGCGACCAACCCGGTCATGGAGGCATTCGGTAACGCCAAAACTACTCGAAATGACAACTCTTCCCGATTCGGCAAGTACATCGAGATTATGTTCGACGAACGAACCAACATCATTGGTGCCAAGATCCGGACCTATCTGTTGGAGAGATCGAGACTTGTATTCCAGCCACTGAAGGAGCGTAACTACCACATCTTCTATCAGCTTGTGGCCGGTGCCACTGATGAAGAAAGACAGGAACTCGGCCTTCTGCCGGTAGAAGAGTTTGAGTATCTTAACCAAGGTGGCACACCAATCATTGACGGAGTTGACGACAAAGCCGAATTTGAGGCGACCAAGAAGTCATTGCGTACAATCGGTGTGGCAGAAGAATTCCAGACCGAAATCTTTCGCATTCTTGGAGCTCTGCTCCACCTTGGTAATGTGAAGATCACCGCAACTCGAACAGATTCAACTCTCTCATCGTCCGAACCGTCTCTTGTGCGCGCCTGTGAGATGCTGGGAATTGATGTCAACGAATTTGCCAAATGGATTGTCAAGAAGCAGCTTATCACCAGAGGAGAAAAAATCACCTCAAACCTTACCCAGCAACAAGCCATCGTGGTGCGAGACTCCGTCGCCAAGTTCATTTATTCCAGCCTTTTCGATTGGCTTGTGGACAGGATCAACCAGGGACTGGCGACAGACGAAGTTATTGAAAGGGTCAAGACTTTCATCGGAGTGCTGGATATCTATGGATTCGAACATTTCGCAAAGAACTCGTTCGAGCAGTTCTGTATCAACTATGCGAACGAGAAGCTACAACAGGAATTCAACCAACACGTGTTCAAGCTTGAACAAGAAGAATATGTCCGTGAGGAGATTGACTGGACATTTATTGATTTCTCCGACAACCAACCCTGTATTGACCTGATCGAAGCCAAACTTGGAATTTTGTCCCTTCTGGACGAAGAGTCCCGACTTCCTATGGGCTCTGACGAGCAGTTCGTTACAAAACTCCACCACCATTTCGCTGCCGATAAGCAGAAATTCTACAAGAAGCCTCGCTTCGGAAAATCTGCATTTACCGTTTGCCATTATGCGGTCGATGTCACATACGAGTCTGATGGCTTTATCGAGAAGAACCGAGATACCGTTCCGGATGAGCACATGGAGGTACTGCGCAATTCATCGCATAGCTTTATCAAGGAGATCTTGGATACTGCTGCTGCGGTCCGTGAAAAGGACTCAGCGGCTGTCTCGTCTAAGCAAGTTGCTGCCCCAGGCCGTCGAATCGGTGTCGCAGTTAATCGCAAACCAACTCTTGGAGGAATTTTCAAGTCATCTTTGATTGAGCTCATGCATACCATCAACAATACTGATGTGCACTACATTCGTTGCATCAAGCCAAACGAGGCCAAGGAGGCTTGGAAATTCGAGGGGCCTATGGTTCTCAGCCAGCTGAGAGCATGTGGTGTACTGGAAACTGTCAGAATTAGTACGGCTGGTTATCCGACCCGTTGGACATATGAGGAATTTGCCATTCGTTACTATATGCTTTGCCATTCTTCTCAATGGACCTCAGAGATTCGGGATATGTGTCACGCCATTCTCCGGAAGGCCTTGGGTGATGCCAGCCACCAGAAGCAAGATAAGTACCAGTTAGGATTGACCAAGATTTTCTTCCGAGCTGGTATGCTTGCTTTCCTGGAGAACCTGCGAACCTCCCGATTGAACGAATGTGCGATCATGATTCAAAAGAATCTGCGATGCAAGTACTACCGGCGCCGCTATCTGGAAGCCCGGGAATCTATTCTCACAACCCAGGCTTTCATTCGTGGATTCCTAGCACGGCAGCATGCCCAGGAAATTCGTCGAACCAAAGCTGCGACGACGATCCAAAGAGTGTGGCGTGGCCAGAAGGACAGGAAACATTACAACGAGATTCGAAAGAACTTCATTTTGTTCCAGTCAGTCACCAAGGGATTCCTTTGCCGCCGCAATATTATGGACTCCATCAATGGCAATGCTGCCAAGGTTATCCAACGAGCATTCCGATCGTGGCGTCAATTGCGAGGTTGGCGTCAGTTCCGCCACAAGGTTATCATTGTACAAAATCTCTGGCGAGGTAAACAAGCCAGAACTATTTACAAATCTCTTCGTGAGGAATCGAGAGATCTCAAGCAGATTTCTTACAAGTTGGAGAATAAGGTTGTTGAATTGACCCAATACCTGCAATCTCTGAAGCTTGAAAACAAATCTCTTGCTTCCCAGCTGGAGAACTATGAGACTCAATTGAAGTCCTGGCGAAACAGACACAACACGTTGGAAGCCCGTGCTAAGGAGCTCCAGGCCGAGGCCAACCAGGCAGGTATCACGGCAGCCCGCCTGGAAGTTGTGGAGGAAGAAATGAACAAACTCCAACAGAGTCACTCCGAGGCTCAAGCTACCATCAAGCGACTACAAGAAGAGGAGAAGGTTTCTCGTGAGGCGCTTCGCGCTACGAATGAAGAGTTAGGCCGCCTCAAGTCGCTCAACGGAGACCATGAGAAAGAGAAGACGGTACTTCGCCAACGTGTATCAGAGCTGGAGGAGCAGTTGGAAGTTGCCAAGCGATCCGTGCCTGTCAACGGCATGAATGGCGAAGTACCAAACGGTGCTGTGGCCCCTACACCTGCCACCGGCTTGATCAACCTTGTGTCTTCTAAAAAGCCGAAGCCTCAACGACGCAGTGCTGGTGCGGAGAAGGTCGGAACTGATCGTTTCAGTGGCGCCTTTAACCCACGGCCCGTCTCTATGGCAATTGCTGGTCTCGGTGCCGCTCGCACAACTGCAGCCACCTCGCCAGGACTGGACTCTGTCGAGGCAGAGCTTGAGGGGCTGCTCTCCGAAGAGGAAGATCTCAACGATGAGGTCACAATGGGCTTGATCCGCAACCTCAAGATTCCTCTTCCTAGCTCCAACCCCCCACCAACCGAAAAGGAAGTCCTATTCCCCGCTTATTTGATCAACCTTGTTACTTCGGAGATGTGGAACAACGGATTTGTCAAGGAGTCTGAGCGCTTCTTGGCTAATGTCATGCAATCGATTCAACAGGAGGTCATGCAGCACGACGGGGATGATGCAATCAACCCTGGTGCATTCTGGCTTTCCAACGTCCATGAGATGCTGTCGTTCGTCTTTTTAGCCGAGGACTGGTACGAGGCTCAGAAGAGCGACAACTATGAGTACGATCGATTGCTCGAGATTGTAAAGCATGACTTGGAGAGCTTAGAGTTCAACATCTATCACACTTGGATGAAGGTTCTGAAGAAGAGGTTGTATAAGATGATCGTACCAGCCATCATTGAATCGCAGTCTCTTCCGGGCTTTGTTACTAGTGAAACAAACCGGTTCCTCGGCAAACTGCTGCCGTCGAACAACAACCCTGCTTATAGCATGGATAACCTCTTGAGTCTTCTCAACGGTGCCTATAGAGCCATGAAGGCATTCTATTTGGAAGATACCATCATCTTGCAGACCGTCACCGAGCTTTTGCGTTTGGTGGGCGTAACTGCATTTAACGACCTTCTCATGCGACGAAACTTCCTGTCTTGGAAGCGTGGTCTGCAGATCAATTATAACATTACACGGATCGAAGAATGGTGTAAGAGTCATGATATGCCAGAGGGAACTTTGCAGCTGGAGCACTTGATGGTATGTCCACTCCTCTCGAATATTCTAGTAGTAAATAATACAGACGACTAATCCGACCATTACAGCAAGCAACCAAGCTTCTTCAGCTCAAGAAGGCGACTTTGAATGATATTGAGATCATCCAAGACATCTGCTGGATGTAAGAGCGATTGTGTTATATCCCGCCCCTGAACGAAACAAGTGCTGACATCCTTACCTAGGCTTTCCCCAAATCAAATTCAGAAACTCCTGAACCAGTACCTTGTTGCGGACTATGAACAGCCAATTAATGGCGAGATCATGAAGGCCGTTGCCTCGCGTGTCACAGAGAAGAGTGATGTGCTTCTACTGGCACCAGTGGATATGGAGGACAGTGGCCCCTATGAAATCGCTGAGCCGCGAGTCATTACGGCCCTGGAGACCTATACTCCATCCTGTATGTGATCACCCAGCCCCCGTTCCCCCTTTCCGTTCCTTTTCACTTTCTTGTTCTCTACCTTTCTTGTGTATCTTCCACGATCTAACGTTCATACCTAGGGCTTCAAACCCCACGACTGAAGAGGCTGGCTGAGATTGTGTCGGCGCAAGCGATGGCACAACAGGAGAAGCTTCTCGAGATAGACAATGGGGTGCTGGAGGAGTAGTTCTGTATATTAGACGTGTTTCTATATCTCCTTGGGATTTTCTGTGAGCTACGGATTACGACCTGTGACATCTCAACACGACCTTTATGCTAGAGGGGGTAGCCCTTAGGCTTTGATACAGTGATGCATATGATTTTCTTTTGCGATGATAGCAACTCCTTGTTCTCCTTCTCATTTTTATATTTTTTCTTCTTTTCACTCGGTTCACATCTTCCATGCTTGTCATTTTTTCGAACCTTGTTTTAGAATTTTTTAGAATTTTTCAACTATGCAGATCATCCATGACAATGGGCGACCGAAGCGGTGTCCTAACGGCGGAGAGATCAAAGCAACTCGGTGGACCCGCCCTCATTTTTATCCTACAATTGACCATCCCACTTTCTCCGCAAAAATAGCCCAGTATGACTTTAACCAAACTCAACTTCATCACAGGCAACAAGAATAAGCTCTCCGAAGTGCGAGCTATTCTCGGCAATGTGGTTGAAGTTGAAAATCAAGAGGTGGATGTTCCAGAAATCCAGGGTACGATCGAGGAGATCGCGAAGGAGAAAGCTCGACGAGCAGCTGAAGCGGTATATTTGATACACTATGAGCCCGGGCTTTGAATAGTACTAAAATGCTTTCATAGATCAATGGTCCTGCTCTGACGGAGGATACGGCGCTAGAGTTCCATGCGCTGAAGGGCTTGCCTGGTCCATACATGTGAGCACCAGCATATGGAATTGAAGTACTCAAATATTAATGCTAATTGGTACCGTGCAGCAAATCCTTCATGGAATCTGTTGGCCATGATGGTTTGAACAGGATGCTTGATGGGTTTGAGGACCGGACGGCCGAGGCTGTGTGCACCTTTGCTTTCTGTCGGGCTCCTGGTGCCGAGCCGATCTTATTCCAGGGACGCACCGAGGTGAGTAATGCTATGTTGATTACAATAGATTAGAAGCTGACAATGTATATAGGGCAAGATTGTACGACCTCGAGGTCCTACCAACTTTGGTAAGTCTTTATTTCTATCTTACTACCCAGTATATGGGGTTATATACAGCTTGGTGTCATATACTGACTGAACATTGTACAGGCTGGGATCCCATCTTCGAGTACGAGGGTCAGACATACGCCGAAATGGATAAAGAGGCAAAGGTAACTATTTTTGACGAGCCTTACGCATAACCAATTGTTATGATCTAACGCCTCTACTAGAACCTGATCTCCCACCGGTACAAAGCTCTGGTTAAGTTCCAGAAATGGTTGGCAGAAGGTCAACAGTGAAAAATAAACCTTGGGGTATATATAGATGATCTATGTAGCGCAGTTGGTAGATCATAAATGAGAAACATTGAACAAGATCGAAAGAAAACATCAGCTCATTATTTCCACACCGTAGCGACATTGTATTATTTAATCCGCATCTTCAGCATGTTGCTTCTTCCAGTTATCGATCCATTGTGTAATCCTGGCGCAGTTGGTGTCCACATCGTCGTCTTTTTCACTGTTCAATTCCACCACAACTTCCTCGTCGAATGCTTCGCGGGCTTCCTCGAGAAGAACACCAAAGATCTCCGCATCTAGGTTCTCTTGTAGCTTGTCTTCGTGGTAATTCCTAAGGTAACAAATGTCAATAGTCTATTACATTTCGATGGCGCGTATATCTCGGAGAAAAGATCCATACCTGGAAGCAAGACGATCGTAGTGGACAGAGGTAGAGGGGCAGCGGAGGACCACGACAAGATCAATCCAAGACTTGGGGAACAGATCGCAGGCATGCCAATCAATCAAATATCCACCCTGCAGTACTTCATCCTCAATAGCATCTAGTAACTAAAAATTGAAGAGTGAATCAGCATAATTCCAAATTCCGAACAACGACAAGCCGAGCGCAAAGTTGCCTGAACCCCACATCGCAAAACCCCGCGGAGAAAAAAGAAACGAAAAAGAACGGAGGCAATAACGACAAGAAAGAATCAGAGCTATGAGCTCGGATAACTAGGGATAAATAAATACCTTGTCTTCATCAACAACCCAGCTCTTCCGCTCTTCATCGAATGTTTCGTAGCAGTCGCGATCTTTGGCAACCTGGTTCACGGAGAGGTGCTTCAATCCGATCTCCTGCGCCAGCTGCTCACAGTGGACGGTCTTGCCCACCCCGGGAGTACCGGTAATAATGACATTCGGAGAGGACCGCATCATATGATCGAGATTAATCAACGTTTGGGAGAAGCAATGGAGCAAAGAACCAAAAAGATTGATGATTGCCTCTGGATAAAATTATTCGGACTAACTAACCGTGGACCCGCTTATCTTATCGGGACATGGGAACTATAGAATTATCCCTTCTTCACTCTTCCAATTCTACCCAATTTTTCTCTGGGGAACAACGTGTCTTATAGTTGACGAGATACAAGAAGTGCTCTATATAATGCTGTACATAAATCATATTCCTATATAGCCAATAATCCATTCTCGAGATTAAAAAATGAAGATCAAAAAAGGGATGGGCGAGGATCGAACTCGCGACCCCGTGATAGCTTGCCGAAAATTGCAATCACGTGCTCTACCACTGAGCTACCGTCCCGGTTTGTATTAGTAAGCATTCACATTGACATCTGGATATATGCACACATGCAATTCTATACACAATTATGTAGACATGTAGAGTATAGACCTAGCTGTCTATGTGTAGGTAGCTGAACGGTGATCTACCTAAAGCGAGGATATTGAAAAGCTTTAGAAGCATCTTATATAAAGCTTACCTCGCGAATGTATAATGTGTAGATACAGAGCACATTTTGGGAACGACGCGGAAAAGAAAAAGGCACATTCAAATGATAGGATATAGTTCATGCATAAAAGAAAATGGAAGAAGATAATGTTCCGTAGGCTGATAGATGCCTTTCATAATAACCTCAACTCATATGGAACAGGAACTTGTAAACAGGTGATTCCATAAGTTTATGTATCCGCAACGGAAGCTGCATTGCTGGGATACAGCCTATCATGAAACCCATCCCCAAACATTAGCAAGAAGCCCATAGCAAATAGCAACAGTAACAAACACTCACCGGAGAAGCTCAAATATTTTGTACTTTTGGAGGTAGGATGCGCCTCTGCGATACGCTTTCAATAAACGGGCAGGATTGTCAGATCGGGCAGACGTCCCAATGAGACGTAGCATAGCAGGTGAAGTTTTGAACATTGGATCAAAAACCAGTAGATTGGCAGTGCCATTATCGCGAATCTCAAATCCAATAATGGTCATGGAGTGTCCTAACTAGGTCAGAGATTGGTATCCATCGACGCAAGGAAAGAACTCCCACATACCTTGATGTTGGAAATAGATTGGTGGTAAATCTGTCACAAAGACTCTCCTCTCGTCTTCCAGGGAATTATTTTGTCGAAAGTACGTAGCGACCTCCATGTATAGCGAATCATATGCTCGATACTTATCGCTCTCGCTTAGACTGCTAGCCTCACATCTACAGGAGATGTCAGTCATGAATAGATTGCACAGCCAGGTCCAAACTTACGGGATCTCAAGACTCTTGAACAGTGCCTGTGCCTATTGCAATATTAGTGTCTGAAGCAAGAAAATATATTTCTTGACCCTGTAGGGAAAGGGCTTACCTCTGGAGTTCCAATGAACTTTCGTGTGCCGCGGATTCCTCCGGTCTCAGTCCTCCCGGTACTGTTAAATCCCATGTCCCAAGCACGTTCAATCTTGTCTTGTAACTCTAGAATTGTCGGACCCCCTTCAGAAAAATGCTCATGTCCTGGTCGTTGTGTTTTCCTGATATAAGAAACAAGCATTTGGATGTTTCGATATCCACAGAACCCACCCTCGCGGGACATCTTACAGATATGGCGGACTTTGGGCGAGCAAAGAAAGGCACGCTGAACAGAGCTGTCTTGCTCACAGAGCTTAGCGATAGTAGGGATCAGATTATCGGTTTCATTCTCCACTGTAGTATGACGGGCAAGCTTGCCGTCTGTTGTGATCTGAGTTTGTTTCGTGGCGCGCCCGCCCTTCTCCAGCATCCTTTTCAGCCATGAAGGCATCTTCTTTTCGTGGGCGTGGGGACCCAGCTCGGATCTCTGAGATACATGTCAGTATGAGCAGTATGTAGTTAAGATCTAGTTCAGGTCACTCACCCCTAGACGCTTCACACCGTCCGGGCCCACTGTTCCGGGAGGACTCCGCGCACGAGCTGGTTTTGAAGAATTTGCACGTGTGAAGTCTCTGTCCATACCTCTTTTGCCACATTTCTTTGCAGATGTCAGGTCAAATTTATCGTCATCTTGGTCAGATGGTAGATCGTAATCACTGGAGAAATATCCCGCATTTGGGGGAGACTGGATCGATCCATTCTCATCTAGCGCAACACCCTCTGCGACATGAAGATCAATATGCGTGGATATCTCAGCAGATGTGATTATCTCCCCACAGCTATATGGGCATTCCACATATTGATCTGTTGAGTCGCTGTCCATTGGAGGCAGTGGTGATGTCGACCTGGTGAAATGGAGTGGGGATTCTGACTCAGGGACCCCATTTTCCGGGTGACAGAAGTTGATGTGCTGCTCTACGAAGCTAGCATCTGGATCAGAGAAGGGACAAAAGGGGCAAGACGGGTGATCGTCGCTCATCTCCCTCCTTAGCTGGCAGTTTCAGCCAAGTGAACAAGCTGGCCGAAGAGAAAGAAAATGTTTGCAGTGTGGCGGGAACCGATTTGGGTGGCAGAAATCCTGGCTGTGGGGTTATTTGCTTTAATCCCTGTTATTGAGTAGGGTGGTAAACCGTAAACTGTCCACTATTAGATGTTCTCCAGGGAAAGGAATATCATGGTGCCTGACATTAGTTCACTGAGGCTGTGGCCGCTGCTGGACCCACTTTTCCCGGTATGTTTATTCGTGGCACCAACTCCAGCCATAATTACAACGCTTTATATATAGACCCTATCAATTGATATGTAAATACAGTAACATACTAGTACATTTTGCTTCACCCCTGGAGAATTGCGTGATCGTACCTCACATCAAAAATTACCAGCTAGATCAGATCAATGAATTCAGACTATATACAAAATTACTTCTTTTAACTTTCTGCAAATCTCGTCCGTAGAATCTAGTCAAGCACAGTTTCAAATAAGGATAGTTATGGTATTTTGCGCACAGTATGTGTCTCTTTGTAAATCATCTACGCTTCCATCAACTTTCGCTCGAGCTGAAGCATTTCTTCCAAAACAATCATGAACTGCTCTCCTTCGGTATTCTTCAGTGGAAGAAGAGGTCTTCGGGGTGCGATACCATATCCATGCATTTTATTTAATGCGTATTCTGAGCACAGGGTCAGTATATGATCACAAACAGTCTGGAAAAGTAACTGACTCATCGCGCGGATACCACCAGGAACAGCAGCTACATCGGCTCGAGAGAGAATTGCCTGTATCTCTTTGGTTTCTTTGACCTCCTCCTTGGTCGGAGAAGGAGTGTTGAGCAACGCCCAAAGTCTCATGGAGGCCACTGGAGCAAAATTAGGTATGCCACTTACAGTCCCATGGCCTCCACATTGCATCCATGGCGTTAGATCTGCAATGAGTCCGTCAAGCATAAGAAAGGGAAACTTTCTTTTGCTCGAGATAGACGGGTCCTCGGAAATAGCAGCATTCAGACGAAGCAACTTGGCAATGCTGCCACCGCATCTGTTTGTAAGTTAGTGGAGAGCAGAACAAGGCCAACCGATCTACTCCAGATCTACTCACGTTAGTTTGACACCGCACAGATTGGGCGCCTGCTGCATGACTGCACGAATAACTTCCGATGAGATATCCTGACCACCGGCATTCGCTGGGAAATTGTACAGCAAAATTGGTATCTGTGACTAGGTCAATGATACTGTAAGAGAGGTCGCATCTATTCTCGCTTGATAACTCACTGGTGAGCCTTCACATATATCAATAAAGTATTGAAGAACTTGTTCTTGGTCGGCGATGAGACTTGCAGCATAATAAGCAGGTAGTATCACCATCCCGGCATCTCTACTCTTAGTTAGAACGAGATTCAAACAATTCAAACCCGGTAAGACTTACGCTCCCGCTTCTGCTGCTGCACGTGCCAAGTTAATTGTCTCTCTCGTGCTCGAGCCGCCCACTCCAGCCACTATCGGCGTTGACTGGAGCCCAGCTTCATCTAAAGTAACACGGATGAAGCGAATGAGAGCCGTTCGCTCATCGAAGCTCTATTTCCATTAAGAACTGCAATCAAGGCATTTAGATTGGGTAGCTTACCAAATGACATGCCTCTCCCAGCGAACCAGCACATACTGGGACTTTTTGAGAGTGGAAATTAATCAGTAGTTGGCTTTGCATTCAGCCTGCGATAACTTACCCATGCCCTTGGTGGCCAAATCTGCGAACATCGCCGTTAGATGAGTTTGTTCAGTATTAGTATTGAAAATGGAGCGTACTGAGAAGATGTTTCTTGTAGTAATCATAGTCGACTTCCTGATTGTCGTCGAAAAAGGTGGGCAGCGGCGCATAGACTCCGGGTCGCAACACCCGTGTTGGGAACGAATCCACCATGGTCACAAATTGTCGTCGAAGGAACAAACCTTCGTCGTGAGTGATATCGTATAACACTTTAGCTTTTCTCTGGATTTGCCTCTGCTCGCATAGGAATGCCTTCTCTACTTATCAGTCGGCCCCCACGGCATCCAGCCCGATGGAGTCTGATAAGCAATTGCGGGAAGGCTCCGATGCACCCGCGCCGTTATCAGTTCCAAGATTGGCCTACGGGAGAAGCGATAGGAGGTTTAAGTTTAGGGCTATCTATGTATTGAATGAGTCGAGAGCTAGATAAATCCACCCAATGCCTCATTTTCCCTAATGTTGAGTCCATGCTCACTTTGTCATTCGATTACATCAATACCGATATGATACAGGACGAGGTATGTGCCAACCTGCAGGCGAACTATCAATCAGGGCGAGACCTTTTTGTATTAATCAAGTTGCAACTCTGAAGAAAAAGCAGGATATGGGCTTCGCTGCCAATGAAGTCTCCTTTGAGAATGGGACATCAGAGAACAAAGACCTCAATCATGATCTCCAGCGGACGCTTAAGGTACCATTTAAATCCCAGTCCTAGGGTTTCGTGAAGCTAACTGATCACACTCAGCCGCGTCATTTGTGAGTGCTGAAGTGTTTCGATCTCAGACTTGTCTAATAGCTAATGATATAAGACAAATGATTGCAATTGGAGGTGTCATTGTGAGTGATTCAAGCTACCTCCAGATTCCACCTATTCTTACACTAGTCAGGGTACTGGTCTCTTCTTGGGAACGGGCAGTGATTTGCAAAATGGTGGTCCTGCAGGTTTGCTTCTTGGCTACTGCATCATGGCTTCACTTTTGTTCTCGGTAATGGTAAGATTTGCAATAACCTCCTCGCAGCCGCGTATTCAACTAGCCTGACACTCGTTGTTAGACTGCTCTTGGCGAAATGGTCTCCCAATTTCCCATGGCGGGAGGCCAGTTTGCTCTTGCTAGTCGTTTTAATTCTCCAGAGCTGGGATTTGCCATGGGAATTGTGTTTTGGTATAAGTAATCAGATACCAAACCCCATTCTCTGTCTATAGGTCTTAACAAATCTTTTTTTAGCTACATCAGTACGAATCTCCAGTCCACCGAACTGACCTACAATTCTGATTCTCCCAGTTGTTTTGCCGGCCGAGATTTCTGCTGCCGCTGTACTCATCACCTACTGGACCCCAGCAGGACAGACAGATTCCACCTGCACCACTGGTATCTGCAATAATGCTATGTGGGTAGGACTTATGTTGATTGTTGTCGTATGTGACCCTAGTTCCGCTGAAGCGCTCTGTGATGTTGACTTTCAATAGTTCCTTGTCAATTATGCTGGAACCCGTGTGTTCGGCGAGATGGAGTTTTGGTTCTGTTCGATAAAAGTACTATCTTCTGCTCTTTAATCCGAAATACAACAGGCATCTGACAAAAAAGCAGGTCTTGACAATCATCGGTCTCATTATCTCAGGTATTATCATCAGTGCTGGTGGTGGCCCGACTCACGAAGCTATTGGGTTTAAGTTTTGGAATGAAACTGGTGGCTTCCAACAGTATCAAGATATTGGTGAGCCACATCCTAGAAATTTGGAGATCCATGCAATAACTAACATATTTTCATGGCAGGTGGTGCTAAGGGGCGCTTCCTTGGCTTTTTCAGCGGTAGGAGAGTATAAATACACCGTACCTTGCCCCTTTGCTGACAACTTCGCAGTACTAATCAATGCGGCATTTGCCTTCATTGGATCTGAAATCACAGCAATCGCGGCAGCTGAAACCTCCAACGTACGTGCTCTATATAATGTAACATTTTCGAATAGATCTGACTTCGGTACTTTTCATAGCCCCAAAAGAACGTTCCCCGGGCCATCAAGAGCGTCTGGATAAGACTTGTTCTTTGTGAGTTTCCTTTGTCCGATTTAATAATGCCCATACTGATATTAGCAACACGCAGTTTATATTTGCAGTGCTTTTTTAGTAAGATTGCTTGTATTGAACGTGTCCAGACTCTCAACTAACGACATTAGATTGGACTGCTTGTCTCCCCATCAGACCCGTCTCTTGACCTCTCTTCGACAGCAGCAAAAAGTCCCTTTGTCATCGCAATTGTTGTGAGTAATAAGTCATTCCTCTCAACTACAATTAGTGGCTGATGAATTGGGGAAAGAATGCCGGCATCCCCGCTTTGCCATCAATAGTCAACGCTGCCCTCCTTATCAGTGCATGGTCTGCTGGAATCGCTGATCTCTTTGTCTCTACGCGTACACTGTACGGACTCGCTGTGAAAGGGCATGTCCCCAAGATTTTTTTGAAGACCCGTAAAGATGGCTTCCCTTGGGTTTGTTTTCTGTTCTGTGCAGTATTCGCTTTACTCTCCTTCATGGCTGCCGCTTCGGGAGAAGCGGGCACAGTCTTCGGATATTGTAAGGGCAAACCCTTTTCATCAAGAGCTGGTTAGGTTTTAAGGCTAATTATGCAAAGTTTCGAATATGACCGCCATGTGTGGCATGGTCTCGTGGACCGGTATTCTGTGGACCAGCATTCGCTGGCACAAAGGTTTGAAGATGCAGGGCATTGACCGCAAGACTTTGCCATATAGGGCCCCTTTGCAGCCCTATCTGTCTTACTGTAAGTATCCCAATGACATCGGGCATTTGGAATCTTTCTAACTGTTGATACTCTTAGATGGAATCGTAATTACTACCATGGTTATGATTTTTGGTGGCTTCAGTTCCTTCAGTGAGTGCAACTGATCACTATATCTGTTTGATCGGCGTTACTAACTTTCGATCAAGTCCATTCCTTTGATGTCTCTTCGTTCATTACCACATATTTCCCTCTCCCATTCTTCGCCGTGCTTTACTTTGGCTACAAGTTCTGGAATAAATCGAAGATGATTGGCTATACTGAGATGGATTTTGTGACTGGTTCTTCGGTTGCAATACCCGACGACGTAAGTGATGCACTCAGATTGGTGCTGCAAGTTATGTTACTAATACTCGACGGTTTAGAAACTGCCCAAGAGCACTTGGAAAAAGATCTCCGAGAATATCTGAGAAGCATCAAGTGTTTTTCTTTGGTGATAGTGGACGGGACATGTATAGTGGTATTTGTAACCAGAATATTTGCAGCAGATAGTATGTAATTGAATATAATTTCATTCTCAATGCTCGGCTAAAAGGCTAAGGGTGTCCTCGTTGCCATACGATAGACATGTGTGCAAGATATAGTTCCCCAGATAGTACTATTTAGTTAGCCAAAGCCTTGACCAATTCAAAACGGCCAGATAAGGGCCCGGGCGGATCCTCCTTATCTCCATCACGATTCAACAGCCATGATAAGACGCGGCAACAGCCCGATCGGCTGACAGGCCGCATGGGCCGTAAATTCAACAGCGCTATAATTAATCGCACTGACCCTTACCGTGCTCTATATCCGTAACCCCCAACATGGCCAAAATGTTTGATTTAATTATCATAAATGCAGTCATTGTTACTGCCAGTGATATTAGGTACCCAGCTTCCAAAGTTGACCATATTTGAGGTAGTTCAATGAAGCTGATCTAATAAAGTGCATGTTGTATCGGCGTTAAAAATGGAAAGATACGCGCTCTGGTTGACTCGTTCGCTGACGACCAATTATCTGGGGCGGAAGTCATAGATGCTGAGTATGTCGCAGTTAGAGCTTCATGAAGAGAAAGACGATTTAACCCGTTCTTTGTGTGCAGAGGGGCCTATGTAATGCCTGGAGGCATTGATGCCCATGTCCACTTATGCCAAGATTTAAAGACCGGTATGTTATCAAGTTAAAATGTGCAACTTTTGATCCTGACAAAGTTTTCAACAGGACCGCATGGCCTTGGGGGAGAGTGCGCCGACAATTTTGAAACAGGGTCCCTAAGTGCTATTGCTGGTGGAACAACAACTATTATCACCTTTGCAACTCAAACTCGTGCGGAAGAGGACCGCAGTTTGCTCAAGGTAGTTGAAACATACAATTTTATGGCTGAAGAAACAGGTTCCTATGCAGATTATGGATTCCATATTATCATCGTCCGGAATGACCAGGATATTCTCAAAAATGAGCTTCCAGTTCTGGTCAAAGACTGGGGGATCAGTAGTTGCAAGCTCTTCCTGACCTACGAGACCCAGCGGCTGACCGACTCGCAACTGTTGGATGTAATGTTTGAAGCTAGGAAGAATGCCATAACTACGGTGTGTTGTTTCAGTGCCTTGGAATATAAGCCATGCTAATCTTGCAGATGATACATGCTGAGAATGGTGATATGATTCAGTGGCTCACAGGTAAAAAAAAACAAAAAACAGAAACCACGGCTGAGGATCAATATTGATCAGAATGAAGCTGATAGAGATATAGGAAAGCTCGAGGAAAAAGGCATGGTCGGTATGTGCTCATGGAAACACCTTGTCCAATTACAGATCCTTGCTAAGACTAATCAGCGCCTTACTACCACGCTTTATCACGACCCCCGATTGTCGAAGGGGAAGCCACAACGCGAGCAATCGCTCTTGCACAGCTGATTCAAAACCCCATTCTGTTTGTCCATGTTGGATCAGTAGTATGTTGACATCGACTATCCAAATGGGAATTTGTTACTGATGGAAGTAGCTCGGTGCAGCCAACGTCCGCCGAGCACAAACAATGGGACTGCCTGTTTATGCCGAAACATGTCCTCAGTATTTCCATCTGACCTGGAATGACCTAGTAAGTATCCCTGTTCATAAGCAAAAGTGGAACTGAGTGGCCTATTTACTAAGTTGATTTATAGAAACGCTTTCATTCGCCCACCTGTTTTGAAAATAGCAAGATGATTTGCTCTCCACCACCACCACCGAGTACTTCGGATCATGAACAACTTTTTGTGTAAAGTCGAAATCCTCTCTCGCTGAAGAATGAAATACTAACCAACTAAAAGTGGCCTCTCAAATGGTACATTTACCATCTACTCCTCCGATCATTGCCCATTCCGTTATGACCACCCCCACGGAAAGCCCTCGGGTGTCCTTGAACATCCTGAGAGCATGGAAGATGAGACAACCAGCGATGGCCAGGACCTGAAGAACTTATTGGAGCGGAAGCAGGGTGCATTCAAATTCATTCCAAATGGGATCCCTGGCGTGGAGACAAGACTGCCCTTGCTCTATACCGGGGCGCTAGCAACTGGTCGCATCAGTCCCCAGAGATTTGTGGAGTTGACGTCCACCAACCCAGCAAAATTGGTAAGCATAAGATTGAAACGATCCGAAGTTAATTGTGTATTGAACTGGCGTACAGTATGGACTATATCCCAAGAAAGGCGCGTTGATGCCAGGATCCGACGCAGATTTTGTGATTGTAAGAGACCACGCTTGCAAGCAATATGGAAATCTGTTAACCATTCATTGCAACTCTAGTGGCACCCGGAAAAAACTTTTACACCATTCCGTCTACATAACTCTATGCTGCATCATAATGTCGACTGTGAGTGGTATAGGTCTAATTCTTGATGTATAGTGAAGCTAACCGAGTTCCCTGTAGACACTCCCTATGAAGGAATGGAGTTCGTCAACTGGCCTCGGTATACAATTCTTCGGGGTAAGGTGATGTGGGCAAACGGCAGGGTAGTGGGCAAGGTACGGGACGGACAGTATTTAAAGCGTGGGCCAAGCAAATTAAGCCATAAATCCCCCCGTAGTGACAAAGATCCCTACCGCGTGGCGAATTGGCTATATGAATAGCGGCAACATGGCCTACAACGTGGAAAGAATGAGTATCTGACAAAGGTGCTTTAAGCTCTCCATTATCCATATTTTATAATCAAATTCAAGACTTAGAGCCATTTACTGCATTGTTGATCCAGCCAAACGATGTCACTACCCGTGGACAGTATAGAAGTATAGATCAGCCAATCAGGGCTCCGATTGCTTATCAGCCACGCGAAGATAGAGCCCGATAAAGCCCGATAAGCCGCCTACTCGTAATAGTAGCGTTGGGATATCCCTCCAACGTTGATGGATCTTCGAATGCTTCCTCTCCGTTCTTGTCCGGTACACTCGATTCAGTATGTTGGCTCATGTTCCGACCAGATTACCAATCGACAATCCTAACTCAGATGATGAGCACCCGGCCAAGGTGCGCCGCATTTCTCGTGCCTGCTTACAGGTAGGGCATTATCTCTCAAGTGCTACAATGGTCCCATCTGCAATCAACCAATAACAAGTCCTTGAAATTTAGTGTCGCGCTAGGAAGCAACGATGCTTGCCATCCTCCCTGGCAGCCGATCTGCAGGCTCCATGCAAGCGATGTCAGAAATTGTCTATCACTTGTTCCTTTGAAACCGACCGACCACCCTCTATAGATGTGACACAAAGTCCATCACGCTTGGCGCAGTTGGTTGTAGAGCTCCACGCGCAGTAAAGTCAACCGTATTGATATCGAGAAGACAGAAGCTGAGATATTCAACAGAGTTAATCATCATGAAGCCCGAATTCGCGAACTAGAAAGAGGTTCTTTGCTAGGCGAGCCGGGTTTGCCGGACAAGATGAAGAATGGAACTACCAAACCAGAAAACAACAGCCTGATCGCCGAGAGCCCGCAACAATCAGTCTCGCCAAGCCAAACTGGCGCATCTCGTACTCCTGGATCAGCAGTGGATGGCATTGATTTGGGCGCACCCATTGCAACGCTTCGATCACTAGGCGCGCTGGCAACGGACGAATCAAAAACTGAATATGAGCCGACTTTCTTGGCGAAGCCAAGATTTGTCAACACTTTTGATCCCATATCCCAGGGCCTGCTTTCAGTACACGAGTCGCAACGTGCGATTGATATGTGCGTATTTCTCAGCTCTAATTCGACAAACCGAACTTGGACTGATTCCAACGTCCAGATTCTTCCAACACTGTCATCCTTCAGCCCCCGTGCTTGACGAAGACATTTGTTACTCGTGGAATGAACCGGATCGCCACTCCCCAACCTTGATTCTGGCGATATGCTCAGTTGGAACACGATTTTGGAATAATCACATTCGACAGTGAGTCGACCCCATCCAAATACCCGAGCAGACTAGCAAGGACTCATCGCCTAAAGAAGAGCATCAAGGGATGCTAGTCATCCGAGCTTCAACAATCTCACACACTTGCTCGATAAGGCAGTCTCCAGACTGCTTCTCCGGCCTACCCCGTCAGATGTGACCCTGGACTCTATCAGGGTGCTTCTTCTCTATGCTCAGTGGATGCCTTCCGCTCGAGAGGATGAAGATGACCTTGACAGCGGTGAGAATTTGTCTCGCTCACCCAGTAGTCGATACAACGAGATCAGTGCTTGGGCTGTTCTGGGGCTAGCGTTACGATATGCCACTCTGCTGGGTCTCGAGCGGTCAGCTATAGAACCATTTCGTGAGAACACCAAGAATCCTTCCAACTACGACGTGAGTCGGCTGCGAGTATGGTATAATCTACTTACCTGCAACTTCAATTTAATGCTCACCTCAGGTCTTCCTGCGTCGGTTGATCCGGCCTTGTCGGTACAGGTTGCCCAGAGCTTCAGCTCACACAGCAAGACACAGTACCCCGGGGACGTTCGGGTGACTGCACTTGTGGAGCTCGTGGGGTTTGTCTATCGAGCGATGTGCAGTTGCGGCGATATTTCGGGGCGTCGTTTGCGGGCACATAGTCTCCAGAAGTTGAACAAGGAATTGGATTCATGGGAGAGGTAAACGTTGTATTCCTCTACTTCAAAGACAAAGCATTGTTGCTAACTGGCCTGACTAGAACCTGGTTTCCTATCTTGCGTATGTTAGTGTCAATTTTAGCATCATTTTATATTACTGACCACCGTCAGGAAACACCGAATCTCAACATAACCAACTTCCGTTCAACTCTCTTCGAGTACGTCGAAGCTTTTTGTATAAAAAGAACTTCTTTTCAACTGACAACGGCCATAGTGGTATCGACTTTCCTTAAACAGCGCCTCTCTTGCACCATTACTCTCTGCCGCATCACAACCGCCGGAAGACTCAATACAGGTCACACTCCGCCACCCACTAGAAATTAGCGTGACAGCATCAGCACAAATGATACTGTCCTTATCAACCTACGGGGCAGACTATGTCTGGCGACTGGATTCACAGAGTCCCTCAAGCTTCCCGGATGGCCCTTTACATGCCGATCCCGGGTCCATCGGTCGACTTTACTATGCTGTGGACTCAACCTGGATTTCATATACGTTTGCAGCGACATTCTTAGTTATTTGCTACATGAGAGGCATTATTGATGGTCAGGACTCCAGTCAATGTTATTATTTGGGTAATGCTCCATGTCTAACTCCGATTCCATGAAAAGAAAACCTTCAGATATTCCTCCATACTGAAAGCCTCCACACCAACACCACGCGCCTTCCCTCATCTTCCTGTGCGATTTTGACCAGACTCCTCCATCTTGTCCTGGAGATATTCGATGGTGTCTGTCCGACCGCGGCTTTCCATTTCGCTCGTGACTTTCAAGGCATTGTTCGCTATGCCACTTCTCTTGTCATTGTATCTGACCACGACAATACCCAGACTACCGAAGAAGTGAACGAGCTGGCATTCCAGTCTCTTCTGGAATTCATGAATGATTCCGGCGTGGACTGGGCAGGAAGCCTTCTCGGCGAAACAGGCGACTTCACCGAATGGAACATGAACTGAATGTTTGCCGCGTAAAAATGCTTATAGCTTGATTGACCGAGGATTTCTATATATTATACTTGTGATTAGTTCCCACTTGCTTCTTTGATATCATGTTCTTTTCAGATTTCCATTTACTTCTCTTCCTCGATCAATTCAAACAACACGTCCTGAGCACCCTTCCAAAGAACCAATTCCCCAAGGGCACGAAGGTTCTCATTCCCTTCAATGATCGTCAAGAAGTGATTAGCAGCTAGTGAGCCCATCTTGCTTGCAAAAGAGACGCCGCCGTAGCAGAAGAGAAACTCGGTTTCGGAAATACCCCCCGGGTATAAGAGAATCTGGCCGGAAGCCGGATGAGATGTATGGTTTTCAAAGGGAATACCGAAGTCGGTCTCGCCCAACGGAATCCACATTGCCTCTCCGCTCCATCGTACATGGATGAGTTTCTGGCGATATGGGAGGAGTGAAACGAAGAGCTCGACCGTTTTGGGCGCAGCCGACTCGAAATTCGCAAGGAATTGGTACGGGCCAGCAGTGATGCGGACGGTCTTTGCAATTGTCATCCTCGTCTACAGAGAATTTGATTGCACTCGAGCGTTGTAGAAAGCACGCTTCGCTATGCTATGACTGACGCCGTTATCTATGTACTCGGACTCATCGGCTGCGGGCCGCACGGCTATCAAGCCGCGTATAGGCAATCTTATCACCACCCTACTGAGTCCGAGCTTTAAGAGAACCTTTAAAGGTTACTGATTGCACTTTTGATAACATCGGTTGGGAATGTATCTCCATCATGTCTTTAGATCACATGTACATTCGCCAATACGAGCATACCTGCCCTCCCCGGACAGGTTGCGCTGACGTTATCCAAGAAGGCTCGCTCAGCATCAAGCCAGTCTTCCAGTCGGAAGATAGCTCTTTCGGTGCTGAAGTTTTTGGAGTTGATTGGAGCGAGCCTATTTCGGACACTATTGTGGCTCAGGTCAGTCATTGATTCGTATTTTGGGATAAAAATCCGACTAACAATATATCAAGCTGATCGCTTTGCAAGACAAGTATGGAGTATTGATTTTTCGGGAAACAGGTTTGGACAATGCTCGTCACATTGCGTTCTCACAAAAACTTGGCGACAAGCTTGAAATCAATCCTTTCTTCTATGGACGTGAGAACGACCGCCTGGGGGAGCCATTATTATTCGATGTGGCCAAGTAAGTCACGAGTCGAACACCATACAGTTCTACGGTCTAATACAAGTATAGTATCGAGTTGGATGGCTCGTTGGTAAAATTAAACAGTCGTCGCTATCATCACAGTTTGGGAAATGCATTGTGGCATACAGTAAGGGCGAAAAATCATCGGGGGTCCAAATAAATATATCTGACTAGTCTTTCCAGGACTCTTCATATCATCAACAACGCTCAAAATATTCAATTCTTCTCTCCCATGTGGAGGGTGGATCTTGGACTCACTTTGCAGACATGCGCCGGGCCTACAGTGATCTTCCCCAGGCCACGAAAGATCAGATTGAGGACCTTGTAATTGAGCATGAGTGTGTATTCTCCTAGCCCAATCATTCTATCTAGAATTCGCGCTAACAGGGCTAACTAGCCTTTGGCATTCTCGAAAACTAGCATCGCCGGCTGTATTCGGCAAGCCCCTACCTCATGAACTGGCAGCAAAGCCACCAGCATTTCACCGACTTGTACAAGTAGCCCCCGATGGTCGCAAAACATTGTATCTCGCAGCCCATGCTAAGCGAGTCTTGGGCATGGATTTGGAAAGGAGTCAGAAGCTGATTTGGGAGCTTATTGGCCATTGCACGCAGTCCAAGGTATATGGCTCATTTCCAACTTGTCGTTGGACGCTGCTAACTGATCTGTCTTTGAAGTATGTTTTTAGTATGGAGTGGGTGTCTGCCGGTGACATGGTGTGGTGGGATAATCGGTAAGGCTGCAAACGTTTCGCTTGGATTGAGGCATTACTGATGATATCTTCAGACAATCTATGCATCGTGCTAATCCTTACACTGAACATATGACGGCAAGAGATGTGCGTCGCTCTACGATTTTGGATGACGGATCGTTGGCATTTGGTGCTACTTTGGAAGAGCAAGCAGCCGCGGAAAAAGGTGGCGTCAATTGACATACTTCACTTATCTGTATGGATCGATATCCTTACCAGCATGAATGCAATATTTCACCTGGTCAAAGCTAAAAAATATATTTAGCATTAATGTTTGCTTCTTCATTCTGTGGAGCCTAATAATAACTGTATAAAGCTGGAAGTATATCACACTGGATATACATATTTATCGCTCTCGGGTAGTCTTGACTCTTATTGCGAGGCCTAACTACCTATCTTCCCGGTACATAAGAATAGCATTGATCACTGGCAATGAGAATAGAATATCATCTGTAATTCTTTCCCCCGCCTAATAAAGTATTTTTCTTGATCCGAGGTGACAGGATGAGTGTGCATCCATGCGCGGCGGTGAGCCCAGCGGTGCATTCTGCCCGCCCTCTGTAGTTAGCTAGTGAGAGATGGGAGGAAAGGCTTCCTCCCACCACCACCATACCGCGGCAGAATACAGTCGTATCTTCCTTCGTTTCTGTCACTACGTACATGATAACGCATGCCCATAGCGCCCATCACGAGGTTCTTATTCAAGCTAGATTAGTCTGTGCTACATGCGTAGCACATGTACTATACCGCCTCCGAGTCTGGCCACAAATCTGAATAGTCTTCGAATTACCGCCAAACTCTTTAAGGGCTTCATCGGTGTAATACCATCACACGTAAGCTAAGCCCCGAGCCAAATTACATTTATTTACTGTTTTATCTTGTTTTGAGAGACGAGGCGTATTTCGGAGACTATTCAATTTTGTCACCAGAGGGGGTCTACATATATACTTAGGTATATACTTAGGTATATGGCTGTGTATATCTGAATGGCCTAGGCAAGTATAATATAGTGCCCAGGTACATAGAGTGGAGCCGTCTGCATCGGGGAAACTCGATGGAAAGGTCCGGGAGAAATGTTTACCCTATTGATTTGAGTCACCGAAATAGGGTTCGGCACAGATAAAGGCTCCGATGTTTTTCCATTTGGTAGATTTGTAGATTTTGTAAATTTTGCAAATTTTGGTTCTAAGAGTGAATTTGTGTAGAGTGTACCTTTTCTCTAAAGTACTCCAGGTTACATTTATATATACACTGAGGTACATAGATGCATTTCAAGGTACATAGCACTACGTGCATGCCCAACGTCATCGGGTCAAATGGCGTGATCCGAGTATGAAAGCACTCTGATTGGCCACAACCCTCCGACATCGTTAGTTCCTGAACAGCGAAAAAGCGGAAAAACCCAATTCGGAAGGGACGAGGGGCGCTTAGTCATGTCCGGATTTTGACTCATACAAAGTTTGAATTAAAAAATAAAAATTTAAAATAAAAAAAATATGTTATTGCCGCATATGGCCCACTCCCCCCCTCCGCTTTCGCTTCTTTCCCCTCCATTGTGATTCTTATGTTGTCTTTCTTTCTCTGAAGTCGATACGGCCATGGCTTCCCTTAATGCAGATTCTGTGCCTGCTCCGGCCTTACATAGCAATTGGGTTGTGCAAAAGTTTGGCGGTACCAGCGTCGGCAAGTTTGCGCTCAATATCATTGAGCAAGTGGTGCTGTATGTTCATTTGGTTCCATGTTGGCAGCTCGATCGCCAGATAGAGGGATCCCAGAAGAAAGAAACCAGAGAGCAGAAACTAATTACATTTGACCATCTAGACCGAGTCTCGTTGATAGTCGAGTTGCCGTGGTCTGCTCGGCGAGAAGCAATTCTACCAAAGCAGAGGGCACCACCAACCGGTGAGTCACGACCGTACTTTCTTTCAAGGTTGACTTGACCTCGAGAGATCACAATACTACTAGTATACAAATCAACGCAGAACATATCCTAACCATCCCGCTCGATCAGATTACTCCGCGCCGCACGAGATGCCGAAAACTCGCAATCCCGGCACTATGAATCACTCATCGAGGCCGTCCGCCTGGAGCACGTGCAAGTGGTCCAGGAACAATTAAAGTCTGTCGACCTCAAGGAACAAGTCGTGGCCGATATAAATGGAGAATGTGAGCGTGTCCTCAAGGTCCTCGAGGCCGCCCAGACCTTGGGAGAGATCAGTTCTCGTTGCATCGATAAAGTGATGAGTACTGGTGAAAAATTAAGCTGTCGTCTCATGGCCGCCTTCCTGCAGGATCGGGGAGTTGATTCACAATACGTGGATCTGGCCGATATAATTGATTTCCCCATTGGCAGCCATGGCCTAGACCAGACCTTTTATAATAGCTTAGCCACCAATCTTGGGAAAAAGATCGAGGCATGCGGACATCGTGTACCTGTGGTGACCGGATACTTTGGCACTATCCCCGGTGGTTTACTCGACCAGGTGGGCCGTGGTTACACCGATTTATGCGCAGCCCTCGTGGCAGTGGGAACCCACGCCAAAGAGCTTCAGGTATGGAAAGAAGTGGATGGCATCTTCACCGCAGACCCTCGCAAAGTGCCCACTGCTCGCCTTCTCCCGACCATCACCCCGGCTGAAGCAGCTGAATTGACCTTCTATGGATCCGAGGTTATTCACCCCTTCACCATGGAACAGGTTATTCGAGCAAAGATCCCCATTCGCATCAAGAACGTGATGAACCCCAGGAATCGCGGTACCATCATCTTCCCCGACAGTGTCGCGGAACTCGACCGACACACCCCGGGCCATGACCCGCGATTGTTCCGCACCCGCAGTGCCAGCATGATGCAGAAACCGAAGCGGCCCACAGCGGTCACTATTAAGCATAACATCCTGGTGATCAACGTTCATTCGAACAAGCGGTCATTATCCCATGGTTTCTTTGCCGGAATTTTCTCCGTGCTGGACAAGTGGCGCCTTTCAATTGATCTGATTTCCACCAGCGAGGTCCATGTGTCCATGGCCTTACATTCGGAGATGCCCTTATTAAATGGCAATGGGCGCGATGATTACCAAGTCATTGACGATGACTTGAAGGGCGCATTGAACGACTTGAGCAAGTACGGCATGGTGGATATCATCCCCGACATGGCCATTCTCAGTCTAGTCGGCAAACAGATGAAGAATATGATTGGAGTGGCCGGGCGCATGTTCACTACGCTCGGCGAGAACAACGTCAATATCGAGATGATCTCGCAAGGTGAGTCAATGATTGAGATCCCCTCTTCCTCCTCCCCACATTGACACCCACCTCCAACACCCCCCTCACATGATATGGCCCTTGAAACTGACCAGCACCTTTTCTTTCCCCCCTGCAGGTGCAAGTGAAATCAACATCTCGTGTGTCATTGAAGAACGCGACGCGGATCGTGCCCTGAATATCATTCACACCAGCATGTTCACCTTTCTAGAATAGAGCGTTTCAGTCGCGGACGTGCATTGTCATTTGAGATATCCCTTCCGGTGCTTTTTTTCTTCTTTTTTTTCCGGGTTATATTTTCATCCCCGTTTTATTATATTTCGGCCTCTCATATGTTCTTCCCCCCTTTTTCTCTATGGGATTTTCTTTTTCTTTTTGCGGGTGATAGTAAAAAGTTGGCGTGCATTAGCGCCCCCTTCACTGCTTCGGGGTTTACTCGGTCTTGGTCTACTTAGGGGGAGTCCCCAGGGCTTACTCCGAACTTCCGAACATCTTCGTGATATACACCCGATACACCATGATGGACCTCATGTTGTGTTCATTTTAACTTATTTTATTTTTTTGACTCACTGCATGGGATTGGCGTTTTGCGCAGCAATTTATAGAAGTGTTTCATGATTGAGAAAAAAGCGTCTCATATATGTTATGTCATTATATCTATGAACCTTTAAATCTATGTGATCTCTGCAAGGGCATTTTTCCTCTTCCTGAATAATTCCTGAATAGTTCGTATATGAGAATCCGAGGGACCCTCGAGGCGATCATTGAATATGACCGACAGAGTGCACGGGGATTATTCTAGGAGACCAATGGTGGGCGATCAAGGGATAAGGGCGACGCAGCCACCGTCTCAGATGTTACATCCTGCATGCCAGACAGGCGGGAGTTGATTCCGGACAGGAACAAGAAGATCCCGGGGGACATCGGAGTACAAAGAGCGGTATTAGATGAGTTACTGTACGTATGTACATGTAGAGAATAGAAAAAGTAAGATTCGAAGCACGAAGTGTTGATAAATATTCGGATTGAATCTCACCCAGTCGATTCCCGTATACACCGTATAAAACTCAAAAATGCGCATCAGGTTTTGTACACTTCATCCGGTGGAGCCTTTTGCTATTAGCGTTGCAGGAGACTACCACCAACTACCAACGGGAGCCACATTATTACGTCGATCAATGGTCGATTAGCATGCCGAGCAAGGGCCAATCCCTGTATCCAGCCTGCATCATCCACTCTGGTATTGTCAGACAATTACTGGATATATTACCACAATACAAGTACTAAAACGCGCGACGCGTGAAGAGGTATACCACCCCATTACCTGTATCGATCGAAGTACCAAGCCTCACCCCAATCTCTAGGATCAAGCATCTATCATCCTCCTCTTCCCCCCCACCTCTCCAGGGCTCCAAATGATCTTTTTGAGTTGAACCTCTGCTTTCCAAAAAGGTTGTCTCTGTACACTGGTGATAAAGACGGGAGACAAAAGGGACCTGACGTCCAGCTCTAGGAAACATTTCCTCGTTTGGCCTGTCTTCTCTCTTTCTTTCTTTCTCTCCTCTTGCCTCTAATTTGAAATCTCCATCCACACCAAAATTGAACAAAGAACTTTTGAACAAAGAATCCCTTCCATCAACTGCCCTAATCGTCTGAACCGTGACCCTTTTGATCTTTTTTGTCGCCATTGACTGGTGAATCTTGATCTACCCATCTGTTCCTTCCGCCTGGAAATTCTGTATTCTTCCAACCCCATCTTTATTTCGTCTCGAAGAGGAAGTGCTCGTGGTGATTTCCTGCAAGTTGCCTTGATTCGCTCTCGGCTCATATTGGACGTGTCTGAGCCGTCTTAGCGCCTTGTGGCCCAACGATTACGATTTCCAACTAGTCGCGCTGCATGACGGCCTGAGGCTGACTGATCTTCATCCTCTTTGGCTTTCTGATTGGTCCAACAAGAAGTCCTTGACAGCCAGATCCCTCGGCGCTGACCCCATCGGCTGCGCTGTCCCCGACTTTTGCGTACCGCACTCCTGCACCCGGAGAAAGTAGAGCGATTCGTGCTGAACGTCTGAAAAAAAGAAAAAGAGAGTGTTTACGACGCGTCATATGGTCCCTATCGGTGACTTGTGACGTCCATTTCTCTGTTCTGTCTATCAAAGACTATGGGATCGACGCGTCCGGCGCCCGTCGCGCACAATTCCCCGACTCTGGGCCCATTTGCAAATCAATCCATTAAATCGCAGCCCCGTCTTCAACCTTCACCGCTACCACTTCAACCCATCGAAAACTCATTCCAGCCGTTGTCTCGGGGCCCGCACAGGCCATCGCCGACAAAAGGTGTGCCCACACAGGGTACGCACCCTGGGCGAAAACTCGGTTTCGTCCCTATCTCTGCCCCGGCGCCTCCCATGTTTACCACCGACTCCCCCACGAAGAAACCATCCTTCCCCATTTACTCTCAACCCTCGATGCCACAGTCTGCTCTCTTCACCACTTTCTCCAGTGTTAATCCCGAATCTGCAAAGGAGAACCTCAACCCCGAGGATCCATCCAATGGCAGCTTTGCTGACTTTCCGGAACCTTCATATGATACTAAGCTTCCCATGAAGCGAACCCTCATGGATGCCGCTCCATTAAGAGAGCGCTCCGTCAAGAGGCAAAAGCGCGAAGAAGCACCATTACATCACTTGCCCGAACCCCATGAAATGCCTCCAATTGAAGATGACGGTACCAAGCCGCCATATAGTTACGCGACATTGATTGGGATGTCCATTCTCCGTGCGCCTAATCGCCGCCTTACACTGGCACAGATCTACAAGTGGATATCCGACACATTCTCCTACTATAAAAACAGTGATCCGGGCTGGCAAAACAGCATTCGACACAACCTCAGCTTAAACAAGGCGTTCATCAAACAAGAGCGACCCAAGGATGACCCTGGCAAGGGCAACTACTGGGCAATTGAACCTGGCATGGAGATTCAGTTCCTCAAGGACAAGCAAGTGCGACGTGCAACCATGTCTAGCTTGCCTCTCCCTGCAGTTCCTCAACGTGACCTCATCCCTCAACCGCAAAGCTCAGCGACAACGACATGGATGGTTCCTCCGCAACTCACCCAACAAGCCCCACCTCCCAAGGTCTCCTCACAAAATGTGGACTTGTCTTCCGATGCCACTCTACCAGCATCTGACCCTGCTTTGCAAGATGATGCAGATGAGGTCGTTCCCATCAATGTGCACCATACAACGAGACCAATGCGCTCATCGCCACCACAGAATATCCGCTCTTCCCCTCCAATCGCACCCCCTCGCTTCGCTCGCCAGGGAACTCCTCCTACCCCTACTCAAGCTGGGCCCACACCAGCCCCTCGTCCACGAAAGCGCAAGTCGATACAGATGAATGATTCCGGCTACTTCTCATCTCTTGAATCATCTGCATTAAGGCCGAATAAGGCTAGCCACATTCTCACATCCGACCTTGACATTGAGCCCCCGCGCATTAAGCGTGGTCGTGCTGAAGAGGAAATTGCGCGAATCCGCAGTTCATCTCACGACATCAGTCCTGGTCAGCCCGTTACTCGAAAAGAGCACAAGACTCTCGTGGGGTCTTCGCCGCTTCGAGGGGAATATGTCAGTATGCTACCACCGCCATTGACTCCTATGATCAAGTTCAAGAAGCCAGCCAAGCCTCCGCCATCAGTTTCCCCAAACACAAACTTGCGCAACCATCGGCGCAAGATTCAACAAATGGTGAACTCACCAATTAAGCACTTGGGGCTAACAGACGACGATTTGCCTTGGAGTCCTGCCTTCAACCTCCATGATGAATCTTATACGCCTCATGATCATTTCCACACCAGCTTTGACATTTTCGCAGAACCAGGCCCTGAGCACATGTCATCAGCTGCATATGGTTCTCCCGAGAAACGTTCTGTGAAGCGCCAACGGACTGACAGCGGAAACACGGCTCTCGCTGATATCACTTCAGTCAGCGTAAACAGTCGTGCTGGTATTCCGTCTCTCACGAGGTCCAAGTCGGCTATTTTCCCAGACTCCCCGTCCAAGCTCCCCGAGATTGGACGTCTTAGCGACACCAACCAAGATGACTTCTTCTCCTTCCACCTTTTTGACGAGAGCAATGATAGTTCTGGCGAAGTGGACGGTGTTGATCTTCTGCAAGGATTCCAGAAAATTGGAGGACCTGCTAAAGACGACATGCTGAAACCGAAGGCATTGCACCCTCGTCCTGGATTGAGTAGTCGCAGCAACACTACTCTGTTTTGAAAGGTCAAAACCTCCCCTTGGAGATTTGACTTTGAATGTTTATGATTTACTTAAACCATGGGGTACCAAGAGTGACCCCGTCCCATACATGCGTTGTTTAGGTTCCGGTGTTTTTTGTTATTGTGTTTGAACCAGTGTTTATTCTTCTTTGAGTGCCTTTCCACTGGATGTAACCCCATTTTGTTTATCCGTTGTTTTCCTCGCCCCTTTTTGCTTTTTTTTCTTCTATTCCTTCTCTTTATTATTGCGTTCTGGACCACGGAGTTGGTACTTTCTGGATGTTACCAGGTTTCGGTTGGGTGGTGTTTTCGTTTGGGAGTTCTTGGGCTGCGCTATGACGCCGGTTCTAATTGTTCCTTTTACCACCGAGCCCAGGATGGCCTGGTCACGACCTTAATGATGATGCTAAGATGTACATGAGCAAGCGATGGTTTTCATGATTCGGGATTATTGGGGTTGTGATTTTATCTTTTTACGGACACCCTGCGAGAAAAACAGGCAACATGGGAGGCGCTATGGATTAGTGTAGCACAATTTGATTTTGAAATGTTTGATTACTAGTATACCTATCTACTGTCTACTTGTCTACCAAGCTGTAATTCTTCTTTCTTCTTCCTCTCTGGTAATATCGATGGGTATCTGATTGACTGATTTAATGTCGTGAACAAGATAATAAAGAATGGAAAAGAAAAGAAACTAGAATAGAAAATGGCATCAATGCAAAGACCCAAACGCCACCATGGTACATAACCCAAAATCAAAATATGAGAGTAGAGCTGGATAGAAATGATTTTTCATGTCCATCCATCCTCGATGTAGTCTTCCTCACGTCATATCCTGCTTTTTATTTTGTTTTGTTCTCCCAACACTCCCAAGGTTCCCTCCTAATCACTGCTTCCACAGCCCCGGCATCCACAGCTGACACATTGAATGTTCTCCCCATCTTTAAGTTGGGCTTTGGGCACTCGGCAGATGCAGGTCGAATTGAAATTGGTCTCTTTCGTCTGGACACAACGGAGACAACACAACTAAGTTACAAAAGAAAGTTAGTAAGCTTCCCTCCAATACGATGTCGTATTATGCCCGCTAGAAACAAAAAGAAAATAAAAGTTGACGAACCTTCTCATAACCCTGCTTCTTCCACTTAGCAATCAGGTTTGCATCGGCATATTTGTTCTTCAGCAGCCAGTCATATAACTGCTTTGAGATGGCTTCTTTCTCATAGTAGAGATCGTAGATGTATCGTGAACCTAAGTAACGAAGAAAAAATAATTAGCGTCAATTTTCTGGAACATGGTCCTCATTTTGGCAGGGACAGGAGGGGCAAACTGCAAGTGTTGCGTTGCGCTGAGTTGAGTTACGTTGCGTTCTGTACTTACGTTGGTGACTGATTTGAAAGATAGGCCAAAGTACCTCGTACTTCTTCTTTCCTTCATGAGGCTCATTCTCGGCATCCTTCATCTTATTACTGAACTCCAGCAAGGTATCTTCTATGTCGTCGAAGCCGGCTGGCGGCGGTTTGCGATTGCGGGCGCTGCGAATAGGCGGCATGATGTCGGTGTTGACTATATGTAGAGACTCGAGGACAGAAAAACAGAAAAACAGAGACCCCCGCGATCCTTTGAGCAGAAGACGAAAAGAAAGGGAACAAGGAAGAAAGCTGGGGAGAGGAATAGGTAAGAGTAATCGACATTGTCAACGCCGCATGAATCGTCATTTTTGTGCCGACTGTCACCGCCTTCGATTTTGCGTTGCTGCACTTCAGCTTTCTATTCATCATATACAATATACGGTTCTCGGCTCCTCTTACCTTCCACCTATCATATACTTTGTTCTCAACTTTAGTCTTCGAAATGGACCCTCAGACTCAGCTGGAGCTCTCTAAGCTCAACGATGCCGATAAGAAGGAGCTCAATCAGATCCTAGCCAATGAGGCGCAGAAGTCCAACATCCAGCAGAGTAAGTTGCAGCACTCGATCGGACCCGATACCAGATCAACGAGACAATTGATTTCATACGACATACTTAATGAATTGGTTCAATTCGATGAGACTAATTCATACTTTCAACAATAGTGGTTCACCAGCTTAACGACGTTTGCTGGAAGAAGTGCGTCACCGGCAGAATCACCTCCAAGACTCTCGACCGCAACGAAGAGGCCTGCGCAGCTAACTGCGTTGACCGCTGGATGGACACTCAAATGGGTATCCTAAAGCAACTCGAGAACATGCGTGGTCACTAAGCTATGCCATGCTAAACGACATAATTCCCGATCCCCTTCCATCGCTTCATCCGCTTTCGCCATTCCTCCTACATCTCGTGCTTTGGATCTAATTCAATCCACTACAACTATCTCCGCTTCTAGCAGTGGCCCATGTACTTAATCCATGTTGGAATAGTGGATTTGTGTTTCTGCTGTGGATATGTTTTCATTGTTCCGATTCTGTCGTGACGGTGCATGTGCATACCGGGACTTACTTGAGTTAGGTTGAGATGCGCTGCGGTATGAGTCGCCTGTATACTAGAGTTAAAATGAATGAGTTCCTGTGTATAGTTATGTTTCTTTTTTCTTCTTCTTTTATTACATGGATCTTGTGCTTTCTTTTGGCTTATTTCAAGATAGGAATGGCCGGGTTAGTTGTGTTGGATAGATGAGGTACTTGGCATAGACGCGTATGTATGCTAGAACATAGTCTCAATAGTAAATGAGAAGTCAAGTCTGCTGTACTCTGACATCTGTCAATAGCAATGCGCCTCGTGTAAGAACCTATTAAAATCAAACAAAGTATTATAATGTGCATTATTTTCGTGCCCATAGTTCACGGTCGTATAGTTCACGGTCGAGCCTATCAAGTTTTACATGCTGTAGTAGACACAAGTCAAGCAAGGCATGATACTACGTCTTGAGCCATACAAAGCGGCAAGAAAAGCTACAGACTACCGAGGGAAGGTAGTTAGAATGCATAAGAATCCATACAAGTCATAGGTGATCGTATCAGAAAAGTTTCTTTTTTAATCATTCAGCCCTCGTTGCTGCACACACAGCCAAGGAAACTGGCTGGTATAGAGAATCACCGCGGTGAAAACAAAGTTCGCCCAAACCCAAAGAAATCCCATTTCTTTTCTTCCCTTAGACAATAGCCAGCTTGGTGGCGGCGATGTCAAGAGCATCGACATCAGGAGTCAAACGGGCGAAAGCCTTCTTGGAACCGTCGGGGCTATAAATGTATTAGTGATTGCTGGTTTTGCCGCGACATAGGAACTTGGTATTTTCAAGTCCGGGGCCAAAGATTGATAACTTACCGGACCAGGGTGTTGACCTTGACGGTGTCAACGTCGTACAGCTTCTTAAGAGCACCCTTGATCTGGCGCTTGTTGGCCTTGACATCAACAATGAAGACGAGGGTGTTGTTCTCCTCGATCTTCTTCATGGCGCTCTCAGTGTTCAGAGGGTAGAGAACGATCTTGTGGGCGTCGAGGACGGGCTGGTGGGGAATCGACACACGGGGGTACTTGGGAGACCGCGAGAGCTGGAGGGTCTTGGGGCGGTGGAAGGTGGTCGAGGTGCGAACCTTGCGGGACTTGTGAAGCTAAATTTCCCCAGAATAATTAGTATACCATTGCATTCGAATGTAGTGTCTTTTTTTCAGTTCATGGATTTCAGAAAACGTACGGAAGAACCCTTCACGACTGCCTTGGCAGCAGCGTTAGCTATAAAAAACTGTTAGTCTACCGAACATGATTCTCTTGTGTGTGTGTGCGGTTTCGATATTGCGAAGTGGGTTGCAGTCGGAGAAAGATTGTGTGGCTCCCAAATAACAATTTCAGGAAGAACAAGACGAGGAAAATTTGCTTCGGACGTGATCGCAGGTGTTGATAATCGATGTTGAATCCCAATAGTCTCTTATAATCCCAGCTCTTCCCTGTAGCCTCTTTTTTTTCTTCCCGGGAAACTTTTTCGATACAATATTGAAATATTGTCATTGATGCCACACAATCCCTCCGACACACAGTTTCGTCGCAAAATCGCTGTTTGGTATGTTCATATCATAAACCGCAGGCTGTATAACATACCTTGCTTGGTGGTAGGGGCCATGGCTGTCGTCTCCGCTGTCGTGATGATTGTCGCAGTGTCGAGAGTCGAACAATTCAAAGTGGCTTCGCTAAGCGAAAACCCTACCACTCTGTGGGTCAGGTGATTGCTGACTGATCCTGTGCTTAGTCACACTCCGCATCCGATTTTATTTTATTATTTTATTTTTTGATTATCAAAAGGGCATTGGAGATAGACAGAAATCTCCACTTCTGATGATATTTTGATGATCATGTCACCGTCGCCAATTCGGGAATTTTGAAAACTTGTTGATCCCCACCAGCACATATCAATTCTGAGAAAACCATGCCTCCCAAGCGTCGGTCTAAGCGCCCGGGTCTCCTTTCTAGTACTCGGCCGCCAACAGTCAAATCCAAGCATGCAACATTATCAGCCAAGGCTACCAGAACTCTTATTCGCTCTCATCACCAGCTTATGAAGGCGCGAAGCCAGGCAGAGAATGCAGGAGATGATGCTCTGGTGAGCAGTATTAATGCCCAAATAGAAGCCAATGGTGGCTTGGAGAGCTATCAAATTGCTAGCAAGATAGGCCAGTCAGGAGAAAGAGGTGGCGATTCTAGCAAAACTCTCGTAGACTGGATCAAACCCGAGCTCAATCAATGGGAAACAACTCTTCCTAAACTGCGAGTACTTGAAGTTGGGGCTTTAAGTACGAAGAATGTTTGCTCTAGAACACCTTCCTTAGAGGTGTCTCGCATCGACCTAAACTCTCAAGAACCAGGTATCCTGAAACAAGATTTCATGGAACGCCCATTGCCTTCTACAGAGGAAGAAAGATTTCATATCATCAGTCTCTCATTGGTGCTTAACTATGTACCGGATCCCGTGGGCCGCGGCGATATGCTCAAACGCTGTGTACAATTCCTGACTTCCAACTGTCCCATCTCCCTTCCTCCAACTCTCTTTCTTGTCCTTCCAGTGGCCTGCGTGGATAATTCACGCTATCTTACAGAAGAAAGACTTCTCGCCATCTTGGCCAGTTTGGGCTTCCATCTCGTACAGAGCAGGCGGACTTCGAAGCTGATCTATCAATTATGGAACTATACGGGTGCCTCTTCCCCCCAGACTTTCAAGAAGGAAATGCTCCACCCTGGCCACAAGAGAAATAACTTCGCCATCATCATGGGCGACAGCTGAACATGATCTTCTGCCAAACCAAACCAATTGCTGCACAACACAACGATTTATCATTTGGCCGAAATCATGTCTTGAGGCAAGAATGCCCAAACTGTTCCCACCGCCGCCAGGATTGTTGAGCTAATGAGCAGAATCCAGTCCAGGATGCGCTCATTTCGGCTTATCTCCTTCCCGAATATTTTCAGATAAAACGCCAGAGGCAAAATGATGCAAATGGTGAAGCACAGGAATGACCCGAGGAAGGCCATGATTCTGTCGAATGCCGGGAATATCACGGCAAGAACGACAATCGAAATCACCGTCAAAACTCGAATTAATACTCGAATGAATGCTAGAGTTCCCTCTCCGCGTGAAGACTGTGCATTTGGTCCAACCCCGCAAAGCACTTCGAAGGTGGCTACTAATGGTCGGGCACTAAGTTTCTGTCAGTAATTTGGCGCAGGGCGAGCGGGCATTGGAAACTCAACTCACTTCAGTGGCACCTTTGTTAACGGGATTATGGAGATGAAGACGATGATGGCAACGGACACGAGCTGTGGATATTCATCTAAGCTGAGAATATTGGCTGTGACCTCGTCGCGAACGATATCACCAAACATAAGCCAACCGATGACTGCCATGGACGAATCGAGAGAAAACTATGGAAGTCTTGTTAGATTCTTTCCCGGGGTTTTGCATCTTGTTTAGATAATCGCTTTTACATACTGTAAATAAATATGTGACCCACAGACTCTTCGCATATTTCTTAGGATGTCTCATGTCGCGATAAATATTAGGAAAGACTCCATGACCACCCCAGGGTGCTGTAAAGTCAAGTCAGCTCTCTGCCATAATGCATCTCTCGTATGAATTCGCTCTTACCCATAATTAAACCAAAGCTCAAAGGGACTGTAGCCCAATTTTGGGGAAAGAGATATGTATTCGCGGGCTGTTGGAGGGAGCCTGGGGAGTCAGGTTTGATCAAGCCATCAACGCATATAAGAATAACGACTATAGAAGGGGTTAAATTCTGTTCTTGCTCACGAAAATGACTTCTTGGTCTGGTAAGTACTTACTAGATGTGCATGATATAATGCCCAAAATGCTGGTTACACTGAGTAATCGCAGAGGCAGGAAATTCAACGGAATCAAAACCACTCCACACACTATTTTCCATTGGAAAATGCTTAGGCCAGGAATCAACGCATATAAACTATCAGCAAATAGCACCACGAGCGCCACACACGCTCCTAGTAATTCCAAACAAAAGAGAAAACTCGTCACTAGACGAGCCTGATGTCCGAAGCTAATATATGCGAGATCGGCATATGTGACAATACTCCGATCCGCGTCAAGGCATTTAGCCAGTATTCTGGCAGTATAAGCTGTGCAAAAAGCCGAGTAGATAAGAAACAGAAGACCGATCAACCACCCGGAATGCTTCATAGCAAGTGGAAGACTAAGTAGCCCAACTCCGATTAGCACATTGACCGAATTGAAGATAGTCTGCGGCACGGTAGATTGACCGACTATAACATCTTCGTACGTTCCGTCTTCATTCTCGACATGCTTGAGGAGCAGAGGTTCTCGATCGGGATGTCCTAAAGCTTCCGCCCGGGCCTGTTGCTCTCGGTGGAACTGAATAGCATTCCGCCGGGTGGACTCACTCACTCGAGATGATATTGACCCGTACGAAGCAGCAAAACTTCTCTCTGGGGAGGAGGCAAGAAGCCCCGTAGTTGGGAGGGCTCTCCTAGGACTCGCGTTTGTATGTGTAATATAATCCTGCTCGTCGTCTTCCTCGTCCTCCTCGCCGTCTGATCTGTGGCGTGAGACTCTACTGGCATATCCTCCACCCGTTGCGATATCGAAGTCATCGTCGGAGTCAACTGAAACAAACGAAGAACGACGCGGTATCACTTCGGGGAAACCAGCTGCTCTTTGCCATGAGCGAGCAAAGTTATCAATGCTATTCGGACCACCTGCTTGTCGAAATCGGGAGAAAGAGGACGATCTAGAGAAGCTGTATCAGTACACAGCTCTGTGGGAAACGCAAGCTTGATGTTCGACTTTGACGAAGGAGGCTACCTTTGTCGTTGCTGTCCTTCTATCTCGACGATTGGACTTCCTTGGGTCCAGCGTGGAGGTTCATACGAGCTTGACGCAGCGAAATTCGAGGGGCTTGGAGTTGTTCCGGGTTCTTGTTGGTCTTCGGCGACCCGGGAAGACATTTCTTTCGCCAGTTAAGCCCGCAAAGATTCCGCAGCAGTTTGAGGTGAAATCAGGGGGATTTCTCCAATATCTCGAAGTCAGGAGGCCGGAGAATAACTGAAAGGAATTTCTGTATCTCTGTCCAGATGTTATAAGAGCAGAGATAAGGCGCGGGTTGGTGATCGGAATTGCGCAGACGAAGCTAGCAAGCTCGGGTGTGGGGTTGGCAAGCCTTGATAAGTAAATGCCCTGATAAGACGACGCCGAGTTAAACCGAAACAGGAATAATTGATTCCTTACGGATTTGAACATAGATAAGAAACTATGACTTATGAATTGCCGTGAAACCTAGAATAGACTGCAATATTTCCGGACTGGCAGAATAAATAAAAAAGCATCCGGGGTACCCACAAGTGTACATATGTACTATGTAGGCTAGCTTATGGGGTAAGATATCTGTCAGACGAACTTCAACCTCAAGTCAACCTTGGAACCTAAGTCTAATTTCAATCCCATCATAATCCATGTCTCCAAGTTCCACTCCTAACCCCGGATCCTCTGGTTTGCGGAGTATTCGCCTATCTCAATACATTTTTGGTATCCAGGCAGTCCCACTACTGGCTAGTGGGATCTATACACTACTCCGGCCGAATGCGATCGCCAGTCTTGCGAACTCCCCTTTTCAAGGAATAGACACTGGAACAATCCAGGCAATCAGGTACTTCAGGGCCTACAATACTTACTCTATTTGAAAAGAGAACTAATTTATTATTTATCAGCTTAACATCCATAGCCTTGGGGGCCTGTCAAACCATTGCGGCATACCAGAACAATATCCCCATGATGCTTGTGACAGTACCCGGAAGATTGCTAGGGGCCTTTGTGTTTCACCGGAGTGGTGGAGAGTGGCGCAAAATGGCACCTTTCGAGGGAGTCATGGGAGTGCTTATAGCGATCGGGGTATATTGGACGTGGGATACAGAGCGGGCAGACAACGCAAACAAAGAGGATCGGAAAGACTAGGAAAGATATCTATGTCCACGGGTATTTACAAAGCCAACAATGTATCCAACTCATATATCAATCGTAAAGAAATCCTTGCATAGTATGTGGCCTTCTTTAATTTTTTGTATATATGCAGTGTTAGGTGGTATATAGGCCGATTTCGGGCATAGGTAGGACAACCAGACCAGGATAGTTTCAGGTGGCGCAGTATGGAGGAGATCATCATGCAAAGATCTTATTACGTACATTACAGTACATACAGCCATAGATAATGGTCGTGGCTAGTATGGACTACGCCGAACTCCATAGACTAACAAGAGAGGAGAAAGGCACTGCTCATTATCCAATGAACTATGATATCCATGAATTCATTCATTGTATTTTTAGACTTGCGGTTTCTTTATAAAAAAAATTAAGAAAATTAAAAAATTTAAATAAAATGAAATTCCCGTGGCGCGCGTATGTACTGAATACCACCAAGACTGCCCCGGATCCCACTTCACCGACAAGTACCCGGTACAACGTCACCCGCGTGCCCTGGCCCAAAAACTGGCTTACCTCAGCCCACCGAACCCCTCCACGGTGCCTGAGGAAATTTGCTGTCGGACTCTACGTCAACCAGCAAGGTCCGTGTCTTCAAACCCCCCCCTCCCTTTTTGCACTGAAGTCTTCTTATTCGGAGGCAGTCATTGACAAGGTCCTAATTGAAATCGTTTTTACAGGCCTGAAATCACGTTAAGGAACCCAAATCTTTGTTCCTTCGGCCCCATTTTGAGCCCGACAGGCGTCGACAGGAAGGCCGACCAGTTTTCCCTTTGGTGGTAGTCCACCCTCGCCTTACCCAAAATGAGCTCCAACCAGCAAGAAACCGATGTGGAGAAGAACATTGAGATATGGAAGGTTAAGAAATTGGTCAAGCGTCTGGAATCTGCCCGCGGAAATGGAACTTCCATGATTTCGCTCATCATTCGTATGCTTTCCCGCCTGATACCTGTCAACTTTTCTTTTCTGCGGTCAAAATACAGATTTCAGCAACAATGCGCTAATGCTTTATAAAGCGCCCAAGGACCAGATTTCTCGAGCGGCAAAGATGTTGGCTGAAGAATATGTGAGTTCCCTTAGTCTCTTTCAGTGACCCCCACCATGCTGATAAAATACAATCCAGGGTACTGCCTCCAACATCAAGTCTCGAGTCAACCGTCTCTCCGTCCTCTCTGCCATTACCTCCACCCAGCAGCGTCTGAAGTTGTATAACAAGGTCCCTCCAAATGGTCTTGTGGTGTACTGTGGTGAAATTATCACCCAGGAAGGAAAGGAGCGAAAGATTAACATTGACTTCGAGCCCTTCAAGCCCATCAATACCTCTCTGTACCTTTGTGACAACAAATTCCACACAGAGGCTTTGAGTGAGTTGCTGGAGTCGGATCAGAAGTTCGGTTTCATTATCATGGATGGTAACGGTGCGCTCTTCGGTACCCTGAGTGGTAACACTCGTGAAATCCTGCAGCGTCTCTCCGTTGATCTACCCAAGAAGCACGTAAGTTTTCAACCGAGTAGCGGAATATTTCCAAATTTCCATTTTACATAATCAGGTCACTAATTATTTTGTTCCCAGGGTCGTGGTGGTCAATCCGCGCTGCGTTTCGCCCGTCTACGTGAGGAAAAGCGTCACAACTACGTGCGTAAGATTGCTGAATTGGCTGTTCAGAACTATATCACCAACGATAAGGTCAACGTAGCTGGTCTTGTTTTGGCTGGTTCTGCCGATTTCAAGAACGATCTGAACCAGTCCGATCTATTCGATGGTCGTCTCCAGGCTAAGGTTATCAAGATCGTCGACGTTTCATATGGTGGTGAGAATGGTTTCAACCAAGCTATTGAGCTTGCCGCTGAGACTCTGAGCAACGTCAAGTTCATCCAAGAGAAGAAGCTTATTGGCAAGTACTTCGAGGAGATCAGTCAAGACACCGGCAAGGTTTGCTACGGTGTCGAGGACACCCTGAAGGCCATGGAGCTTGGTGCTGCCGAGATTCTGATCGTCTACGAGAACTTGGATGTTACTCGCTACCAGCTGAAGGCCTCTACTGGAGAGGAGGTTATTGTCAATGCCACCAAGGCTCAAGAAGCCAACAACCGGGAGATGTTCATGGACAAGGAGAGTGGAACCGAGATGGAGGTTATCGAGTCCACCACCTTCATTGAGTGGCTTGCCGAGTCCTATAAGGACTTCGGTGCCACTCTGGAGTTCGTGTCCGACCGATCTGGTGAAGGAAACCAGTTCGTGAAGGGCTTTGGTGGAATCGGAGCCATTCTCCGATACAATGTCAACTTCGAGCAACTTGCCGACTACAGCGACGACGATGAGTTCTACGATGGTATGTGATTAATTTATTCTAGTCGTCGTTCTGGTTCAATTACTAACATTTCTCTTTCATAGATTGACGGCTGAGCGCCCTCGCAGAGAGCGAGGATGAATGGCCAGAAGCTCCCTCGGTGAGTGTTCTGACGGCTCGCCCCGTGGATCATGAAAGTGGCTCCGAAACTGGAATCCAGACATCCGTAAAGGATATCTTCGACACGCCCGTTCCAAACTTCATGAAGCTGCCCAGAGGTATGTCGTTTCTTTCAACATCCCCTTCACTTTCCTCCAACAAATTCTGGGATCTAATCTTCTAACAGGGTCATCCAAGCTCTAACAAACACGCTGAGGTTACCTCAGTGATTGAGATGAATTTAAGCCGTAAATTGCAATTTTAAAGGTTGGATGCGATTCTCTGCAACCGTCAGTCTCCCAATTGCCGCCTGTTTCTACTGTGCGTAGGCGAGTCGAGGCCTTGTTTCTCTTCAGGGCCCTGCTCGTCGCGGTTGTTCCAGAATGGTTCATTTTGAATATTGCTCTTTTACTTTCCCTGCACTCGCTATAGTCTGAAAAATGAATCGAAATACATAAAATGGAGAGGCACTATATCCGATGGTTATGTAGACGAGATAAAAGTCTTGATAGATTTTGATTTTTGAACTTGTTGCCAAGTTCACCCGAAAAGTCTTAACAATATGCTATCATTATTGGCACCACGTGCATATCCTAATTCATAAATCGATCCCAAACATGAAACAATGCAGTCTATAACGTACTGGTACCCAACTGATCTTTCCAAGTTCCAAGATCCCGGCAATACTCGGTGACAACTCGGAGATCTGTCAGTGCCTTGACAACCGCATCCTTGTTCTCATCTGATGGTGTTCGACCACACTCCACAAAAAAGATATATTGCCAAGCCCGCTTCAAACTCGGTCTTGTGTTTATACTTGTAAGATTCAGCCCATGCTTCTTGAAGATCAAAAGGGCATTCGCCAATGCACCCGGCAAGGAATGATCTATCGAAAACGAGACCAATGTCTTGTGTGTATCTTCATGCACGGGCTTTTCTTGCGATGTAGGCGCCTCCGGCTGCTCAAGATCATATTGAGCGGTACGTTTGGCAAGAACATTTCTCAAGATGAGGAATCGAGTTGTGTTATCCGCTCGATCCTCGATGTTCTCCTTCAACACGTCGACGCCGTGATACTCTGCGGCGAAACGACTGGCAATAGCAGCGCTTTTCTCAGTCGGCTCTTTAGAGACAATCTCTGCGCCTTTAGATGTAGATGAGACATCTTGTCTCTCGACACCCTTGAAATATTTCGATAGCACAACTTCACACTGGCCCCAGGCTTGCGGGTGTGTGTATAGTTTTGTGATTGACCCATCATAACCGGACCAACCAGATGGATATGAGCCCTTGTGTACCAATAGACAGTGATGCACGGTTAGATAGTACTCGCCGCACACCTTGACATCTTTGTATAGATCATTCCGATCCGCAAGAAGGTCAAGAGTCTGAACAACCGAGCCATTGGTCGAGTTTTCGCACGGAATCACAGCGTAATCGGCCTCTTGACTTTGTACTGCTGCAAAGGCGTCTGCGAAGGAGACATGAGGCAACAGATCGGCAGCCTTTTTACCAAACGACTCAGATGCAGCCTATGAACAAGAATTAGTTATCAGGGTTCAGAGAGCGGTGGTACGTTTGACACAGATTCAAGTTTCTGTCACATGTGGGGTAACCAATTTTATTATTATTCATACCTGGTGTGAGAAGGATGCCAGTGGGCCAAGAAAAACTACCCTTAAACGATCCATTGGGGCAGGTTGGTATGAGGAGACTTATTTTCCGGGTGGGGAGGCTTGTTTTTAAGAGAGCATTAATTTTCCCGCTCTTGAATCTCCTTGCTTCCCAGAGCTACTAGCTTGATGTCGCCCGCAATATTGAATCCAAATCGCCAATCGGTCCGATCTCGCACGGGCGGTGTGGACCGGATAAACAAACAAGCCAAACTGTAGGTTCATCAGGGTTTTGGAGCTGGTCATCTCAAGTGGAAAAGAATATACTCTGTGGGTTAGGATTCATTAGAGACTCTTACGTTTTTCAGGTTCATAGGCACAAGTTTAAACTGTAAGACAGGTAACTTTGATCTTGGCATTGTACATTTGCGACAAGGGTAAGCTTTGAAACATTCTCGCATATAATATATTTCCCGTGAGCTCGGGCCTCAGGAATCAGTTCAAATACATTTTTTTATTTTCTATAATCTTATTTCCCTGGTAACTTCAGTTCATTAAATGCAGAGGACCTATCTTCTTATCCTATTATCTCGAATATCCAGTGCTAAAAGTGAAGCTTGTTGGGGGCTTTGTAGTCTATGACCTTAACTAGTATGGAATGCTATAGACGCAATGCCAAGCATTCGGATCTCGGATAAACCACACCCGGAGTTTTGCACACGCTTTTTTAAAAGGCCTCTTCCCCCTTCAACCTCTTCATTTCCTCTTTCCCTTTCATCTTCATTGTCATTGATCACTCACCCAGCTGCATTTTCATCCAATGCGATGCAAGCGAGTCTTCTGACAGTTTAGTTTTCGTTGTTCATCTCTTTCAGCTAGCTGACCATGGACCAAGTCCAGGCGGCCTTCTGGGCAGCACCTCCGGTGTCTCGGTACGCTGCAATTTGACTCAGCCAAGATGGGGACTGTTTGACTGACAAGTCCTCAGAACAATCACAGCTTTGACTCTGGTTCAGTCCGTCCTAGTTCATGGCGGCGTGCTTAGTGGATATTATGTTGTCTTCTGGCCGGGCCGCATATTCAAGTTGTTTCCTGAGATCTGGCGATTTGTCACTCCGTTTCTACTAACAGGTCCAAAGCTCAGTTTCTTCTTTGATCTCTATTTCAGTATGAAGCTTCGCTACTGCATTGGCTGTTCTTAGCCCTTGCTAACCTGCCTGCAGTGTATCACTATGGCAGTCAGCTGGAATCCAGCTCTTCTCGCATGAGTCAGCCTGGAGATTTCTTCATCTACCTCATCTTTGTAGCAACTTCAATTATGGTAAGTGACTTGTTTGACCTGGGTTTCATACACAGTAGAGTCTTGTTCTTTTCTTCTTTGCTTTCTGCATTTCCAAGCCAAACACCTCGCCTTATCTGCCCGCCCAGCCATACAAACTAGCTGAAGCGGTTCCTGAACGTGAGGAAGATTACCCCTGCATCCTGTGCAGCACTTTATAATTCGCAAAATCCTGGTGCTGCATGAGGTGTGGGAATGGTGGCTTGTCTACAATAGCCGTCATGATTCTTAATTCATGCCGGTGGTTCGGGCATCCTACATTCTACATACATCTATTATCATTCATTCCCAAATACTATTATTATGTTTCATCAGTCTCCATCTCTTCCAATTCCCATGTCATTTTCTAGTAAATCATCGATTTTCAGCTTGCTAACTTTGCATAAAGCTTACCGCAGGCTTCGTTCTTGAAATGCCAGTCTTTATTTCGGGTGAGCTATTCTGCAATTGACCTTGCGAGAGAAAGGCAAAGACTAAACTAGATTTTTCTTACCATGTAGCATTGACTATGGCTTTCATTTACACCTACGCCCAAGAGAATCGCGGCAAGCAAACCATGTTATGGTTCGTCAAGATGCGTATGGAGTTCCTGCCATGGGCGATGCTTCTCGTCTCCTTGGTCATGAGTGGAACGTCTGGAGTCATGCTTGAGCTCACCGGTATTGTGGCCGCTCATCTCTATGACTTCCTAACTCGCATCTATCCAACTTTCGGTGGCGGGCGAAACTATATCACCACGCCAGTTGCGGTGCGGCGGTTTTTCGCTCGTCACACCCCCAACCTTGGGTCTCGTGGGTATGGTACAGCCTTCAATGCCTCCCAGGCACCGCAGCAATCTTCCCAGTCCTCGTCCCGAGGCTGGACATCCTCGATCCAGAATCCTTGGAGTGGTCGAGGTACAGGTCGAAGACTCGGCGGGGATTAAGAGCGTTACTATGAACGAATAAGAATAAGCGCATCTAAAGAGGGTCTTGATCATAAGAATCTATGAAGGCGGATCCTTGACTCCTGGACCTGCATCGAGCCCAATGCTTATCGTTTTTCATAGTATCCAATTCATACCAACCAGAATTCCTGAAGCATAAGTTCGCTAAAGGACTGGTCATGTAAAATAGCATTTTCCTTCAATATTAACTACTCATCAAGTTTGATGAACATTGACCAAGAACCAGTTTTCGCTGTGATTATTTCTATCATGTAGTATCTTGAATGAATATACAATACCTCAAGTCATAAATGACTCCATTAAACCCTCCCTTAAAACGAATTGATCTTATTAAATCCCCTTCTCTAGTATTCCTGCATTGAGGCAAAATTTCACGCCAATTTTTCGCGCTGGGAACATCACGTGACTGTATGCGGGCGCTAAACCGCATTAGGGATTGGAGCTGCCGCACTCGCAAAATTTCCTCGAACAAATTTTTGGTCTGTAACAGCAACACCATCGACACCATGGCCGCCGTCAAGAACCAGGAGATGGACTACGCCATTAAGCCCGAGGCGATTAGCCCTAACATTTCCAGCGAGGAATGGCCACTTCTCCTCAAGAACTACGAGAAGTGTACGTATCCCAGAATGGAAAAGATGGAAGAAGAAAAAAAACTTCACCTTCGTGAACATTTGACTAATTTTATGGCTACACAGTGCTTGTTCGCACCGGTCACTTCACTCCCATCCCTGCTGGTGCTTCCCCCTTGAAGCGTGACCTGAAGTCCTATATCAGCTCCGGTGTCATCAACCTCGACAAGCCTTCCAACCCTTCCAGTCACGAAGTCGTGGCTTGGATGAAGCGTATCCTCAGGTAAACCTCACCATCCACCCTTCCCCACGTATCCCTCAAGATATAATTATATCGCAAGCGAAAAGGGGAGTTATAAGAATATTTTTCTAAACGAATTGATTATTTTAGATCCGAGAAGACTGGTCACAGTGGTACCCTTGATCCTAAGGTTACTGGTTGCTTGATTGTCTGCATTGACCGCGCCACTCGTCTGGTTAAGTCTCAGCAGGGTGCCGGTAAGGAGTATGTCTGTGTCATTCGCCTGCACGACAAGATCCCCGGTGGCGAGGCTCAGTTCCGTCGCGCTCTCGAGACCCTCACTGGTGCTCTTTTCCAGCGTCCCCCTCTTATCTCCGCTGTCAAGCGTCAGCTCCGTATCCGTACCATTCACGAGAGCAACCTGTACGAGTTCGACAATGAGCGTCACCTCGGTGTCTTCTGGGTGAGCTGTGAGGCTGGTACCTATATCCGTACCCTGTGTGTTCACTTGGGTCTGCTGCTCGGTGTTGGTGCTCACATGCAGGAGCTGCGTCGTGTGCGCTCTGGAGCTATGAACGAGGAGCAAGGCATGGTTACTCTGCACGATGTCATGGATGCCCAGTGGATCTACGACAACCAGCGTGACGAGTCCTACCTGCGCAAGGTCATCAGCCCTCTGGAGAGCTTGCTTACCTCCTACAAGCGTATTGTGGTTAAGGACAGCGCTGTCAACGCCGTCTGCTACGGTGCTAAGCTGATGATTCCCGGTCTCCTGCGTTTCGGTAAGTTGCAATTCCATAAAAAAAAGTTCTTCATATGAGCATTATGAAGCTAATATATTTCTACAGAGGCTGGTATTGAGGTCCACGAGGAGGTTGTTCTCATGACCACCAAGGGTGAGGCTATTGCCATTGGTATTGCCCAGATGTCCACTGTGGAGCTTTCCACTTGCGACCACGGTGTCGTCGCCAAGGTCAAGCGTTGCATCATGGAGCGTGACCTGTACCCCCGTCGCTGGGGTCTTGGCCCTGTTGCTGTCGAGAAGAAGAAGCTCAAGTCTGCTGGCAAGCTCGACGTAAGTGATACCTCTTATCATATCTGATCTTGACTCTTTCCGGAATATTTATATTAACCCTTCTCGCAGAAATTCGGCCGTACCAACGAGGAGACCCCTGCTAGCTGGAAGGCTGGTTACAAGGACTACGATGCCGTTGAGGACGTGACCGACGCCCCTGCTGCCCGCCCTGAGCCTACTCCTGCCGCTGAGGAGTCCCCCAAGAGCGAGGCCGAGGGTGCCGACGATGACAAGAAGAAGCGCAAGCACGACGGCGAGACCGCCGAGGAGAAGGCCGAGCGCAAGAAGAAGAAGAAGGAGAAGAAGGAAAAGAAGGAGCGCCGGAAGTCCAAGCAGGCCGAGGACAGCGATGATAGCGACTAGATAACCAGGAAGAAAGAAACCCTGCTAGCTCGCGGTCTACTTCCTGTACCATATATTGTGCCTTTTTTATTGTTCTTTGCCTTCCGGAGTCTTGGTCAAAAGGGAATGTCGGTTTGAAGATTTAAAGAATTATTGCGTTCATATTCGCTCTGCCATATGTTTTCGGGGTTTGACTACTTACCACAATAACAGCTGCGTAACTATATATGATATTCCCATTAGTATAGCGGGCCAGTGCATGTAAAGTATCATGCAGAAGTATATGCCCAACTGCACAATAGGCATAGCAAATCCTACTATAGTCAACCCAGCTAGGAAACTCATCCCCCATAAAACATAGTAGACCTTGAATAAATTTGTGTGTAAGAATCTCGAGGATAGTATATATAAGATCCCAATATCTGCCTATTATCACCTTGGAACTACCTACCTACGCTTCTAGATGTTTTCCCACACGCTCTTATACACGTTTTGTGTGCACACCCTTTTACCTCGATTATATCGACGCAATATCCAAAAGTAGGTTACTTTGAATATATTCCCTAAGAGTTATTAAATATCTATAGCTAGAGCCTAAAATTAAATTAAATGACATCGCATCCAGAGTGCTAGCATTGCTATCTTTCATGGTGGCATGTCCCACCCATCACCTCGCATTATTACCCTTCGAGTTTTCTTTGTAGCAAAGACAAGTTCCGAAGAAACATTTGCTCTTCTGACAATGTCTGGGATGAATCGAGCGTTGTATTACCCAGATCCATTTCAAATCGTTCTCGGGGATGATCGAGCAGGTCGCTGGCTTCCCAAAATCCATCTGCTGATGAAAAGGGTTTCAAGTTCATCCCCCATTGATAATCGAGTGGATCCAAGTCCGGACCTAAGTCCTTCCAGGACTTGTCAGCTTCACGTAACTGAAGCTTCCAGGCTGTATTACATTCATGACATCTCCTTTCCGTTTTGGGTCCTTTCCCTGAATTGTGATCCCCCTCTTTAATAAGGTAATAGAAGTCGTCGTCATTGAAAAGATTCTTGATTTCGTCTTCAAAATGGCAATGATCTTGGCAACGTGAAATCAATCTGCAAGCTTTTGCGCATTCACCCCCGTCAAGTTTCTGATGCACTTTATCTCTCTGCACCAGGCAGATATGCTGAATGCGCACACACGAACTTGGATCTATAGGACAGATGCGCGCCTCAAAAGAAATCAGTCCCATATCACCTTGCGGAAACGAGGTTACTGGGTCATAAGCAATGTTCATGGGTTTTACAATAGTATGCATCAGTGATTCTGTAGAGATGCCAAAAGAAGGGCCAAGGTAAAATCTCCTCATTGCAAGATGTAGATGTATCCAGTGAAATTTGAAGTCCGAGTAGATGTAATAAGAGTGTTCAAGTGGCACAACTGAAGAATATCTCTTAGTCCGAAGCGGGTTGAAACACCTTCGGTGCAAGAATTCAGGCCCTAGTAATTTCACCTCCCGCCAAAGGTGGAGTTTTGAACATGCGAAGCACAAATAGTACTGGGGCAAATAGCGAACAAGCCTCGTTAAAAGGATGATTCTCAGACCCTCAGCCAAGTCTTCCACACGGAGAACAGTAGCAAACGATCTACCTAGAAGCGTATCTAGATGTGGAGCCAATTCCATGAAAGAGTGGTTGCATAAGGTCAGACAAGTGTTATCAACGGGAGATAGATAGTTGCAGACCAAAGAGATGAGCTGTGGCGGAATGTCGAACAACCCTATCTGAGGCATGGTGTATGGTATGCCCTATGAACTAAGAAAATAATATTGCCTCGATTCATGCAAAATTGGAATGATGTTCAAGACAAACCTCGAGTTACTGGTGTCACTATTTGTTCTGGATCAAGGATATCTTCAAGAGTGTAAGTGCGAGAGCTTTGAAAGAACGACAGTATAGAAATTGTGAATGAATTTTAAATGGACGACAACACAGGACGTCATTTCTACCATAGAACCTTCAACCTTATATCCTTCATACTTCTCGGCCTTTGCCCCACATGATTTCTTAAAGAGGCTTTAGGATTTCCTAGTCTAAAAGATTACACCTTGTTTTTGCCTCTTAAATTCGTAAAATAAAGTAAAGTGTCTATCAAATTACATATCGATTAATATACTATCCATATCAACGTCGTCAAGAATCTTGGAATTTCTTTGTATGATGATCTCGTGACCCGTACCGTTATCTCCGCATTTCCCCCTCCCGAACCGAACGTAGAATCCCAATGATCTTCGGATCTCCTCACTACTCCTCCTCCAACCTTCCCTACAGCAAACCCTGAGCTTTCCACGACCCCAGAGCTACAGGACCCACCTGTACACTGAAATATGGCCGCTGAACTGACCTCAACAAAGCTCAACCCTGAGAGCCATCTCATTCTGGTATGGAGCTCTCCAACGTCATAAGAAAGTCTGAACTAACCCGCCGGCGGATTTGTACAGGACCAACCACTTCTACGACTCCCCCACGAACTAGCCCGAAGAAACTTCAAGACAGTCCAACGAGTTATCGAACGAGAAAAAGAAAATGTCATCCCGGCTCTTAAAGAAGCGGCCAACGCCTCATTATCCAATACCCACACACCTGATCAGACACTCGCTGCTCTCGATGCTATGATCTCCCGAATGCAGGGCCTGAAGCGAAAGATGGAAAGTCTACAAGAAGAAGAGAGACGCATTCACACTCAATCTCGAAAGCGCATACATCATCTCGAGGCACTTCATAAAATCCCGAGTCTAGCGGACGTTAAATATGATCAATGGTCGCGCGTCCGATTAGATAGGCTGTTAGTTGATCATATGCTTCGATCGGGGTATCCGGAGAGTGCCAAGCAGCTTGCGCAGGAACGGGAGATTGAAGGCCTCGTCGATCTGGGGGTCTTCACTCAGTGCCAGCGTGTGGTCGAGAGCTTACGTCGCGGAGACACCAAAGAGGCATTGCAATGGTGTGGAGAGAATAAAGCGGCGTTGAAAAAGAGTCAGGTGAGTTTTGGAGGTTTCCATCATACGGGATGCGTGTGGCTAACATATGGACATCTAGCACAATCTCGAATTCGAATTAAGGTTGCAGCAATACATTGAACTAGTCCGGACGCAAGACCAGTCGAAGAAATTTGAAGCTATCCTGCATGCGAGGAAATATTTAACCCCTACCCAAGAGTTACAAAATAATAGTGAAATCATGCGAGCTGCAGGATTGCTCGTTTTCAGCCAGAACACCCATGCGGAACCTTACAAGGTATGAAAGATCTTATCATTTTTTGATTTCCCCTTCCGCAGCTCAAGGAACTATGTAACTGATCATACATAACAGTCACTGTTCTCTCAAGACAGATGGAGGGTTCTATCTGAACTCTTCGTGAAAACCCACCATGAGCTCCTGTCATTACCGTCACAGCCGCTTTTGCACATCGCTCTATCTGCCGGCTTATCCGCATTGAAGACACCACTGTGTCACTCTGCGTACACATCATCCAGTTCGAATTCCCAATCAACAAGTACATCGGTATGCCCGATTTGTTCGACGGAATTGAACGATTTGGCTCGCAAAGTGCCATACGCCCACCACTCCAAGAGTTACGTAGAAGGTGATGCTATTGTGCTTCCAAATGGCCGGGTCTATGGTAAGTCGCGATTGATGGAAATCAGCAAGAATCTCGGAGTAGTGGAGAGAGGCCAGGTTAAAGACCCGACGACAGGTGAGGTCTTTGATGAGAGCGAGATGAAGAAAGTGTACATACTATGAAATTTGCTTAGAAATTTGCTTAATCTCGGTCCAATCAATAATGGAACCAATATGAAGCCCGATTTTGATATTGTGGATATAAAAAAAAAACCACCTTTCCAACATTGAATCCATCACTACTTCGGTCCGATTATTTTCGACTTAACTCCTCACTCACTATCACTCGAGCCTTCTTCTTCGTCTCTGGCTCTCTTCCTCGCGTGCGCATGGGGCTGCGCATGCTTCGGCCTCTTCTTCCCTTTCCTCTTGGGAGGCTCAGGAACTTCAAACACATACATCCTAGCCTCCCTATCCTCTCCACGCCATCCACCTCTCCCCCCATTCTTCCCCTCTACCTCCCCCAACGTTCTAGCATGCGAATACCCCTCATAAGAGCTCCACGGGAACCGGAAACTAGTCACAACCTGTAATCCGGCATGACGCGCAAGGTCCTTAATGTTCCAAAGTGTATACGGCTCAGCCTCAAAAAGCGAAACCAGAATCTGTCCAGGTCCAGTCCGAACCTCCTTCCCGGAGGACTGATCCTCTTCATCCTCAGAGTCATCATCATCCTCTTCGTTTTCATCTTCATCCTCATCATCCCACTCATCATCTTCATCCACAGGTGCCGGCGCAGCAGAAAGAAGAGGAACACAAGCCTTAAAAAACGACACAAGAAGCTCTTGGTTCGAACGAACTTGCCTATTCACATCCGTCGAAAGCCCACCTACATGCGGGAAATTGAAACAAATCACGTCCCACGGCCCATTATGCAGGGGTCTATTGTCGTCAGAGTCAACATCTTGTCCCTGTTCTTTCTGTTGCTGAATCTTCCAAGCAGGTATTTTGCGCTCCTTGCGAGGATACCCAGTTTTGATTTCTTTGCCGCCTCCTCCGCCTGAGATGCCTAGTTTTCGAGCATCTATAGAGTAAAGAACTTTTGGAGCAGTAGATTGGTTTTGCTGTTGCTGCTGCTCTTTTGCGTCTGGAGTTGGAGTTGGATTCTCATCTTGCGACTTGGTTCGCTTTGATGATTGCAGGACATCTTGGATATTTTGTTCTGCTTGCGGGTACTTGCTCATGAGTGTTTCTTGTGAGTCGTAGCATGTGGCGCATAGCTTGCGGCATTTGTATTGCTTTGCCAGGGAGCGGGCAAAGGAGAAATCCCCTGGATATTGTCAGTTTTGTTCCTTGAACGAGATGAATAGATGAATCGCAGTAATATATGTAATGAAATGCATGGTAAACATAAAAGCATCGATAAGAAGAGCCATGCATATGGCTCGTGATTCTTCCATACATCCACTCTTAATGGAATATACCAGTATTCGAGTCATACGGATCGCGAGAGAAAATACATATGTAACAAAAGCATTAAAGAAAGAATAAATATAGACATTGAGAAAAAAAAGTATAGCAAAACAGAAAAGAGCAGAACAGAACAGAACAGAAAAAAAACTCACCCTCTCCAATTAACAAAATTCGATCACCCCTCAAAAACGGCACAATAGGTCTCTGATTAGCCTGTAAAGAAGCCTGAGCCTTATTCGTCTTCTCTTCCTCATCGCCCCCAGACTTAGAGTTAGGTGCATTTCCAGCTCCTTTCCCCTTAGACTTGGACTGCGAGGCAACGGGCGTTTGTCCTGGTTTCGGAGGACCACCGGCTCTCTGGGCTCGGGGAGGGGCGCCCTTTTGCTTCTTGCGGGGCATTGTAGAATTCTTATATTAGAGATATATCTCTAATGATTGAGTTTATTGGTGTTAAGTCGAGAGTTGTGAATGGGAATCTGGACTTGATATACCTGAAGTTTCCGAGGTGGAGGTTTTGGAGTTCGGCCAATCAAAGATCCGGGCTAGAGTATAGTGTTCATCCATCCATGTGCATGTTAACATTAAGTATTGGTATGACAGGCTATCTAATATTAGATATTACTGGAGTATACCGTGAATTATTATGAGCCACAGTCTATAGTTTATTTCGAATTCAACGCTGTGTAGACGGCTGCACGACTCTTTAGGCGAGGTTAATTTCGCCGAGATTCGTCATGGACAACATGTTAGCACATCTGGGAAGCTACAAATCAGATTCAAATGGGTTTACACTAATAATGAGTTCTCAAGAATCCTCATATTACTGAGAACCAATAAACCAATAAGACAAGTTCTATTGTTTCAACACGGCATAGCTATGTACATCGAAGACGCCTCGAAAGAGAAAGAAAAAACCAGGCTATGCCCCTGCAAGATGAATCGACTAAAATAATAGGTGGAAATAAAATTACTAAAAAGTTTTAAGTCGTACCGTAACCTGCGTGGCAAGCTTTTCCCAGAAAAAAAAAAGAGAAGAAACAAGAAAAGCCACCTGGGCACCCCAAGCACCAATACAGGGGTGACCACAGAAGCACCGGCGAGTGCTGTAATGAAACGTGAATCATAATGTCACATGCAGAATGGATTTTCGCGACTCCCAATATCACATTAGGTTTCAGCAAAGGGATGTTGTGTGGGTTTTCCAAGGACTCCGTTGACAGAACACAACAAAACGAATATTGTCGCTAACTTTCCCCTTTTAAAGAGAGGGAGAAGACAATTATGGGGAGGTCAATAGGTTTTTTGTTTTGTTTTTGTTTTAAGAGCGCAATGAATCGCGCATGCTCTGAGTGCTGGCACTGACAAGTGGGTTGGAGGTGGGCAGAACGCCAGTCTTGGGCTTAGCGCTTTGCTTGATCTTGGCCACGGCATAGACGATACCGGAGACGAAACCAACACCAATGGCAGATACACTGGGGAATGTGACAGGGGCATCGAAAAAGATCAGACCTGACACAGCAATTGGGAGCTTGTTCAAGGCACCGACCATGGAGTAGGTGGTAGATGAGGTGACACGCACACACCAGGCGGAGGTGTAGGAAATGAAGACGGATGACAGACCAGACAGAATCATGGCCAGGTAGATGCCGTTGCGGTTGGCCTCGGGGAAGTTGCGTGCCAAGTTGGCGGATGACCAGTCCTCAGCAATGAGGGTTGCGACAATCAAAACCGGGACAGACAGCAAGTTGTTGTAGTACATGGCTGAAAAGAAATAAGGCCGTTAGAAACATATTCAAAAGCGTTCGCCAAAGTATTACTGTGAAGACTGAGGAAAAGGGAAACGTACTGTCAAAGTCCTTGAAGTTGGTCAACTTGATGCGCTTGCGCATGAACAGGACATAAGATGAAGTGCAAAGGCAGTTGATCATCATCCAGATGTAACCAGCGTTCAAGGTCGAGACCTTGCTCGAGGTGTCACCGCTGCTCTCCACAGCGTGCTTGATATCGGCCCAGGCGGCAATAATGGAGCTGAAAACCATCAGGCCGAAGGAGAACAGCGTCATACCGGAGACGGAGCCACCGAACCACAAGACCTCACCGTATGCGATAAGAATGATGGTCAAGTTCTTGAAGATAGTGTACACGGGGATCGAGAGGAATTGGAGGGCCTTGGAGCCAGTGTAGATCATGCCGATCAACAACAAAGTAATCGGGAACCCTATTGAATACCCAAGTTAGCACTCTGAAAAGGGTTCATTCTTTGTGAAACAGTAATCCGCGGGGCGCCTTACATTTTCGGGCTTCATCGCTCCTGAAGTCACGATAGGTAATGAAACCCATAGATTTGGCAGTTTGAATAGCTGCGATACAGACAAGGGACTATATCCAATTAACAAATTAGTGACCATCTCAACACTGCTTAAAAAGCAGCTAAATCATGAAGAGGCCTTCGACATACCTGAACCATAAGGAGCAAGAAGTTGAGATTGAAGTCCAGACCTGACAGAACATACTTGTTCATGACAGTCATCAAGATGGACGAACCACAGTACGACAACACAGGAAAGATGGGATTATCAGACGAGCTGCTGGGAGGAGCCGGGCGAATCTGCGGTGGTGGTGGTGCTGCCTCGAATTCCTTGTTCCCTTGGTCCAGCTTATCCATGTCGACGGCATAGTCGTCGGTCTTCTTATCTTCGCCCATGATAGCGGTTGGAGTGAGATGAGATCGGGAGGTGAAGGAATAAAAACCAGAGTATAACAAAGAAAGCGACAGTGAAAACCGTACAGGAGCACAGACTCAAAGAAGAGAGAAATCCGGAGCGTACACTGACGCGCAAGCAGAAACAATTGGAAACAGAACTTTTGGAATTTGGCTGGAAGCGGCGCAGACACGATTAAGTCAGCAGGGGCATTCAGGGGAGTCACATGCAGTCACGTGATACAAATTAATTTTAGATATGACCTAAAGGGGACTAGCGCTTTCTTAGTCATACTCCATTTGCTGCGCGCGAGTAAATTAGGGCGCGCAGAGGGAGATTGCAGTAATTTAATATATTCTAAACATAAGAGCTATCTACATAATAGAACAACGAGAAAATAAATAGCAGTAAGCCTATATTAGAAAACATATCTCTATATCTCTATGCAATATCTAAAAAAAAGTACAAATATACTCTGTCCAAGAACCATGTGGAGCTAGCTACCTACGGCAAGATCATCTGCTCCTCCACTACAAACTATTTTCTCCTTATCACCAATCAATTCCAATTACACCAATTCAAGGCGCCCTAGCCAATTCCTTTTCCAATTGATACACAAGAACAAAGAAAAGGAGAAGAAAAAGGAGACTAGCAAGAAGAGGGAAAACAACGGCTATCGATTCCTCGCAACCACCCCCACCCAACTTGTGACAACCCCTCCAAAAAAAGCAAAACAGAGCATATCCAAGCCCAAGATGCCTGAAGACCACCATGGCGACACAGACGACGAAGCGCTCTTCGCCTCCCTCGAAAACGAGGAAGACACAAACTACAACGAGGCCCGAATCCAACAACTAAATGCCGAACTCGCAGCTCAAAAAACCAACCGCTCCACCAAAGCCGGTAACCACGTCACAAAAGAAGACACATACCCAACTTTAAAAGACGACCAGGGTGTATTGAACTTCACGACCGAAAAAACGCGCTGCATAGTACATTTTGCCCATGATGACTTTGCCCGGTGTGCGATGATGGATGCACGACTTGAAGAGCTAGCAGGACGACATTACGAGGTGAAATTTGCACGGGTGGATGTGCGGAATACGCCTTTTTTGGCAGAGAAGCTGGGTATAAGGGTTTTGCCTTGCGTTATTGGGTTTAAGGATGGGGTTGGTGTTGAGAGGGTTGTTGGATTTGAGGGGTTGGGTGTCGGGGGGATGGATGGGACGGAGGCAGGGTTTAGTGTTAAGGTTTTGGAGAAGAGGTTGCTTTTTAAGGGGGTTTTGGTGCAGGCGAAGTTTTCGGGAGATGATGATGAGGATGAGGGGGGTAGTGAGGATGATGATGGGTTTGATGTGAGGAAAGGCAAGGGGACGAGGTTGAAGAGGAAGGGAATTCAGAGTGGGAAGGTTGGAAGATATGATGATGACGATGATGATTGGGAATAAGTATAATTACTATGTACATATACCCTTCTACATAGTTCATGGTGGGTGATATGATTGCATGATACCATGACCTTGACTATGACCTTGTAAATCGATCTGCAGGTACGTACATACATGCAAAATCTACTGGATATGTATCAACTTGAAGAACTAGTCCGACATGAGGAAATTGTAACTGGAGCCAACCAGTGGAAAACTAGTACTGCATCATCATAGAATTACAGGCAAATATCAATGGAGACCGTAGGCATAGAGCCATTTGCGTAGAAAAACAAGAAGAGGAAAATGGAAGAACAGAAAACAAGGATGAGCAACAGAAACCAAGAACAGCTCCCTAAAGTTACAAAATGAGATGCCACAAAGCCGGAAACCGGAGAGAACAAAGCATGGGGAATTCTATACACGGAAGCAGAGCAGTGTCACGTAGATCCAGAAGCTCGTCATCAGACGCCAGTGCCCTTGAGAAAATGAAATCCGAAGTGAAGGAAAAGGGAAACAGGGAAAATAAGAAGGTAAAGAATTGAGGAAGGAAAACAAAGAGAAAACGAAGAGACCTCAATCTAAATGGCCACGTTCTTCATTTCTCCAAGAACCTCTGATTCCAGTGCATTGCCAGACCCTGATGCTTCATCGCTCTTCTCGGCCTTGTCTGCCTCTGATCCCTTCAACTCAGGGAATCCTTCATTCTCTTTGTTGGATATTTGGGGCGTGGACACCTCCAGCAAGTCTTCAACCGACTCCTCGCTCTCTCGTGGATCTTCAGAGATCGTAGGTCCCGCAGGGCCAGATGGAGCTTCCTCAGTAACCCGAGCAAGGGGACTTGAAACACCAAACGGAGTCTTAGGGCTCTGTGCCGGCCCGCGGTTAGGGAAACGGTGTGGGGATCGGCCTCGCTCCTCTGCGCGTGTTGGGCTACCATAGGGAGAATCCCGAGTAGAGCCTTTCCCGGAAGCATTCGCGCCCATACCATTAGGAGCACGTCGGCGCGGTGGGCGCCGGCCGTACTTCTGGTCGACTCTCCATCGCAGAATTTCCAAGTATGCCGGTTCAAGATTTTGGGACTTAACCTTCAATTTCATTTCGTTCGTCTCCTCGTCGATATTGACTCGGCCACTGCAAAGGTCATCGGCGAAAGTAGCCAAAAAGGCAGCCCAGGATCGAGCAATCACGTATTTACAATCATAGTCACGGCCGAAGATGATGATCTGGCCCCATTTTCCGGCGGGACCGGGAGCAAGATCAATTGCGATGTGGTTGCCGCCCCAATCACGGGCGAGAGGGATCCAGGCTGGATGGGCGTAGGCCTTTTGTACGGCGCCGGGTGGTTGGGAGTCCTGGCGATCGAGGAGATCATTTCGCCATGTCGCACCTTGTTGAGGGGCTGCGGTTGAGGAACTAGCAGCGGAGCTGGTGACGGGGGTTGACATCATGGCGGCGCTGAGGTATTCATCGTTTACGGTTTTCCAGTTGCGTCGCTCTTGAACAATCTCCTCGCAATCCAGCAGCATGGCACTGAAGAGCACACCGGTAGGCAGACCGGGACGTTCTTGACCATCGTGAATCATCAATGACTCTCGCAGCTCGAGCGGAAGACTGCAATCCAACTCGTGTTCCAATTCATTTATATCATTCTGTGTGCATCCCTCGCCGAGGTTATCGAGTAATTCTTCGTAGTTGCTTTCCAACCAGCGTTCGATCTTTCGCCAAGAGTGAGCGACCGGTGGAGGAGGCGGAGCGCCATCGTGGAAGCTTTGCATTTGAATTTCGCCGGGTTCTTGATCATTGGATCGTCGCTTTGATGCTGTAGATCTCATTCCAGGTGAATAAGGGCGGCTCGGAGAATCTAAGTCGGTCGGGGAGCCGTTGAATTCGGTGGATTGCACGGTCGCGCCCTTTGTGGGTTCATCGTCGTAGGGACCGGAGAGATCTGGACGAGACTCGATAGCGCTGGTGGCGATGGATGTAAGAGGTTCATGACGACTTTGACTGAGAGGGACGTGTCGACCAGTCCGGTAAGGAGAATCGTGAGAGGCATGACGGTCATAGGAGGTCATGGTATGCCAAAAGGAGCGCCATGTTGACCCCAATCTGCAGGGCGGTTAGTTTCAGTTCTGGGTTCCCCGCCTTCGACCTCTCTCTCTCTCTAGGAAAGAAGAAAAAGGGTCTACCATCCAGTTCATATGAGGGGGGATTAAACTGACAAATTCGCCATGGTGGAGTGTTGTCGTTGAGGAAGAGAGGGGGAGAGAGTAAGGGAAATTTTTTGGATTTGGGAAGGGGAAATCAGGGCAGACCCATGGAGAAGCGGACTCCCGTTCAGTTCAACCAGGGAATGGAAATAGATGTATAATGGGGCACAAGAAACAAGAAAATAAGGTGAATGGGAAACTATGGAGGAGAAGATGAGAAAGGAATAATAATTTTTCCCATTCCCCGTGATTTGAGGATCCGCTACGACATCGTACATAATCACTCTCTCTACTAACTATGTCTCCCTATGTTAGTAACTGTATGTACTATGTGTCCCCCTGTCCGCATCCAGGTTCCTCAGGCATGCAGATCATGATGTCGACAATGACAAGCATGCTTGGAATCAAATGGAGTCATCTAATGACGGATGATCGTCTACTTTGACGTGTTCATACCTCCAATGTCTCATATCTCCATGTTCGCATTCATACTGTTCAATCCAACATGGAACCTACGATTCTATGTTTATTATGATGCTTCAGCCACCCGAAACCAACCATATGAGCCTCCATATCCAAATAAATGACACTTCTCCTGGCTCGAAAGTGTCTTGTCTTGGAATTCTACGTAATTTCACATTTCCTATCAAATTTCAGCCACCGTGGCGTCTAGACTCCATCCAATTAAGCTTCATCAGAACCGAGACAAGATCGACGAGTTTATCCCCAGAGTCTCCTCCATACTCTATAGTCTTCTATAAAGTAAATAAAATAATAGAGAGATTACAAGTATATAACTTTGTAGAATATAAGCTCGGAGTGATTTCGACTCTCAACAATTCCACTGTTCCAAATCGGTCGCAATATGATATCGACCACGATTTCTCCGATTGCCAGCTTCTCATCGAATCAAGTTCTAGAGTGGAGGGAGTGTGTAGTAAAATTAGACCGGAGACCCTCAATGGTCAGCGAAGTGGAGCCGACAGTATTCAGTGGCGTTGACCCAGAATTAAAAAGGGGATGGCAACGCAGAAGACATCCAGACCACGTCAGCTCTGGAAAAACTGTGACTATTTTGGAGGGAGAATTAAGTCAAATTGAATTATAGAATATTCAATTCATTATTTGTATAGATCTGTGGTCATTTCATACACAGAAATATCCATGTATATACTCTGCCAAGTCTCTCTCTCCAGTTCTTGGACCCTGATCTTATTAGGATCAGCGGAACAACACCCAAACGAGGCTGCTATGGACCACTCCACGGACTTTTACCGGGGAATCTCTTATACTTTATTCTTATTCTTAGCTTACAAGTACTTTTCTACGTAGCATAAAGTAGAATAAGGAGCGGACGGTATGATATTCACACCGAAAATAGTCACGAAAGTAGGTAAAGACTGACAGGCCACAGAAGGCAACGCAAGAGCAAAAGAGAAGGTATCTCACAGACCTCAACATGGTGTGAGCTCAATCCCATCAAGTGCGACCGAGTCTACTCACCAGTTGAGTACACTGCAGAAACAGAACAGAAAAGAAGATAGGAAAATGGGATAAAGAGTGTGATCATCTCGAAAGATGGAATCAGTATGAGAAGAAACCACATAAAGAAATGCATATCATAGCCATCCTCGGCTGGAACGTCGCGCAAAACCAACCTGACACGCAAAGCACTTGGAATGATCCCGACTCCAAACGATGCAAACGTGGGTCACCACCATTTCCTTTCCTTTCCCATCAAGAGAAAGAAAGAAAAAAATCGAAAATGAAATCGACCCAATGTAAAATGTACCGAGAAGACAGAACCCGCGTATCTCAAAAACACCTCCAACCAAGCACCTCGTGAGCGAAAGGTATACCAAAACGAAACCACCGAGAGGACCTTGGACCAGTCCAGGTTGCCCCCTATGAACCTAATGCAGTAAACGTAACGAAATGATCAAAGCATGTAAACGCATGAATCAGCCAAAGAAGTGCAGTGAGATGCACAATCAAGAAATTAAAAAAGAAACATGAGAAGAGAGAGGCATAACCAGACTAAGTAAGGTTCGTATCAACAAGCAAAGCAATAGAAAGAAATGGAGCTAAAGGCCTGCAAAAGAAAGAGAGAGAAAAAGACCGACAACTATTAGGCAAATGAGCTCTGAATGCCCGGTGTCGCGTCCAGCTTCAAGATGCGTCGAAGATCATCCTCCATCTTCTTAGTGTCAATAGACTTGGAAGGCGAGGGAGAATTGGTGGGCATCTTGAAAGCGGCCGTTGCGTACTGCGGCTGGGGCGAAACATAGTTGTTCGGAGGAGGTGCCACATTCGGCGCTGAAACATGCCCCATGTAAGCATTGCCATACGGGCCCGGTGATGGTCCATTGGAATGGGTATAAGGCATTTCCCGTCTCAATGGTGACTCTAAATTACGCCCATTGACATTATGGTGACCGTTCGTATATGGATACGAAGGACGACCGGGGTTATTAGGCACAGTAGGCATATTAGGCACTTGCTGGTATTGCGCGGGAGAGTAGGCCCGAGAGACCATAGCTGCAGGACCCGAATTCGTTCGCATAGGAGTCGCATAGTGGGGAATGTTGGGATGACCGCGGGCGCGAGCACCATAGTTGGCAGGGTGTTGAGATTCTTGTGGCGGGGAGACTGATGCTGATGCTGGCCTCTGGGCAGGAGGATTAAGAAGCAGATGCTTTAGTTGCTCGGTCTTCATACGTCGCTGCTCTTCTGTTTCTGAGGACTGCGCCGGGCCCGAATTCGTAGGGCGCAAGGCCTTCATGCGATCTTGATAAGAGGGTGCAAATGAAGGGCCAATAGATGAAGCGCGGGTCTGCTCCGAGGAGTCCATGTCAAATGGGAAAAGACCACCCGGTGGGTTGGAATGAAGAGCTTTAGAATCGGTTTGAGGAGAGCAAACACGGCTGGTCGACTCAGGACTGCCCATGGGGTTGTTGGACTGACGCGCCTGCACAGCAGCCTTGAACAGAAAATCAAGAGGAGTGGGCTTTGGTTCATTAGCCGCCGGTTGCGGAAGACGAGATCGAGGTTTGGATGGAGTCGTTTCAAGATCACCATCCTCGGGAGTGTCGCTGTCAGTCTCAATAGTTGGCGCAAGGTCGGATTCAGGTAAAGACTTGGAAAAGAAACTGGGAATAGGTAATGCCGACGGCGCAGGTGATGCGTGGAAGGTAGGCCCTGCGTAGGCGCTATCCTTTGGCTGCGGGGTACCGTTTGATTGAGAAGAGGTGTACCGGTGTCCATTGAGGCCGTTATGTCCATTAGTAGCAGGGGAAGCTCGGTTCATAGTATCTTTAGGCTTCTTCCCTGAGCGGGGAGGCTGCTGCTGAGGCTGCTGCTGCTGTTGCTGCTTCTTCTTGGAATAGACGTTATTGGCATTTGATGAATCGGTGGCAACACCAGCGGGACTCATATTGCGCGGCGGAGAGGATGGCGGAGTATTGAGCAAGACGGTCTTCGATCCGTATGGAGTAGTATTCTTCTTGTTGACTGGCCGGCGGGTGTTATTGTTGCGAGAACCCTTTGGGGTAGGAGGGTGGGGAGATTGTGTCGACATGGCGACGATTTGGCTTGAAAAATAGGCAGCCTAGTTTGGAAAGATGGAAGAAAGAGAAGATAAATCACGGGCAGACGCTAAGAAAAAGCAGGGGTAAGGATATCAAGGAGAAAGCCGGTCCTGGCACTGCTCAGCAGCTGTCGACGATATTAAGATATTTCCAACGTCAGAAGTTGTGGTGTAAAATGGTTGGTAGGTAGAAGGTGATGTTTCAGTAGAGAAAGAGATAGAGAAAGAGAAAGAAAGCATCTAAGTCGCAGCGAACGACGATAACAAAGCTCGAAAAGACATGTCTCTAAATTGGTGAAGTAGTGTAGGTAGATGAGTCGGAAGGGAAAGTGACGGAACTTGCAAGTCAGCGGGGATCGGATGACTAAGGTGGTTTTGCCGCCTCATAACATTGGGACAGTGGGGGTGGGAGTACGAAGGATCATAGCTGCCAGAGGGATAAAACTCACTTTCGTCTTGCTATGTGTCTTTCCACTTATCTTTTCAATCGGCTTTCACTTGTTTTTCTATATAAGTAGATCTTACAGTATAGATAGCGGTTTACTAGCCGGTAAAGCTTAATAAATGGTCATAGGGGATTCTTTTCCTGCTGGCTGCCATGGTCCCCCCAAGTGTCGTAGGGAGAGAGTTTGTTCTGTTTGTAAGGGAACTGAGAGGGACAGAGTCACTGGAGCCTCATTTTTGGTTTATCACTTGTTTCTTTGGTATTTTCTTCCTCTGGCAACTAGATACTACTTTATAGTTTTTCTCAACTACAAGCTGGTCCTCTTTGTTGACCTAGCACCTCCATTTCCTTACGTCAGTTGTCTATCTACTTAGCAACCCTCCCGAGAGGTCCTCCGCCCAGCACTCTAATCTACCTCCCACCTCCCACCTCCGCATCCTCCACCTCCCAACCCAAATCCCTCGACCTGAACCAGTGACAAATATGGCCGACGTCGAGATGAAAGATTCCAGCGCAGCCGCTTCCAAAGGTAAAGCTGTCGCAAAGGCCGACGGTGCTACTGACGGCAAAAAGAAGTTCGAAGTCAAGAAGGTACCGGAAAGCCACCTTGGGGGCCGTTGACGATCATGACGATGTGATGCTGATGTCTTCCTTCTAGTGGAACGCCGTGGCTCTTTGGGCCTGGGATATCGTCGTTGATAATTGTGCTATTTGCCGGAACCACATCATGGACTTGTGTACGTTGGGCCGTTTACAGTCAAGCTGATTGATTGAGTGTTTGGAGGTACGATAGCTAATCTATACGTCAAACAGGTATCGAGTGCCAAGCCAACCAAGGATCTTCAACAACGGAGGAGTGCACTGTCGCTTGGGGTATCTGTAACGTGAGTAATTTACTTACGACTTATTCTGGGGGCTATCTCTGATCTGACTGTGACTATGATGTCTAGCATGCATTCCACTTCCATTGCATTTCGAGATGGTTAAAGACTCGCCAAGTGTGCCCACTGGATAACCGTGACTGGGAGTTCCAGAAATACGGCCGATAAATGTGATAATGACGGATTCAAAAATCAAGAGACCAGAAACAAGTGCAATGGAGCCTGGATGCTTCCACGCATACATGGTCTCGAATGGTGGTTATGATGACTTGAAGAGAGAGAGGGGATGAACGAGCACCCTTTGAACTTGAAAGGCAAAGAATTGATGATCTTCTTTTATTGGCGTTTAGGTACTTATTTGCCATGGTATTTATCGAAGACCGATAGATTTTCCATCTCACGCAGCTCCCAGTAAACAGACAGCTCTTGTATTCTTCTGAAGTATCATCTCACGCCACTTTGACACCATCTACCACCACGCTCGGGTTCCCTGATCCCCCACCGTTTTGTTTATACCACCCCTCTGGATTCTGATTGTAGAAAGGCCAGGGCGGGACCACGGCGAACGCAGTGAACAGCGTACCGCCCAAGCCGACCCAAAGTGTCAAGTGAATGTCTTTGTAGATGTATCCGACGAGGAAGCTGACGATCTGTAGAGTCTAGATATTAGGAAGAGACTAATAGATTGGTATAATTAAGTAATTGGGGAAACTTGCCCCAGAGATCACTAGCAACACGGTGCTCAGTAGGTCGGCAAGGCGCTGGCCGTGGAAGTCCTGTCGCGAATGTTAGCAGCCACCACTGTGAAATGAGGGTGTGAAGCCAGTTCTTCCAAAAATACATACAATTTCACCTTCCAGGGCATCCTGGACGGGTGCAAGTAAATTATCCATGCTTAGGAGTTGTGAATATAGATCTGATGAAAGGTGGCCAACCTGGGGAGCTGCGGGTGGCTTATCGCAAGGGTGTCATTTGCACACCGCTTCCGCCTAGGCTATGTACAACGGGCCATTGTAAGGCATTCCGGAGCTGATACATAATGAGAGATGGGTTATGTGTTTTCAAACAGGTCTTAAAATAGCCCTATAGAGGCGTATGCTCTTTGACCATGGCAAGTGTAATTATTCGGGGCATATGGCTCTAGCTCCATCAGGTAGAGCGATCGCGGACCGCGTTGAAGTAAATAGCCAGGTACCCCACAGCCTGGAAAATCCTATGCGTATAGTATGGACACGATCAATGAATTACTTGCATTGTCAATGTATGTTTATTGGATGACTTTAATCCCTCATATCACAAATTTCGATCTAAATAATCGTACCGAGTAATGGGTCCGGGAAATATTTCGTAAATCATCGATGTCTATTCGTATGCATCTATATCGCATAGGGCTATAGCCCACACAAGTTATATCACTTACTCCATATATCATTTTATGGCAGCTCGAGACGAACCGAATGCTTCTCTCGCACGTCATAGGGTATCATAATGCAGCAAATCCCGATGTCTCATCTGCACCCTGCAGCACAATCCACAGAAAAGCAGCGGTGAGCATCGGAATCTTTGCGGCGCCACATGGCCCACGAACTCTAATGGAGGAGACAAACCAGTTGCCAGAGACCAGTACCAACGCATCATTAGATCAAACCTCATGCCTCGCACTCGCTGCCGATTGGTGTGTTCCCATCTGCACGCACGCGCGTCATGGTTAACGGCGCCAGATATGGACGAAAGGGGGCCTGGTGATCTTAATGACTCAGTGGAAAATTGTATTTATCCTGCATCAGATTTAGTTCGGAGACACAGTGGTACCCGCATTTGCGGGTTCCAGTAGCTTCCATTGGCAGGTAATATTGTTGCTGGCGAACCGTGCGATGATGCGGTCTGCAATCTCCTCGAAGCGTTCGGTTGCTAGGGCCAGGATAGTTGGTCCTGCACCTGACAAGCAGATACCCAGGAGACCGGGCTGAGTAGCCGGGGTCATGAGCTGAAGGACCTCGGTCAAGCCGGGAATGAGAGTCTTGCGGTAAGGTTGGTGCACACGATCCTGCATGGCGAGGAAAATCATATCAGGGTCTGGCGGGGAGGTACCTAGAGCTGCGGGCAGTAGCGCTGCACGTTGCAGGTTGAACACCTAAAAAGAATAGTTTGATGAGTACATAGGTCAGATTCCAGGTTCGGGACTATCCCCAACATACCACATCTGCTCGGCTGTACGATTCAGGAAGGACGTTGCGGGCATTGGCGGTGGGGACGACAAAGTCTGGGATAATGGCGATTGCCTTGATCTCTGGGGCCCAGTCAAACTTTCTATAGTGACCAATGCCCATTGGAGGCTTTGGAGGTTCTAATCCGGTGTCAATGCCACCTGCAGGAGATGGCAGAACCTCACTGAGAGGGATTTCCTTGCGGGCAACATCTTCAGGTTTGAGTTCATTCAGGTAGGTGCCGACGAAACCCCCGAACAGGGAAGCGGCCACGTTATCGGGATGACGTTCTAGAGGTGTCATTAGTCCTATGCATACAAAGTCATATTGTATAGGTGGTAGGGATCAGAAGTTTAGGATAGACCCCAAGTCCCCTCCAAACAAGGAAGTTGAACGCAGAAGAGAAAGATACTCACCAATCATCAAGCAGAAATCGAGCAAACGCTCCTTGCTTAAACCCAAATTGCCGACCGCATTACCTAGCATAACACCAGAAACGACAGCGGTACCCGATGATCCCAGACCGCGACCCAGTGGGATCGGGTTAATGATGTGTACCTTGGTCTCGACGGGGAAGGCGCGCTGGTTGTGGCATCGCAGGACATAGAGGGCCACACGGGTGATCAGGTTGACTTCGGGGTCTAGGCTAATCTGCTCGGCGCTCTTGCTTTGGTCTTCGTAGGTGATTGCGCAGTTCAAGGGGAGCTTGGACGAGGATTTGGAGGAATCGATGGTGACATGGAGTTCGAGGTGGAGGGACAGGGCCAGGCCGATCACATCGAAGCCGGGGCCAATGTTGGCCGAGGAACAAGGGGTTCTAATGACAAAGGAATTCATGACTGGAGAAAGGAACACCGAACCAATTGAGTCCAATAGTATATACCAAATTATCTAACTGAACGATGACTCCGACGTGTGTATACACAAAATGAGATTCTCAGGTATGACTCGATGCGGACCAAAAAAGTCTTGGCACAACCAAAAAACGAAAAAAATCCAGTTCCGACGTCGGCGGGTGCAATACAATGGCGATGATTGGATGATGAGGACTATTTGGATTGGGTTCAAGGTAATTTTGACCCAAGATATGAGTGTGAATCTACTGTTTGTACCAGAATATGATGAGATCTGTGTGCCCCTCCATTATAATGTATATGTACTTCTATACTGAATTTCTATGCAGCACATCCCAGGCCCGCTATTGTGTACTTCATACCCTCCTCCGTCCACAACTTCCACCGTTAGGCCGATCCCGGCTTAGAGTGGCACCAACGAGGAACATTGATTACCAGATCCTCCCGCGCTTGATGCCTCCACTTCTCGGTACATATACAGTACTTTAGTCCCTTTAGTAACTTTAGTTATGCAGCCTAAAACCATGATGACTCGTCAGAATACCCGATCAAACAGACGATCACGAGGCTTTTCACTATATATGGCCTAGTATACTCCGTACTATACCCACCCAGAGGCCCCAGAAGTATTCCACTTGGTTACAGAATCACTCGACCCATAATGAGGGGGGGGGGGGGGGCCATATTCATCACACAAAAGAACAAATTTAGAATTCAATCGATTCTATGTATACTGTGTTGAGGACGGGTATATCAAGCCGATATCCACTAGAGATCCAGTCAAGTGGACAACGCCATGGCCCTCGAGAAAATTAAATTTACCCAATGGAGCTAGAGATACTGGGTATAGAGAGGGAGAGAGGGAGAGGCAATGACGAGGATGTGCCATATAAGGGCCCCATATGTTATCGATGCCATTTAAATCCCTCATGGCCAATGAAATGCTCTAAATCCAACATTTCTCAGACCGTAGGCGAAACCTACCTGTAGGTCGGCGGACGCCGTCGACCCGCTATGAAAATTTTCACATAGATGGCCTAAGGGAAAAGGGGAGAAAAAGAAAAGAAATAAATAGTATAAAAAATAGAATAAATTAGTTAAAAATCCTATCTGCACATAAATATCTAATACCATCCCTGTAATCCATTTTCTTTATCGAATTTCCTACTTTTTTGTTTATTTGAATGGACAGAAAGAGAAAACTCTCACAGTGAAGGGAAAAGCGGGACACCCGAAAGCAGAGACCACGGTCTAGCTCCAAACTCGCCACTACCAACTGCCTATTAGCGTCTCTTTTTTATTTTCCCCTTCCCACTCTCCCCCCCCTAAACTTGTCTTTGACTTGACATATTAAATCCCACTGTGACTCCACTGGGGAAAATATCCTATTCTCATTTTGGATCTTCTTGTGATACCCCCCCCTTATCTCTATTTCAACTCACCCCCAATTGATTTTGAGGATAAACCAGATCCAACGTCATCTCGTTGAAGATTCTGCAAATCCTCCCGTGATTAAACGAGCTCTTTGCTCTTGATATCGTGCTTCTGCACTGAAACCTGCAACCCTGGAGCAGCCGCGCTCCCATTCATCTGACTCCTTCAAGTTGGCGGGACTTCGCTACTCCCAAGCCTCTCTCTTCCACCCTCTCGCGGGTCCCAAGTTCCGGGTCTTCTGCGGGGGCGACACCAGACCCCCCTAATTCAACTCACACCCACATCCTAACTGGCAGCCAGACGTGTGTCGGTAACGCCAGACCCTTGTGGAGGGTCTGGAACGTGGATGGAGGGCCGTCGACCATAGACAGACCTCTTACCGACTTGCGTCTGCAGCTGTGAAAAGCTGCCAAGTAGCAAACTCGATAATTTTTAACATACAAACCCAAAACCAAAAGAAAAAGCTTCCCTTGGGACCCCAAAAACAATTCACCTTTCAACAATGTCGGACACTCCGAGATCCGAGAAGGAGCTGTGCTTCACCCGATTCAGCACCCCGGTGCCGGAACTGGACGATCACCGTTTCTCAATGGACCCTCCTCGCATCGAGACCACCAACCTCGAGAGTTCCGCCAATCAGTGCAATGCGACCCCAGTAGGGCCGAAGGGAGAGACATGGGAACGTCCGGATATGCTACAAGCTCAAGATGCGCTTCGTGATGCGGGCCCTCTTTTCCGTGACTTTGAGCAAGCCGTCGTGGACGACACAGACGAGGAAGGGAATATTGGTCGCCGCTTCTCCGCCGACCCAACTGGCCAATTCCACACTCCACGCCGTATTAGCCTGGGCCAGCAAGATCTAGGCAATATCTCCCGGAAGTCATCTGTGTCCGCTCACTCATCCTCACCACCTAATTCAGTTGAGGCCTTCGCCGATCCACGTCGTCGCGAGCGTGCCAACACACTTGATAGCCATGCCCCTCCGGACTTGGAGGCTATGATACAGCGTACTGTCTCTGGTGGCACTCACACCCGGCGCCCGACCTTTAGCAATGCTAGTGTCGCTCGACCCCAACCCGGAGATTTGGTGTTGGATGGGCCTGAGGAGAATGCGCATCCGTTTGAAGAGCCTGGTCGGTTTCCTGTCATTGACTACGAGGAGCTGGAGGAATTTGTTGCTTTGAACCAAAAGGCCAAGACGTACGGAAACCGTCGCAAGCAAAGCTTCAGCTCACAGAGCAAGAACCCTCGAGTATTTTATGATCTTCGTCCGGACGAGAAGGTCTTGGATATTGATGGGATCAAGAAGTCTGGTTCAACTGACTCTGAATCGTCTGAGACAACCCAAGAAGAGGCAGTTGTGGATGAGAAGCAATTGGTGGAGAAGCTCCAGAACATCAACGAGCCGACTCGATTCGGATTCTTCTCTTCCGAGTTTCAAACTACCGTGCATGCTGCGGACCTGGGAGATTTGGTTTTTCCGGGAGACACCTTCCGTGATCTTTTCCAGCTGGGCCCAGAGGGTGGTGTATGGTGGTTAGACGTGGTCAACCCCACCGAGGAGGAATTGGGTGCTATCTCACGAGCGTTCTCAATTCACCCTTTGACAACCGAGGATATCTTGATGCAAGAAGCTCGTGAGAAAGTCGAGCTTTTCAAGCAGTACTACTTTGTCTGTTTCCGTACCTTCTTTCAAATGGACAAGACGAGTGAGGAGTTCTTGGAGCCCGTCAACTATTACATGGTGGTCTTCCGCGACGGTGTCTTGACTTTCTCATTCGAGGAAAACCCTCATGCCGCAAATGTTCGGAGGCGTATTGGAAAGTTGCGTGACTATGTTTCACTTAGCAGTGATTGGATCTGTTATGCTATGATGTGAGTATCCAACATGTTTCATTCTCAATTATGAAATATACTAACCTATAAAAAATAGTGATGACATCGTCGATAGCTTTGGTCCTGTGATTCGAGATGTAGAGCTCGAATCCGAAGCAATTGAAGACCATGTATTCATTGCTCGAGTAGATGACTTTGAATCTTTCTTACCTCGCATCGGTGGTTTGCGCAAGAAAGTCATGAGTTTGATGCGTCTTTTGGGTGGCAAGGCGGATGTCATTCGTGGTTTCTCCAAGCGTTGCAACGAGCAGTACTCCATGACTCCTCGTGGCGATATTGGCCTTTACTTGGGTGATATTCAGGATCACGTCGTGACCATGATGTCTAACTTGGCTCACTTCGAGAAGATGCTCAGTCGGTCACACACCAATTACCTAGCTCAACTCAACGTTACGAATTTGGTATTAGGCAACCATGTCAACAAGGTTCTTAGCAAGGTCACCCTTATTGCTACCATCCTTGTCCCCATGAATCTTATTTGTGGTCTGTTCGGCATGAACGTCAACGTTCCCGGAAAGGATGCTGGTGGTCTTGGATGGTTCTTTGGTATTCTCGGTGTGATGGGGGCTATTGTTGTTGTCAGCATGGGTCTTGCTCGCTGGCAGAAACTCGTCTAATCATTGATTTTCTTGCTTTATTTCGGATTGAATTTGCTTATTTTCTCGTCTGTCATCTATTTTTTACCATTTGTTGATATCCTTCTATTCCGTGCTGGCATGAAGCTCCGTGAGCGTCGTTGTCTTACTATGAAGATTATTGAATATAGTTTAGTTATACATATGCTCTCAAGCTTTATTTACATTGGAAGTGTTGTAACACCTAAATCTCACTAGATAGATGTCCTTTTTTTTACCTGAAATCCCACAAACCAGGTATCGGTCCTATCCAACCCCCCATCAACTCCTCCATGGTAATATCAAAATCCAACCCGAACAAATTCGGATCAGGCGGATCATTCTGTCCCATCTGGTTCTGCTCCGTAAACTGCGACGCCTCAAAAGAAGCAAAAGCCTCATTCTCAATAATCTTCGCAGCCTCCAACTGAGCAACCTGATACGCCTTATCAAACCACGTGATAGCAGCCACAAGCCACTTCTGGTAATGTGAAAACGACCCATCCTTACAAGTCTTCGCAACTGCCTCGTGACGATCGACGAAAAAGTTAAGCATCTTCGGTATATCAAGTGCGTCGCGAAGTTCTTGTACCTGGCGATTATGTCGGAGGGAAGGGTTCAGAGCCGCGAGAACTAATTTTGATGCAGCGGCAATTAAGAATCCGGTTGATAGCCAGGTGACAATGCTATAGTTCTTTTCGATTGTTGGAGGGAGTTTCAAGTAGTAGTCGAGGAATCTTTTGGAGACTGCTAGTCCATGGCAGAGGGTGTCGCTTCTTGAGAGTAGTAGGAAGCCGTCGGATGCGACGGAGGCGGCCTTGCCATCTATGAGACTGATTTGACATATTTGGAGTTCTAGAGTGTGGTATTGTGTTGCGATGAAGGCTGAAATTGTTATTAGCATCTTGTATATCGACCAGGTAAACTTCCAATGGTGAGTGGAGAGTGAAGTACTTACGGTCACAAGTTGGATCAACAGGTAGCCGATTCTTATACAGCTCTATCTCTGCTCTAAAGGCTCGAATATGTTGCTCCATATCATGATGCTGCTCAATACTAGTCAAAGTAAGAGCATCCATTCGTTCCAACATATGCTGTAACTGAACGTAATAGATCATATACCGATCCGTAGGATACTCGGCTTTTTCCGACAACTCTGCCGCAGTAGATTCGATGAACGGATTCCAGGGAGACGTGCAGGTCCTCTGTCTGATAACAGAATCTCTAATAATAATGCATCAGTATCAGTATAAGTATAAGCACCATTTACCTGAGTCGTTGCACGGGCTCGGATTCGTCCACTCATAGGTATCACTTACGTGGAGTTGAGTAAGAATAATCCTATCAAAGCACGACTTTCATCGGCACCTGTTTTATTTCTTGTCTCGTCGGATTCCTCACCGACATCGAGTCGTGTGGGGACTCTGTATTTCGGGGGTCGATCTAGTCGTGCGGTATTCATTAAGCCAACTGCGAGTTGCATGTAGCCTGGGAAGCGACATAGTTGGTGAAACTGACGGGTTCTATTTATTTGTTAGCAGATAGTTCTATACTTCTATAAAATGCCAAGTCCCAAGCACAAAAGTAAATTCTTTTTTGATACATACCCAGCTAAGATAATTAAAAGTCCCTGCAATGTTTCTAAACAAGGCTGGTGGCATTCGTGATCCGCATGAAGTACCTGATTCGATATGTAGACCTCTAGAACCTCTTCTAAAGATTTTTGCAGCGGATCATCGCGGAATGAGCAAAATACAAGTATACAAAGAAGTAAGAATGGCTTCTCGGTTCGTAAGTTTTGCACTGTCGTTGTTGCGGGTAGCATGACGAAGGGGAAGAATAGCATGGCTTCGCGGTACTGATCCAAGAGTTCAACTGCAACTTCTTGGCTGATGAGACCTTTTCCGATTACATCAATAGCGTCGGCACCTGGGCAGGAGCAGCTAGTATCACTTTTTGGAGTTGGATATTGGGGCTCTGAGCGTCGGGGGACAGCAATGTTAATATGGCCCATTATTTGATCGATTTTGTCTTCGAGCATTTCTATGCGCCTGTTGATTGATTCGGGTTAGGTACTCTTCTTCTTCTTCGTGACTTGTCATTTCCAGAGTTCATGTTCATACTTTGTGCGCTTCTTTTGAGTGGCTCGTGGTCGAGCTGGTCGGAAGAAACATTCTTTCTTCAAGCGACGACATCTGTTATATCGAACGGTCCATAAAACGTCAGACGCAGTTCTGTTTTGAAAGAAGATGTACATGTCTAATTAGGATGAGAAGTATTTCACTGACCGATCGCATATCGTCGCATCTGGAGCGTGATGACATCGTATCTTAGCTCTGACACAGTTCTCGCACGTCTTCACTCTCTCAGCTGCAGGCTCTCCACCCATGATGAAATACGCGAGCGCCTAGCACGAACTGACTAGGTATACGATCTAGATTGATTAGAGAGAGAAAAACGGACACGGACTAGAATGAATACCGAGTGTACTTAAGACCTACAGTCCGGCGGACACGGACATCAAATCTATCCGAACGAACCCGCCGAACGTGCGCGCGGACCCGAAAACTCAGTCCGAGTCCGTGTTGCTAACCCAATCATATTGAATCAGTACGCCTAACTGTGGGGGCTATCACAGTTTGAAGGCTGAGATTCTGGTTTGTATAATCCTGACTGCGTCAGCATGGGCTAAATTAAGGAAAAACCAAGACTTTGCACAGCCTTACATAGATACGATTCTAGGCATTCGGGTTTTGAGAAAGTAAGCTAGATAGATTCAACGAAGAGATAGTGTATATAATGAATTTAGCTCCAGTCCAACATCCTGGTTTTGAAGTACACATATCCGAGTCAATATCATATCCATCTTGACAGTCTTTTATTCACTATGTCTACCCCAGACAATTGTACCATATCAACATGCTCGATGAGCGATGCTTATATCGACTATCTGCCCAATCTCTCCGCCAATGCGTTTTTCGCGGCCTTATTTGGTCTTATTTTCATGCTTCAGCTTGGACTGGGTGTATGGTATCGAACATGGCCCCATATGATCGCAATGCTACCAGGTCTTCTACTCGAGATCCTGGGATATGTAGGGCGAGTCTTGCTTCATAATAACCCTTTCGACTTTAACAACTTCCTTCTGTAAGTGTCTTTGGTGATTAGCTGATACTTGATACATTTGACGTCAAAATTATGAACCCTAACTAACAACCTTTGTGTAACAAGGTACCTTATTTGCTTGACTCTCGGACCCGCCTTCTTCAGTGCCGCCATCTACATCTGCTTAGGAAAAATTGTTATTATCTACGGCGAAAACATTTCTCGATTCCGACCACGAACATATACAACGATCTTCGTTTCCTGTGACCTATTGTCTTTAATTCTACAAGCAGTTGGCGGTGCTCTTGCTTCTCAGGGCCAAGATGGCGATACCAGCACGAGCGATACTGGTGTCAACATCATGATTGCTGGATTAGCTTTCCAGGTCTTCTCCTTGCTTATTTTCATGGTCTTGGCCAGTGAATTTGCCCTCCGAGTCCGCAATAGCCCTAAGTCCGAGAACGACGACTTCACTAGTCTTCGCCAGAGCTCGAAGTGGAAGATGTTTATCTTCTGTAAGTTGCATCACTGCTGTATATATGCTTTTGTAAACTCTTACTAATGACTTTTCTAGGTCTCGCTCTTGCCACAATTACTATCTTCATTCGATCGGTCTTCCGAGTTGCAGAGTTGCAGGGTGGGTTTTCTAGTCCCCTGGCCAATAACGAGGTGGACTTGATGGTGTTGGAAGCCACCATGGTCTCGATTGCTTGCATTGCTTTCACTGTTGCTCATCCCGCCATCATTGCTGGTCGCACTTGGAGTTCCCTATGAATATTGTTTGATTTTACCTTTGCGCATTGCGCTATGATTTAGAGCATAAAGGATATAAGGGCAAGGTTAAGGTTAGCGATTACTACGAGGTACATATGGGGTTTTCTTTTCACTTTTAGTGCTTCTCTTAATAAGACGAATGCACGAAAAACATAAAATTTGCATATACAGTTTTTCTTTCTTGTCGTGTTCCAACCCATAAAGCATGAGATGTCCAAGTCCGCGGATGTGATTCTACTACATGTACAGCGAGACTCATTGTATTGAAATTCGAGAAATCAATGCCCGTTGAATCACTTTGAAAATTAATATATACATTATCTCTTAAATTTCAGTACAGAATCATTAAATTGTGCTGATCGGTTCACCATGTGATAAATTCTATAGATCTGACCTCAGGATATCATGAACGCGCGGTCAGGCACCAAGGCAGAAACAGATAAGACCATCTTAATTTCCGCGATAGCACGTTTCTCCCACCGTCTCCCAAACAACACCTTTTCACGATTACACAGCGATCCATGGCCCAGTGTCTTTCAGCGCATGACTTCCAGCTGGCAACGACTATCACGACCACAAATTATCCCTAGTTTCGAAGTTCCGCCCTCCCGAAAACAACGTCCATGCGCATTTGCATCTGCATTTCCCATAACCCATCACTCCACTTTCCATGCGACTTCTATACAAAAGCCTGCAGTGCCAACTGACTGCAGTAGTCACCGCTGCCGCTATAATACCCTCTGTATTTGCTACAACGCCACGCGCCCACACTCACGCCCATGTCACGGATATATTGAGTGATGGCGCCGAAGCTGATGAGGACTCCAGCGTTCGCGCCACGGACATTATCAATGGGGCCGGATTGCCGTTTGCGCTGGACTCGTTCAACGGATTAGAGCTTCGACATGATCTAGATGATGAGAAGGAGGGGGATTCTATCGGGCTGGACCTGGTGCGGAGAGCCCCTCCTGCTGACTCTACGTCTATCATAAACAACAATTTCCAGCACTCGACTATCAACATTGGAGGTATACAATATTGGTACGTGCCTGCCAGTACGATCAATGGGCCACATGGTGTAAAGGGCGCAGGACTGCCTCAGTATGTGGATTCTGATGGCTCAAATTTAACGCATCAAGAAGCCGATGAGCTTCGAAGGCGAGATGGAAAATTAAATAAGCGCGCGTCGACACTGTACCTGTCACTGGTGACATGCACCAGGCCTTCGACCAATGTTACAGGTGAAGAGGGTTCATTTCCCCAATTGAAGATGTACGTGTCGCAGTCCGATGATCTAAAGGAACCGGGGCCTGGGAAAGACGACTCCCTCCAGACCGTCACGACATCAGACAAGGGGTATTTGGGCATGGACATAGAGGCAGACAGCGATGTCTGGATAAGTGTTGTGGCAGACAACACTACATCGTACTCTGGATCCTATAGCTATAATATAGCAGCCTCGATTGATGAACCTTACTACAATTTGGTCGCTGATCATCCGTTCTTATATTTTGTCGACTCAGACCAATCTGCTGCGTTATTGGTAACCAACAACCTTACGCAGTCTGAGCCTGGCTCTCAAAATTTCAAAGATTGGATGAATGTTAATTCTCCATATACCATGTTCGCGCACAATCTCAACGACACCTCATTGAGCGGCATGGAGTCTTCGTTCTGCGCAGTGAATTCTCTTTCCACGGTCGTCAGCAATCCAAGTAACACCGGTATGACCAGTCGAGGACTAGGAAACAAGCCCAAGGAGCAGTTCTATGTTCAAGGCCTTAAATCCAGTTCTACATATATTGGAATTTTGGGAATGGTAGGAAACTCCAGTACGAATGGAGTTGGGAATAACATTACCGGCGGAGGAGGAATCGTCTGGCAACCGATGAACTTTACCACCAAAACTGGTACGTATTTGAAGACTTATACTTCGCCCATACTCTGCAACATGCTAATTAACTCTTTATAAAGAAAATAACTGCGCTGTCTTATTCAATCTCACATTCTGTGAAGAAGTAGCCTACGCAGTCCCATCCAACCCTAACAAAACAGTCGAAGAACTCCGACAAATCTACGACAACTACACTCGCAAATACTACCAAAACTTCAACTACTCCCTCCAACAAATTCAATGCAACGCATCCCAGGAATCCATGTTTTCCCTAGCAGTCAACTGCACAGATTGCGCCCAAGAATACAAACAATGGCTATGCAGCGTTAGCATTCCGCGCTGTGCAGACTTTAGCTCAAACGAGACATACTTACGAGTCCGTAACGCGGGTCAAGATTTCATCAACGGATCCTCATTACCTGAGAATGATCCTTTCAGGTGGTCTGTTATAACGAATCAGTCACGGAATTCTATCATAGACACGGAAATTAAACCGGGTCCGTACAAGGAAATTCTTCCGTGTAACTATATCTGTCATGATATGGTTAAGTCTTGTCCTGCTGCGTTGGGATTCGGATGTCCGTCTGGCTCTTATATGAATGCTTCGTATGGGGCGCCGAGTTCGAATGGAGATATCACTTGTAGTTATCTTGGTGCTGCTTATTTTTTGAGTGTTGGAGCGAAACTTGGGATTTGGGGAAGTGTGTATATGTTAATTTGCATTTGGGGAGCTTGCTGGTTAATATTGTAGTGATAGTACATGAACTTGAACTTGATTGCATAATGAAGTCGCCGTCATGAATATATTCATTGACAACATATATTCCGTGAATTTATATTCTATCTCTATTCCAATGTATAATCATCTGCAACTTGAAAATAAAAACAGGGTATAAAGCAAAGGTTAAACACCAATCCAATCCAAAAAAGAGATTGCAATGCAATACAATGCAACAACAGCAACGCCATAAACTCATAAATCTGAAGTTCACCACTCCAAATCCCTCCTAACACCCCCATCAGCCTCAACCCTCCGATCCCCCCATCTCTCCCTCCAAACTTCCCTCTCCTCACGCCACAAATCATTCACGCACGGATCACAAGAGCTCCCACAGCACGTCCCTAGTTCCGGTGGAGGAGGCGGATCATCAAAGGCACGGCCTGCAGCTTTCAAAAGTTGTTTGGTTCGGGTACCTGAAAGTCGCTTTTTTTGGAGTGCTTTGAATTTTGGGACTTGGTTTGGAGTGAAGTAGGGAGTTGGCGAGGTGGTTTCATTTTCATTTTCATTTTCATTTCCATCTTCCTTGGGCTTTTGCTCCTTTTCTTTCTCTTTCGTTTTGTCTTCTGAGGGTGGCGTTTGGGACGAGAGAAGGGAGCTGAATGGGGATAGAATTGATGAGATCAGATTTGAGGTTGAGGTTGAGTTTAATGTTGTAGTAGAGGCAGATTCTGTAGTCTTAAAATCATGATCCTGTGTGGATTCATTCTTTGGGGTTGACTTTGTATTTGCATTTGGTGGTGGTGGCGATGTTGAGTTTTGTATCGATGATCCAGGGACTTTTTCCTGGCCAGGAGTAGTACTAGAGTCTATGCTCATTGCGAATATATACACCAAATCAAAAATGTTTGAATATTTTAAGTATAGTCCGTCTCCAATGTAGACTAGATTTCAAGTTCTTGACTTCAATCTTGATTGATAGAGATGACTTGGGCGGAAGAATGTTCTGCCCGCGTATAATCAGCAACTGAGATCATGTGTTTAACGAGATAGGCATGGTATATAACCATTAGCAAACTTACTTTTTGAGATGCGTTATAAGATACTAGTATTATTTGCTAGGTGAGAATGAGGGTAGAACCGAGAGGCAATGTAGGAAGAGATCATGATGAAAAAGCCCGAGGTCGGGCCGGATAGGATTGGTTTCCTGTTCGTTCCGATTACCCGCTCTATACTCGTACCGGTGGACTTAGGACCTCGGGGTATAGTCTTAGTATATCTCGAAGCTTAACTAAGTAGAGGACAAAAGTGTTCAATAGGAAAGTAAGGTTCTATTTTTGTACTTTGAGCTATGGTAAATACTAACTGCTCCAGCCATATGTGCATTGGTCAAGAACCTTTTAACTATCACCAAAGTGATACAGGTTGACAAAACTAGTCAAATCAACAAACAGAACAAATGAAATCAAACGCCAGTCCAGTGGTATCATAATCATAATCATAAAATCTACCTCTAAAGAGGAATATCACTTACGCCGCGGCGTAGGAGTCCATATATTTCTCAAACCAGACCTAGACCCTCCAGCCGGAGTACGCGGTGTACTTCCAACCTGCGATAACAAATTCTGCGCAGCAGGAGTCAACGACTTCCCGTGGGAACTAGACCCAGAGGGCGTAGAGGTGCGCAGTCCAAGATCCAGCCGTGGACTGCTAGCGAATCGAGGAGTTGAAGACACAGGCGTCTTAGTCACACGGGCTGTCTTCTCAGCACGCTTATTCCGCGCAACACGATCTACCATTCGGTGATGCAAAGCTTCTCTTTTACGAGTCTCACGCAGTTGGAATGGATTAGGTGTTGAATCGCTAGAACCTAGAAGACGCCAGTCTGCCTCGAGAGATTCGGATGATTCCATTTCGGATTCGGGCTCGGATTCATCTTCATCGACAAAGGCGTATCCGTTTACTCGTGGTGTTTCGCCTCCTGGGAAAACAGATGCCTCCGACTCGCCTAGATGAGGACGCCCAGCAATAGCATCTTGAATAGCGGAGAGAGAAGGCGACGATGGCACTTTATTCGTGGCGTCGGCTGCGGCGGCGGCATCGGCATCTAGAAGTCTCGTGTTTTGGTATAAGGTTCGCTTTGGCGCTGCTCGGGAGTTTGCTTCGGCCTTTTGCGCTAGGGTCTCGTGTGTATCTTCTACCGAAGAGGGAAGGAACATGAGGGTATTGTCGGGGCGGGATTTCCAATGATCAGGTCTTGCCGGGCGAGCGTCGAGATTTGTCTTGATGTCGGGTTCAGATACATCATCTTTTCTGATTAAGGCGGTTTCTGGATTCCCACCCTGAGTCGTGATGCGCTTCGCCTCGTTTTTATGATAAGCGATCTGTCGTGCAGAAGGGATTTTGTTATCGTTCCAGAGCCAGTCATTCTGTTCTCGACGCTTGGCGTTCTGCTTGTCTAGAACTTTGTTGAAGGACTCATTATCCTCGCTAGTGTATTTGGCTTGGAAAGCAAGAAGTCCCATATTCGAGACATCAGGAGTATTCGGGGCTTGACCATCAGTTGCGGTGGCAGTAGTTGAAACTGACGCAACAGACATCGGTGTATCGCCTCTCCAATCTCTAGGTGTCTCGTCTGATCGGCCGGACGGAAAATGTTGCGGAGTACCCGCTACCGATGAGGTGTCGGTGTATCTCCGCGCATTTGAGCCTGGAGTTGGAGTACGCATGACACCGGCAAGCTTCATTTTGGAGCTTTTGATCCATTCTTTATCTTTGGATTCGAGTGCGTCGAGGTATTCTTGTTTCGCTTGGGTTTCTAGTAGACCCGGGAAGAAGTCGCGGGCAATGATATGGGAAAGAGCGCTCGTGTAAACATCTTCGTCGAGGACGGTTGAGGGACGTTTGATTCGTTTTGGAGGAGGTGGAGGTGGCATTAGTTGACCGTCTGGTCGCTTGGCTAGAGCCTGCGACTGCGACGGTGGAGACGCCATGGTTACGTGGGAGAGAAAGGAACGAAGACGAAAGACCGAATTGGTGGAGGTTGACCGATAAGAGATAAGAGGTGAGGTCAGATGATCTGCCTCCGATGCAACCCACCCGCATTATGATTGGATCAGATATAGATCTACAAGTATACAGACTACTGTATTTAAGGAAATTCAAATAAAATAGAAAAAAAAGATGGGTGCACCATGGATTTTGCCCGTGGCTCTATAGTCACACACATGAAGATAAACAAATAAGAAAACGGAGAATAGCGAATGTCCCAATCCTTTCAACCTTTCCAATGTATCCTCATTTTCCATGGGCTTTCCGTTTCCCTCCAGACACCAAACAAAGATCGCTGAGAAATGCATTCAGACCAAATGACCAAACAATTTGAACACGGCTGACAACCCTCCCAATCAAAAGCATAAGTAAACAAATAAAAAAACAGGTCATGACTCATGGAGAATTCTATAAAGGGGGTGGGGGTGGGGGGTAGAGCGAGCGAAAAAGCAGAGAAACCAAGATATGCGAAACATATTTTTCTCTCCCCCTTAGAAAACAAAATTGGGTGAAAAGTGAAGTGAAGCTTAGTGTAGTGAGTTGATGTGATAAGAAAAGAATACCAACGCTTAGTGAGCAGCTGTTGGGAAAAGAGAGTATGAGGGGTTGCGAGTCTTTCTCCGGTTCGGGTTCTTAGGAGGAACCTGAGGCAGAGGAGCCTCGTTGCCCTTGGTCAGCCTAATATCTTCCTCGGAGATCGAGTTGACACGGTCATGATACAAGACAGAAGAGGTAGAGAAATCTTCTTCATTGATAAGGCTGGGGCTGCTGCTACCCGCCTGGAGTAGCATATGAGCCTCGGCCAAACTCTTAGTCTGTCGATGATGGGTAGAAGAAGCAGGGCGGCTGATGCTTGAACCGGCAGCCAAAGCTTCAGCAGCAGTGAGACGATCGGTAGGCATCAGTTCGCGGCTGCTTGAAAGGCTGTGAATCAGCTCGGGGACGCTAGTCGTGGAAACCGACGAGCGGTGCTTGCGGACGATAGAAGCTGCGCGGGAGAGCATCAAGCTCTCTTGAGAGTTGCATTTGCTGATTGGAGAAAAGCTGCTCCGGGGAGAGACGGGGTTGTTGTTCTCCGAAGATGAAATCATCCCTTGTGAACAGAAGGGGAAATGCCGATCTGATTCTGCATCAGCGGCGAGGTAATCCTCATAGAGTGTTTCTTGGGGGATTTGCTTGCTCAATCCGGATGGCAAGATCGAAGAACTGACAGGTTGAAAGTAATCTCCCGTGTTCCGAACAATGAAGTCCCGCTCAAATTCGGTCGACGATGGGGTAGCAGTCGAGTGGAAAGGTGTTGACTGCGCTGGGCTGTTGTCAAGCTCTGGAGTCGGGAGGGTAGTAGTGCTCAATGGGCTTGGCTGGAGATACCGGGTCTTGGGAGCACCATGCCAATTATCCTCAGTGCAGGTTACGCTGATTGGAGGATGTTGTTGGGTCTCTTCGAGAGAAGTGCGCGACCAATCGAAGTTGCAAGTCGACTCAGCCGCATGCTCATAGCAGTAATCGATATCGGCGTCCCATGAGTCATATGACACATCCTCATAATGGAACTGCTGCACGCTGGAGACGGTGGAAGGCGGAGTGAACTGCAGGTCGTCCTTGGGGGGAGTTTCAGGTGCACATTCTGGAAGATTCTGTGGCAGAGTTGGCGAGCCCAAAGCTTCAGAAAACTGTCTTGACAGTTCTTCGGCAACAAAGATAGATAGTGATCCCTTGGGAGCCTTGATAGTGGACATGTGAGTTTCAGCCGGCAGTTGACTCACTTGGGAGACTGAGCGAGAATGAGCAGCAATGCTAGGCTCAGGGCTATCCCACATGCGAGTCGCCTCCACCTCCTCTGGTACATCTTCCAAGTCATAGTGGCTACTCATTGATGACGTACGAGCGGACAAATCATCAGAGACATCCTGGGCATACTGGAGAGAAACAGATGATGATGAGTGTGCTGAGTCGATGTCCTCAGGGTACGTCTTTGAAGTCGACAATCCCAGAATCTCATCAATAGCACGGGGAGCTGGAGCGGGCTCTGCGACTTCAGCGGGAACCACCTCGGATGTAGCTGGGGGCGGGGGAGTTGTAGGACAGGATCGAGGATATCTAGACACGGGACGTGAGAAATTCTCATTGATGCGAGAGTCTCGTCGAACATGGCCGGGGAATTTGGGGGAACTCGATTGCGGAGGCGAGCCTGGTGGGCTTTGGAGAGTTGGTTCATCAACTGTAGTAGCTGTTCCATAGGTGGTCAAATCATTGGCTGAGAAGTTGTTGAAGTGAATGTCGTTGGCACGAATGCCCTTGAGACCGGTCTCAGGACGCTGGGAAGCACGAATGACAGAGAACTCGGTGACGAGATCATTCTCTCGGGTTTGATCTAAAGATTGGAATTGAGCCGGGCTGGTATGAGTAAGATGATGAAAGTCGAATGGATCGGAGATGAGGCTCTTTAATCGGCCATCTGCACGTGCGAAGTAAGCCCGTTAGTCAATTGCTAATTGCAGTGATTTCCCCTTTTTATATCAATTGATATGCTTGCTTGTATCATGATAACCATAACAACCACAACCTTGGAACTCTTATGCACACTTACGTTGCTCATTGCGAGATCGGCGGCCAAACATATCGGATTTCTCGGCACGAGGTTTCTCCTGTCTGTCACGATCAATCTCATCCTCCTCGTCCAGCGTGGCGACGATATTGATCTTGCTTCCTTGACGACGAAGAATGCGGCTCCCTCTGGCAAGGAATGAACGCGAGGATCGATCTGATTTATCCGAGCGAAGACCCAACGAAGAAGTGGTACGTTCGTCTTGCGACGAAGCAGGACTGTCCATGGAAGAGGTCATTGAGGAACCGGGTGAACGACGTGACGAAGTAGAAGTGGTGGTATTGCTTCTAGAGCGGCCGGTAAAGACAGACAGACGTTTGGGACTATGGGAATTGGCCTGGGCAGTAGATCTAGAGCGAGCATGGGCAATGTGCTCTAGGGGATCGTTGGAAGAGCGAGTGGATGGGGGGTCACTGAGCCCGTCGTCGTCCCAGCTAGGCCCACGTGAAAAGGACATAGATTGGGGATACATTTGGGGGTCAAATTTATAAAGATTCAAGGCAGGATCTTTCCCCCAAGTTAAGTGCGGATAGGCAGAAGCACTAGCGATTGGGCTTGTTTCATGATATCTTGGTGTATTTTCGGGAGGAAAGAAATTGGGGGAAAGATTGAATTGAATAATATGAATGAGGGGAGGTTTAGTTGAAAGAGTAGGCAAGAGACATGAAGCACACCCAACCGTGGTGTATGAGACTCGGTCGTTTTTCTTTTTTTAATCCCAGGAGATTGGGTCGGGGCGGAGTTTCTTACATATAGCGCTTTAGTGTCATCTCGTGGTGGTAATGAGCTTGTAAAAGTACTGATACTGAAGTGGATCCCTTTTGGAGAGAAGTGGAAGTGTCCACCTTTTCAGGGGCGCCGCACCATGATTCGATGACGCCCTAACCGTTGCACAGTGAAGACGTATGCACCCGTCGTCGTGCGACTCATTTCTTTCTTTGTTATGATCTTGTCTTGGACGATGGGCGATAGTTCACATCTCTAGTTTGAGATCCGTTTCTTTGTTTCAGACCAAATTTCATGGCTGTTTAGAAACTATCTAGATCCGTTTCAATATATTGAATCCTAATCTTCCTCCTTTCCCTTTTCCTTCCTCCATTTCCCCTCCAGGAATCCAGTCCCAGTTATACGGAGCCGAAACCCAAAGGATGTAAGTAACTTTAGTGTCATGCACCGGGTCAGGGGTGGACTTCCTGAACGTGTTTGAGCGTAAATGTGGGGATATGGCCCGCTTAGCCCCGACGAGTAAGTATCGACAGTGGCTTGTAATGAAAAAAATACAGATAATTACACCTTGAAATCAGACTGAACTGCGCGAATTACATACAATTTGGATTCTATAGTATATTTATTCTATTTTAATAATTATTCTAGTTCTCTGCGCAGTATGTCGGACTACAATGATTTGTTCCGAGGTTGGGGGCTTCGATGTTTCGTATACCCTCGCTGCGTACATGGAATCTGTGGAATGCGCATATGCATGTACCATCTATACCTGCAGGAGATATCAACTGCAGTATACTACATCACCCAAGGCTCTGGCAAGTCCTTCTTTTTAGTTTCTAGCCTCGTAGGTTCTTTTTCCAAAAATTTAATATATTTTCCTTTCTTTTTCCCCGCGTCACTAGCGCCAGCCTCGGCTGGCTAACGGTTTTCTTCTTGAAATTAATCTCTGATGTACATGTTTCAATGTTCGTGGGGACCCATGAGATTCCCGGCACAATACTTCCCGGATCGGTATTTAGTATTGTTTCTTAGGGCTTAAAAGATAGACACGGTCACAGATCGGACCCCGGTGGAGAGACTCACATCTGGATCGTACGGTAATCTATATCTGGGGGAATCTGGAATCTGGACATGTGTCGTCCCCGGCAGTTCAATGATAGAATTAGGAAGTTAGTACATATTATAAGATTCATGTACTGCCCAGATACCTAGTTAAAAAAGCCACATTCTTGCCAACATGACTCCGTACCTAGGTCCTCTACATGCCTAGGTAGCCCTACAGAAAATGGCACGAGTCAAGAAAATACCCACCTGGGCACCACCAACTTCAATAATTACCATTAAAAATGTAAAAAGTAGATCCTTACTGCTAGTATCCGTCTTATCACAGATCGGAGACTGCCGTGGGTTATCGGATCTGTTTCTGTGTGCCCTATTTGTCTCTCTTTGTATCCATCCGGGTGGAGGTTTTTTACCTTCCCGACCCTGGTCAACTACGGTCAACGCCCGCTGCAAGAACACTGAACTTCTCCGGAACTCACCGGTCGCACATGCGGAAGAAAATGAAAAAAGTTTGAAGACATGCATGCTATCTTAGACTCCTGAAAAAGTAGATCTACACAAAAAAAAAGAAAAAGAAGAAGAGAAACTCAGGGGGAAGAGGGGGGAAGTTGGAATTCATGTTTCCCCTCAACGCGAATCCATGGTTGGAGCTATTATGTTCTTCCATTCTTCCCGTGTAATTTATATCTGTATATATCTGTAATACAAGTGCAATCTCTCCAGGGCTTCAGATTAGTGGGAATGTTTGGTGACAAGTCTCATAACGTTCAAGAGAGCCTCTAGTCTCTAGTCCCTAATCTCGAGCCTCTGTTAGCCACAAAAGCCCACATTTTCAAGCCCTACGGAACACAACCGATAAATCGTCATTTTGGCTTTTTTTATGATTGTTTGTTTTTCCCACTTGATACACCTGAATAGTGGGGAAAGGAGAGAGAAACCAACTCGTGGAGCCCGTTCCATCCCAAGTTAAGTTCAAGCTAACGCAGCGAAACAAGAGAGAACTCCGACCGAACACACTGTACGAATTCAAAAATCCATAAGGAAAAGGAAAAAGGCGCCAGCGTCTCAGAGACGCGGCTGGGACAAAACTCGCCCAAAGTCAAAACTTGCCCTGCTTATCCATGTTATCCTTTCTCAGTGGCTACGGTCACCGTCCGATAAACCCACCATCGGTGGACTCCTGACGATCCCCCTCGTCTAGAACTGGCCATGCCCAGCACAAAATGCGACCGGCTCCTGATTACGGACGATCGCTTCGTTCGCGATTGTACCAGGTGGAGTTCTCCGTACTGAATATAGACTACGGAGCTGACTGACCCTTTGAGGAGAATTCCGGTTCTATCTCGTGGGTTGCTGCTGCTCTCTTCTCCACCCGGTCGTCATGGGCGAACCTGCCAGGGCCCATGCGCACAGCACAACGCGACACTGGGCTCGACGGTACGGAGAAGAGAAGCGGCATATCCAATTCCAACACTAGCAGCACAGACATGAACTAATACACAGAGATACCGATACTGATACAACAGACGCGTTCATATCAATTCAGATTAAGTGTGAGGGTGAGATTTGGATCTCTTGCGCACTGTAATCTGCATCCTTCGAACTTCACTGTGCCCGCTGTCTGCCGAAGGATGCATCAATCCTCCACAAACTTGTTTCCACAAACCTGATGAAGTAAATAAAGAACCCATTCCAAATCTCCCGTGGCTTGGACTTGGGGCCAAAAAACCAACTTCACGTCAACCGATCCCGAGCCAACATGAAAACCCCCGGGGCCAATTCACGGCCTCTGATGGGGCCCCCTGGTCCAGGTCAAGACAAGACAAGACCTGGAGAGAACATTCCATCCAGAGCACAGAACACGAATCAATGCGATCGCCAGTGAAGAATGCCATCTATAGTAAAAGCTTCTTATCGCACAATCGCACATGATTTGAACTTCCTGGATGTTATTGCAACGCTATGTGGCCCCCGCATTACTACTACATGCTCTACAGTAGTCCTCCCGTACCCCGTACTCCGGACATATTAAAATGGTTAATGGTTAATGGTTCCTGAGAATCCTGACGGCCCTGCCGAGAAGAACCAGTTCGACATCATGTTGATCCATGGATTGAATTCCCGAAGGAACTGGATATGCACATTTAAATTTACTATACTCTTCACGATTGGCGTAAGTTCCCCTATCCACTGTTTCAAGCAGGAGAGATCGTCCTACAACCTTGGAATACCAATTGGCCCCTTTTTAGTGTATAGAAAGCGCATTGGCATTGATACGCCTTCAACATCATTGAAATGTATTCTCCGTATACTCCATTCAATCCTCCGCTCCATAATAAGATAGTACAGTTAGATGGAAGACTAGTCAAAATAGAGGGGGCCAGACCATTTCGTGATCTTTCGTCATTCGCTGCCATCGGTGTCGCACTTGACTGATTGTAACCCTAGGGCCGTGGAGACCCATATTTGGCCCCAGACGGGACACATAACGGTCAGATTTAGCCCGAGACTGGCGCGCGAGCCTCTCGCTTGCGAATAAGGCTTCGTGTCGATTTTTATTAGTATTTGTTTCGCCCGTCGCACCCTCGGGCCTCTTATCCTGCAGGGACGAAGGATAGGACAGGAACAGGAGCTATGTCAGGTACAATTGTATTCTACGGAGCGGAAGGATCCATGAGATTATTTCTAATTTTATTTCTAATTTCATTCGGATTCTCATGTTCTTCACGCTTGTTGCTACAGTAATCTGTACGTAATTTACTCAGTAGTTAACAGCCAGCTAATTGTACCGCGTGGTCTCATATCCGATCGAGGAATCTATGCTGATGCGATCAACGTGGACCTTACATTTTCAGATCTAATGATATCAGCATATTCCTAGATTGTACAATGCATTACCATACTGACTTCAGCCTGTACGAAGTACGGTGATCAACCATGGCTACTCGAAAATCTCAATTACAATTTCCATAATTGTCCCAGCTCAATGGGTCATCATAGTCGATCACAACGCCCCATAATATGAACTAATAGGGGCTAAAATGAACTAGTTACTATAGCAGGTGTCACTATGCAGACTATACAGAGCCTTGAACTATGATTAGCAACAGAACCGAACTAACAACGTCATATTATCTTGTCAAATTAGACGTTAAAATTATAGACATGATTAAGATTATTGTATACGGGGCACCAGTAAGTTCAATATCCCAAACGCCAAGCCCAGAAAGAAAACTTTTTGAATGAACGACTCAGAGTCACAATAAATAGTAGACTATTGATTTCATGAGTCAGTATGTTGCATCTTAATCATAACCATAGGCATGTCACCTTACAAACTCGTAGACAGCAGATTTCCAGACGATTGAATCAGTTTAAACATCAGGATCAATGACCGGAATGCCCACATCGGCTGGACCAATACCGAGGCCACCCACATCGATATCTGTGGACCGTTTGGCATTCTTCACTCCAGTGGTGGTTCCATCCCCTGCAACATTGGCACCGACACCGAGGTTACCGATTAGGTCTTCTTCATTGCGCTTTGCGTTCTTGACACCGGTAGTATCGCCGTCGCCTGCAACATTGAGACCAAGGCCGAGGTTACTAACACCATCCTCAGATGAGCGTTTATCAAAGGCTTTGGCAAAGTCGGATGCCAAGTCGGCGTAGTCGCTGATAACACCGTTCTCTTCACGCTTGGCATTCTTTACGCCAGTGGTGGTTCCATCTCCAGCGACATTAGCACCGAGGCCGAGATTGCCAATGAGATCATTCTCTTCACGCTTCGCGTTCTTGACACCGGTAGTGGTTCCATCCCCCGCGACATTAGCACCGAGGCCGAGATTGCCAATGAGATCATTCTCTTCACGCTTGGCATTCTTTACGCCAGTGGTGGTTCCATCTCCAGCGACATTAGCACCGAGGCCGAGGTTACCGATCAGATCTTCGTCGGCACGCTTTGCGTTTGCTGTGCCAGTGGTGGTTCCATCTCCCAGGAGATTAAGGCCCAGGTCAAGGTTACGTATAAGGTCGTCCTCTGAACGGGCTACGACAGCGTTGTCACCGCTCAAGATGATGGGGACGGCGGCGGCCGTCACGGCGAAGAGAGCTGCAATGCGATACTGCATTGTGGGATTCGAGGCGGTTGTCGAAGGTCCGATCTTGTCAATTCAAAGTTGCCAATTGGTAGCAGGACGAAGATAAAATGAAAGAAGAGAAAGAAAGGATCAAGAGGAACAAGAGACCAGGGGAAGAAGCAGTGCCTTAAGTACCTGAGGTCCCTGAAGTTGAACAAGACATCTTACTTGAGGTCGAAGAAGCACGAGAACGACCTGGAAATGCTTTGCCTATTGGTAGAGCATACACCGGGTGTCATTTCCGCTTTGTTCAAGGCCTATAGTTGGTATAGAGCAAAGTCAATGACATACTACGTGAAGCATGCAATGGCATGCAATAGTTGATTTTACGGGGGATACTCCAGGGAAGATACCACAAGCCAAGCTTGAAAGTGGACAAAGTACCCTCTCTAGCAAACAGGAACACTCCGGAACGCACAGTGGGGAAATCTCTTCAAAGTTTATGAACAGCTGTCATACCGAAGCTCATGTGAAGAGCTCTCTCCTGACAACTCCTGTTCCGAACCAGTGGGCAAGTCGGGACCATCAGAGCTTTCCTAGGTGGCAACTCCTTATTTAAAGAGAGAGAGCGCGAGACGTTATTGATGGTGACACTTTTATTGACGATCACTAACTATTTAGGAATCAATGGGGAAGAATGGGGAATGGTGATCTCATCAGTTCGGGTTGGTTACAGAGCTTCTGTAGATCATTTCCTTCTTCTCATCATGATTGATCAACATATGAACATATTACTGACGAACACTATATAGTGATGCTGAACCATACTAATACCTTATACCGAGTTGAGTTCCTAGAATGCAGAATTTGAAGTTCGCCACCTTAAAAAAGCCGCATCTAAATTTGACCTTCCATGCCAAGCTTAACCTTATCCTGAATAAAGTTGGAGCCGCTACTTTACTGCCCTCTGATTCGAACACTTTATTCATCGGAGTTAAAACTATCGCCATGCGAGATTTCCGAAACAAAAAAGCCTCTCCATGAGAGTAAGGTGAAATTTCTATCTTGTCGCTTGACATTGCTCTTGACCCACTGAAAGAGGGACAAGTCCCACTTTTCTACTTTACTTTCCATCCCCCCGGGTCGTACATGGTAGTATTCCGGATATCTGGGAAGGAGAAAGTTCCTCGTTCCTTGGGGACAAGTATGCAACTTTGAACTTCTACTGCTATTCTAGTATCTTCGACAGAGTTCATGAAAAATTAGAAAGTTTCTTTTTTTCTCATGAATGCGATGGTTTTCTATGTCTTGGGAGTGTTCATTAACTTCAAATATGGGGGTTTTCCGTTTTCATCTACAGTACGCCGAGTAGTTCAAGTTTGGCTGTAGATCTATGATCAAATTGGAATGGGGTGCTTAGTTGAGACTATGGCGTAGTATTGGAATATGCTCTCCTTGAATATGCATGGTTCTATGGTCATCATGTTTGCTAAATCGCCGATTTGTATCGGACGAACTAGTCTGCCCAGTCAAAATAGATGCTGATATCGCTTGCATCAACACACCCAGTCATTCCTCTCGCCTTGAACTCTACATCGAGGGCTTCGTGAACCTTGTCGAAATAGTTTTTCTCTCCGTGAACATCAATACCCAGAACCAAACTTGTATGGATCATCACATCGAAGCTCTGCTTCGCTAGTGACGAGATCTCTTCGTCTGCACAAGACGTGAGCTCTTTCAAACGAAGTATCCAAAAGACCCATCGAGAAAGACTAAAACCAGGGCCGTTTATGTTTGCTTTGACCGCCTTGTTTCGAGGCTCGATTTCAGCTCCGTGGTCAGATGTAGTAAAGTCAGGCGGGGAGGGGCTGTAATTCTTTGCTGCCATAGTAACAAGCTTGTAATTTGCATTCGATAACCACGCAAAGCAAGCGGGAAGTAGGTCGGCAATTGTAGACTTTGGTGTTGAACCCTCATGCTGAGATTTGTCACCACCTTCATCCGTATTGCCTCTCAGAGGTATCTCTTCCTCAAGTGTGTTTTTCAGCAGCCATAGACCTACAAAACTCAATTCATTGTCATATGACCCAGCTACGTAGAGTTTAGCTGTGAATGCAGCCAGACTTTCACGCTCACGGGAAGTGAAGTCTTGCGATTTGGTGATCCAGTCGTTCTGTAGGTCTCGCGCAAGAAACGGAAGGTTGCTGTCGTTTTCTTCTTCGTCGCGGGGAAAAGGAATATCCTTGCTTTCCGTCTCGCCACTCTGAGTTCGATGACTGAAAATTCGGAGCGCCCCCATGGTAATCAATAGGAGTACGAGCTTATCCTGTTCTGGACTGATGGCGGGAGTGACCTTTGCGGTTTGTACAAGCATCTTCCACGTATTATGCAGCATATCTTTCACCGCCGTGGTACATTCACAATGGAGCTTTGAATGTCCTCAAAGTTTTCACTTGAGCATGCAATGTTGGGCTCGTACAGAGCTTGGTTCTCTGTGGCATCATTCATGGGGAGTAAACATCGACCGGCACAATCGTTGTCAGGAGGTGGGTCCGACATTATATGAGGATAAACAGAAGATACGGGTAGCTTCAGAGCACTAGAAAGCGTGTGAGGCAAATGTTTTAAAGGAAACAAGAACTAAGCTGCCTGGAAGCATGTGACGAGGACAAAGACATCTGGGGTGGCATGATCTACTACTAGTACATACCTATGTACTGGATTTCTCCTGGTGAATTTTGGTTGCTCTTTACGGATTAGTGCTCACCCTCTCGCCGCTTTTGCTCACTGAGTAGAATTGAGCACGGCCTCCGGCGCATTGATCGGCTAACTGAGCCTTATGTAAGCTCAGGCGCAGGCTCAGTGAGCTGATCAGTCAGCTCAGCCCCGGCTCACTGAGCCTGCTCCCACCCATGTAGTTCACCCACCAATCGCACCAAAGAGGGCTACCAGTATGAGATAGCCATCCAAATAAAACGCACAGCGCTAGTGGACATGTGTGGATCTACTTTCAAATCAGTCTCCCATTTAGAAAGAGATGGCTTGGTGCATATGGACCGTGTCATATTGAGGAAATAATTAAGCTTGATGGGGGTAATGAATATAGGGAAGGCCGCTAGAGTTAAGCACGGAGGAGAGAGAAAGAGCAATACCAGGCAATACCATCCAATTTTACTATTACGTTCCTAAAAAGGCTTAGCGTAGACTTAGGACATGCAAGACTTTTGGTTTCGTCCTCCGTACTGATTTGGCTAATATTCTGACACTTGTCAATATACATCTTAAGATTAGGCTTAGCTCCAAAGACATTTTCTACTGCACACCCAATTAGGCTTAGCTCTATTTACTGCCTAGCTAAAACATAGATAGAAGGCGGTGAGACGCGACTGTATACTGTATAAAGCCCGGCTCCACCCCCTTGCAGAACTTCCTCTTCAACCAATCACACCATTCCCCTCTTCCCCCACTTCTCATTACGCCCAATCATATCATTCCTTCCTCAGGTCCCACTATCACGATGGCACAGACGGTGAGTCTACACTTATGTTCTGTATTTGGCTGGTGCTAATATTAAGCCAGAATATGGACCGCGCTCTGGGAGCTCTTGATGATTACGTGAAGCTGAATACCGAGGACAACACGGCTGAGTTCCTCAAAGACTTCCTGAAGGTTCTCCAACCGTTTCCTGAAGGTCAATCAACTCTCGCGAATGACATAGCCAAACTCACCACACCGGCCGGCTCCCCTGACCACCCAAGACTGCGCCAATTAGTCCAAAATCTTCGTACTGCGCTTGTGATCCCGCTGAAAGCCAAAGGAGGCAAAACACCTGCTATCACTCCTTCTCCCCGTCAAGGCGTCGAAGACTCTATCGAAGACCTCAGAGGCCTAGACATCAGCCCTATCACCCGGAGCCTACAACGTGTTCTGGGAAAACACTGCCTGGAGAGAGATGGGAATCGATGCGTGATCACAGGATTTCATCTTAACCATGAAGGGGCCCCAAGGAATGCGCGGATCGCTCCTCTAGAAGCAGCGCATATAATTCCAGTCGCCCTTGGTTCGTTCGACAAGTATGACCCAGAATCTGTTACCCGCCATCGGACCCTTTGGAATACTTTCGCGAGGTACTTCCCAGCTGTTGAACGATACTGCCAGGACTCTACTCTGATTAACGAAGAACGCAATATTCTTACGTTGACAAGTACGCAACACCGGGAGTTTGGAGAGTTTCGACTTGTACTTGAGGAGACCAGAGTTGTGAACCAATACAAGGTTAAGACTTTTCGCGATACATACTACGAAGCCAAACAGAACATCCCAATTAGCAAAACTATCAAGTTTAAGAAACATGCAGGAGAGTGGGACTTGCCCGACCCGATGCTGATCAAAGTTCACGCCGCCATCGGAAATTTTCTCCATATGTCGGGAGGCGGGGAATCTATCGATAGAATTCTCCGAGAAATTGACGACCACGATTTATTTGCCTCAGATGGAAGTTCGAACCTCGCAGATCTTCTACAAGTCAGTTTATCATTGAATGAATCTCGACGCAACCAGATGGCAGAGCGAGAACAAACGGAAGAAAAGCAGCAGCAGAGGCGGGCGCAAGGCAAAGGGTCCAAAACTGAGAACCAGCCGTTTACTTAAGCTTGGGTATCTTACAAACCAATGGGTCAATAGCCTTCGACTCCTTGAGAAAATGGAGCATACTGTGGTAAGCTGCCAATTTATGGTAGCAAAAGCTGCTGGAAAACATTTCATAATGAATACTCGTAAAGAGAATCGAGGAAAATATGAGTCCCTTCCGTAGAAAAAAATCGAACGCATTCTACCAAAGCTTCTTTGATCGTAAATCATTTAAACCAGAATCAAGCTCACAGAATCACTGAAGAATGGTCAAAAATCAAAGATCGGACACGTAATCAATGAACTGTAATTGCCTTTTGGATATTGATTTTCGTACCCTCATACTCAAAATGTACCTTCTAATGTTGCATGGGGGTGAGTAATCTACAGGGAAACACTAAAAAGTACCGTTAGATGATCCCACACTTCTACTTATCTATCATTCTTACCACACCCTATTCCACAAGCTCAGCGCGTACAAGCACGCACAAGCACGCACAAGCTCGACACGTCACGTACCGCACATCACAAAGTATTCGACATTATTAAGTTTATAATTCCAGTACTAAAAATACATCAAAATTTTTTAAAAAAATAGATAGTGCTTTCGTTACAAAATAAAGGGTCATCAAATTCAGTATAAACAAATTAATTAATATTATGGAGAACTCTAGACTAGGTATGGTAGGCTAGATATTAAATAGATGCCTCTAGAGAATCCATGAGATAAGTCAGCGAAAAATCATAAGCACGATCACTGAGTGCTCAGTGAGTGCTCACTACTCTATCACGTGACAAGGAGGAGCACCTCACTAAGCCTAAGCCCAGACTGAAAACTACTCAGTGAGCCTGAGCCTGAGCAACCTCATTAAAGCGGCGGTCACTAAATGCGGTAGCCCCACCCGTCAGGAAAAATCCAGTACGTACAGTATACCTAGGTACTTACCTACAAATGTATCTATGTAGTATCTAGGTTTTACCTTTGAATATTCAACTTCCATATTTGTTCCCATGCATATCTAGAGCCCTTAAGAGCAAACTATGATCTTGGCATACAAGGCCATTAATATCTCATACAAAGTTGACAGCAAAGATACTTCGGTCCTAGGCATAAATAACAACTCATCGTTGGTAATTTCCAAGTAGCATCAGTCCTTCTTGATATCTTTCTTACTACCTATAAAACAAACAATGAAGCTCAGTGCCATTCTTATCGTGGTACTACTTGAGCCGATGCTCGCGCAAGGTATGGCTCGTCGGGACAATTCAGCTGAGAAAACTGATCTTGCTGAGCTTGAAGACGATTACAATGTTAACGCTAATCTTGGTGATAGTCCCTCATACTTAGATGAGAATTTGAAGTCGCCGGATGTTAATTCTTTGACTCTTGAGAAGAAGAATGAAGAGCGGCGGTGATTTGCGCACCATATTTTGATACTTGCTCATGATTCCTGGCTAATAAGCTCCAGGCGATGCGACTCTATTTTTAAATTTGTGTTTTGTTTTTCAGGTTGTATATCTCCAGGGTTTGAAGATAAATGGGACCCGTCTCAAGAGAATTCTACTGTAAGCAAGACCCTCGAAGATGGTCTTACTTCTTTGGGAGCTTGTATATCCCCGTCCCATTGAAATAATCTACCCAAAAAACAGCCAGATAACTATGTAGCTTCCCGAGCTATAGGGCATCCCCAATCCACTCAATAAAATACAATGCATGTCGAACCATCTAGACTTTGCCTTCAAATGAGACGGACGAGATAAATACCGAAACATGCATGCTGCATACTACAAGCCCGCATGCATGATCGGGACTACCCTGCACCTGTATCCTGTATTTTACATGCAGCTCAGCAGGTTAAGGAGAACCGGGAATGAATTCCTGTAACATTGCGGAGTCTGGCCGAGATACATACTACGACATGCATGCATGGCGTCCTTACATATAGCCTAGTCTGATATCCGATCTGTATGTATCACTTGGAGTACGTACTTATGTCTTTCCTTACTTATCTCAGTATCAAACTCGAAGACATACTATACATCTGAAGTCCTAAAAAGACCCGGTGAGTCTGGTTTCCTTACTAGTAAACTTGAACAATAGACTTGTACATTCCATCATCGATGGCCGTACACACTTCCAACTTGACCTTCTACACTGAGCACTACTAGCACACATGAGCAAAACCAAAATGTATACGGACCTCGGATCGTTATATATACCTACCTGCCTTGTAAACAAATAAACTTCAGCGCACGGATTCAAGTCCAACAGAAAAACTATACAAAATTCCAATCAGCGCAAATCTGATCCGCCATTTCCTACACAATTCACTAAATGATGCGTAATACGATAGACCACACTAGAACGCTTAGACCTAAGACACTAGACCAGGTACAGTGCATAGACAGGGATCGGAAATTAATCCGTCAGACTGGGTCTGGGTCGGCCGGATGGAATTCGGGCCCCGGGGCTAATCTCATTTCCAGCACGGAGTATTAAATGGAATTGAACGGAATGTTCCCCGTATGATACAGGCGATATTTCATTGGATTGGGTCTCTGATTAATGACATTGTATTGATTCTTTTTTATATTAATTGCGCTTTTAGTGGAATATTGGCCTATCGGCTTGTTGGATGGGTCAAATGTGTTATGGGCCCGGGGCTGCTTATGAATGGATCGGAGATAGATCGGGGTTCAATTTTAATTAAATCGCTTCTGGTCTGTGGTCTTGTTTAGATTAATAAGATTGAATTGGGGCATTTTACGTATTTAGGTACGAAAACAAAGGCTGGTCGGAGTATTGAAGGTTCTATCATGATGCTTTTTTTCTGTCCAAAACAAAGCTCTGTGGTTGCACCTGGGTCGTGTGCTTTGTGGTGATTGATTCTTAGATGTTCATGAGATCTAGCCTAATCAAGTTTATTACTCGATGTTTTGTTCCGAGGTCTGATATGACAAATTTCTTGCCTTGGGTGACCATTAATTCATGGTTAATGTAATACTAAAGGTTACAGTAGATGGATTATAGTTCAGTAGTCAATGGAATACAGATCTATGTAAAGGATGTAAATATCAAGGTATTGAGAATAAACAACTATAAGAAAGGGCTAATTTACACAATAATTGAAGAAATATCTTAGTTTGGGATGGATGCATCTCATCTCACGAAAAGATCACCTGCTACTCGAAACCATCCCAGACGCCTGAACAATTTCTGTGGATGAAACCAAAAAATCACAAAGGACACAATGAACGGATAATATCGTAGTAGAGAAGAGACGGCGCAGCTTAGTCCTCCATTTCTTCATCTTCAGCTGGCTTGGGGGGCTCTTCGTCACCGAAAAGATCTTCTTCGTTGTCGTTGTCATTGTCCTTGTTTTCAGCTGGGGCTGTCTCTTCTTCTTCTTCTTCTTCATCCTCGTCGTCATCATCGGCAATACGGCGGGACATCTTATTGCGACGACGGGGTGCTGCAACCTCTTCATCTTGCATGGGCTCATCGGCGCCGTCGCCTTCACCGAAGAGATCCCCATTATCTTCGCCATCGCCAGGAGTAGGCGGGGCTTCTTCCTCATCATCATCTGAGTCTTCAACTCTCTCGCTGCTCTTGAATTTGCTTGAGGCTTTGCTGGTGCTCTGTGCTTTAGCACCTGAGCGACGCTCAAGACGGCGGCGCTTCTTAGGTGCGGCAGTCTCGCCTTCACTTTCGGGCTCGGCGCTGCCACGTTCCTGATCGCCTTCATCATCAGCAGCAATGAAGTCGTCGCCACCCTTCTTCTTACGCTTCGAGGTAGGCTTCTTCTTGCGTTTGATCTTCTCCCCAGTCGCTGAATCATCAGTCAATTCTGCTGCCTCGCGAGCACGATCTGCTTCCGCACGTCTGAGGGCCTGTGATTGTGCTTCTTCGACCATTTGGTGGCGCTCTTCTGCGATCTTTCGCTTCCGCTCAATCTCGATTTCCTGCGCTTTTCGTAATTCCTCCTCCCGCTGCTTCATCGCGGCTTCACGAGCCTCGCGGGCCTGTTGGAGTTTGGCCGCATTCTTTTCTTCATATTCCTTTTGGCTCTGCATGGCACGGTCAAGCTGCTTGCTGATGGTACGACCCATGTTTGCACGCTGTTCGAGAGCCGCGCTGGGGTAAGGCGGGTTTTTCTCCTTGGAAATGCGCTCGAAGGTTTCAATAGCCTCCTTCAGGCCATCGGCTGCTTCTTGCACGTCCTGCAAGGTCTTTTGAGTGGGTTGTAAACTGTAGGCTAACGAGGCGATCTGGTTCTGTACAAAAGCAACGTTAAACTGGAGATGAAGTTGGTCGGGGGATACGGCCTGGGCTCGCTGTGCGTAGTCAAGGGCAGTCTTCATAGCAACCAAGTTCATCTCCTGCTTGCCCTTCAACCACCATACTCGACCAAGACAGGCGAGGATTTGTACATCGCGGGCTCGATCCTTGGATAAAGCAGTCTCATAATGTTCGATTGACCGGGAGAATTGTCGAAGTTCGGCGTAGACGTGTCCCAGGTTGAGATAGACACTTGGATCTTTCAAGGTATCCCGAATCTTAGATAGAATCTGCACAGCAGTACTGTGGTCTTTCTTGTCATCAATGAGAGCAATGGCAATACCCTGGGCGGCATAGGCGTTCTTGGGATCAAGTTGCAGAGCCTTATCAAAGAACTCCACAGCACGCTGGTACACCTTCCGGCGTTTCTCCTTCTCCTGCTCAGATTCACGGCGCATATCACGGGCTGAGAGGAGATGCACATTACCCATTCCAGTCAAGGCATATCTATCATGCTTATCGTGGTATTGTAAGGTATGCTTGTAGTGGCGCTGCTCATGGTCCTCGGCGAGGTTGGCAACACGCTTCTTAGACTTGCTGAGATACCATCCAAAGAGCGCGCGGACCTCCAAGTTCGTTGACTCGGTCTCGTAAAGCTTAGCCATCTTTTTGGGTCCTTCATCGGCAGGGCTCTGACGCAGGCTGATATAAGTCAAACGAGCACTGGCCTCCGTGTAATCGCTGTGACGCTCTAGAAGACCCTCATAGACCTTCTTAGCCTCATCCCACATATCCGCAGCCTCGTAAGTCCGGCCAAGGTTATAGCTAATAGTTGTGACCAAGGCGTCGTTGTTGGGCTGCTCTTCTCTTTCTTGTGACTGGACACATGCATTAAGTGCAGATTGGAACATGCCACGCGCGAGAGCAATCTTTTCGTTCTGGTATAAGAAAGCGCCCATATTGTTGAGCAACTGAGGAGGAAGATACTCGCGCAAAACCTTCTTGATTTCCTCTTCATCTTGAACATCCTCAGGTCGAGCACTCTCTGGAAGAGCGGAAAGCTGCAATTGCTCCAGTTGAACGAGACATTGCATGCTCTTCTCAGGGGCTGTGCTCTCATAAAGTCGAGCAAGATAGACCAGCACTGATTCATCGGGTGTCAGATTCAGCTTCTCGTCTTTCCACATTGATCGAACGGACTCCAAAAGAGAGATTGCTCGCTTGGCTTCTGTCGATTTATCTTCTTTGCTGCCCGCCTTTTGGACAGCAAAGACCTCTTCCGCGTGGAGCGCTGCTAGAAGGATCATTGCCTCTGGGTTTTTGCTTTGCTGAATAATCTTCTCAAGGCGGAATTTCGCACCGTCAAAATCCTTGTTCGAGATCTGCATCTGCACCGCACCGAATTTGGCGGGCAGATAACCCTTGTCACCACCACCACGGGCCTGGTCGGAACGGTTGTAGTATTCGGTGGCTCGGGCGCCGTCATTTTCGTAATGGGATTTGCGTCCAAGAAGGTACCAGCCGTCACTAGCAATAGGCATAACATCTGTCTGTTCAATGGCCTTGCGAGCAAGGGTTTCAACTGTCGGATATTGTTTGCGCAGAAGGAAGTAACCGCCGAACAAGGCACATGTCATGGGGTATTCTTTGTCGATCTTGAAGGCCTTCTGAGTGTATTGGGTCATGGCTAATTTGTACATAGATCCGAACATCGGATCGGTAGTCGACCGGCGAGAGCTGTCGTAGAGATAATATAATGCCAGCAGGATATTCGCAACCTTGGATTCGGGGTTCTGTGGTGCAAAATCAAAATTAGCCAAATGTATCCCCTGGTGCTTTAATCTTCATTTGATAAACATACCAAAGCCAGGGATCTCTCCCAAGCTGTCTTCGCTTGATCTTTGAAACCAAGCTGCCACAAGCAGCATCCCAGACCAATACGAGGATCCGGGTCTGTGAGATTCGGTACTTTCATGAGAACCTTCTGATAAGCATCCAGGGCTTCAGCATATCTGCCCAGCATGTATAGTGCACGAGCACGTCCCAAAATCGCCATGATGTTGCGGCCACCAAATGCCTTGGATGACTCGTCGAAGCATTTCAGCGCTTGACGCAGGGCCTCCACCCGTTCGGAGGTATCGATGGCACCGGGACGAACAGCACGAGGAGGGTATAGAGATGCACGGAGAAGACATAAGACACCACGGGCGAGGAAGAGAGGTGGATATGCCGGGTTGAGTCGCGACGCCTCGTTCAATGTCGATGTAGCCAACTGCAGGTAGTGATCCTTTGTCTTAGCTTCTGAGTAGAGTTCACCTTCTGGCGCCACACGGGGTGCTTGACGGCTCTTAAGCATAAGCAGCCAACAGACCCAGCCCAAGAGCCCGAGCTTTTCCTTTGTGGCGCCGTGGGCGACGGAGGCCAAGCCCTTGTTCAGGATATCGATGGCATGGTCGATCTGTTTTCGTTTCGCATATGCAAGCGCAATGATCACCCAGAAGTTTTTTGCTGCTCGCTCATTCTCCAGCAGAGTGCAGAGCTCGGTAGGGTCTTCGGGGAGGTCAAGGAGACTGACTTCGACTTCGCTGTCGAAACTGGAGGCGGGAATATCGATGGCATCAGGGATGTCGGAGAATCGCAGAGCGGCCAATGAGCTCGTAGGAGGGTTCGTGTCACCGTTCAAGCCATTGGCGTGGCCGTTTTCGAGGGATGCCATGGTTGCGATTGCGCGCTCAGATGAGCGAAAAGAAGGTCCAGAGTGTCCACCGGGCGATGGTGTGGGTAGGATATAAAAGAGGATGAGCGAGGGACTTTAGCTCATGATCAAACAAGGTTGCCCATCTGAATGTGACGAGGGGAAGAATGGCCAATTCACTGGGAGAAACGTTTTAATGAAACGCGCCAGTGACTCGGAGCTGTCTCGCAGGTCGCGGTGCTGGATCCAGAGAGAATTGGATGCTTGGCGTGGCTGGAGCGGACGCACCGCCACACCGCCACAGTCACCGCCTATAGGAATGCCCGTACTGTGAGACAACGGATTCATTCACATAGAAGGCATTTGGAAACATGTCAATTCACGTATAATTTCATTCAAGCATCAAGGATGTTCATATTTGTATAGGTCATAGGTCACAGGCGAGGTATTATTTAAGTTCTTAACCGTCATGTCTTGGCCAAACGAAAAAAAAAAGTCAAGAGAAAAAGTAGAGATAGAGTGAAGAGAGTCAATAGTCCCGATGTATACCCAATCAGTGAAACCAACTGCCTATAAACTTGCACAGCAACGCCAAGCCAACCAGCACAGCAAATATCTGACCAAGTTCGACCCAATGATGCAATCGAACATATGATTCGACATATCCAGCATCAACAGCCACTTTCTGTTCGGGTGAGGCGTTCTTGGTCTCGATCGAGCCGGCTAGGTCAGAGGGGAATCGACCCGTCTCCCAATACTGGTCTAGGAGCTTATCTTTCTCGGCCCATCGAGCTCGTAGCCATTCTTCGAATTCTGTTTGATTTTCCAGTGGAATATCGGCTACAGCAAACCTCCGCCAGTGCATATTGACAGATGTTGGTGGTCGTCCCTGTAGCAATGTAGATCGGAGAGTAAAGTACTTGTCCGGGTAAACACCCTTACTAAAAGACAGTTAGCATTGCTTGAACAGTATGAGCGAAAAACTAAGAAAAACCTAATAACATACGGTGGACCTTCATAGGCAATGGTGCTGTCGTAGACCCAATCAACAGTTCCCTTTAGCTGTTGCAGGCAGAAAAACAGTCCAGTCGAGCGAGGCAGAATCTGATGATTGAAAGACGGCAGGCCTTGCTTCTCACCAAAGGCATCACTTCGTCGCTTGGTGTTGATAGAAAGGTTAGTTCCCTCGGGGAAAATCAACAGCCACATGGGATCATAAGTCGACCCATTCGACCTAGCCATATACTTCGTCTTCAATTTCTGCAAACGGTATTCAATACGAGCCTTGTCGGACGTCCACTTTCGAGCAAGAAAGATGAACCCAAAGAACATCATTCCCTGTCCCACGATGGGGATCCACTTCAGCGAGTCTTTGAGAATGATGAAAATTCGACCGTGCATCACATTCGTGTAGGCAAACCACCACAGATAGATCCAGTCGGTGTAGATCTGGTGGTTGGCAATGAGGACCAGACGCTCTGGAAAATCGGCCTTCAGCAGACCATCTTCCGATAAATGAAGCTGGCCTCGTACACTTTGATCTCCGCTAACTCTGAACAAGGTCGGGCTTCCCCATTCTGTGAGAGCTGTGATCACCAGACCGAAGCTTTGTTTTGTATATGCCATATACATGTAGTACCATTCTTTATTGATGATGTACAATGGACAGCCGACAAGTTGAGTCACAAAGAGGATGATACAGCAGCCATCGAGCCAGGTCGCCAGTAACAGTGACCTGAACAGTTGCATAGCAATTCCATGTTTGAGACGTGGATCGGTCGGAGGTTTGGTGGATTGTTCTTGAAGAAGCTCGGTCGCTTCTGTGGTAGTGGGAGGCTTGCGCTGGCGAACCTCGGCTGAGCTCATGGCGCACGATGAGCCCCCGGATGGGCTCAAGGATAAGACGGTCTCAAGTGGAAAGGTATTTAGGTGACAATCGGCACACGGACGAGGTGGATGTAAGTTGGTCCACCAGTGGGGAGGGGTGGTTTAGGTCTTGTGGTCAGCGGGAGCTGGCGGGATCGGAGGGGAAGATCCACTGGAGCACAGCTATAAGCGACAGCTCTCAAAGACCACCTGTTGAAATGATATGTCGGTTTGGAACGAAGGTTGAAAAAAGAGAAATGCTTAGGTATAGCAGGAGACCGAGCTGATTTGATTTTAATTATGATTTAAGTAAGGACCACAAAGTGGCAGTGTTGAACCCAACTGTGGAGGGACAAGCTTTAAAATGGGATCAGACAGCGGTGGGCACGGGGGATCATAGCTTCCAGTGGGAAAAAACCCATTTTGGGCTATTTCAGACCAGCAGAAAACTACGATACCTCTATGTAGAGCTTACAGAACAGATAGCGGTGTATTAAGCGGTAAAGACTCATATGGTGAGAGGTTTCTCTCTCTCTGGCGGCTATCGCCTCCCGTAGATCAGAGAGCGGTGGGGCCTGATTGCTGATTTGCACCATGTGAGCTTTAGTTTGCAGCCGCTTCATCTCCGCCTTGTCTTTGTCAAACATTTACATTCTGCCTCCCAACGATTCCTTTGGTTCTCCCTGTTTTACTTGTAAACTCTGAGAGCCAGTCGTCTGGATGTGACTCAGTCTAGAATTATTTGCTGCACGACCGAGGCCACGGTCATCCAACCATGCAGTACGCTTTCCGTCGCAAAATCCCCGGTCTGTTCCTGCGGCGCAGCTTTTCCTCGTCTGCACCACGTCACGAGATCCGCGATATTAGCGCCTTGTCACGGCGTCTAATCCCTAAGTATCAAGGTGTGACCCATCATGGGACTCGTAATTCGAAAGAGGGAACAGGGACATGAACGTTAACGGTTCCACCAGAATCCCAAGGCGAACTGCTTTCTCTCCAATGGCCAGCGCCACCACGGAATATCTTGTTGGTGCGCAAAGACTGCGCCCCAGCTGTGACAGAGTCACTTATTGAATTTGCCAAGTATGTTCAACCTATACCGAAATGATGCCGGTCATATAACTCAGACTCATTTTCTCTAACACGTCTACCAGTCATATCACTTCTGCATACCCATCAACCGCAGTGATCCTCGAGTCCAAAACCGCCGCTGAAGTTCATTCGTCCTTTTCGTTTCCTGTCTATTCTGCATCCTTAGATGATACCCCAACCGCGTTTCATGATAAAGTGGACCTTACAGTGACATTGGGTGGAGATGGCACGATCCTCCATGCATCGTCGCTCTTTGCTACATGCTCCAATGTACCCCCGGTACTATCATTTAGTATGGGTACCTTAGGGTTTCTGAGCGAATGGAAATTCTCCGAGTTTAAGCGGGCGTTCCGAGAAGTCTACATGTCTGGTGCTGGGGCCGGAGATCGTACAGCAGTTCTGGAAGAGGGAAGAGAATCAGAATTAGAACCAGGACCAGAAGCAGCATCAGATTCGGTGTCAGCCTTACCGGCCACGTCAGAATCCACCAGCGAGTCCAGTGGACCAACGGGATGGTCCTCTGTCCGTGGCAAGTCCATGGGATCGACCCGTGGCGCCCCCATCTTGATGCGTAACCGGCTTAAGGTTGGTCTATTTACGGCCGATGGACAAGAGACCACCCCCATCCGCGGTAAAAGCGATGAGGGTCAAGGGGTGTACGTCATGAACGAGCTGCTGATCCACCGTGGCAAAGAGCCGCACCTTGCAGTGGTGGATATCTTTGTCGGGGGCCGTTTCTTGACGGAAGCGGTGGTAGATGGCATCATTATTTCTACCCCCACGGGTAGTACTGCTTACAGTCTGAGTAGCGGCGGGAGTATTATTCATCCTTTGGTTCCCTCGATCTTGCTCACACCTATCTGTGCCCGTAGCCTGAGCTTTCGGCCCCTCGTGTTGCCGCTCAGCACGCCGATCACCATGCGATTGAGCGAAAAGAATCGGGGCCGAGAGTTGGAAGTTAGTCTTGACGGGGTGAATCTTGGACAAGGGATGGCGATAGGCATGGAGGCACGCGTGTGGAATGAGGAGATGCGGCATGGAAAGAATGAATGGCAAGGTGGCGTACCTAGCGTTATGCGGAGAAGTATGGGCGGCGAGGCTCATGAGGGATGGGTGGGTGGGTTAAACGGGTTGTTGAAATTTAACCATCCCTTTGGGGAGTGATTATGCTTGTATGTGTATGTACGATAGTGTAAGTATAGATAAATAATGAATATTTTAAAACTGTATTATATTATATCTTGACCAGAGTTGATTAATATAGTGAACCGTGTAGTATGGTGAATAGTGGCATAGTGGCATAGTATTATAGTATAGTATAGTATACAGCCATAGAGTAGTTGGAGTACTAATTAAGTAACATAAAAACATAGATCTCCAGATCCATCTCGATCCATCTCGTCAATTCCTCCCAATCTAATCCTGTCTAACTAACTTTTCTTTCATGCGTGGATCCTACTCCTTTATAAGTTGGACCATCTTGTCACAGTTACGGTGATTGGCAGACGAGTGTTTTCTGTAGATTAGGGGGGTTCACTTAGTACCTGGGCCCATTTCCAAGGTTCTCTTCTTTGTTCTTCTATTTCTATTTTATTTCTAATTCTTCTTTTGGGGGTTGTATTAGTTGTATTGCCAACAATACCAGAAACAGTAAACGGGCCATTGCTAGTAGCAGTAACAGGCACAGGCAACACATACTGTCAATACAGCCAACAGTGAGAGAGTTCAAGTCATTCCCGCCCCAAACGGGTTTTCGCCCCTTTCAATCTTCCTTTCTTCTCCCCTCCCCCCCCCCCCACTACTACATATTCTGTATCCCACGTTTTTTTTTATTCTGTTCTTCTTTCTTCACCGTTTTGTGATTCTTTGTGTTTTATCCTCGAGCTATCCTCGCAGTGCGAGGACTGCTCTTGAATCGTTCACACTCAAAGTAAGCGACCAACACATTAACCCCTGCCCCTGGAAACGTGGGAACTTAATCGGGGGGACTTACTCCCTCCCCACCCACATCTTTTGAACCTTGGCTCCTCTTTTTTTTTTCCCTGCAACACTCTCTCGTGGAATCCACAGGGGACGAGTGATACCACACAAACAAGAGAGACTGTTTGCTAATTTCATGGTTGCTTTCGTCCCATAGAATCTATTCATCAGCGGGCCTCAGGAGGTCTTGTCGCGCATTCACTTCCTAACGCTCCTCGCCCACGCCCCCGCGCGCGCTAAAACACATTGACCCTCAAATTAACACAACAACACCCAAGAACTAACCATGGGGTCCTATGGAAAGTAAGTAATGATCAACATGGAAACACAATCAACCAATCCCATACCGCGCAAAGAAACATTCGGCTCACCGCATCACAAACAGTCCCCAGTACTCGGCGGATCAGTTCATGAATCCGGGGCCGGCTCCCCGCCCCCCAACTGATCGCCCAAAGTTGTCGATTCCAACCAACAATCCAGTTGCGACCTCGTTCAGCCAGATGACCTTGAACTCACCCAGCACCCCAGGTCCCAATCTCTCGCTTTTCCCCAACACCAGTTCTCCGTCCCTGGCCCGGACCCAAACCGGCGGTGTCGCAATTGTGAAGGAAGGCCCCGTGCGCTGCAAGGAAGACAAGTTTCTGGCAACATGGAATCAACGTCAACTGATCCTGCGCGAATTCAAAATCGAATTTTTGAAAACAGATTCAGGAAAGGTCGTCTTGTCGTTCCCCCTATCGACCGTTACCGCCGTTCAACGTTCCGAAGACTCGAAGATGGCTTTTGATATTACCCGATTGGCCAACCCCAAGGATGTGAACAACAAAGTCGCTTTAATCACTCGCGACTTACCCACTAAAACCATCACCTGTGAGGTGAAATCCGATGATGAAATCTATGAGTGGATTGATAAGATCTACGAACGTTGCCCGGGTATGGGTGGTGTCAGTAATCCCACTAATTTCAGTCACCGCGTTCATGTTGGCTTCGATCCACAATCCGGTGCTTTCGTAGGCTTGCCCCCAGAGTGGGAGAAACTCCTGACTGCTTCCGCCATTACAAAGGAGGATTATAAGAAAAATCCTCAGGCAGTCATTGAGGTTTTGGAGTTTTACTCCGATATCAAGATGCGGGAACAAAATCCACAATACTACGGAGGAATGAACGGCCCTGCGGCTGCTCCGTCTAATAAGATGCCTTCCAGCACTTCTATGGGAAGCGGAATTGCACCTCCTCGTCCTGCACCACCAGGCCCAATGCAGCGTCTTGACAGCTCACAATCTGGATCCTTGCGTTCCGTCTCATCTCCTACATCTGACCGTGCCACAGAACAACAACAACAATTGGAGCGCATGAAAGAGATGGCCGACCAAGAACGTCGCCGCGTAGAGGAGGAGACTCGTCGCAAGGAGGACCAAGAGTACAATGCCTCTTTACCAAAAGGTCGTGTTCCAATGGCCAAGCAAGAACTCGGTGGTTATGGTGGTGGATCGTCAGACAACCGTTACCAGCCCAGTCGCCCTGCTCCTCAAGCGCCTGGCTCTTCTCGTAGCCCGGCTCCCGATGCCCGTCAATTAACCGCCCAACGCCCTGCTCCGCCTCCACCATCGTCCCAAAATTCCTACGGAAAATCTCACACTCGCACGCCTGGCAGTGGCTCTATGAGCGATGCTCACGGCTCGCCCTCGCGTTATCCTCCAAACGACCCTCGATCTCAGGCCTCTTCCAGTCGCCCTCCACAGGGCCAAGGGCCTCCTCCAACTCGTCTGCCTGCTCCTGTGCAGCAAGTTAAGCCGTTGAACATTGCCAACAAGCAACAACCGCAACAACAGCAGCCCGCTAGCAAGGCGGCTGTTCCTGATGGCGTTCGCCAAGCTGAGGCCGCCTTGACTAAGAAGCCCGAGCAGTCGCACAAGAAGGAGGTACGCATGTCTGCCATGTCTGAGAATGAAGTAATGGATCGCTTGCGCTCGGTTGTCTCGAAGGATAATCCCAACGAGTCCTACAGCAAGCAACGTAAGATCGGCCAGGGTGCTTCTGGCTCCGTCTACGTTGCACGAGTGAAGGAGGGAGCAACATCGGCCGTGGCTCATGAGCTATACCGACAGTACGGACCGAGATGCCAGGTCGCCATTAAGCAGATGGACCTGCGTAGCCAACCTCGCAAGGAATTGATCGTGAACGAGATTATTGTCATGAAGGACAGCCAACATGCCAACATTGTCAACTTCTTGGATTCCTTCTTGCAGGAGGCAAGCAACGAGCTCTGGGTCGTCATGGAGTTCATGGAGGGTGGTGCTTTAACCGATGTGATCGACAATAACCAAGTAATTCAAGAAAACCAGATTGCCACCATTTGTCATGAGGTTTGTCTCCATGTCATCCTGCTTGGTCAATCCATTGAAACTAATCTTTTCCTTCTTCCTTTTAGACTTGCAAAGGTTTGGCTCATCTGCACGGCCAGAACATCATTCACCGAGATATTAAGAGTGATAATGTTCTGCTGGACCGTGTCGGCCACGTCAAGATCACCGATTTTGGTTTCTGTGCTAAGCTCACCGAGTCCAAGAGCAAGCGTGCCACAATGGTCGGTACTCCTTACTGGATGGCACCGGAAGTTGTCAAGCAGAAGCCATATGGCCCTAAGGTCGATTGCTGGTCTTTGGGTATCATGGCTATTGAGTTGATCGAGTCTGAGCCTCCTTACTTGAACGAGGAACCTTTGAAGGCTCTTTACAATATTGCTACAAACGGTACACCGCGTCTCAAGAAGCCCGAGAAGCTGAGCAAGGAACTCAAGGCATTCTTGAGTGTTTGTCTCTGCGTGGATGTCCGCAGCCGTGCCACCTCTGAAGAGTTACTTGCCCACGAATTCTTGCAGACTGGCTGCAGCCTTGCTAGCTTGGCTGAATTGCTTAGCTGGAAGAAGGTCAACGGCCAGTAAAAAAAAAAAAAAAATTTGCTTGACGCAAAAACACATCGTTGACCAGTCGTTGAAAAAGCAAATCATCATTTCCTCCTAAATCCCCGTTATTCAACTTGACTTGGAACATCTGTCCTGCGCACATATGGGTCTCATTTAACGCGTTTCGTTTCCGGTTAGAACATTCCTGTTCTTCTTTCTTCTTTTGCGTTTTGTGAATGAATGTTTTACGAACGAACCGAAACTGCATGGCCACATTTTCTCACCATCCTCGGTTGCAAGACCTTGACCTCCCATCCCATTTGAGTTATTTCCATTCCCCTTCCCTTTTTCTCTCCCTTCTGCACATCATACAAACCACTAGGCGTGGGTAATCCGGCGTTTCTGAAGTTATGACTCCTTTCTGTATTCGTGATTGATGCTGTTTCTATGCACTCACGGTCCTGTTATCCTGCAAAGAGACCCCGTTACTCATACCATTTGTCTTTGTCTTTGTCTTTAACTCTACTTTTCCTGCTCGTTCCTACGATTTTGACGTTGACGATTCGACTATAATTGGTGGCTCTTGTCACCAAAAGCGATAACCTTTTTAGTTCAAGTTTTCAGAATGAATTGAGGAATACTGGTAAATTACTTCTTATCTGGCTATACTTGCCACCTGCTATACGGGTTAGAGTAGGTCAGTCATACGGCACATAAGATTGGAATGTGAGGCTGAGTTGGTGTCGAATCATTTTATCATGACTACACTACATCATAATACTGTTAATATTCTAACATGTAACCGGAGTGGTAATCCAAGTTATGGCTCTTCTTTAAGTGACGTCTATTCCGAACATTGAATAAATTAATCAGATATACAAAAGAACCATCATACATCGAGTCATATATCAGAAATAACCAGTCAGTCACAGTATACTGCAACAAGATCCAGTCAATGCAAGGTATTAAAGAAGAAAAAGAAACAAAAAAATAAGAAAGAAAATCCAAAGAATCCCAAAGTCGTATATCCACCCTAACATTCATTCACATAAACCCCGACTGATGAAATCAAGGTAATCCATTGCCAACAACCCCCCTCAACTGTCCACAAGCCTCACTAAACAATACACCCTGCAACACTGACTCCCCCTCATCAGCAGCCCAACGACCGGCATCTGTAAGACGACGTTTCCACGCAGCCTGATCAACACCACTTAAATCCTTCCAAGGCCGAAGATCATCCGCCGCGGAAAGTTGCTGATGGTGCGCTGTTGAGGATGTTTCAATCAAAATGCTTTGTTCGGCAGTTTCTCCGTGCTCGTTGCACCGGACGATTACTGATAATGAGCGTGGAGCTTCGGGTTCGATATCTGCTGGTGCGGCGCCGGTGTTGTGGACTTTGTCTAGAATTTGTTTGAGGCTTTCTAGGGCGTTTGCGTTTATGTTTTCGGTATCTTCTCCATCTGGGGAGGGGAATGTACTTTCCACTGTAGGAGGTGTACCACGAGGAGAAAGGATGTAATCAAAGTATGAACCTTGACCTTCTTTCGGGGGGATGTAATCTTCTGAGAAGGAATTGCGGATGTTATCCGGTAACCAGCTCTGAACACCGAGGTAAGGCGGTGTTCCGCCGCGCATTTCCACGAAGACGAGAAGAGCGAAGATGATTGCGCTGAAGGAGCAAATCAATATAAAGACCCAGGCGATTAGTTCCATGAACTCAGAGGGGCCGGGGAGAGTAAGCGTGTATCGTGGTGTGCGGGAAGAAGCCGGGAATGGAGAAAGCGGGATAGTATGAACGACGACTGTGTTGCCCATACTCGTTGAGGCGAGTTTGACCTTTTGAGGAGGCACTTCTGGTGTAACGGGGTGTGCGGGCGGAGTGAATGTTGAAAAGCACAATTTTGTCATTGAGAATGGGTGTACGTCGCGGAGAGTTGAGAATGGGTGAATCTTCTCGAAGCCACGGTTTGGACCGTATTCTACCGTGAACAGGGCGATGGAGTTATCGCTACCGCTGGCTGCGATGATGATCTGTTGTTGACCGGCTGGGTTGGTACCGAGGGCACAGATATCGAGACCGAGAGCTATTTTCATTGTTCGGGGGAGTTTGCGACGGCGTACGATCTTAGCTTGCGCTTGTGAATCTGTGTTGTTCGGTAGTTTGATAAGGAGTAGCTCGCTTCCGCTGCGGTTGGGGGCATTCTGTAGGAGAAGGATGGAATCGGGAGAGAGGAAGCGTAGAGCACGGAATTTGGGTCGTTGGGCACGAGCACCGCTGCTGGGTAGGGGGATAGTGTAGATGGACTTGACATCTGGGGCTGCATTGGAACGTGTCGAGGATGAAATTTCACCGACCATAACATCTGTTCCATTGGTATATGCTACTCGGAAGCGGCCACGGGCATTTTTGGTTTGTTCGGGATCGAATTCGAGACTGGCGAAATCCACATCCTCTGCTTCCTCGTTACTGCTGAGGCGGATACGGCCGATAACATCTGATTGAGCTGGGGATTCTGTCGCGTCGAAGAAAACAATCTCGCCTGATGGTGCGAGTCCAGTCGTGATTGCGCCGACTCTTGGTGCTGGTGTCCTTTTGTCACCTTCTGTGTCCTCCTTCCACGGCGAGAGCCTCAACACTCGTTGATAAGCATCGCCTGCATCAGCACCGCTCTTGAATCGAAACAGTGATGTACGAGATAGCTGTTCCGTCTTGCCAGGGATAATCTCCTCCTCGGGCTTCGAGTCCTTCTTCTCTGTCTCGTTCTCGCTCCCCTCCTCGACGGTCCCCACTTCATTCAAAACTTTTCGCGGGGTATGAAATCGGAAGGCGCGCATATGCTGATTATTATTCTTCTTCTGTTCCGCAACAGAGCTATTGATACCAGCATAAGTAACCAGGGAGTACTCCTCATCGCCAACTTGGGGCGCAACAGCCAACGACGTCACCGAGTCCTCATCACGCGATAGGTTCAACTCAACGGCCTCCTTGATCTCGTTTCGATGTGATGTATCTAGAAGAGACTGAGAAAGATAGGTTAGAGCTTTATTCTGAAAGAAAACATCAAGTTTCATAGCTCACGATCTTGTTTCCAACTCCGCTGCGGCCCTCGCCGCCTCCGCCGCCAACAAGCAAGCGACCATTGTTTCGCGGGTCGAAATCTGCTGCAAACAGGGGACAGGAGAGTGTGATCTTCGCTGTGTGGATTGTAGGTGCCATATTGACTTATTTCCACGTTTTGTGTTCTGTTCTCTTGCCTGGAGCAAGAAAGGAAGAGGACAGATCTAATCGTGAATCGGAGGTTTCGACTCCCCCGGATTCTTGGCGCGGATGGCCGGATTGGGCTATGCCGGGAAAGCTTGTCATATAAATTACTTGGGCTTTTTATTATGATATAGACATTAGACTCAGGACAGGAACAGTCATAATACCAATTTTAGGAGAAAGGGAGCTAGAGTGGACACTGGCACTGGGACTGGGTGAACAAAAAGCGATAAAGGTGTATAAATTTTTTAATAAACAGAGATCATGACTTGGTCTACTGCATCTACTCCACTTCCTGACCAGTGAACTCTGGCAGACGCTTGGCAATATCCTCCCAGGTCTCGTCGCCGTCGGCCAGCGACTTGACAGCCTGCAGGATCTCGTCCTCAGTGGCACGAACCTGCTTGGTGGAGTCACGGTCACGCAGAGTGAAGGTGTTGTCCTGGACGGACTGGAAATCAACAGTGATACCGAATGGGGTACCAAGCTCGTCGTTACGAGCATAACGCTTGCCAATACTAGCAGACGAGTCATCCACACGGTTGGAAACACCAAGACGGCGCAGCTTGACAGTCAGACGCTGGGTCAAGGGCTTGAAGGAGGGGTTGGTGGAAAGAGGTACCAGGAGCACCTTGGTGGGGGCAATAGATGGAGGGAAAGACAAGACCTAAAAGTTGTTGATTAGTATGTAAATAAACCATGATATATGGCAAGGGATTCAACTTACACCACGGGCCTCGTCACCAGCACGCGACCAGTAGACATGCTCAATCATGCTGTACATAATACGGCCAATACCGAAGGAAGGCTCGATGACATTAGGAGTGTACTCGCGGACATTCTCAACACGAGTACGCTTCTCAATCTTGATAAGATCCTTCTCCAGTTCAACCTTGCCAGATCCAACGCCTGCGACGTCAATCTCGATCTTGCCATCCTTCTCCAGATCCAGAGACAGCTTCTCACGCAGTTCCTGGGACAGAGCCTCGATAGCGGACTCGACAGTCTTGGCATCCTTCTTGAAGCGGGGACCGAACTTCTTCTTCTCAAGATCGATCTGGAACTCTTCGATACGCAGAGGCTCAGAGCGAGTCTCGCGCACCACAAGGGGAGCACCGGTCTTGTTCTTGTGGACAGTCAAATCGTAGGCACTACGGTCAGCACAGCCAACACACTCAATCCAGCCGTAGCTAGTCTGGAGCTCAGCGTCCCAGCAGTCAGCGGCGTAATGAGCCATTTCGTTGGCCATGTGTTGACGGAAGCGGAGCTTGTTGAAGTCAACACCCAGCTTCAGCAGGAACAGTTGAATACGAGCCAGGAAGTAACCCAGAGTCTCGTTGTCCACCAGACCAGTCTCGACAGCGTGTCCGATGGTCATCTTGGTGACCTTGGTGCTGCCAGAGAGCTGCACATGGCGGTCAAGCAGAGACATTTCAGTGTCCTTGACCTCGACGAAGCGAGGGTGCTTCTTGCCACCCTCGGGGTCGACGTAGTGCTCAATCTCAGCCATGAGGAACTCACGCACACGCAGCAGACCAGCGCGGGGAGAGATCTCATTGCGGAAGGACTTGCCAATGGAGGCAGAGGCGAAAGGCATAGACTGCTGGTTGAACTCGAGCAGCTTCTGGAAGTTCAAGAACTGGCCCTGAGCGGTTTCAGGACGCAGGTAACCAGGCATATTGCTGCTGGGGCCGATGGAGGTCTGGAACATGAGGTTGAAGGCGACGGGAGGCTGAACGGGGCCGTCGGTGGTAGGGTTGCGGATATCGTACTTGATGATGATTGCCTCAAGCTCGGGGCCACCGAAGTTATCAATCTGCGCCAGAGTCTCCTCGTACTCCTTGACAACAGCATCCTCCAGCTTGACAGCCTTCTTCTCGCCCTTGCTCTTCTTCTTTTTCTTGGCCTCCTTCTCCTCGTCAACCTCGACCTTCTGGCCACGAGCCTCCTTGTCACCCTTCAGGCGGGCCTCGAGAACCTCCTCAACGAGATGATCCGCACGGAAGATCTCGCCGGTCTTGGGGTCTTTGCACATCCAGTCGGCGAATTTGTCCACGTGCCCGCTAGTCTTGAGAATTTCGTGAGGGGTGAGCATGGTGGTATCGACCTCGAGCATATCCTCCTCCAGCACGAAGTGCTTGCGCCACAGATCGGTCATGTTGGCGACCAGGGCGGTTCCTGGTGGGCCATAGTCATAGAGACCCGACACACCACCGTAGATCTCGAAGGAGGGGGTATAAAACATGCGACGGCGAAGCATTGAGTCGAGGATGGTCCGGTCGACCTCCTGGCCGGTCTTAGTGGCAACAGCAGCCATCTTGGGATTTCGTTTCGAGGACTTCGGGGGCGCGAACGAAGAGGTGAAAGACCTGATGAGGGACGGAGGGGAAAAAGTAGAGTAGCGGGGGAAAAGTCGCGGCAGCAATTGAGTCATCCAATCAATCACAGGCACATCTGCCTGACTCAGTTTACAACAAAAGAAACACCAATCAATAAACAATAATATACAAAACAAAAGAATGGATTGAGATTGAGCTCTCTATTATCTTGTTTTCCTTCCCACTTCTCCCTTTTATCAGGGAAATTTCCCAATTAAAAGGGATCAACAATATCGTGGCCGGGGCGCCCGATTGCTCGGATAATCTCCACCTCCGATCTCCGAGATAATTTATTTTCTTTTTTTTTTTGCGGCGAACGAAGAAGAGTATTAAAGCTGACAACTTGCTATTATCAACCTATTCAACCCAGCAATAATGGGTCTCAAAGGAAAAGGGAGACCTCCTCCCGGTATGGAGGGCGATATTAAGCCCGCCAACAAACAGCGTCGTCAGATGATGCACATCAAGCGCAAGAGAGCAAAGGATTCTGAGCGCCGAGCCGAGCGATATGGATTCAAGAGGGAAGAAGCCAAGAACCCCAAATTGCGAGAACAGCGTTTAAAAGAAAATATTCCTTTGACTTTGGACCGTAAACGAGTCTGGGATGAAGCAGACAACGATGCCGAGGAAACTGGTTTGGGTCTGAGTGTCGACGTCGAGCGTATCAAACGGGCCAAGAAGGAAGAAGAGGACGAATTGAACCGACCATTGGAGGAAGGAGAGGATGACAGCGACGCAGCAGACTCCGACAACGAGTCAGTCGACAGTATGATTGCTTCTAGCGATAGCGAGGACGAGGACGAAGAAAACGACGAAAAGAAGGACTCCGGTCGCGGACGGAAATCAACTCTTCCCACTGCTACCGAGCGTGCCACCAGCCCAACACAGTCTACAAAAAGTGTCAACTTGAACCTTGCGCCTGAAGCTCTTGCCGCCAAGTTCCCTACTCTCTTTACCTCCGAGGCTCCTCCCTCCCCGAAGATTCTGATCACAACCTCTCTCAACTCGACCCTTCACAAAGAAGCCGAAACCCTCACCGAGTTCTTCCCCAACAGTCACTATGTCAAGCGCTCAGCCCACAAATACTCGCATAAGTTCTCCATCCGTGAGATTTCCAAATTCGCCTCCAATCGCAACTACACCACTCTGCTGGTTCTCAACGAAGACCAGAAGAAACCCTGCGGTTTAACTATGGTCCACCTGCCTGTTGGCCCAACATTCCATTTCAGTATTAGCAACTGGATCGAGGGTAAACGCTTGCCTGGACACGGTCGTTCAACAGATCATTGGCCTGAGCTGATTTTGAACAACTTCCGCACACCGCTGGGTCTGTTGACCGCTCATGCATTCCGACAATTGTTCCCTCCTCAGCCAGAATTTGAGGGTAGACAGGTCGTCACTTTACACAACCAGCGTGATTACATCTTCGTTCGCCGTCATCGATACGTCTTCCGTGAGAAGCGCGAGACGGAGAAGGCTGTTGTTGGTGCGGATGGAAAGGAGATCGCAGGTGCTGAGGGTATTCGAACTGGTTTGCAAGAGCTTGGACCTCGATTTACTCTGAAGCTCCGTCGTGTGGATAAGGGTATTCAGCGCGCGAGTGGACAAGAGTGGGAATGGAAGGGAGGAATGGAGAAGGTGCGAACAAAGTTCCAGCTGTGATATGTTTATATCCGTGGACGGGTTCAAGGTCTCTTTCTATCTTTGACCTTTTTATTGCATGGGGTTTAGGAGTATTAAAATATTTGTTATTGCTGGGCATTCTACATATTTGATACATTAAATGAATACAATGTTACTAGATCCATATCTGGAAGCAATTGTAGAACTTCTAGCTAGTAGCCATGCCTAAGACGGACATCTGGGCATTAATTCTGTATTTAGATGGGAAAGATGATCTATTGTCATAGGGGAAACCAAGCTATCTAAACTATCTGACCGCTCGCGTGATCGGGCGTCCGACTGTAACTGTAATATCTGATGTGAATAAATCATCGTTTGAGGATCACCGGGCGTCAAATGTAGAGGCATTGATAAGAAGGTTTTCATCAGCGATGAACATTACGTCGACTGAAATTTTCTTGAAAGCGTGCATGACTTCGGCTTAATGCTGTTCGTGTGTCGCTGCCCATTTCCAGTTGAGAGACGAATCGTATGGCAAAAGAGTCATGCTCCACGCTAGGGCGGAATGAAGAATGTATGTCGTTCTCAATACTCCTAGGCTCTTGAGCCTTACTCGTATTCTTACGCAGTAAGCTGTAAGCTAGTAAGGGTAGATGATGATGTCCATTCTGTGTCCCGAGAAGCGGAGCTAAACAGTTATGGCAAGACTGGGAAGTGGTATAAAGTTGATTCTCTCGCTATGGGGCGAAACGTGGCTAAGTACATGAGGCAGGCTGTCAAAGAAATGGGAAGGGATCATATCAAGGGTCTTCGCCAGTCCACGTCGGTTGGGGATTACTTCAGCAAGACGAAGAAGAGACAAGAGGTTCCGTGACTTCTCATCTTGAGTGATGACTGTTATCTAACCTGCTCAGTCTCAATCTCATTGCATGTGACCTCAACTATTACTTCAATTGTGTATATCAATACTCCGAGTCAGATAAACGTGACGATCCAACTCAACTCATAGGTTGAAATATTTACAAATCGACACCAGATCAATGCAATGCAATGCAACCCCTTCGCTATAAACAAAGACCCAAACCACTGGCATGCATATGGTACAAAAAACATTTTAACTCCATCCATCCCATGGTATCTCCGAATCCGAGGTATCAAACTTCTTCTTCTTCTCATCCTTCCTCTTCGTCATCTTCCTCCTCCTCATATTCGTCCTCATCATCTTCTTCTTCTTCCTCCCCAATAGACATCTCATTCAAAAGTCTAACTTTAGCCATTGTCCTAGCCATAACCTGTCCCCTCCGCTGCGCATAAGTATTGGGTTTCTGCGCCGTAACAATGCGCACCCTCGCCGTTATCTTCTTCGCAGCAAGAACCTCCTCCTGCACTTTCTCACAAAGGTCTCTCGCCCCGGAAACAGTATACCCCGCCAAGCGAGTTAACTGACGCAACGCATGAGCTTCCAACCCCTCCAACAACGCAATGAGAGCCATTTTACCCAGTGTTTTCTCATGAATATCCTCCGGCCAAAGACCAATCGGAAATGTCCGCTCGATAACATTTACATCGACGAATCCTGCTGTTTCAAAAGCTTCTCTTTCGAGATGTTGTAGGTCTCGCGGACATCCAGATGTATGTCCTGATGTACGAAGGGCAGATGCGTATATCTGTAGATAAGGCGTTTCATCATCTCCCCCCGTTTCAACGGTTATGGTATCACCGCCTGGATCTGTATCTGCTACTTCGATAAATCCGCCCGGTTTCAGATGAGACATTGCCTGATGGTATATAGCGTGCCAATCATTGAATGCACCAGAAAGACCACGGATATGAATCAGATCAAAGGGTTCATGGTATGTCCATTCGGATTGGGCGTCTGCGAGTTGGAAGTCGACGTTTGGGAGGGAGACGTGGGCAATGCCTGAGTCAAAGACGCCGAGATCTGATGCGATGATTGTCGCGTTTGGGTATTCGGCGCTCATTTCGATAGCCCAGTCTCCTGGGCCAGTGCCGATGTCTAGGATACGGGGAGAGTCGGTTGTGAATGGGGCTAGGGTTAGACGGCCTTCTTGGAGGATCAGGTAAATCTGGTGGACAATGTTGAGGCGGGTGAGTTCTGTTTCGTCGTTTGGCATGAAATAGGACTCGTCGCAGTATCGGCGGCCATTTTCTTCGATGCGGGGGAGGGTTTGGTATGAGTAGGAGCGGGTTGATTTTCTATTTATGAGTTAGTTAGTGGATTGGTTCTCTTTCCCTTGTGACTATGGTGTATTGTGTAGTCTATGCATGCATGAATGAAATACTCACATTGATTCTCCGTCAGAGTATAGATCTGATCCTGATTCCGACCCTGGCTCTGGCTCCGAACTTCCAACTTCAAGCACTGGGGGGTCTCGAGGACTAGAAGGGCCGGGGTCCTCCTCTGGCTGTTTGGCTGTATCGTCCATGACATGACGGGACCGAAATAGAGAAGGAAATAGTGGGAATTAAGTGAATAGAAATTAGAAATTATAGAAGGTGGGACATTTGAAGTAAGAAAGACCCCACGGTCCTGAGCCTGAGGATTAAGCTAGATTGGAGAAAAGGAAAAAGAGCCAGAAAGGAGGGCGTAAATACGACATTAGAAATACATTTACTTAAGACAAAAAAAATTAAAATAACGAGCAAGAAACTTTGCCAACGGGATATAGTGGAGTTAAGGAGGGGGTACGTCAATGCCCCGAACAACTAATCAAAGGGAAAAAGTGACCCGACAATCAGGATGCAAGTGGATGAAGCTCCCGCAAAACCCGACAGTTTGGAAAGCTGACAAGCCACCGGTGGGGTCACGGTCTACAGGGAATCAGGACTTAATGGTGTATTAGGGTGCAGAAGAGAGAAGTACATAGTGTGCGAGTGTGTGGAAGTGTGGCATACTTTGTGGGTAACTGAGTGTATGGAAACATGCACCTATCCTAAAATTAAGGGGAACTGGATTCTGGATGGTTTGGAGAATTGGAGAGGCGTTGGTGCAATTCATAACCTAATTTTGAAAGGAGAACAGATTTTGACAGCTGAAGTGGAGCTTCAGGGGTCTGATCGTGGGAAAAAGAAGTCGTGAAGTATATTCGGATATGTACTTGAGCTTGCCATTAAGTGAAGTTATACTATAAAAATGAAGATAATATAGTCTATACTACAAATCTGTAGTATATGTAGTATATATAGGATATACAGGGTTAGTATAAACTAAACCCATCAACATGGGCGAGATGGACCCAAATTCACGGGAGACATGGGTTAGGGTGACCGACCCGACACTCTGGTTACTAGTACGCTCCGTGGTATAAACTGGAGTTGGTGACACTAGAAGTATCAGTACAAAGTATGTCCCTCGCAAATAAAGTTGAATTAATTACTCTCTTCTCGGTTTTGTCCCCGCGATATTTCTTTCTCAACTGGGCACCTCGGACATTGCACGATCCGAATTAATCTCCACTATCACTGCACACAGCCAGGTTTTCAGCCGAGCAGGTCCGAAAGGAAATCACAATGGATCCGGATTATGGATCCCTCTTCTCTGAACCCCCTTAATGAGATGAGTAGCACGGGTCATGTATGACAAGTATCAAGTACGTATATACTATGTAAAGTATAAAGTTGAAACTATTCTATTCTACCTTGTAGTACCATACAACTAAACCAAGTATGTAACTTAACTAGTAGTTAGTAGTGTGCCTTACCCTACAGTTAGGACTACTTAGGGGTATAGGTTAGTCTCAAGTCAAGTCCAGTATTCGATTATTCAGTCGGAAATTATTTCCCTAATTCGTATTTTGTCAAATCTCCAGCTTAGACTCCAGCTTGACTGAGCATTCATTCCCCTTCTCGGTTGTGTTCTTCCAAGTCACGAGACGATCACCCGTTCCTGATCCACATGCAAACATGCAAACATGCAAACATGCAAACCACCGCGGGATTCAACCCGTGCAAGACATTACCTGTCATTCATTCACCTAGTAGCTTCTAGATCTACATCTCTTCCACTCGCTCGGGTTTTATTTTATTTTATTTTATTTTTATTTTGCTTTTTCCCTTTCGCATTGCCCTTTTCATCTTTCGGGCTCGAGCCTCCAACACGATCGCACATCGTAAATCGCACCTCATCCCAAATCTACACATCACATTTGGATCAAATCAAATCTCACCGGCCTAAACACGCACAAATTAAAACGCGCCCTCCTGATACAACACCCCACACTCCATAATATCACTAGGGACAGGACAGGACAGGACAGTAAAATGCAACCTCCCATCGCCTCAGCAGCCAAAACACAACCAACCCGTCTCCTCTTCATAGCCTCAATAGGCAACCAGGCTCCCTACCGCAGAACAAGACATAGCGCAGGCCACCTCCTCCTCGACGAATTAGCGCCCCGTCTCCGCGCGAACTGGTCCCAAAATAACACCAACATCGGCGTCGGCGTCTCAGGGGCTGAGATAGCTGAAGTAAGCCACAGTCAAAGCCACTTGCCGATCGGCGCATACTACACAACATGGTATAGCCCCAGCTACATGAATGAGTCGGGGCCGAAACTCGTGCGCCAATTATCAAAATGGCTTGGGAGACAGGATGAGGTTGTTGCGCGGGGAACTGCACTTCCTTCTAAGGCTGAGTCTTGGTTAGAGGGATTAGTTCCTTCTTCGAACTCGGCTGGGAATGGAAAGGGATACCCTGCTACTCTTGTTATTCTGCATGATGAGCTTGAGGCGCCGTTGGGGAAGATTAGGATTAAGAGGGGTGGACCTGAGAGTGCTAGTTTGCGTGGACACCGAGGATTGATTAGTGTTTTGGAGAGTCTGAGGGGGAAAGGGATGTATGCTCATGGTTCGAAAGTTAGTTCGAATCCGGGTCGGGATCAGGCACAGACACAGAAGAAGGGTGGAAAAGAATCTATTGTGCCAAGGGATCTTTCTATTCTACGAGTTGGGATTGGGATTGGGAGGCCGGATAGTCGGGCGAAGAATGCGGTTGCGGATTATGTTTTGACGGAGATGGATGCTGCGGAGGTTGATGCTGTGCATCAGACTGTTGCTCCGGTTATGGGGATTTTGGAGGAGGAATTATTTTGGAATGGGCAGGAGTCGACTAAGAAGAAATGAGCCTGAGCCTAAGCTTGGGCGTGAGTTTTGTACAGTATACCCTTGATATTGGAGGGTCGGTTAGACGGAGCATGTCTGATCTTGATAGAGCTTCTGTTGTATTATAGCTAGAGGGTTTGCATGGATAGAGCGTATTTGATACCCCATAAGCATCTGCATCTGACAAGCGATGCATCGAATGAACTCCTTTTTCACCATAGAAACAGACATGAAAATGGGAAACTGGATCATCCAGTTTGATCATGTACAACATTAAAGGCTGGAAAGAACATAACAAGAAAAGAGATGAAAGAAAATCATCCGGAAAGCCTCGAGATATATCTACTCGAAAGCAAAAGAAGAAGAGAAGAAGTAGAAAGGAAAAAAGAAACCCATATTATGCACCATTGATCCCAGCAACTGTTCATTAAACAGTTCCCGCAATACTTAAATCGCGAATCTCCTGCAACACTTCCTCAACCCGATTATCCAAATCACCACGAGCATATTGATCTCTCGTCTCCGCATCAAGATACTGCTGCACCTGCGCCATTCGCGAATACGCCTCCGCACAAAACCTCAACTGGATCTTAACAAGTGCCTCAAAGCTTGGATCGAGATACGGAACACGGAGATCAATAAGCTGCGGCAGCTCGGTGAATAGCTGCTCGTTCAACTGCTCGTATGCCTGTTTGGCGATTTCGGCTTCACGCTCTGTACGCGGTAGCTTTGTAGCGTCCTTATCGGGCTTTTCGACGAGCTTCTTTACCTTTGCGCGCATGGCGTCGTAATCGAGGAGTTTGTGATTGCGCTTCTTGATACATTCGTTTACATCGGGGAAGTATGCACAGAAGCGGGAGATGGGGTCGAGGACGGTGGTTCTGATCTGTTAGCTTTTTTTCACTTAAACTGTCTTGTGTTTTCTCTCTCTTTCTCTTCGTGGTTGAGGAATGGATGGATAGTTATTGGATGTCATACCGGTATGGTCCATCTAAAGCCTTGATCGTCTCGGCATCCAGATCCTCAACAGCTTGCTTATAGCTACGGCTCACACCGTCCTTAGTTCCGGCATCTCCGTAGAAGGCATCGATAGTCTCAGCAATACGCATTTGCGATGCAGTCATCGCTACACACCAGTCAGCACCACTATCCTCTCATTACCCCCGCAGAAGGGAAGAAACTGCGACTGGCTTTTCAGGACCCGGAAACATGATAACCCACCTCGCAACGAATCCAGATATCCCTTTGCCTCCTTTTGCAGCCGATTGGCCGCCGTCTCCATAGTTCGGTATCGTCTGCTTATTATTAATCCCCGAAGTCGCGGAGTAGATTATCCTTTCAGTTGGCGTACCGTTCTTCAATCTCATAGTCGCGATCGTTTGTCCTTTCCACATGTCCTGTAACAAGAATAAGTGTTAGCTATCTTATCTATTCATCTTGTTACGATTGGGCATCGCATCGCAGCTCGTTGCGGGGTAAGGTAGGTGGTAAGTTGGTAGGTAAAGGACATACCAGTCTTCATCATCACCTGCGTAGTAGCACGGTTGACATTCTTTTTGAAGCCTATAGTCCATATTAGTATATGTCATTGTTCGAGTCGAGTGTCGATCCTATTTCTATCCGAGACCCAGCCCGGCGGGGATCAGATTTGCGTACCTGCCCAAGACATATTGGCGACTTTGGAAATGAGGGGGAGTCGAAAAAATGCGGGGTGTATGGATGGGAGGATATGTAATTGTAATGTGTTATGTTATGCGTGGAGTCAAGTCGGTTCAGCAATGCAAGCTGGAGCTTCGTTCTGGGTTTGGTTTCTGGTCCAGTCCAGTTGTAGAGGAGTAACCAAGTCCTGAGTCTGCCCGACTGTGGCGGTGCGGGTGGTTGGTTATGTAAGATTTCCGGATGCGGCTACGTCACTACGAGGTTATGGGAAATAAAAATCGAAGCTGAGAAATTGGGGTGTTTGATATGTTTGATATGTTTGATTATGAGATTACAGTGTAGAAGGGATTATAATGAGTCATCTGGTCATCACCTATGTTGCTAGCCCTATAAGTGGAATATGGTGCCTTGTAGAACCTGGCCAGCCTGGAGGTAGGTAGTGTAGCCGGAGCTGGGCAATACAAGGCTGAAGGATTACATACAGAGCCACAGAGAGGAATGCAGATGCCTAAGACTTAAATGCGCCAAGATCACTAGTTGAAAAATATGAGGAGTCTTCATGAACTGAAATACTGGTATATGCAGAATTGAAAAGTCAAATTTTTAAAAAAGAGAAAGTGATTTCTCTTGGAATTGAGCGAAGCGAAACACCACCTACAGCTAGGCTCTCCTTATTGCATCAGAACTGATAAGGGAATGTCGATCATTCCTGAATAGATTGGGGTCGGGGCCGAAATGATGAAAGTGTTGGACTTTTCTTACGATTATAAAATTACAGTCTGGAGGTTAAGTCACCTCGTTAATCATGGACAATTATTCTAGTGGAAAACCCTGATATTGAGATTTAGTCCACATGGCTGTAAACAGGTAATACGGCCCGATTCTTACAAACCGGAAGTGCCTCGGAAGGAAACCGTCCCCTTGTAATTTGCGCGGACTCGGAACCTGTCGTGGCTGTGGATCTATGGGGCTGGCGGCACGAGCATCTGTAACCTGATGTCATTTCCGCATTTGGTAGACAAACAGCAACTGTAATTTATGGCTGGGTAGGGTAATATTCCAGGATTGGGAAGCCATGAGATGAAACAATTGAATTGAATCTCGTGAGACTATGTACAGAGTACAGTATAGTATGTACGAAATTGTCCGAATGACAACTTGAACGACTGGGAGGAAAGAAAAGAGAAAAGAGAACAGCAGAAAAAGCAGACATCCTCGTGGCATCGACTGGGTCGGTCATAAGAGATTACCTAGGCAATCTTGGTTCTCGACACCAAACGAGCGTCATCATATATAACAGTACAAGAAGCACAAAACCAACCAAATCCACCCAAAGCGAAAACGCCATCGCATCACATCGTATGCCCATAGGTATTTGCGAAATCCATAAAGCAACATTAGAACCCTTGCAGAAAAATGGAAAAAAAAAGACCGTGACCCCAAGAAAACGAGAAAAAGGAAAAGAGAGGTATTGGAAAGAGAAGGTCATGAGTTTTCGTTCAATTTAACGTGGGAAGAGGAACATGACATCCAAAGGAAAAGCTAATAGACGAAACATGGGCTGAAAAAGTAAATAGATATAACGATGCGCCGTTTAAAATGACCGAAAGAACAAAGGGCCCCCTTTCTATAGGAGCATTCAAAGGACTATTGCCTCCTTTTTCTTGGACGGGTCTAAGACAAAATATGAAAAGAAAAGAAAGAAGATGACCACCCTCGGATGCTCGTGTAGAGAGGGAGAAGTGTACATCATGAATCAAAACACCCCGCCCCTCCGAGTTCGAGTTCCAAAAGAATCATCATCGTCATAATCAGAATCAGTGTTGAAGGTTTACCCGAAACCAACTGAATTAGAAACCTTCCTCGCCTGCCTTGCACAGTTTGATTTGCCGCACCCACTCAGACTTGAGAACTTGTGAGGCATTGATACGGCGAGAGGGGTTCGGGTCGAGAATGGAGTAGATCACGTTGCGACAGCGAGCCTAAATAGATGATTATTAGAATGACAATCTCTTAAAAATAAAAATAAAATCTTCAGTAAAGGCATGCTTACCCGGTGTAGCGTCTCAATGGGCGCATAACCATCCTCATGTTTCCGTCCCTCCAGATATCGTTGATAAAACTCATCTTCGTCCTTGCGAGCAACGCGCCAGAGATGACGTCCAGTACGCATAGCCATATAAATGACTCCGGTAGCCCACAAGTCGACGGCTCGGGGATCGAATTCCCTCTCGGTATATTCTTCGGGAGCGATGTAAGGGGCGGATCCACAGAGTCCCGCTGTCATATGCGCTTCTTTTTCCCATGCCATTCGGAAGCATTCGCCGTTACCGAAATCAGTAATCTTGAGGGCACCGTGGGTGGTCAATAGCAGATTTTCAGGCTTGAGATCACGGTGAGCGACACCCATCTCATGCATGTATTCCACACCCCGCATGAGCTGCTTGAAGAAACAGTCTGCTTCGGCGACTTCGAGTTTTCCAGCCGCAAGTACTAATGTGTAAAGATCGCCACCGGCACAGTATTCCATAACTTCGCAGTAATCACCCTTCGCATCTTGCAAAAGATCGAGTGTGTGAATCACGTTCGGGTGGCGGAGAGACGAAGAGATGCAGAATTCCGAAGTGAGGCGTTTCTGGTATTTCTTGGTGGTTTCTTGAGGACGGCGGCGGAACTCCTTCACGGCGTAGAGCTGTTCTCCCTTTGAGTCTGCGGGATCGACCTTATGCGAGATGCGGACAATACCAAATGCACCACGACCGACGATCTCTTGGCATTTCCCGTATTTGTCAACTAGAGATGCAGTTGCATTGGGCCCGCCCTTCTTATCGGCGGCCAGCTTATCTCGCTCGGTTTTAAACTGGTCGATCCAAGTCGACATGAGGGAAAGTTGTGTCTCGTCCACCTGGTCATCGCCCTTCTTTCGTCCTGCGCCGAGCATATCACGGAGCAAAGTGGTCAGTTTTTCCTGGCGTCTGGCACTTCGGAGGTTATGGGAGTGATTTCCTAGGGCTTCGGCAAGAATTTCGAAACGCTTCAGCGGGGGAACACCATCTTTCTGTTCCTTTGCAGTACCGGTCTTCTTCTTTGTTGGTTGACTGTCGATGGGCTCATTCTTGAGAGAGGGTTGGCGGGAAGGAGTTTGGGAGGGAGGTCTGGAGTTTGCTCGTGATGACGCTACTGAGGTCGTTTTGTCTTTGGTACTGAATGGAGGGTGAACACTGTCTAGGCTGCTGTCGGATAGATCACGGTGGGCGTCATGATCTTTAACGGTACTGAGAGTCGGGGTTTGTTTGCCAGTGGCAGAGAACATGCGAGAAATGCGACTAGCCATATTGGGTTTTTGTGGTTTCGTGGCGGGGGAGGATACCGATGAGGGGAGAATGTGGGCATCTCCATTTGCCGCGGACAGATTCATGCCCGCTAGGGCGCGTGTTACCGCAGGGTCTCCATCCCGAGGGTCATGTGAATGTTGAGAGTTCGCGGTTGAGGAGACGGCAGACGGAACAGGCGATGCTGGAGGCGGAGTCTTGTGCATTGGATTTTGATGATCAGGAGAAGTATAAAAAGAAATTGAAGTCGGATCAGTCACAAATCACGATCGTCCCCAGGTGGGTATAGGGAGACGAGCTGAGCTCGCACGCGGCAAAGCTGCGCAAAACTGCAGACTCAGATAAATAGTTTCAAAGATTCGTTTCCTTGAAGAAGGAAAAGAAAAAAAGAAGAAGAGAGGTGAGGTTGAGCGGCGAGAAAAAAAGGGAAATTGGATGCCTGAATTTGCAGCCTCAGGCAGGAAACGTGACGCCAGTGACTCGCGTTAAAATGCGATCGGAAAACGCTTGGATCAAGACGTAAGTATGAGATGAGATCGTTGAAAGCAGGTCACAGCAGCGCTGGAGCCAAAGCTGGCCCTTGGGGGTAAATGTCACATATAAGAAAATAAGTAAGAGGACTTGAAGGAGCACACAAAAAAAAAAGCGGGCTAAAAAATATAAAGGGAAAAAAGCTGAGAGGGAAAAAACGGGCAGAGATGAGGGATAAAATTGGCGATACTACGGGAGAGGGAGGGCACTCGGTTGAAATACCAGACGGTTCTGCGGTTCTGGCGTATGGGGCTTACGGGTCTTGTACACGGGGTAAAACCAAACCTGTAGCCTGCACCAGACTGTGATCCACTGGGATTATTAAGACTGATTCTAGCAGGTCCTTTCTCGTTCTTACTCGAGTAACGATAATAATTCTAATTTGGCGTTCCGAAAAAAAAGCGGAAAAGGGAATTTTTTTCAAAAAAAAAAATACTAAAAATGAAAATGAAAATAAAATAAAATCAAATAATTCGAAAAATGGAAATAAAAAATATGGAGATGAATTCTCGAGGGCTGTATGGATGGAGTACACAACCCGTATTGTGGGTGTATTTACCGCGTAACTAATCATAACTCAGCCCATGTCAGATCAAACGACTGGAATTCCATGGGGGCTTTTTGTTGATGACCAATACGATATTATAATTAGTTAGTCTTTTTGCTTAGAATTAGATGCCAGGTGATATTATCAAAAGTTTCATATCAGTCATATCCGTAAATGCTGAGAAACTTACCATACTGAGGTTAAGCATTCAGTTATTCTTCAAAGGGCCCCCAGATGGTTGCAGTAACATCATGCAATGCCCTGGTACAACTGCCCGTACAGCTGGTACATTCCCGGTACCGAGTACCACGAGTGGCGCATGCCCTCCTGCCCTACTGTGTAGAAAGGTAGATTTCTCTAGTTCACGGTACTTTCGTCGACTTTCTGCATATCCTATACCTTAGCCTTGGAGTTCTTAGTGTCTCTTATATTGCGGGTTTCCAAGGTGAGTGATTTTTGTTTTGTTTTTTTTTTGTTTTTTCCAATTTTATATTTTATTCCCACAAACCGGCTCTGCTAACTATAGTGGGCTCGAAGATCCCTGGTACCGGTGCTGGATCTTCCCTCTTCCGTGTTGCAACTACATAGGTACTAGCATTAGGAAGAAAGATTAAGCAATCTGCGAGGTCGGCCAGGTTTGCCCATGTTCGCCATGTTCGCCAGGCTCTCCACGCCCTAAACACAATCACCAGGCCGATCCGCCCCGATGACGTCCCCCTCCTTGATTTCTACTGTGTACAAGTAAAATACAAAATGGGAAGTGGGAAACCCACGTAATTGAATCCCCAGTGACGTCGAAAGTTGCTGAATTGTACAGTAGATAGAAAGAGGGGGACAAAAATAATCCTACTATTCGAAATAAAATGAAATAAAATAAAATAAAATCCATAAATTGAAAACTAAAATCTAAAGAGTAAATATGCATACAGTGCATGTTGGCTATCCTAGGCGTCCCTTCTACCCTCTATGAGTGGCTGACTTTGTCTTTTTTGAGTGTGTTTCTAATGGTAAGGTTGAGGCGAGTGAGGCTGTGCATGGCGTCTGCACGACGAACCCACTAGCATTTGATTCGATTGCGGCCCCGCACCAGCAGCAAGAGCCGATGTGCTGGGTGCATTGTGTGGCGCTCGCATGGCCACTTGTTACTTGCGAGGGAGGACAGGTCCCCGAGCAAGGTGATCCAGTAAACTAGCAAATGTGTAAGTTGAGAGGTCCTTCCCCTCCCCGAGCAAGCCATCTCCCCCGCGGAATACTGGGTATTTTGTTGTCTAAGCGCTCTCCTCGTTCTGCCCCACCTCGAGACTTGTACGGGGTATGTGAAACTACGTAGGAGTCCGTGTAGAAGTTAAATGGAAATACTGGGACTCTGAGAGAGACCACTCCCAGTCTATACACGAGAACATAGACATGTTTTCTCATATTTTACTGTAGTATAGATACTCCTAGTATCTAACCAACTCTCTTATAGCTTCATATTTGCCCCCAACTATAGATAGGATGATGATATACAGTGAAGATAAAAGCCAAGACTCGCCCCTCCATCTGTAACCAATATAATCCATGTAAATTTCCCACTGATCATCTATGATCATCCACAATCCATGTCCTCTTACTTTTCACCCCGCGAATCATCCGAAAGCACCGCAAGTAAATTAAACTCCGCTTTTCGCCAAAAAGGAACACAAATCCACCACTGGCACAGGCACAATCCCACAACTGGATGGATGATCTCTACGACGTAATGGAATGGGGTGTTTTAAAAGCATGCGCATCTCCCCATCGGGATGCTCACAGCGTGGGGTCCCTGTGCGATGGAGTCATCCGTCAACCCGGACAAAGTGTATCCGTCAGCGGAAGCTGTCTCAGTAGCGTCATCCGGGCTGAATGACGGCATCTCGTGTTGGGAGTCCAGTCCACGCTGACCCTGACGCCAAAAACACAATGAGCAACAAACATACTACAGTTCTGTCCAACCAGCTGTTGTAGATGCGAGATAAAGCAAAACAGGAGAGGAGATGCATGCTGTAAACGCAAAGACCATGTGAGTGATATTTCGGAGCCTATTAGGATAGCACGGGTGGTTTACGATTGATCTACATTCGTACAGTAGTTGCGCTTGGCCGTTTATTGTTGCTTTTGTGGTGAATTTGGGATTGAATTCTATTTACCTTTTATAGTTAGAAAGGAAGGAAGGAATAAAGACAAGTAATGTCCATACATGGATCCATACATCCACATCCACTTTAAATACTTAATACTGGTAACTCCGGAGTACGGAGACTTTATACAGTATTGGTGAGTGGGGTGCAATGCGGGTAAAACGAAGCTAAACAGTCTAATGTGCGAACAAGCTCCCCCTCCGATTTCAGGCCGAGGTCATGTTTGGCCTACATTGCCTGGTGCTCCGTATTCGAATATCCTAGTGTCCCGCTAGAGAAGCCAGGTTAATCTTAAAGAATATACAGTATTACTCCAAGTAGGTCTCAGGCTTATGGTAGACGGCGGAACCCAGATATCTCAACCTCGGTTCTGTTCTCTTTCGGCAACCGAGAAATAGACCTAAGTAGAGGGGCCACATGCGAACAGAACAGAAAAGGGTGAACCAGTAGAGAAACAGAAAGGGAATCTCTCAAAGACTCGGAACAGACTACGAGGCATTTTTCTCGCGCCAATCGGAGGGATCGTCCCCCAAACAAAGAGGGGCTATCCGCCTCTCATCTCCGTGGGAACTACAGTAGCCCCATACATTATTAGTATTACCCAACAGTTTGCATTTGCATTGATCTTATCCACTTGTCTACCTTCATCTTACATAGCTTGAGAGCTGTGGGTGTCTACAAGAGATAGCTGTCTACTTTTCAAGTAGTACTAAAACCATCCCACCAAAAAATTCACATCTAGTCAATTTACCAAGCATTCCCCCTCTCCCTGGTAGATTCCCGATTAAACTTGAAAAAGCAATTTCCGATCTTCACAAGCCGTGCTCGTAGCAGGAGACTTTTGCACACGACAGCCCCTACAGACCCCACCATCCACAAGCGCGGGTGACTTTCAATAGAAATCAAGCCCCTCCGAAATGGAAGCGTTCCACTGGTCCCGAGCATGTACCCGATCCAAAGCATACTAAGCATACTCTGACCGCCAGTTTGGAAGATGGGGTTAGAACGACACAAGAGAGAAAAAGACTGGAAATAGAAAACCAAAACATGTTTTTCTTTTTTCTTTTTCTTTCTTTTTTTTTTCACTTAGTATATTTTACTTGTTTCCTTTCAATGTCATTCTCCTTAAACGAGTAAATGAGGGGATGGTTGCACTTGGGCCGTCTGCTATGTACATCTGCTCCGTCCACACATCTACACTTAGGTATACTGTAGAGATAGATACTGGTTAAACAAATGCCTCATTATTCAATTGAACAATCTATCCAATAACATATCAGGCCAAGAAAGAGATTATCAATGAAAACGAGATCAAAAGAAGCAAAGATAGATACAAAGAGAAAAAGAAAAGAAAAAGGTAACTAAGTAAAAAAGCAAAATGAACTCCGTCGCACACAAGGTACAGTATGTCAATCACCGGATCCGTGCAGATTGGCGTCGGGATGGTCCGAGATACCAGTGGACTCTGGACGGGACAGTGGAGGAAAGTCTCTACCTTGGAGACAAGCTTGAATAGCTTTGCTTCTCCCTCGAATTGAGCTGAGCTCGACATGCATGCATGTGTGGCCGTGCTTCTTTGTTTTGCTTTTTTTTTAATTAGGATACCCGAGCATTACATCTTGGCATTGCATGTTTTTAATTCTATAACATGAGATTCCAAGGTCGGTATGAAGCTAGTCAGATCGTCTAGTTTGATACTGAATACTATTCTGAAGGATTGATGTATACATCATGTACAGTATGACCGTGTCATCCTCGTAAAGTTTAAGGGCGCAAAGAGGGGCAATTCCTCTGCAGGAATGGAATAGGATAATAATATCATATCATATAAGCTCCTAGAAACAATATAATGTACAGTAATACCATTATACCGAATCACCCCAGGATGAATCCCATGCATTAGTAGACCTGGTTATAACAAGACATAACATAGCCTTTGGCCTAGACCATTCCAAGACTCTGACTCTACTTAATAGCCTCGGACGGACAAGTGTCGGTGACAACTCATACAGATACACTGGCATTGGGCATTCATTGAAATTTGAAGTTAGGAAATTTGTTGCATATTCTCTCAATCTTCCAAATCACAAATTACCAGTCATCTGCGTTGAAATCTCACCATGTGCCTCTTCAGGGGACACTGATAGCTGTGAATTCGGGCGTGCATGGGCCACGACGGCCCGGATCCAAGGGAATCTGCTTTATTTTTCTTGGCAGATAGCAATTGGGTGTACTTGGTCCTATCGATTGGTCGCCTCGGGAGGGATTGACGCTGCGGCTATCTGCATGCTGTAATTTCCTATGGTAACAGTCCTGGAGTGATTATTATCGGGAGAACGGGAAGAGAAAGATGAAAGGGTTCCGAGGAAGTCCTGCAGCTCCAAAGATATAGTCCGAAAAAACTTCCTACTTCGATAAGAACAATGTTTATCATATAGGATTATCTGATTTTGTTTTGTTTTGGGTATAAGTGCTCGCCATTGTGGTGGTTGGCATTGACTTTGGAATATTATTGTACCAAGATAGGCTCTATTGGCCCCCTGTTTATCTCTGCTGGCCCATTCGCAACTCCCTTTCACCCTTATTCCTTGGCTATACAATAGCCAGCTATTTCTTCCCTGTGGACCTGTGCGGGCTGACCGTAGCCGGCCGAGTATTGGCGCGTGCGCGCCACGTGGGACACCGGGCGCATCCAGTGGAAGCCACGATAATGGGAAAGAGGCGGTATGAGTTCTTGGGATTGGGGATATGCCGCCCGTGCAGGTACCCATATAATCCCATCAAGGGTGTTCAGGATTACGGTGTGAGGTGTCGTTGTTATCGTTCAGGGGGTTGGTTCGTCAGCTCTTCCGTGAATGACGGAGGAGAATCGGTAGTCGGCCATTTCATAAAGCTGCCGTAAGTGAGTAGATTCCTCCTACCCCAAGCATTGATCTAGCAAGCTTGAAACTGCTTATCAGGGAGATCGCTGGATCACGCTAGAACACTAGTCTGCTAGCAGATCAGAAAACAAGTCAACAAAAAAAGGGCGATATAGTGATGTATAAAAAAAGATATTACATACCACAAATTGTTCGAGGGATTCTTCGAACAACTCGTTATTCACACCTACGCCGCCGGGGTGTTCGACTGGAGATAATGGGTTTTTGACCACTGATAACAGAAAGCTCAAGTCAGAATGAATGCGATAATGCGCCTGTTGATCTTGATGGGATGGAGTTCACGAACCGTATTCCACAAACAGGTTGATATATATCTGCTGCAGGGCGATGCGCATGCTTGGGCTTTTGAGGTCCGTCAACATAACGAATTTGATATTGGTTGGGGTTTCGTAGTAGTGCAGCTTGTACTGATTGGTCGTGTATGAAACGAAGCTATTCCGATCGGGCGTACATGTCAACACTCTGGAGCTCAGTCTCGCCCGTCAGGGGTGGGCGTGGCCCTTGAAGAAATAGGTCTTACTTGTCTTCCTCGCCTCCAAGCTTGCGCACCATATTGCGCAGCGAAAACACCGTACCGAAGACTAACTTTGCATCGTCATCGCTCGCCCGTACTGTTTGTCCGAGCCCAGCTTGGGTCTGGGGTTTCCCGCCTATGGAGGTCGGGCGCGGAAGCCAGCGGCGCTTGTAGATACATTCCGCTAGATTGCCTTAGCAGATTATCTCGTTGCGATTCATCAGAGGAGTACATACCGTGGCGGTCGAAGATGTAAAAAGAAAAGACAGTCATTATTGCGGACCTTGAAGTGGATAGAGAGTATTAGGCCAACGGGGAATTTGTTGATGTTCAGGGGACCCGGGGGCGGTGAAGCTTCAAGGTAGATCCGATGATTAACAGCAAAACGACGTTGCCTGAGACTTCGGACGCTGCTCTAGTCTTAGTGTCACCAAATTTAGGGCTGGATGACCGACTGCGCATAGAGTAGCGCCTTCTCTGATCATCCCTGCATGTCAAACACGTTAATCTAGAAGAAAACAAACTTTCTCGTAAGGCTGACAGCGCCTAGCCTACATCACACGTTATCTCGACCCCCGCTCTTCTCTCCCCTCTTCTACCCCACACACACTGCCCTTTTACGCAAACGCCTCTATTTTTTTTTTCTCAAGCCATTTTCGCAATATCATATGTCCCCTCAATGAATGAACACCTCGAGACTCCAGGCCAGGTCTCTGCGGAACCTGGGCTGGAATCACCAGGTGATGAGTCGGGAGACCCACGACCACCTCCGACCCGAGTTGAGTAAGCTCCGAACGAACGCCAGAAGAAACATGGGGAAAAAAGAAAAATATAAGAAAACAAAAAAGGACCATTGTTTCACAAGTCGCCATAGATGTCTGACTCAAATTCTTGTGTAATCTAGTTCCGCCGCGTCTTACGAAAGTCTTGACCGACATCGACGAAGAAACCCCAGATCCAGGCGTCCAGTGAAGGTGGGTAGATTATGGTGACTTTTGGTACATGGCAGACTCGACAAGACTGATCATGTTGTAATTAGGAAACACTGGACGCCCGTTCCCAATATACGACGAGCCAAGACGATGGCGCCGCTGAGCATCACATCAATCAATACATAATTAAGCAAGAGATTGGACGAGGATCTTTCGGCGCTGTCCATTTGGCGGCGGATCAATATGGGAATGAATTTGTATGATGTTACCCGTTCTGAATCCCATGGGCAATGAGCAAGAGAACTTGCAATCGTGATCTTGAAGTGTGAATTGATTGCAGAAGAATGGTGGCTAACCATGTGCGCAAATATCGTATAATAGGCAGTGAAAGAGTTTTCCAAATCCCGATTGAAGAAACGCGCACAATCGCATATGTTGCGACGACCTCGAGGGCCTCGACGACATGGCACTGGATTGAACTTACCCAATTCACCATTGCATAGACATCCGTCTGAGGACGATAGCGAGACTGCCAAAAACCCACTCTATCTGATTAAGGAGGAGATTGCGATCATGAAGAAACTCAACCACAACAATCTGGTATCGTTGATTGAGGTGTTGGATGACCCGACCGAAGACTCCCTATACATGGTCATGGAAATGTGCAAGAAGGGCGTGGTCATGAAAGTCGGCTTAGAGGAACAAGCTGACCCTTATGATGACGATCAATGTCGATGTTGGTTTCGCGATCTGATTCTAGGGATCGAATATCTGCATGCGCAAGGGATTGTGCACCGTGATATTAAACCAGACAATTGTCTTGTGACCAACGACGGTGTGCTGAAAGTAGTGGATTTTGGCGTTTCGGAAATGTTTGCAAAGGATTCAGATATGTTCACGGCCAAGTCGGCTGGCTCACCTGCATTCCTTCCGCCAGAGCTATGTGTTGTGAGACATGGCGATGTGTCAGGGAAAGCGACTGACATCTGGTCTATGGGTGTTACCCTTTATTGTCTCCGGTATGGCAAGTTGCCTTTCGAGAAGGCGAGTATTTTCGAGTTGTATGAGAGTATCAGGAACGATCAAGTGAAATGCGATGATGAGCACGATGAACGTTTCGAGGATTTGATCAATCGTCTTTTGGAAAAGGATCCGGCAAAACGAATCACTATGCCTCAGTTAAGGGTAAGTCTTGTCAATATTGCAATGCCTTGGACCGTTCTGATTTCATTGTTCAGGAACACTCGTGGGTGACTAGGGATGAAACCGATCCTCTTTTGTCTGAAGAAGAAAACACAGCTCATAATGTCGAGCCGCCAACCGAGGCCGAAATGAATGCCGCTATTACCAAAAGCATAAGCCATGTCATGACGCTGGTAAGTTTCTAGAATTAGTCTCAAGATGGCTTCCCCCCCCCCCCCGGGGTTCTTTTTACTAACCCAGTTTGTAGATGAAAGCCGTCAGGAACTTTAAACAGCTAGTCGACCCGAACAAAGGAGCTCCAATTATGCAAAGTATTCTGGGTGAAGATATTGAAGCCCACTTTGTTGAGCCACCTATGGAGATGGACGCCGATGATGATTTCCCATCGGTTGGACTTCAAGAACATACTCCCTCAAATCAGGGACCGGTTGGCGGTGGCCTCCGCAAGATCTTGGGGAAACATCCTTTGTTGTCGTCGGAATCACAAGACCATCGAAGCAGCTCACGGAACAGTGAGTCAGCGAGCTTTTCGTCCTTGCCAACTCAGTCTCCTGGTGGTAGCAAACGACTGAGTGGAGTCTTTGAGCCAGAAAGGAAAGACTCGGGGTCAATTCATAATGGGAGGTCCCCGGGTAAGCCTGATTTCGGACATGAAGCATATTCACATTCTCAGTCTGGATCGCCGCTGCCATTATCACGAGCCAGTTCAGCAACTACCAAGCGTAGCATTGAAGGAACTCGTGGCCATGCTAGGGATCCACTAGAGGATGAATTCACATTCCTCCATATCGGCCCGTCAACATATACAGGCTCTTCACAGGAACCCACTGATCTCAACATCGGGAGGGATCCCGCACCTCTAGTTGCCGAGCCAGAGAGTATGGACGAAGATCTATATCAGGACTCAGCGATCGAACCCGTGCACATGGTTAGCGAATCTCCCGGTGCTGCCGAATTCGACATTTATGAAACAGCTTATCGGAACGAGCTCGAGCGCATCAATTCCTCCAGCTCCAATCGCACATTCCCCGGTCCAAGCCCAAAGGTCTTCTTAACACGCCGAATCGAAAACAAAGATGATGTGATGCATTTCGCCAAAGATAAAGCAATTGACCTGCAAACCGGGACTAAAAGATTCTTCTCCTCGCCAGCGCTCAGCCCAGGAGGCAAAAACAGCCCAGCCTCAGCATTTAGTGCGGCTGTAAGCTTGCTTCGCAACCAGATCGAACAGAAGAAAGAAGCCGGAGACTCGGAGCCATTGCAGTCACAACAAGATCAAGATCAAGTAGTAGAGGATAAGCCTAAGCCTACTCCTACTGAGCGCCGGCCTTCTAATCCACCTGCCTCGACAATTCGACCACAATCTATTCCAGGTCCGGAATCTTCATCTCTCGAAGCAACAGGTGTGCCTGTCACGGAAACTTCTACTGGTGAAGACTCCAGAGCTCAACTGCGAAAAATTCTCAGTCGTGCGCATGGAAAGCTCACTGAATGAGATCATCATTTTCAATTTCAACAAGGTAAGAAGATGGCTGACAAGGAACGAGCTGGAGCCACCCGTGATATGATAACTTGTTCGATATTCTGGTTGCCTGAAAGTTTCATTTCCATTCCTGCCCCTCTACTTTTTCCTTTTCTATTTCTTTGTCTTTTTATTTCTTTTTCTATTTCTTCTTCCCTGTATTTTCGCGTTTCCTGTAAACTTGCATCTGCATATCTCCTCGATCTGGTCTAGCGCATTAACCAGTTCAGTTCAGTTCGCATGGCTGTACAAATTCATGAATCAATTTCGCAGGACTTATCCTCTTTGCATATACTCCAGTATCACAAATAGATATTAGTTCTCCCAGTTCTAATAAATAAACCGCCTCTACAGTCTCATAATGAATACAAATTTTAAGACTCAGACTGCAGTAGATCGGAGCCCCGTTCATCGTCGAGTTTTGCTTCGACTTTCCCCACGCTATGTATGATCTATCAAATTCAGCGAGATGCATACACGTACATGAGAGTTGGCGCTTATTGGTGTTTGTATATTTGATCCACTGACCATGGTTACACGATGTTCTTGATTTTCTGTCTGTTTCTTGTTCTACGTTCGTATTGATTCTTGTCTGTCTGTAAGGGGTGTGGCTGTGCGGAGTACAGGGTTGATTTCCAAGAAGATGAGGGTACGGATGGGATAGTACGTACTTGTGGATTTGGATATGAACGTGGTACTTATATTTGTATTGAGTTATATCTAGTGATTTCGTAGTGTCTATATTAGATAGTCCGAGTCCAGAGTACATGACCACATAGAGCCTGGTATACTTAGTACCCACCAGCGATTCCTACTGTGTACAATGCAAAGAAACCAAAAGCCACAAACTTGGAACAAGTTTATATTTGATATATATCATGACAATATCTACATATTTCTAAGTATTTGATCAGAATAATCATTGAATAGATTGTATGGATGAAAGAGCAAAGCTCGGCTGTACATTAAATATCAATCCATATCTTACAAGCGTCATGATAGACGACATAACCAGAAGAAAGAAGAAAGAAGAAGAAGAAAACCAAAACCAAAAAACGCGAGCAAAAAAGTTGATCTGTATCATGAGCCCTCGGGTAGGGCGCGAAATCGTGGATCCAGGTAGTATGTAGGATCAGAACGAAAAGCAGAAACATAGTGCATGTGCTGATCGTCAGCATGAGGTAAGGTTTGAGTCATTAGATAATACAAGACGAGCAGATCGGTAGAATGTAATATGATCAGTGACCAAATCGGACCAAGGAAGGGAAGATATGAGAAGCAGATAGAAAAAAGAGGAAGAAAAGAAGAAAGAAAAGGCTCAAGGCTATAGCTGTCGCCTCGCCATGGAAGACACAAGACATTCGTAGAAGCATGTCACATCACGCTAGACTGGCAGCAAGAATCAGAAGAAGAAAAGGGCATGAATCAGCTAGAAGCAGATTTGCAGTTGCAGAGAGCAGAAGTGAAATAGAAGAAGTAAGTCAGCCTAGCTGGGCTGAAGCATAGGCAATAACATAGACAGATAGATGCAGAGCATTCGCATTTGCGTTAGCATTTAATTTACCTGACATTAATCGTTTTGATCGTTGAAAGTCTGAGGTTGCATTGCAAGCGGAAGAAGCCGTAATCTTCATCGAACGTGGATCATGGACACATTTGCAGGATAAGTGGTGCGAGGGGAGATCAGGACCGCAAGAAAAATTGAAAGAGAGTGTCGTAGTCGTAGTGGGGTTCAAGGTTCAAGGTCCAAGGTCCAAGGTTCAAGGTTGGAAAGAATGAACTCAGTTGTTACGGAATGAACGAACGTAACGCAAAGGACGAGGTTGAGGTTGAGAAATCGAATCTCGTATATTGAGTCGTCAAATCGAATCGCTGAGAGCAGAGGGCAGAGGGCAAAACGCTAACGCAGCAGACACAAAAACGCAAACAGGCGCAATATGAACGCTTTCTATTGTTCATCATTGGATTCATGGGAGCGTGGCTGGGCGGGTAACCCGGAGTTGCGAAATTCAGAAATGTCAATGAAGGATGGACAGTTTGGAGGGAGGATGGGGAGGTAGGTGGTGAGGTTTTGTTTTGAAGGGCGAAGTACGGCGAGGCTTTCTCGTGGCCTTTTTTGGTGTTCTTTTTTTGTGTATATTTTCTTTTCTTTTTCTTTCTTGATCTCTTTCTTGTCAATGTAGTTGAGAATTTGAACACGGGACTACTCATAGACAAGAATACGGCTTAACCGAGGTACAAGATTGAGCTATCGAGGTTTTTCGCCTGGCGTGGTACTTGCTCGTGGCTCGGAGAAAGGACCTTGAGGTGTCGGATCCCCTCTACTTGTCACTGAGTCTCGACGACCGCTATCTGGAGAGAATCGATCTGGTGGGATAGCACTGAACGAGCCGCGTTCGCCGGGATTACTATTGAATCTAGGAATTGAATCCGGAGGACCAAGTTGAAGAGCATGCGGAGAGGGTAGCGGGTGGTTCATCTGATGGCCCATCTCCTGTGGACGAGGTAATTCTCGTAAATTAGGTCCCATCGCGCGTCCAGGCATATCACGACGTTCATCCATATTACCCAGTGGTAAACTCGGCGCAGGCGCTAAAGGCCGACCTGCAGAGGGATCATATGGAATAGAATTTGAACTATGCCCATGTAATGGGTGCGCGATACTGCCGTGGACATGTGCATAAGAAGTAATTGGAAGGGCGCGAGAATTGTTAGGCGATGAGATTTTCAGTCGTCCGGAACCAGACCTTCGAGGAGGTGGATAGGTCTCGCCGCGAGCTTCGGCGGCAGCTTTTCGTCGTTCGGTCTCTGCTTTACTTGGACGTCCTCGTTTCCGAGGAGGTTCGCCATGAGCACCATCTAGTCGTGGAGAGAGCTGAGCGGATGCGCCACTTTCACTGCTGTACGAGGCGACACTGGCTGGGGGTCTCGGTTGAATGGCGCGCGGTTTATCGGAGGCGTACAGCGGTCGTTTGCGCAGGTTGGGATCGACGGGCGGTGCAGAGGCCCGAGTCATATCGGGGCGAGGCATTTGAATGGTGGCGGGCACAACTGGTGCTGTGGCCGGCGCAGCAGGCGCAGCCGGTGGATATGGTTGGAAATGGGCTTGCATAGTATCGAAAGCTATTCTGCATGAATTCACGGAGCGACCTGATGAGTTGATTAGAGGGGAGATCATAAGCGAGATTGATTGCCATTGAGCCGATATTTTCATATATATAAAAAAAAATTGATATTCAAAAAAATATCAACAAAATAGAAATTGGCCGGAGAAGGCGGGTGTGGAGGGGTGTGTGGTTGATAGTACCTGGCGGGAGAGGAATATCCCCCCAACTGGGTTGGATATGATGTTCATGGATGAGGCGAACCAGAAGGCTAGATGGGATGCCAGCTTTCTTGAGGATCTCAGTGAGCAAGAAATACTAATGAGCACGTTAGTTATGTGTTTTTTTTTAAGCAGCTACCTGGAACTTACTCTCTCCTCCTCGGTCCATGGCCTATCAGGTGGATTCGACATATCCCATGGAAGCGAACGAGGTGAAGGAATTGAGACCGTGAAAAAAGGATAGGAGCCACAGTAAATAGCAGTGCAATCGCAATATTAGAAAGAACGACAATTAAACAACCTCCCAGCTAAATCAAGAATTCAATCGGAGCGAATGGCGGGTCCAGGAAGAAAAAGGGAAAAAATAGAAAAAAATAATAAAGAAAAAAAAGCACCACCAATTTCTTATTCTCAATAGAATCGTGTACACGAATTGTGCAGACTTAGAGTCAAGAAGCACCAAAGGAAAGAATCATAAAAATGAAGGGGGGAAAAAAAAAAAAAAAAAAAAAAAGGACGAAAAAGATTGAATTCTTATGTGGCCATCCTCCCACGAGGCAGGCAGAAGACAAAAAGATGAAAAAAGAGGGACAGAGAGGGACAGAGAAAGAAGAAATGGAGGCTTTACAGCCAGTGGAAATGGGGAGAGAGAAGTAAAAGACAAGTTCGTATGGAATTCCCGGCTGAGAATTGGTCCTGGGGACTTGAACAGCCGGGATCGCGCAGGAGACAGCGCGCGTTGGACCGGGAAAGCTGCAGGGACTATGACTGTTTGGGGGATCACTGGCAGTGGATGAGATCGTGTAAAGTGTAATTCAATATCCAGTAATTTCTTGGACACTTGGACCTCGGGGGGTTAGAGGAGCTCCCAGAATCTTGGTTTGTCTGTATGATGATGTTCCGGTGGAGGTGATGTGGTGTCGTTCGTGGAGAATTATATATAGAACGATTTTCACCCAAACAAGCAACTCAATGGATCCAGGAATGGTGAAATGGGCCAATATTAAATTAGGAAATGAGAAAAAGGAAAAAAGAAGAAAAAAGAAATCAAATGACTAGAGGGAGAGAATAAAAAGGAGATGGTTTGCCAGTTGCAGGGCGCTGCAGGTTGCAGGTTACAAGTTACGGGATACAGGGGAGACGTGCAAGGTGAGTGGCTCGCGGAAGGAGCGACCCAGCACGGAGTGGGTGTCGGTGGGCAGGAGTGGGCAGGAGTGGGGATCGATGGAGCCCGGGGCAGTTTCAGGTGTTCTGGAAGAGTTCGAAACAGGGGATTATTATTACCTATTACCTATTACCTGTATTAAGGATTATTATAATATTATTATTATTATTGGAATAAGGAATAAGGAATAAGGATAAGGATTAGGATTAGGATTAGGATTAGGGATGAAAAGAATTTGTTCATATTTTATTTACATTAATTCCATAGATCTACTTTTTCCTGGAATCTTCCGATGTTAACCAATTCTAACGGTATTATTATTATCAGAAATACTATTTATTATTATATGCCAAAGTACGATCGAGGGGTTGCAGGAGTGGGGTCAATCTTTTTTTTTGCTCTTTCCTCCGAATCCATAGTCATGGGAGGATATACTGTAGAATAAAATAATAATAATAATAAACAAATAGAATACTCAACAATTGTAAATCTTGATCCATCTTTTAACAACTCCCAATCAATCAGACTAACAGTTCATCTGTTTCATCTGCTCATCGGCTCATCATCACTGCATGTACTATGTACCCCTGGAATCATGCAAATCATCATGAATAGGGGCCAAAACAGAAACTCTGTAACATAAACTCTGTCGTAGAAACTCTCACAGAAAACGGTTGGCCCTGGCAGTTCCAGAGCCAAGGGACATCCTGCGGGAAGCAAGTGCTTTTCCCGACGAAACCGTGGTCGCAATGCCCCGGGCCCGCTGATAGGTGCTGATAGGTGGCGCGGGGCCCGGGACTTTGGATCATGACTTAGTTGAAGCTAATCATCCACAACAGTCCACAGCAGTCCACAGTATTCAGAGTAGAGATGGGATTAGAATTAGAATATTATATAGTTTCCGGGAATCAATATTCAGAGTAAGAATTATTCTATATCTATATCTATATTCCAAGTATCCTAATTTACACCTCTATCCTTCCAGGTTCTTCCAGGTTCCAAGGTTAATAGTCCTACTGTACGCCCCACTAGTCCACTGTCCACTCCGATCTAAACTTCGCTGTGCAGTGAGCCTTTCCTTCTTGAGGCTATAGTTTGAGCCTAGAGCCGTTCGCTGTCCGCATAGAAACACATGGAACTGGCCTCGTGCATAATAATCCCCCAAAGTACGGAGTCGTCTCCTTCCTCCGCCGATCCCCTTTACAGGATTACAGAAAGAAAAGAAATTATAAAACATAACCCAAAAACCCCAGTGGTTTGGATCTTATCTTCGCAGTAATTGGGATACCCAGGTGGAATATGGAATCATTCCGAGATGATCAGTACAGTACTCTGTACTTTAGGATCTCAGTACTGGACATGGAAATAATAAAATAAAAAATAAAAACAATATCCAATTATCCATCCATGATGATGTCAATAATGCCCCTTTTTGGGTCTTCATAAGGATGTACAGCACAGATGTACTTCGGTGGCACAGTTGACGGGGTATACGCAGTTACCGAGGTTCCCTTTTGAATTATCTTATTATCTTATTTAGTTTAAATTTTAAATTTTAAATTTAATTTATTTCTCCGTCTCAATTCATTATCTCCAAAAGAAAACGCACAGACACCGTTTGCCTACTGCATGAATCTCTGATACTCTGATCCAACTCATTCCCATCCAATCGATTTCCGCCCAGACTGAAATTTATGCATTCGCTTCTCTCCCACTCCTCATGCTTCATCCCTATCCACTCATTGTACTGCACCTTTCACGTAGCTGCCCGTGGACGTGGCTCTGCAGGGCTTAGCGACCAGAGGCTCCATCCAGACTCACCATTCCCCGTCCATCCTGTTTCAGCTGCATTTGGTGGCTGTCCTAGCTGTCCTAGCTGTCCCTAGCTGCATGTCATTTTTCATCCTTTCTCGCCTTTTGTCTCGCCTTGTCTTTCTTTGTGATTCTCTTTCTCTTTCTTCTATGCCTAGTACTTGGGCAGAGACTAACCCCGAGAACAAAGACATTCATTGGGGACAATGTATCGAGGTTATCTTTATATTCACTATCACTACTATTCCCAGATTCAAGTTATCATATTTTATATCTTATATTTTATATTTGCATATTTAGCTGCCTTCATGTAGATGATTATGCGATTCTATTTTTATAGCCAGCTCAACAATTCAACAATCAGTTTCACTGATGAATCTTTTCACTCTGGGACTGACCCTTCAACGCTGTCAGTGGCAGTCAATGATATCCACACGCGTGATCTTCGTGATCTCTTCTCTCATTCAACGTCATACCTGACCACATCACCTCTAACCAGAATTCAAGACCAGAACATTATTCTTCAATACCTCAAGACAAAAGGAAACACACAGATCACAGAGAATCAAAAAATAAGCAAAACAGATGAACCAGAAGCAGGACAGAAAAGAAAGCTTCCCCTTGCGCAGTCTAGTCGCGGTGGACGGTGGGCGGTGAGCGCGCGCGACACGGGAATAACGTCTGAGTTTCTTAGGAATAACCATTTGTGAAATTGAGTCTTCCTCTTTTGATCTCTTCAACTCATCTTCTTCTTTCTCACTCCACTTCCCTCCACCCCGTAGTCCGGGTCAGTCATGTCTGCCCATGGCACGGACTCCCATGATATCGAGGCAGTCATGGACTCGCCATCCGCCAATGGTTCCGACACTTTAAAAAATGGCCAGCCTGCGCGCCTTTCTCGGTCGCCTTTACCTCGTCAAAGCGCGACTGCAACTCCTGATCTGAAACCGAAGATGGAGGACACAGAAAAAAAAGTCGGCGGCGACGTCGTCGTTAAGCAGGAGCCTGGGCAGCCGCCCAGACTGTCGAGGAGTGCTTCACAGAAGGTCGTGCCGAGGGCGCCGCGGTTGTTTTCGCATTTGCCTGATAGTACTCAGGAGGCGCTGAGGGGGTTCGAGAAGATCGAACAGTGCTCATATGCGAATAAATATATGGGCTTTACGGAACATGCAATGGAGTGTGATTGTGCTGAGGAGTGGGGTAGGTGATTCTTCTTGTTCTTATTCTTATTCTTGTTGTTCTTGTCTTCTTGTCGTTATTCAATTTTTTACCCTTTTCTTCTTCTCTTCATGTACAGCCGATGAGAGTTGGAGGGATACAAGCTGGGTCATCAGCTGGGAGGAGCGAAAGTGGTATCGTGGCATGTTCAAGGGCACCCTTTCACTTTCTCGGTTTCCTCTCTTCTTCCTACTCCAGTCTTATCCTCCATACCTCTCTTTTCATACACAGTTTACTTATTATCATGGATTTAAATAGATTCCGAGATCGGCCAGAACCTAGCGTGTGGTGAAGACTCCGACTGCATCAATCGAGCAACCAAAATCGAGTGCGTGGGTGACTGCGGCTGTGGCCCCGACTGCCAAAACCAACGATTCCAAAAGAAACAATATGCGAAGGTATCGGTTATCGACACTGGAGACAAGGGCTATGGATTACGAGCCGAGACAAATTTGGAGGCTCATCAATTAATCTACGAATATGTTGGAGAGGTGGTGGGCGAGTCCCAATTTCAACGGCGAAGGAGAGATTATGACGCCCAAGGAATCCGTCATTTCTATTTCATGTCGCTCAACAAGGGAGAGTTTGTGGACGCGACCAAACGGGGAAACTTGGGCCGGTTCTGTAATCACTCGTGCAACCCGAACTGTTATGTGGACAAATGGGTTGTGGGCGAGAAGATGCGGATGGGAATCTTCGCCGAACGGGCTGTACAGGCTGGCGAGGAGCTGGTTTTCAACTACAACGTTGATCGATACGGTGCCGACCCGCAGCCTTGCTATTGTGGTGAACAGAACTGCACTGGATTTATCGGTGGTCGGACTCAGACAGAACGGGCTACGAAACTCTCGAACGTTACGATCGAAGCCCTTGGTATCGACGATGCCGATGCTTGGGATACCGTGGTGGCACGCCGTCCTAAGAAGAAGAAGACTGAGGAAGACGATGAGGAGTACGTGGACAGTGTGCAGCCCAAGTCTCTGGATGAGGACGGCGTGACCAAGGTCATGGCCGCTCTTATGCAATGTCAAGAGAAATGGATTGCTGTCAAGCTGCTCGGCCGTATTCAGCGCTGTGATGATGAGAGAGTACGGAATCGAGTCGTGAAAATGCACGGTTACCAGATTCTCAACTCCCAGCTTGCCATGTGGAAGGAGGACAATGTTGTGTTGATGCAGATCTTGGATATCCTGGATAAGTTCCCTCGACTTACCCGGAACAAGATCGTCGACTCAAAGATTGAAGATACCATCCGACCTTTTACCACATGCGAGGATGAGCGTGTTGCAACCAAAGCCACTACGCTTTTGGCTAGCTGGGCCAACCTAGAGGTTGGCTATCGTATCCCACGCATGAAGCGAGGCGAGCAACCAAAGCAAGCTGTGAACCAATTCGAGCGTCGTGAATCTGGCCGAGAGCAGCAGCGTCAACGCTCCGCGTCTCCCCCTCATACAGCACCACATGAGCCACAACACATGCAGAACCTTGCAAAGGGTCGGCGGGGAGGAGAGCCCCATCTTCAGCGGGATCTTCATCACAATCGTCCTCGACCTGGTGGTCGTCGCAATATCCGACCACCACAGTCGCAGCCTCTACCCGAGGGATGGTATACTGCCAAGGATGAAACTGGTCGTGTTTACTACTATTCTGCCTCGAAAGAGGTGACATGGAATCGACCAATTGCCCCGGCTGTCTCTGCTCAGCCTTCTGTGAACAAGACCAATAATACGCTTTTGCAAAACATCATTGATGGAATCATGTCCCAAGACAAGACTCCTTCAGATCAAAAAAGCGACACCCCCAGGACACCACAGCAACCTTCAGATCAACCGGAGAAGAAGAAAGAGGGAGACTGGTGGAAGAAGCTTAATGAGCAGAAGCAAAGAAAGCTGTACGAGAACACTGTATGTGAAATTCCTTTCTTTATTATCTCCAGCCAACGAGCAAGTACCAATACTGATTACCATTCAGCTTCACCCTCACATCAAGTTCGTCATGGATCAATATAAAAACAAGATCCCGAAGGAAGATCTCAAGCGATTTGCCAAAGATGTAAGTCTCCTTTTCTGCCTCCTTCCCCCTTTGCTCTTCATGAATACTAATCCTCCCAACTTAGACTGCTAGGAGACTTGTCGACGGCGATTACAAACGTGGCCGGGTAACAGATCCAACCAAGATTAGCGAAAAGCACACCCACACCGTGAGAAAGTTCTGCAAAGAGTTCTTCGACAAGGCCGCGAAGAAACACAAGGACCGCGAGGCAGCCAAAGCCAAGAAGAGCGGTACCGTCAAGCCAGATACAGGCGACAACGATGGCGATGTGAGAATGTCCGATGATGAAGCCGAGCCTTCTGCCGGGACAGGCACAGCGACTTCACCAATGGATGATGATGCATATGCCTCGCTTAAGCGCAAGCGTGATGGTTCCTTGGACCAGGACCAGGCCCAACCTACCCCCGACGAAGGAGGCAGTTCCCCTTCTAAACGACAGAAATCTACACCTCCACCCCCTCCACCTCCACCACCGATTACAGATGATATCAAGGCGGAAGATAAAGGGGTTGAGGAATCTATTACACCACCATCGGTTCCGCCTCCTCCTCAGGAATCCCCTAAGGGAAACCTTGATGGATCTGAATCTGGGTATAAAGGCCCAGACGTGGAAATAAAAGATATACCCTCGCATACCCATGTAGAGGGGAAGGTATGATAAAAGTTTCCATTGCATTGCATTTTATTCGCATTTTATTCACATTGAGCATGAGCATGATCATACAGCTGGCCCATTTTATTCTGATTCATTTTGATTCGATTCTGCTTATGCGGTCAGTATCATGGCCCCTTCCTATCTACACTACCCATTGAAGACAAACAACTTCCAGTCCAATTATCTTTCGTTTCGTTTTATTTTGTTCTGCTCATCTCGATCTACTTGGTCTTCTTCTCTTCGAGATGCTTATTCTGTATTTTTGTCAAATACCCCGATCATAGTTGCAATTAAGGAGTTGGTCGCCTTTCCCTTTATCTTTATATTGATCATGTTTGATTATTCGTTTGAATAGGTAGATAGACTTTGATCTGGATCACTGCAGGTTTGTTTTGTTCGGACTTACAGATAGATGATGGATCAGATCATGTAATAGTATTCTATAATTCAAGTTCGCATATAATCTTCTTGCTTCCTACTACATAACCTTGAAACCCACGATCTATACAACCAGAAACAAGAATAAAACCCAAAACTTTTCATAAACCTCCATAGTACTCAGACAAAAATATGATAATATAATCCAAATCAAGCATTTTCATTCATCAAATCTCACTAGTAAAATCCACTACTAGCGATATCCATTACCAATAAGCAGGTAGTAACATTGAAGTAGAATCCATCTAATAGAAACTCTCAACAATACTCTCCTTATTAGGACCCTGTCCAGCACCACCAGGTGCCATCTCTCCAAGTCTAAAAACAGACTCAATAACACTCAACTCCGTAGCAGTAGTATCCAAACCCGTAACAGCAAGCCAATCATTAACCACCATACCCGCACCAACAACAGGAGATCCCCGATTAACCGAACCCGCAACGAGCGGAACCTGCAACAGAGAAGAAAGCTCATCTTGATCTCTAATTGAGGTTTTGGGGTGCACGATACCTCCAGCATTGGAGAGAGACATGTAAGAGCCTGTAAGGACATTGTCGGCTACTGTTTGGCGGAAGACTTCGACGCCTAGCACGTCGGCGATGATTTCTTCTGTTTCGCGCTCCAGATCGGGGTGGACGATTGCTACGTGGTCGTTGCAGCAGATTACGTTTCCGAGGGCTGAGAGGCGTTCTTCGATTCTTTGGATCTTTACACTGTCGGGGAGGGTGTTGCGGAGGTGCTGCAGTTCTTGGTCTGTGGTTGTGGTTGGGACGAGGAGACCCTTGCGGTTTCTATGGGATTTTATTAGCTTTGTTTGATTTGTTTCTGTCTAGGATATGGATATGGATATGGTGGGATGGGAATGATGGAGAGGAGAAGAGACATACCCAACTGTTAACCGACCGACGATGCGGGTACCGGCAATAGTGGCGTGGCAGATGGGAATGACATCCTGAAGCTCAGACTCGAAGACACTAATGGTTGTTAGAGATGTTTTGTCTTTCATGATTGTCACTGAGTTGAGTTATACCTGTAGAAGTTCTCGGAGGCACCGACAGCGACGATGGCGTAGGAGTTTGTCAGGCGGGCGAAGACACCGACCCTGATTTCATGTTAGCTTTTGTCTTTTTATTCAAGGTGGTTTCATTAATGCGCTGCGATGGATTGGATTTTTGGATTTTTAGGAAATTTTTCTTTTTTTTCGCTTTTTTTTTTCTTGTCGTCTTGTCTTCCATTTCTGCATGTGGTAGACTGCACTGCACTACAGTGCAGTGCAATTCATTCCAGTATCCTTCCAATCCATCCATCAAGCGACCCAGGTATAAAACTCACTCATTTGAGTTCTCGAATTGCGCGCGAACAGCCATGTTGGATATTTCTAGTCTGTCTGAACAAGTGGGTATCACGATGACGGCGGAGGAACCGGAAAGAAGATGAGATCAGGTATTATCCTGAAGAGAAAGGTAGGTAGTAGGAGATCCGAACGTGAATCTAAATCGGCAACAAAGACTGTACTGTAGATTGTACGAGCAGAGGCAGAGGGCAGATCTTAAATGGTGAAGTGGGATGAAGATTGAAAAAGAGCAAAAGCTTTAGCCAATCAGGGCGAGGGGCTGATTGCCCCGCTTGGTGGAGATGGAAGACGAATTGGATGTACTCGGTACATAATTTTGTGTGTGAGTTTCACTGTAGGCTAGGTATCGGATACTTGTATTATTTGAGTCATTCTGCCTCATCGTTACGGGTCTAGAGGATGATGACTCGATTTGAATTTGGGGCTGAGTTGTTGGGCTGTTAAGTAGTTTTATTATTGTTCATTATTTTTATTGTTAGTGTATGAGTAATACTGCATAATTAACACGGGGTTGTTGTAAGTAGTACACATCTACACATGTGCATTGCATGCAGTTATTATGCAGTTACACTTACAGTTAGGTACACGAGAAGGAATACGGTGTGCCCATGTACATTGTCAATTCCTGGTAACTATCCATACATCTTCATGTTCTCAACATGTTCTTTATGATATCCAAGAAATCGAGAAAGACATGACGATGAAAACTGATCCAACGAGCAGCGGAAAAAATCAAAATGTAAGGCGCAATAAAGAACAAAGTTCTTCGAGTTGGGATATGAAAATGAAAACTAAATCCTGCGATAAACAAGAAGCCTAACCAGACCAGGGTAATAGACGCCAGAAGAAGAAGAAGAAAAACGCCGACGCTGAAGAGACAGAGGTAAAGTACATTCGGAGGTCGTGGTGCAGTGCACTTCACACTGAAGTGCATGTGCATGTGCATGTTTGGGTTGGGGACTGCAGATGGACTCGAGTAGGTAGGTGCTCGAGTCGAAACGAAGCAATCAAATGAAAACGAGTCATTGTTGATAATACATAGGACTGGTAATGTCCGTGATCAACTCGGACTATTGGATATCGTATGGGATTGGCTTGTGTATTTCTGGATATGAAGTAATATCTCTAACCAATTGTGATTAATCGGATACCCTTTAGAGTTGAATTAGGCGCAATATGTAGAGAAGCCCTCATCTTTGAGAATTCGCTACTCAAGATGCGTAGTGATGGGTGTGATGGTACATTGTTTGTATGTTGTGGATGGCGTGTTATGTGAATTAGAAGGCGGGATGGTGTATCAATACTTCATCTTTAGTATCGACGAGGAGGGGGTTGGTGAGATCCTGGAGGACCCGGTGGTCCAGGCGGTCCATGGCTATGAGGCGATGGAAAGTACATAGAAGGGGGGCCTGGAGGTCCTGGGGGTCCCTGATTAGGTGGAGCACCATGGCCCGGTGGTGGGCCATGACCTGGTGGAGGCCCAGGCAAATAACCAGGCAGAGGAAGACGAGCAAAGTTAGACCCTGGAGGCGGGGGAAGCTGAGGAGGACCATTCATAGCAAAAGGGTCAGGAAGACCAAGCTGGCCACGGGCTGGAAGTAAACGGCGAGGCTGTTGAGTTGGGGTTGGCCGAGGCAAAATGAATGATCGTGGATCTGTTGGACCATGAGACATGCCAGGTGGAGGGGGAGCCTGGGATGGTTGATGTTGATGTTGGGGCTGGTGTAGTAGAGGGCGATGAGAAGGTGGCATATTTGGGTCTGTTCGCATCTGAGGAAGCTGGGTTGTTTGTGGTGGCTCACCAAGAGCGATATCAGCGAGAATGAACAGGGATCGGGGTGGTTCTTGTTCGACTGTTCCGTCGATGGAATTAACCCGGCCGCCGGTAGGGATGTTGTTGGCGGCTTCGTGCTCGCTGATAGCCTTGGAGGCTTCCAATAGAACTCCCATAGCTCGATCAACCGTCTCTTGGTGCTCGACATCATTTCCAGAATCCAAAGCTCGCATCTGAGGATTCACATCGATACCCATGCGGACCTTCTGGAGGAAGTCCTCCCAAGCATCGTCGTCGCCGAGATCAAAAGCAATTGCACCTTCTGGTTCACGAACAGACTCTGAGATGAAGCCTCGCGTGACCTCTTTGGCTCCGGGTTTGCCGATTCGGAAAAGATACTGAGGCTCTTCAAATTGGGGGTCAGATCCATCAGTCTCAGTATGTTCATCATCTTCAGCTGCTCTTCGGCCGGTCATCCATGCAACGTATTTTCCGCGACTAAGTTTTTCGAATTCTTCCTTGATATCATCGATGTGCTTCTAGGCGATCAGGTTAGACAACCGGAACTAAGGGAGGGAGGGAAGTAGTATGAGCCTTTCACATAAAACAGGGCTGCTTACCGTAGCTGTATTTTTGATCGTGAAGATCTGGCCCTGGAAAACCCTCTCATCGCATTCTACTTTAAAATCGCGATCTGCCTTCAGACGGTTCAGAGCCTTGCGCTCGAACTGAAGAAGATCCCGCTGTACCTGAGCCCACTCAGGACAGTCCAAATGAGCATGTTTATCACGGGCAAGTTTCGTCATCGTATGATCAGCCAACTTGTTCAATGCGACCTGTTGCGCCTGGCCAACTTTCTTGAACAAAGCCGCTAGCTGATCCTGGCGATCCTTGATGCCCTGAGTAGCAGGAATAGGTGAAGGAGATCGTCTCCGACTATCACTGTCCCAAATCTCATCTTCAATTCTCTTGCCGCCGCGACGGGCCGTTGCAGCTGCACGAGCACGACCCCGGCCTCGACCTCCGCGCGCACGAACTGCGGAACGGTATGGTCCAATGGCACCGCCACGACTACCGCGACCACGACCTCGGCCTCGGCCTCGTCCACGAATACCACCGCGGCCTCCACGACCACCTCTTCGGGCGGGTTCGTCTTTTGGTGGTTCATCGGCGACAGCAGTCAGTGCATTGTCGGTGGAGGTAGCACCGGCGTCAGTTGGAGTTGGAATTGGAGGAGATTCAGTTGCGATGCCATTTTCAAGTGTGATGTCGGGGGTGTTTTTCACATCTTCTTCCAGCTTGGGCTTCTTGGCTGTTGTCGGATCAGGTGAGTGAGATTCGGTCTTCGGTTCAATTGATTTGCGTTCTCGTTTTCGCCCTTGGCGCGGTGAAGATGATACCTTTGTTGGCAGGAACTCGGAGGTAGTCTCACTTGCCTCTGTAGGCGATGGTTGCATAGTCCCCGAAGGAGCTGAATGCTCATCTTCAGTCTGGTGAGGATCCTCCACCTCTTGAATGGCGTTGGTGGATGGACCAGTGGTTTCAGGTGTTTGAGAAGATTTAGTGATTTGCGGTTGGGGAGGAAATGAAGCCAAGTCGTAGTCATGACCATTTTCAAATTCATCATGGTCATCAAGTTCCATTCTCTTGGATGGAGAGAAATTTTCATTTTCATTTTCATTTTCATTTTCATTTTCAAGCGGGGTTTCATCGGAACCTCTGGTTCGAGCTGATGAACGAGTCTTTCTGGATGACTCCGGAACAGCCATAGCGCGCTTAGAGCGTCGTGTGTTGCGCGGAGTCTCCGGATTCTGCGCCGATGAACGCGCTGAAGCCGTTGCCGACTTTGACTGTTCGGGTGGTGGTAATCCCAAGGCAGCCGCCAATTTGGGAGGGTTCAGTTTTAGTTTGATGATACGCGTGAGAGGTGGAGAGTCTGGCACCCGCGATGCCGGGCCTGGGAGGCTATTCCGGGCTACATTGCGAGCACCTCCGCGGCCACCTCTTCCGGTCCCGCGTGCGCGAGGAGCCGGAGCAGAGAAAGAGTCTAGGTGAGGTTAGTCGATGTGGTGGCTGGTGGCTAGGTAAAGTGGGGAGTAGGAATCGAGCAAGTTGAAAAGCAAGATGCAAATTTTGATTAAGGGGAGAGGCAGGGTGGATGAAATAACTTACCTGAAGCACGGCGCGTGGATCGCGTGGCCAAGCTGGGGGTATGGACCGGGCCCTGGCCTCTTTTTCCTCGTCGGCCCACCATGGCTAACGTCTTTGTGAGGATGCGATGTTAGCAAGGGAGGTTGCAGACGAGTGAGGTTGAAACAGGAAGAGACGGGTGGTGGTGATAGGAAAAGAAAAAAGGAAAAGAATCAAGCCAAGAACAGGGACAGGATGAAAGTTCAACGGTAGGAGAGTAGAATAGAAAAGAATCAAGAAAAACGGGGAGGTAGATGGTAGTAAGAGGATGAGATGGTAAAGGAAGAAAAGCAAAGTGGAAGTTGAGGACAGAAATAGAAAGCAGAAAAATAGCCTCAACTTCACTGGTGTTGTAGTGAATGGTTGACTGAAGGGAGATCCAACATGATCGTCACCTAATGCAACAGGGGGAAAAAATAGAAAACTAGCCACAAGAGCGAATTGGGAATTAGGCAGTTAGATCACCACATAAGCATAGAGATAGAGCTTAGAGGCAACAGTGGAAGCAGAGATACAAGACAAAGACACGAATTTAGACCGACTTTAGCGTGAGAGGTCCAACTTGGGCTTCACTTGGGGAATTTTTACGGGTCAATCAGGCTGGGATGGGATGGGATGGGATGGGATCGGAGATCACAGGGGGGAAAAGAAGAAAAGAATAGAAAAAATAACAATTAAATCGCGCAGGGGAAAAGAACAGGGTGAGATGGGAGATGAGAGATAGGAATGGGGAGATGAGGATTGGACAGTACAGGATAAAAAGGTAGAGATAGTAGTTATGAGGTTGCTGGTGTTCACTTACCAAAGTTGCCAGAAGTTGGAGGAATGAGACTCTGTTACTCGGAGACGCAGGATCTGACGGGTAAAAGAAGTGGATTTGGGGGGGGGGAGAGATCAGTACAAGTGGCGATTGATGGGATGCAAGGGGATCAGAGGAACAGAGGAACAGAGGAACAGCTGGGGAAGTGTACTGTAACTCTGATAGAGGAGAATAGGATAAAATAAAGAAAAGAAGAAGTAGAGCCAAAGACAGAGAAAGAGAAGAAAAGTGGTAAATTGTAAATTGTCGTAAATTGCAGAGGATTTTGGTATTTCCCGCGCGTCTATGATCAACTGCGACAATACAGACAAATACTGAGAGATCTCGGACTAATTACTCTCCTGATTTAAAAGAATACACCTAGGATCATAGTTAAATATAGTTAAATATATAATTAAATATATACTCCCTCTCATAATCACATTAATCCTCCTCAATCTCCATTCAGCCTCTTCTTCTCCTCTTCCGACCCACTTGGTGACAATACCTTGTACCAGACGAACGCGGCCGAAGATGGCGGAACCGTTCCCCATACGACAGTCGTATAGTCGGTATAGTCTACTGAACCGAGAGATCCGAGAAAAATCAGAATACTGAGTACTCCTTGAGTTATAAGAGAAATAGAAAAGTAACATTGTATCCATATATCCAAGAATCCATCATCATTGTCGTAGCCGTGCATTCCCGTATGCACGGCGGATCCAGGAGATCAAAAAACTCATATACAGAAACAGAACGCCGATCATCATCACTGCACATTATACAGAACCCATAAGAAATCCAGCCAAGAGAATAAAGAGCGAAGAATCAGATCGCAGTCATAAGGAAAAGAAAGGCAAAGAATGACACTCGTAAGAAAAGGAAAAGAAAAAGAGGGAAAGAGGGAGAACAAGGAAAACTACTCATCAGGAGATTCATTCAAATCATACCGCTTCTCATACTGTGTAATACTCCTCCGCACATGTCCCGCATGAACAAGCGCCATATTCTTCTCCTCCTCACTTAAAAACGGCGAGCCACTCCGATGTTCTCGGAGGGACCGTGCGGATCGCATCCGAGTCACCGTCTTATGTGTAATCGTCTGTCCGGCAGAGGGGGACGCCTTCACCCGCGTTCCGGGACTAGGGGTAGGAGAGGGACAAGGGCTCGTTGCGCGAAAGAGAGGGTGAATACGGTCTTCTGTTGAGAATCCCAGTGCTTCCATTGATGCTGTGGGGGAGTCGAGATTCAGGTTCAGATTGTAGCTTGATGCTGATGGCGATGGAGATTGGAGGAGATTGTCGAGCGATAGCTGTGGGGATTGGTCTCGGATACGGAGACTAGGTAGGCTGCGGATACTGCTGCTGCCTCGGAGAGGTCGAGTATCGTTCTCATTGGGTATTTGAAGTTGTTGTTGTTGTTGGTTGTGGTGGTCGTTAGTGTCGTGATGTGGTGCTGTGGGTGTTGTAGGTGCTGTTGATGCAGTAGAGGTCGTATCGAAAGAGGCATGCTTATGCTGTTCAAAACATAATGTGCCCCCTGAATAACGATTAGATCGTCGGGGATATTTTCGTAGTGAACCCCGTCTTGTATCGAAGCGGTTCATATCAGGATAAGGATCACTGAGTGTTTGCGTTGGGGTTGTCACTGATGGAGATGGAGATGGAGACGGGGACTCGGGGAGAGCCTTCAGCTCTTGAGAGAGAGTATAAGATCGTGGCCAGGCAGTCTCGGCCTTGGGCTGGAAGCAAATCACAAGGAGATAGCCACAGTAGCATCCTTCTGTAAAGACTGAAATTCCCCAGAAGATAGATCGTGCAATCCACAGTGAAGGCAGGGTAGGATGGGTTGTGGCCATTGTACCTGCTGTTGAACCAGTGGCGGCGATGAAGTATGTTATTGTGAGGAATAAGATACCGATCTTCCATCGGGGCCATTGGATGTTTTGGTGGATCTCTCGATGGACAAGGAAGGTGAGCATTATCATTGCCATGCAGCTGATCACGCTTAAGGCCACTGGGGCTAACTCGGTTGTCCGGGTAGGTGAGGATAAGGATTGAATTGATCCGTAGGTGAGAGCATTGAGAATGGTGACGATAATGAGAGATATCATGGAAGTGCCTGCTAGCGTGTATAGCAATTTAATGGAAAACATGATAGCGATTGCCTGGTAGGTGCGAAATTGAAGTAAATAGGTCGAGGCAGATACAGAATGAAGGTATAATAGGGATAGTATTATAAAATGAATGACTGCAACATGTAAAGAGAGTCGTGTTCACCGGGCAATTTCAGACATCCACGGGCACTGGCAAGGAAGAAAGGCAAGGCCTGTACTAAGTCTTCTGGACAATCCATGCAGGGGGAGGGAGACCGCATATTTAAGACCATGAGGGAGTTCGCGTGGACGGAGCAAAACCCTGGAATTTGGGCGGGACGGGGCGAAGTACACGGTGTGGGAAAGTATATCGAGCATATCGAATGCAAGTTCTGGTGAACATGTCAAATGTGAAATATAGATCGATCTGACCCGTCAACCTGGTATGGAGATTAAAGTCTGTGGGGACGGGAGAAGCAACTACCGTAGGGTCCAGGCACACTAGATGGGATTTAGTGTAAGCTTAGGCCCTTGCAAAATTAAGCGATCTAATAATTAATAAAATTGAGCTTCTTCAATTGATTTGAATAGTAAGATTGTGGGTTAAAAGTCCACATTTGTGGGTTCATCTATCCATGCCATCGTAGAACTTCAAGTTGAACTATTCCGGGGTATAGTCTAGACTACAATTATAGTCTACAAGTACATGTAAGATACACATTAAATTCGCTTCACTTCCCGTCTATCCAAACATCTACTTACTAGCCGACGAACTATTTAAATGATGAATCCATTTCCTCCATGCGGCGGATCGCACAATCCGATCTTCGAATGTGATATGTCGAGCTAGACGACTGTGGGAAAATCTTCCGCTCTCCCCTGAACCTTCTTTTTTATTCTTTCTTTTTTCCGTTAGAAAGATGGAGTAACCTTGGGATCGTCTTGAAATTCTTGGTGCTCATTGGGTTAATTTTTGAGCGATGATTGATAGCGGTGGCTAGTCTCTGAGACGTATATATTGTCTGCGGTCCCGAGGCCCAGGCTCGATCAATGTATGTATTATCTGCTCCAATCGGAACAATGGTCGCTGGAGAGCAGTACGAATGAACCGAAACGATCAGCGTTGATTATTTGTCAAGACTACTAGCATGCTTTTTAGTTGGGGTGGCTGGATTCCTCATTTGAATTCCTTGGGGTCAACTGGTGACTACGTCAGAAGACCAGATACATACTGCATGGATAACTGCAGGATTCAACTCAATTGAACATTGATGGTCCACAGATGCATAAATTTGAGATTTGAATAATATACTGTTCTGCAGAAGGGAATCCATTTTTAAGATCTAGCGTGGCCAAGAAGGTCCTCTTGCAGCCCCATTCCCAGCGTGGGGTTACCCAAGTATAACTCCAACTAAATTCTACAGCCTTGAGGGGCAGAAAAACAAACCCCAAGAGCTAGATTTAACCGTTCAAAGAATATAAACAACCATAAATAACCTCACATGCATTCTTCAAAGGACTACAGACCAAATATATGTATTACCACCCAAGAAACCCGTGATTTGAAGTTCTTTCCCCTGGGACAATAGAATTTACGTGGGAAATCCCCGAGTGTTGTCCGAGTGGGGCGGTGAGACCGGGGCTTCTTCTGCTTGCCATCATCATCGTCACTCCTGCCTCGACTTCTTCCATAACATTCGCTGGGACCACATTTCACTTACCCTTTCCCCGTCACCCTTGACCTCTGTGGACTCTCATTCTCTCCTCCCTACCCTTCTCTATACCCGATCCTCTTCATAAGTGGCGCCAAAATGAAGCTTACTTTCAAGGTTGGTCAAAAAACTTGGCCCCAACGCCCCTCTGCTACCTTGTACGCAAAAAAACCTCTAACGAAATCTCTTTCCATCAATATAGGATCTGAAGCAGGAGAAGTTTGTGATCGAAGTCGAACCTTCTGAGACTGTACGTGATGCTCATCAATACCACCGGACTTCCTCAACGCCACCCAGTGCGGGGCTAATTTTGTACTGCAGGTTCGCCAAGTGAAGGAAAAGATCGCTGAAGTAAAGAGTGGTTACGATGCCGAGCGAACGAAGGTAATCTACTCAGGTATGTGATTCTCTATAACTGTGAACCAAGGTATGGTCTTGGATTGCAAAACTCTGACCATCTTCTCTATCTTTACAGGAAAGATTCTGCAGGATGACAAGACAGTGGAATCTTACAACATCCAAGAAAAGGATTTCTTAGTTTGCTTGCCCTCAAAGGTATCAAAGCTTTGCAACTTCATCTTTCTTGCAAGTGAAATTGGAATCGCTGACATTATGTAAAGCAGCCCAAGGCTGCCTCGTCTTCGTCATCTGCCCAGGTTCCCTCCACACCGGCTGCTCGAGCTCCTGCATCGACCCCTGCTGCTCCTCCTGCTCCCGCCCCAGCTGCTGCATCGGCTGCTCCTGTCCCTGCGACCCCATCCCCTGCCGACCGTGCCACTCAGCCCAGTGGGCAACCCGCCAACTTTGGTGATCCTTCCGCGTTGGCTATGGGAACCGCGGCTGAGGGAGCTGTTGCTCAGATTGAAGCTATGGGATTCGCGAGAAGCGACATCGATCGCGCCATGCGTGCTGCTTTCTTCAACCCAGACCGCGCCATCGAATACCTTTTGACTGTAAGTTTGAAATTTGGATCATCGAAAGAAGATTATAGAACTGGAAAGAGGTGGGAAAGCTAGAGGGGGAAAATAGAGAGAAACAAAACACAAAACTGCGAGGATTTTAGTTCCAATTTCTAATTTCTTATATCAGGGTATCCCCGATAACGTCCAAGCCGAGCAACAACAGGCGCAGCAACAACAGCGCGAGGAGGCTGCCGCCGCTGCTGGTGAGGCATCTCCCACTGCTGCTGCCCCAACCGGTACCACTGGTGGTTCTGAGGCCGAGGAGCCCTTGAACTTGTTCGAGGCAGCTGCTCAGGCTGGTGAGGGTGTTGGCCGTAGTGCTGCTCGCAGTGGTGCTGCTCCTGGTGCCGGTGCCGGTGCCGGTGGCGAACCCCTTGCCAACCTTGACTTCCTTCGAAGCAACCCCCACTTCCAGCAACTTCGCCAACTTGTCCAGCAGCAGCCCCACATGCTTGAGCCCATCTTGCAACAAGTGGCCGCCGGAAACCCACAAATTGCTCAGATCATTGGACAAAACTCCGATCAGTTCCTGCAGCTGTTGAGCGAGGACTTTGAAGATGACGAGGCTGCTCTGCCTCCAGGAACACAGGCCATCTCCGTCACAGAGGAGGAGCGGGACGCTATTGAGCGCGTATGTATATTCAATATCTAAGTTCCTGTCAGAACTGTATACTAACCGGTATATTTTTTCTAGCTCTGCCGTTTAGGTTTCCCCCGTGACTCAGTTATCCAGGCTTACTTCGCCTGTGATAAGAATGAGGAGCTTGCCGCCAATTTCCTCTTCGACCAGCCCGATGAAGATGAGGAGTAATTCTCTCCTTCGGCCAAATCTTTGATTCCACACCCTTCCTTATTTACGTTCTGATGAATACCAAGCATGTCGCTGTTGATTTCACAATAGGCAGAGCTCTTCTGCCTCTTCCCCCATTTCCTCTCCTCCATCCCCAACGTATCTATCTTTTTTTCTCTTCTCCCCAAATACAGATCAAGTCGGTAATTCAGTCGGCATCTACGAGGTTCTGCTTAACGGCCTACGACCATAAGGTCTACCTGCATATCGTTTCCCCATCCTTTACCCCTTTGATACGACATTTCATGTATTTAACCTAATGGGCAAAATGGGATGTTCGCTAGTTAGTACTATCTCGTTCTTATTCGTATACACATTAAGAAGTTTCTAGATATAAATCGGCTGTAATATAACATTTGAACTCGGTACCAATTTATCCAGGTCCCCGAGTGAGTATATACCTAGGCAACCTTGAAGTATCTGATGGTCCGTGCTTGCCCAGCTGCTCCGATCATGCGAACTGCCGTGATGACCCGTCGATCCCGCCACCAATCCCAATCAGCCTTGTGGATCAAGAGCTGGGCTTCGAGGTACGAGACTGTCTTATTGTAGGCTTTGACCGGGAAATGTCCCCAAATCATTTGTATGTATATGCCCTGCATTGGAATTAGTTAAGTCAAATCATTGCATGGTTTCTATTGCCCAAAAGGGGTGCTTGAACCGGTCTACCTAGGTATGTATCTGTTGCATGACCCAGGCTTCACAAAGGTGCACCTAGTCAATTTGAAGTTATGACGCTCCTTCAAATTCTGTGCTGATCGTATGGTGCCCACCTTCCAAGCCCGGAGTTAAGCTGGGAATTCCGATGTTGATGTAGCCGATGTTCAGAATCTGCGTTCTCTTACGCCATGCTCGTCGCGTTGAATTCGATCCCTCTCTTCGACTTGCCTCTTGTGTTGAAGTCGTGTTTGTTCTAACTCAAGGCTAACTGGCGCTCCTCATTCTGCAATTTGTTGACCTTGGACGGCAAATAAAGGACCCATGGGCTATTTGGTATATTCAAGGAGGGGGAAGTAGTAGAGTAGGACTCGAAATAGCGGGTTGGTTGTGACTGAAATTCGGTTTCTTGATCTCGAAATCGCCTCTGCTTGTACTTCTTTTATCTCTGTTTGAAGGGCGGTTTCTTGACGTCAAATGCGTGGTTACTCACGTTGCCTCTTCATTTTGTGCTGCTTGTTCCTGACGGTCGGTCTCTTGGTAAATACATATAACGATATTTTCCCAGGTTGCAAATGGTGCTACGCGGTGTCACGGTGTGTTACACAGGGTCAGTCCTCACATATATAACCATGCTTCAACTTGGAGTTCCTCTCCTGCCTTTCTCTCATACTACTACTATGCCTCATCATTCACCTCCCGTTGCTCTGCATCAGGAATATATATTAGGTAATATTTTTGGCTTGCGTATTATTAGCCTCTCAGCATTTTTCAAGATGGCCTTTAGAGACAATCAGATACGGAATCACTTCGAGGCAGGCAGAAGTCGCCAGGCTGTTGATGTGCTGATTTCATGTATGTAGCTTCAGCTGTCCCATTTTGTTGTAGAGTTCAAGTTGCGGTTTTCATGCCCAGACTTCTATTACCTGTATTGGTATTATGAACAATCAAGGTTACCATAGGCGGGTTACGGCGTTTAGGTGTTATTGTATGGAAATAGAACACCTGCATCTACACTGGTAATTTATTTCATTATTCCAGTTCACGGGTACTATCCATAGTACCCGGGCATCAAGAGAGAGAATAAAGACCATTCGCTTATTATAGTCTCAAATGTCTTTCCAAAAGTCTTTCCAGTTATCTTTTTGATCATCTTTCTATTTGTTTTTCCACCTATGCAGAGCTTACAGTGTAGACAGCGTATACTAGGCGGTAAGAATATAGTGCTAAGAAGGGGTTTTCCCGCTAAGCCCCGGCGGTGTGGGTCTCTGTTTGTAATAACCAATCAAACCCGGAGTCAACAACATTTGAACTATGTCTCGATGCCAGAACAACTTTTCTTCTCTTACACTGTCATCAAGAAGATCAAGCCCATCCACTTATGGGTCACTCGCTGTGATGTCAATAATAGTATGCGCGAAACCTCAATCGAAGCATTGAAATAGATCTTCGAGAAGGAAGTTGAGCAGGCCGCGCTCATAAACCTACTGCTGGCCAATGACACATCTCCTGGCTCTTTTGAGCCCGTCAACGTGTACGAAGAGCTCCCACCAGAAGACGCGGAATAAGTCGAACTTGTCTTACACAATAAAAGACAGAGCTCCGTAGTTAAGGGGCTTGAACGCCTCAACGATCCCCTCTGCTGTCTCCATAGCCCAGCACGCACAGGAAAGACTACTGTGCTTCTGACAAGCCTTCTTCCTCTGCTGAAACCTCTCCGCCGGTGCCTCTTGAGTGCCAGGTTTGAAAAAAGCTCTAGGTCCGCAAGGCGGACGTGTCAGGGAGGAGAGGCTACGGTGAGTATCTTTGGTCTCACCCCCATGGAAGCACGTGGGCTCTTGAATGACCCAACTCGGTTGAATGTAGCAAATAGTCGAGGCAAGTTCGGCCACTACCTGCTCATCAACTTTGAGAATGTGGACATGGATATAAGTCGCAACTATGATCACCGCAAGAAAAAGTCTGACAATTGTGTTTACCGGTTGTTTAAGTACGGCAGGGATAGATCTCTGGTCGCTTTCAACCAAGAGCTGCAAAATGTAGCCTCCGCTTCGTGTCGGAATACCCTCACGACAACGATATCTGGCAATGATTACTTGAGACGTCTAGCCTAATGGTTTGGGGATGCTCCAGAAAGAGAAAGGCACCGGAGAAAAATGGAAACCATAAAAATAAAAGAGAGATAGCGTTCAGGTTTCAGATAATAGCTTAATGGTCTGAGAGTTGTTAGGAAATCAAATGACTTGAGGGTTGAAGAATATTTTCCAAAGCAGTTCATGATATTATTAGCATCTTCTAAGTAGTCTTTCTTTCTTTTTTCTTAAATGAAGCCACTAGCATACTTTGAAGTATTTTTAAAAAGCATTTTTCTATTTGTCTTTCCATGCTTCCCCATCTACGTAGAGCTTACAGTACAGATAGCGTTGTATGTACTATAGACCCCGTAACTATCCCAGACTAGTATGGAAATCATTACATCGAAACAAATTTTAAACGGGTATATGAAGAACTAAGTCCAAGTTTGAACAATCAAGTTACGCCCATCCTGATGGGAATAGCTATATCTGGATCCGAATTTCATACAGAAAGAAAGGTATATCGCACCTATATAATCGACCCAGACCTTGAGCCGAAATGGCATGGTAAAAAAAAAAGAACAGGAAAAAGAGAAAATAAAAAGAATAATGTAGATGTCAAAACAGAAGGTTGAAAAAACAAGAAGCTAAATATGCCAGAAAGTATATGGGTGATGGATAGTAGTCGCAATATGTATTCTCCTATTCTATTTTCGCTTGATGGTTCAGGTTCATTTACATGCCCGTCGGACAGACCAGACGCCTAACCCACGACGACCAACTACTCTGTTTAGAGTGTTGAGGACACCATCATCACCGAAGTCGAGGTCATCTAGGTTGAGATGTTTGCGGTGGGACCATAAACGGTAGAGTTGGAGATTTGGTGTATGCGGGGAGGAGAGAGAGGATGGGGAGATAAATGTATCGAGGAAAGTTGCTGACGTAGGGGCAACGAGGTAAATTGGAGAGGAGTATGGGCAGCGAGGAGCGACTGAATCAAGTTGTTGAATCATTTCCAACCCCGGAAGACCCATTAGATCCACCGTATCGATTAAACCGGTATGGTTTCCCTGCTGAGGACCCAGAAGCCAGTGAGGCGGAGAATAGGTCTTCCACCAGAATACCGTTGCGTCTGGGTGTGATTTTATACCCTGCGCCACGGTGTTGGAGTCAACTATAGATCGCATCGCTAGTTGGGCGGGCACCACGCCGCCTTGGTGGTAGACGCCCATTAGGAATCCCATGACGGCGTTGAAAATTATCCATGTTGCGAGGAAGATCCGGGAGCGGTGCATGCGGACGCAGCTTAGGAGGAGGGGAACGCAGGGGATTAAGAAGCGGGGCTCTTGGTGTGGGAAGATGGAGAGCAGGACTGTTGCGGAGACTGCTGAGAGGGCGCGGGTGTTTCGCATCCATGGTGGCACGATGGGCCAGCTGAATAGGGAGAGAATCATGGCTATGTATGCAGGTCCTAGGAGCTGGAAGAGATTGGCGACGAAGTGTTGGTGGTGTGGGTGGAGGCCATGGGTTGCGAGGTTTGTCGAGTCGGAGTTGTAGAGGATATTATTGAGAGGGGTGATTATTGGGTTGCGTATGATGTCTAGGAATGAGGCGGATGGTCGGTAGAAGGATGTATCGATGAAAATCGCTATGGAGGCGAAGAGAAGCCCAAAGCCGAGGAAAGCGATTAGGGATGTCGGTCTATTGATGTGTATTGTTTTGTTAGCGATGCGATCTTATAAAGATCAAAGGCCTTCCCGCGCCGAAGAGGATGACCCACCTGCGCTTGAAGTAGGGAAGTAGTTGTAGGCCTGGGAATAATAGAAAAGCAGGGAAGGTGATGCGATTAAAAACGCCTGCCACGGATATGAAGGACAGGACGGCATAGGAGAAGAAGGATGAGTGCTGAAGGCGACGAGTTAGTATCCAACCTTGTGAGAAATACTGGGGTATTGCGGAACGAACCTTGTTTTCGACAATACGACGAATCAGCACTAATCCCCAGGCTACTAGAAGAGTCTCCAAGGAGTTGGAGAAAGTGTGCGTCTGATATGTCCAAGTGACATAGGACGAGGCCACGAGGACAACTGTCGCGCGCCGGTGCCGCGGGGAGGGCACCAGCTCATAGACCGCCCAGTCCTCGAGCACAAAGCTCAGGAGAAACATGACACCCCGCAGCGCATAGTATACGAATTGTGGTGGTGGGTTCCCTTGCCCGATCTCCGTGTAGAACCACTGTAGGAGGCTCATGGGTACCTCGTAGGTTGGCCATAATGGGAAGACGCTGCGGATCGGGAAATCGGTGGTGAATTCCCAGGGAAGCTTGGAAGGATAAGAAAATATGCGACCTAATATAAAGAGAATAACTAGGTATTAGTTCATTATCGTCTCGAAATTTCAAGTGTATAGAATAGGTTGCGCGCAACTCCAAAAGGAGGTTATCGCAAGTAGTTTTGACGGGGACTTTTGCGACGGGGGATTCTTCACAAGCAAGCCAGATCCGCGTGACTGTGCTGATCGGTGTCGATCATGAATATTTGAGGCACAGGGGAAACAAAAAAGGACATAGCAGGTTTAAAATGTAAAATGCAAGGAACATACCACCAAAGACTTCTGGGCCCTGGAAATTCTCATCCGGGTGCAGATAGCTAGGGGATAACGCGAAGTAAACACGGATCAGTAATAAAAGTAGGTATGTTCGTCTCCACATGGTGAGGGGCCAGGGACATGCTGGCCAAGACAATAAAAAAAAGGAAGATGAAAGAAAAGAAAAATTTCCAACTGTCTCAAAAATTAATACAAGAAAAAGAGCGATAATCAAGGTGTGAAATGGGTAGAAGGGAAAAGAAGACGCGTTTGAAATGATGGACTAGCAATGATATCACTCCGATAACTCCGATAACACGCGGCAAAATCTTTTCACTGCCAAAGTTGATAGTTGAGATTTTGCCTAATCCAGTGAATACGAGCTGTGGATGGCCTCGAAAAGAAAAATAACTGGAGATAAATCAGGCGTACAAGAGATGTGTTATTTGATAAAATTAGTGATTATTTTAAATCTGCATTATGTTGTAATTACAGCCATCAAAGATTCAAGTTGAGACCATTGATACTTGGCCTCAATAAATTGGGCAGATACCGCCCTTTTCTGCCGGCATATTGTCTTCTTCAAGGAATATAAATAGCTTGAATGTATTAGGAAGAATGGTATAAGTCTTTTTATGCAAGATATTTTGATGAAGATCTGACCTAGTCTGAAATAATTGATGAATAGGCTTTTTGATTCACGATATTAAGTTAATGCTTTGAGCTTTGAGCTGGAAGCCCTACTAGTAAATAGAAGGCGGTCGTTTTACATGCTGGCAAGGTGCACTCCCATACAATGTATATACCCACTGGTTTTATTGCTATATTTGCAGTCTTTGAGCTTCAATATATTTTTATCCTCATACACAGACTTGACAAACAGGCCAGTGTTTTGCATAGAACTCCGTGGAAATAACTTCTTTAAACTAAACCCCTCAAAGAAGTAATTACCCTTGTTACCTAGAACTATCCAGGCATCCGTCGCTCATTTGGGGGCGGACACTAGGGTACCGGGTGCAGAGCCTCGGACTGACTAACACCTAACACGAACGAAACCATCGCCTTCACTCTCCACTCCGCATCCCCTCCCATTCAATACCCAATCCCATTCTTCGGTCAGTATTTATACCCTCCACATTTCCTGTCAAAGAAATCATGTAATCTTTGCCATCTACTTATTACCTCCGCTGCCCCTCTCCCGTTAAACCCAACATCACCCAACATTACAAAACTAACTTAACCGCCCGACTCTCAGACGTCACTTTGCCATAATCCAAACTCACCATGTCCAACATCACCCTTACCAGCTCCGATGGCGTCGACGTTACTGTCGGTAAGAATACCTTATTCAAACGCGATGCTTGGGATTGTTCCTCAGCGTCAAATAAACCCTTGACAGTAACTAACTTGCAACCCCGCCAAACAGAACGCACTGTCGCTGAACGCTCCGTCTTGATCAAGAACATGCTCGAGGATCTTGGTGACTCTGGCGAGGCTATCCCCATCCCTAACGTATGTGCTATTCCATCGCTCTTATCTTCTTACAGATAACTCATCGCTCCACTAGGTCAACGAGGCCGTCCTCAAGAAGGTCATCGAGTGGTGCGACCACCACAAGAACGACCCCCCCAGCGCTAACGATGATGACGACAACCGTCGCAAGACTACCGACATCGATGAGTGGGACCAGAAGTTCATGCAGGTTGACCAGGAGATGCTGTTCGAGGTTATTCTGGTAAGCATTTCTTTCAAGTGGGGGTTGTTTTGTTTTGTTACGAGCGGGGTTTACTGATCAACCATATTTTATAGGCTGCCAACTACCTCGACATCAAGGCTCTGCTCGATGTCGGCTGCAAGACTGTCGCCAACATGATCAAGGGCAAGTCCCCCGAGGAGATCCGCAAGACCTTCAACATCCAGAACGACTTCACTCCTGAGGAGGAAGACCAGATCCGCCGCGAGAACGAGTGGGCTGAGGAGTATGTTTCTCTGTGTCCTTTAAATATTGATCTCAAGGAAATTTACTAACTTATTTCTTTCTCTTTAGCCGCTAAACAGCAGTAGGGACCTTATGGAAGATTTGCTATTTTGACTTGCGCTCATGAGCTCCCCCTAGATCCTTAAAATGGATATCTTATCTCGTGTGATGGTGCGGAAGAGCCCAGTTTGCCCTTTTGTTTTCCGGTTTGCTTTTGGGAGGCCTGGGATCAGCCTTTTTGCTCTGGCGGCGTACGGCTAACAAATATTGATTTTCTTACTACCATTTTGTTTTCCCTTCCCATCTACTTACTTCTCGTTTATTGTTATGAACTACAGCCAGCGTGCAGACTGGCTTGATGACCCCAAATCAACAAATTTTTTTTTGATAAGATACCTTCATCTTCATCTTCATGCCTTTAGTAAGGCCAGAGCTTACGGGCTTTACAAGCCCTAGAGGCCATCTAATATTGGACCCTTCTTTGAGCCTCAACATGGCGTAGTATGAATTGTCAAGGCTCAATTCGTATGCTACAAGTGACCTCTACTATCCGCGGTGGTTTCGTAAGGGTCCAGCTTCATGCACGATTGACAACCTTGGAAGCACATATGACGGCATTAGAGATACCGAGGGGAACACCCTTATCAAGTTCTACTTTATCACTCCAGCATTATTACTTCGGATTTCGAAGTAATACTGCCATTAAGGGCTGGAGTTTCAAAATGCTCCGCCAGTCTTACCACAAGTACCACCAGCCAAAGAAACAGTGGCAATCTTTCGTAAACCACCGCATGGCCAATTCCTACAGTGCTACGAAGCAGAGGAAAAACGTGCAAGACAAAGGGGAGGTCAATTCAATTCCATCAAAATTTTTGTAAAAGGAAAACCGCCCCGCCTTCAAGTCCACACTTCCAGCAAGACCAGACATCTCTTCATTCCATTTTCATCACAAGAAATCCGTAAATAAGATGGCCCGCCATGACACAGATCGGGATTGATATTCGTAAATCGGAAACAGTAGAATATCGCTTTATCGAAGTAAGGTTCGCCGACGTCGATCAAATTGCACCTGTATCATACACTGACGGTCGCATCGGACTTGAGTAGTTCCCCATCAAACTAGCGCGACCAAGTCGGGAAAAATGGAAAAGGTCATGTCGAGAGAGAAAATCCTGTCGGGATATCGACACACATCGTGCAATATAGAGTGTGTGGGAAGAATGAATCTCGAGACGTGGGTCGGAGGGAATTGTCCGGGCGTTTAGATACCCAGACGGGTCTTACGCCAGTGTCGTCGCTTAGCGTTGTAGCTGTTAGAATAAATCTGTTAGTTCTTGTTCTATTCTTCTTGTTCTGTCTTGTATGTTCTGCATTCTTCTTCCGGTCGGGGCCTCGAAACGAAACTGAATATTTTTTTTCTTTCTCGAATTTGATGTTCTCGAATCGGGATTTGTGCAAGATTGGAAAGGAGATCTGTGTGTTCAGGGCGAATTACCGGATGGTGTTGCCAGTACGAAGACGAATCCACTGGGGGATAGGACGGTTCTGGCGCTGAGCCTTAGCAAGCTTTTGCTTGGTGCGGAAGGTCTTGTGGCTCTGTGGAAAGAAGGAACGGGTTAGTGATGAGGAAATTGACGATTAAGAGGCCTTGTGTATTGTGCAAGGTCCGTACGGGTTGGAAAACGTACCGGCATCTTGATGACTTGGTCGCGACGGCGAGTTGGTTTGAGTGGGAACAAGATGTCGACCTACGGGAAAGCCGGTGGTTTGTGTGCGGGCAGGGCTTGGCTTTTTTCGCTTGGATGGTCAGGTGATTTTCATCAGTGTGACTGGAACCTGAGGCAGAAAAGTGTCTGTTCTTGGCATCGGAGGAAGGATAGTCCGTCACACTCTACCCGGAGTCATAGTCAGGTGAATTATGATCGTTCTTGATTGGATCGTCTCGCCTTAACTACATGTCAACTTATAACAATTAAGGAACAATATTATAAGTTAGTGTATAAGCTAGAGCTACCTTACTTATAGCGTAATTATCTTTTCTACCTAGTAATTAGTATTATACACCTTCAGCCTACTCTGTGTACTCCTGACCCCTAGTAATATATTTTAGCTACTACATAGTAACGAGTATATACGGAAACTGTTACAGTCGGGGTACTCTGTCAGCCCCCACCAGTTAGATAGCCAGCTCTCTCTCGTCTAGGAGAAGGAATCAAGATGCTTCTAGGTTTCAGCTCCGTCAGTAACAATAAAGTTTAATATAGTCTAATATGGATAAGTTTCAACCAAGTCCGGCGCATAATGATATCATTTCATTCCCAATAATTGCTATACATAACAATTTCCTGTGCGCTTTCCATTTCATGCTCCTTCCCTGAGCGACTCGAAATTGAGATAGGTCTATAATTTCCGCTCGCAGCCCCTCCCTCGTTTCCCCCAGTATGTCGACGTCTTACTTCATATTACCCCAACCTTGACTAAGACCAGTCAACATGGAATCAGTATATTCTGACGGTGGAGATAGTACTACCTCGAGGGCACTGACCGCAAGCACGATTACCACAATGTCCTTCGCAAGTCAACAATCAATAAGCCGATCGTCTAGTGGTTTCATGGATCAACTCCCACCCGGATACACTGTCCGAACCTGGTCTAATATTCGGCAACTCCGTAAGGTTGCAACGGATATATTTGAGTCTCTCCAAAAGGAAGAAACCTGGAATCAATGGTTGGTCGTCCTCGGTCTTTCAGAACACGCCATCGAAAGATTGTGCAGCGAGCGATCCCCTCTGGGTGTTTCTTTCAGGTTCCAATGGGAAGGGCGATCTGGATTGATCAAAATCGTCCCAAGCTCCACCCACGATACTATTACCGAGCGGGTCGTGCGTACGATCGATCGGATGATATACAGCATGGGGATATCAATAGGTGACGGTGAATGGGCGGGATCAACAACATATCGCCCGACAAGTGGAAAGGGAAAAGAGTCCGACAATTGTTTTGTTCCAGTATCTCGTTGTCTCTGTCAGATAGCTCAAGATGGATGGCCAACTTTCGTCATTGAAACCGGTCTGAGCGAAGGTCTTGATCAGTTACGCCAGGATGCACGAAGATGGTTCGCTATCTCTGAAGGAATGGTAAGGCTAGTACTTGTCATTGGTATCAAGCCCAATCGACTGGATTTTGAAATTTGGCAATTGGCCCCGACTGGTGCTCTCTCGCCTCTTACTCGGCTTTACATAGATCAACTTTGCGCGCAAGTACCGAATATACCACCCACCAACCACCAGTCCCCTCTCACACAGCAAGCATACTGCGCTCAAGAGGTCATCATTACACCTCACAATATTGATGGGGCCCCGTTATACATTCCATTTGTTACCATTTTTGATCGAATGCCGGTCCCAGGAGAGGGAGATATTTTGCTCACTGAAACCGACTTTGATGCTATTGCGAGTAGATTTTGGTAGACTTATACCAGTTTTTGAATAGTGCGGACATACATCCGGCAAGCTATTGTTATTTGCTTAGTATGCTACTACATACCAAGCAATTCGGCTAGTTTCGAGTGATTTCGAAGCAACATTGTTTCAGTCAGGGTATTCTTAGTTAGTCTAGCTCTTAGCCTCCCGGTCCCGGGATAATACAAAAAGATATGCTTCCCCCAACTAGGTTCCAGCTTCGTCTCTAACAGATGGTAGCATCGCCCTAAGATCCAAGGAGTGTTCCTTCGGGTGCCCGCGTTTCCCCAAAAAATAAATAAATTTAATTTAGTCTACTCCAGAGGCTCTGCTGTATGGTCGGTCGGTTTTCCCAGCAGCTGAGCGGATCCGTTTTCCTGTCCGTCTCGCCGCCCTACAAACCTATTGACCTTATACAGGTCATATTCTGTTTGTCCGCTTGTTTTGTGGAAGAAATAAGCTCAATATTGATTTTATCTTACTTTATTTTATTTTATTTTATTTTCTTTATCTTGAGTTGATTCTATTTTGACCGTTGATTCTCTAACTATTGTCACCGTAGTACAGTGCATGATTGTCAAATTGATACTAACTCCATCGAGGCTGGAAATGCAGTCTAAGAGGGGCTTCAAGGGGCACCGGGAAACAAATCAGATGTACAAATCCCTGGGCCGTCCTAGCCCTGCGTGAGGTCCGGGTTTTGCACAACCTGATCAGCGATCAAGGGGTTGAGCTGTGCTGGATGGGATACTAGTGCTGCCCCTGCATGCCCTTGCAGTTGGAATGTAGCAGTCCGCCACGCCGATCAAAAGACATCACCACCAACCGCCACTTCCAATAAACAACGGTTGGATGTTCCATGTTCAATGTCTCCACTTGTGACCTGTACCCTTTGCTTTCCGTGTCTTTTGAGCATTCGCCATTTGCTTCGCCTTTGAGAGATCTCGCTTCATACTTTTTTTTTCTAATATTCCTAACTTCGACGATCGCCCGAGAGCCTGGGGATTTCCTTTCCTTTATACTTGGTCCCCTTGTTACCGAGATTGATCGCCGTAGACTCCACGCTATCCATCCCTACAGCCTCTCTTTTCTCTTTCTCTCAATGCCGCCAATCGACAGGCCTATTGACTGCCAATTTCCTATCTCAACAGACACTCCTTTCAACAACCAATTATAAGCATTATCTCTTACGGCTGAGACGTGCATGCAGTCTTTTACACCAAGGTCTTTTTACACGCGAAACGCGAAGACCTGCATGTCCATTATCCCAAAATACGAGAGGAGTTATAACCAGCGTTCAAAATGCGACGCCCTGGACATACGGATAACAAGAACGATGTCTCGGCGCTGGCCGTCGAGATGGTGGAATATCCTAATCAGACAAACTTTAATGGGAACAGGGAAAAACCTCTACCTCCAAACCCGATCCTTGACCTCCCAAACGACGCCTATCACATGTTGGATGATGATGACTCCCTGGGAAAGAGCCCTCTTGCCGAAGAGGATGTCCCCTTTGCCCACCTCCCTCATGAAGAAAAGCGTATACTCAAGAGTCAGTTGGATCAACCGGCGCCCAATGTTTCCCTTTTTGGTCTTTATAAGTTCGCTTCTCGGCGCGACATGATTATCGTGGTTATCAGCACCATCTGCGCAACTCTCGCTGGTGTTTCTCAGCCCTTGTTTATGGTCATTTTCGGTTCGATGACATCCAACTTCTCAGATGTTGCAAATGGCCTTATGAGTAAAGAAGCCTTCGAGCGGGAGCTCAATCGCAATGTCATTTATTATGTACTATTGGGGATTGGCGAGTTTGTCACAGTCTATATCAGTATGGTCGGCTTCATGCACACCGGCGAGCACATCACTCAAACGATCCGCGAAAACTACCTCCAGGCTATCCTGCGACAGAACATTGGTTACTTCGACAAGCAAGGAACCGGAGAAATCACAACCCGTATCACGGCCGATACAAATCTCATCCAAGAAGGGTTATCCGAGAAAGTCGGGCTGACAATCACAGCCATTTCCACTTTCACCACCGCATTCATTGTTGCTTACGCCAAATATGCGAGGTTGGCTGGTATCTGCACTTCAACCGTGGTCGCTATTGTGTTACTGATGGGTGTTGGATCTCGCTTCATCGTGAAGTACAGCAAACTCTCATTAGATTGCTATAGTGTGGGTGGAACCATCGCCGAAGAAGTTATTAGCTCGATCCGTAATGCCACCGCATTCGGTACACAAGACAAGCTTGCGCGACAATATGAGAGACACTTGGAAATGGCTGAACGATGGGGAATGCGCCTGCAGATGGCAGTGGGTGTTTTGATAGCGGCACTTTTTTCCATGATGTTCTTGAACTACGGTCTTGGGTTCTGGATGGGCTCGCAGTTCCTAGTCGAGGGAAAGATCGAGATTGGGAACGTTCTCACCATTCTTATGTGCATCTTGATGGGATCTCTGAGTTTGAGTAACATAGGACCCAACGCCCAAGCCTTCACCAATGCTGTGGCTGCTGCGACTAAGATCTTTGGCACTATCGAACGCGCCTCTCCCATAAACTCGGCCTCCAGCGAAGGCATCATTCTTCCACAAATCAAAGGAGATATTTGCTTTGATAAAGTGAAGCATGTCTATCCCTCTCGCCCGGATGTGACCGTGTTGAAGAAACTGAGTCTTGAATGCCGCTCTGGCACGGTCACTGCGTTGGTTGGGCCTTCTGGCTCTGGAAAGTCTACGGCAGTGGGCCTGATTGAGCGATTCTACCTGCCAGTAAGTGGCACAGTCTCTCTAGATGGTCATGATCTCCGAACCCTCAACTTGAAATGGCTGCGTCAACAAATTTCACTGGTCAGCCAAGAGCCGATCCTCTTTGGAACCAGCATCAGGGAAAACATTCGCTACGGACTCGTTGGCACAGCACATGAACATAAGGATGAATGGAAGATTCAAGAATTGATCGAAGACGCAGCCTGTATGGCGAACGCCCACGATTTTATCATCGCTCTCCCTGATGGTTACGACACGAACGTTGGTCAGAGTGGATTTTTGTTGTCCGGTGGTCAGAAACAGCGTATCGCTATTGCGCGTGCTGTTGTTTCTGACCCCAAGATCCTCTTGCTTGACGAGGCTACCTCTGCTCTTGACACCAAATCCGAAGGTGTTGTACAAGCAGCTCTTGACAAGGCAGCCGAGGGACGTACTACTATTGTTATCGCGCATCGACTATCGACCATCAAGAACGCAGACAATATCGTGGTGTTTGCTAGGGGCGAGATTAAGGAACAGGGAACCCACACAGAGCTTCTTTGTATGAAGGGCCAATATCACCGGTTGGTCGAGGCACAATACATCGCCCAATCCCACAAAGACGAGGAAAGAAATCCCGATATGCCAATACGCCAAACCACAGTATCTAAGCGTATCAAGTCTATGTGGCGTGGATCAATGGCTGATCCAGCTTCTATGTTTCGTCGCGGCTCCGTGGCTCATAGCATGTTCCGCCGTGCCTCTTTAGCTCATAATGGCAAAGGCAAAGTTGTGCGACCTCACTCGATGTTCAATCCTGCAATGCGTGGCTCGTGGAATCGTGGCTCAATGATGCGTCCTCCTACTCCTTCATCCAACAATAACTCGCGTGCTACAATGTTGCTCCGGCCAGAGGACTTTGCTGCGCTCGGAATCTTCTCACAGGATGTCTCCAACACTATGGATGCAATCCCCCAAGTCGACCCCACCGAATACCTACGCCGCAGTTTCATGCGACTCGAACCCGAGGATGATCGCGGATCTGTATCAAGCTTCATTCTTGCTGAAGAGGAACCAGAGAAGCCTGAAAAATACTCACTCTCTTCACTTATCAAGTTCATTCTTGGATTCAACGCCAAACAGTGGAAGATATTAGGAGTTGGCTTTATCTTCTCAATTCTTGCTGGATGCGGTCAGCCCACACAGGCTTTCCTTTATTCTCGGGCAATTGCATCCATGTCTTTACCTTCAAGCGAATACACTAAGCTCCGTTCCGAGGTCAACTTCTGGTCAGGAATTTTCCTGTTGACTGGGGTCATACAATTTTTCACAGCAGCAACCATGGGTATCGCCTTTGCATACTGTTCTGAGCGGTTGATTCGCAATGCTCGAAGCAAGGCTTTCCGCGCAATTCTTCGACAGGACATCAATTTCTTCGATCGTGAGGAGAACAGCGTTGGTGCCTTGACTTCTTTTCTGTCAACTCAAACCAAAGCCCTTGCTGGAATCAGTGGACAAACACTGGGAACCATCATGTCCTGTATTACTACCCTTGTTGCTTCTCTTACAATTGCCCTTGCATTTGGTTGGAAATTATCGCTGGTCGTCATGTGTGGCGTTCCTATCTTACTAGGCTGTGGCTTCTACCGTTATGAGATGCTTGCTAGATTCCAAAGCCGCTCCAAGGACGCCTACCAAGAGTCAGCTGCTTATGCCTGCGAAGCTACTTCTGCTATTCGTACCGTGGCGGCCCTTACAAGGGAGGCTGACGTGGCTGAGAGATTCCACCAGCAGCTGGAAGCTCAGACGTACAGGAGTCTCATTGCTGTTGCCAAATCTTCGACTATGTATGCCGCCTCCATGGCTATGGTGTTCTTCTGCGTGGCACTTGGATTTTGGTGGGGCGGTACTCTCGTTGCAAACGGGGAGATGAATACTCTCCGATTCTTCATCTGTTTCACTGAGGTCCTATTTGGTGCTCAATCGGCTGGTACTGTCTTCTCTTTCTCTGGGGATATGGGGAAAGCCAAGAACGCGGCTATTCAGACTCGTATCCTGCTAGAGCGCGAGCCTCCAATTGACACCTGGTCGGAAAGAGGTGAGCGTGTCTGGAAGATGGAAGGCGAAGTCGAGTTCCGAGATGTTCACTTCCGTTATCCTACTCGCCCCCAGCAGCCTGTTCTCCGTGGTCTTGATCTCACGATCAAGCCTGGCCAATACGTCGCTTTGGTTGGTCCAAGTGGGTGTGGGAAGAGCACGACTATCTCCCTATTGGAGCGCTTCTATGATTGCTTAGACGGAGGTATCTTTGTTGACGGCCGGAATATTGTCGATTTGAACATCAACTCTTATCGTGAGCACATCGCTCTGGTTAGCCAGGAGCCCACTCTTTATCAGGGCACTATCAAGGACAATCTTCTGCTTGGAGTTGAGTCGCGTGATATCACGGATGCAGAGATTGAGAAGGCCTGCCAGGACGCCAATATCTACGACTTCATCATCTCTTTGCCGTAAGTTTCTACTCTTTTCTTCTTTACCTGCTACCCTCATCTACATAGCACCTATGCTAACTTCCCGCCATAGTGATGGCTTCAACACTGTCGTCGGTACCAAGGGAGGCATGTTATCAGGTGGTCAAAAACAGCGTGTAGCTATTGCTCGCGCTCTTCTCCGTCGACCGAAGATTCTCCTCCTAGACGAAGCGACTTCAGCCTTGGACTCGGAGTCCGAGAAAATAGTTCAGACGGCATTGGACTCAGCTGCCAAAGGTCGTACTACCATTGCTGTTGCTCACAGGCTGAGTACCATCCAAAAGGCAGATCTCATATACGTGTTTGAAGCAGGCAGGATTGTTGAAGCGGGTAATCACACCGAACTCATGAGGAGGAGAGGCCGGTACTTTGAACTGGTCAGCCTACAGAATTTGGATGCGAGTGCTTGATCGGAATCTCATAGGTTTCCTGGTTTTCTATATCTTGTTTCTGCATTTCGGCATTTGCATTGCGCCCTTCCATACGTTGATCGTGTGGTTGATTCTCTGTACCCATCTCAGTTGGACTTCATACTGGTGATTTCCTGCATGTACCTACTTTTTGATTTTGTTTTGTTATAGATGCGATCTTTGCGATGGAGTTGGTGGATCATATATTCTACAATTCATGTCTGCAATGTCGAACGTTAGACAAATGATGAATGATTTTGAAGATTCTCAGTTGGTTGATGTTGTAAGCTTAAAATAAGAGTAAACAGAATCGTTCATTCATTCATCCACCTCACGATATCAAGCCTCCCCGGAGAATCCCGCACGCAGACAGATCAATCCTTCCCACCCACTCCATACTCTTTGTGAATCTCCACCACTCGTACTCCCTTGGTATCCGCGATCATCCCCATCAGACCCTGAGCCACGTCCTTGATCTCATTGTATTCGTGCAAGAGATGAATATGGCGCTCGACAGTTGCAGTAGGATCACCCCTAAGTAGTCAAATCATATCAGCAATCTCCCTCCCACAAATTGAAGGTTTTTGTACAAATAGTGGGTCTATGTCGCGAGTGGCGCAAGTCATACCGTAAATTAGCTTTCGTTTCAGCTATTTCCTTCACCAATTGGGCCTCTTGGTCTTGAAGCTTCGCGATCGAGGATCGGAGCATAATCTGTCAGGCTGTCAGTGTATATCCTCTTTATCTAACTGAGTCTAGTTAGTACACAACGTTCTTCCCGCTCCGCCATGTGGAGATGCGATCTGCCAATCAGTGATTTCGCTGAATAATGAGTGTTTGCGGGTGAAAGGAGTGAGATTCAGGAACAGCAGGTTGAAGGCGACGGAGATAGGGGAAGATCATCAATTAAATCGTTGAAATTGTCTTTTGAGAAGAAGATGGTATTTTTCAAGTTCTTTTTTGAATGACTGAGTATCTGAATCGCTGTTTTGTTTTGTTGTAGTCAAAGTTGGAAGTTCCAGTAATCGGATCCGCCGGATTCGTGTTGGATTGACCATTACCTGATTTGGATCTGGCCGCGTTTTCCCTTTTCCCCTTCTTCAACTTCTTCAATCACCCGTCATCATGGATTTCTTGAAACAAAGGTCCCTATGGGCCCTGTTTCTAATATTCGGGCTGGCTACTGCCCACGGCGGGCATGAAAATGTTCCAGAGGGAGAGTCTATCTCCTTGGATCCAATTGTTTGTGGTCCCTCGTTTATCGCTATCGCTATGTTTGGGTCTTGTTACCTGAAGGCGTACAGAATAGCAGTATACTAACCATAATGACTTGGACTTGCATAGGACTCGACTCTCTGGATTCACATGATTTTAATGGGGTTTGCTTTTGGTATCGTGTTCCCTCTAGGAATGGTTCTTGGTGTATGTGTCCCATGTACTTTTGTGCTCCCCTCTTCCCCTCCCTCCGCTTCTTTAACACGTTGAATTATGTAGATTGTTCGCTCCCGCTGGCACGTCCCTGTTCAAATAGTCGGAACTGTCGTCGCTGTTCTCGCCTACTTCCTCGGTCATGCGCATAAGGGTCGCCAGTTCGGCAAGAATGTTCACCACTCCTTCGCAAATTGGTTGATGCTCATGCTTGTCGTTCAAGTCGCACTGGGCGTCTACCTGAAACTACACTTGGTAAAGGCCGGACAGGGTCGAGTTCGATGGATCTTTGTCCTTGCACACGGTATCGTCGGAAAGGTCATGCCTGTCGTTAGTTGGGCGCAGATGGTCTTCGGCGGTATCGCAGCAATGGGCTTCTGTCAGGATGATCATCTAGGACAGTGTCTGGCGCATTTCATTATGGGATCTGCGTTCATCGGATACGGTATCTGCTTGACTATTCTCTTATTGGTGGGTCAGTTCTGGCTCCGCCGGACAGGCCGGAGCCAGGAGTTCTTCGACAGTTTGATCATTGCTGCTTGGGGCTGTGTGAATACTTTCACTGAACATCGGTGGGGTCAGGAATGGGCACACAATGATCTGCAACATACGACTATGGGTGTTGTTTGGTGGTGTGCTGGACTTTTGGGCATGTGGTTGAGTCGCAGCCGCAATGGCCGTCCTAAGCGGAACCTTATTCCGGCGCTTGTGATTTTGATTACTGGGTATGCTATGTCGGCTCATGCGCAGAGCTTGATGATTAGTACTATGATTCATAGCATCTTTGGATATACTTTGATGGCTGCGGGTGCTACTCGTATCATTGAGATCTCGTTCGTGCTGGCGGATAAGCCTGCTGTTAGCATGACCGGTGTGGAGCCGAACAGTTTCCAACATTTGCCGCCATTCGTGAGTTTAATCTGCTTGAATTTATATGTGGTTGAGATTGAAATTTGCTAATTGATAATCTTAGTTGTTGTATGCATCTGGATTCTTGTTCATGGGTGCCACCGAGGAGCAGATGCTTCTCCTCCACAACGCAGGCATTACTCACGTCTCTTACGTGCTGATCCTATACAGCGTTGCCTTTATCATGTACCTCTGTATGTGTTGAATTGCCTCTTCTTCCAGCTTTTTAGAAAATCACGCTAACCAGTTTCGTTAGTTGTCAATGTGCTCGTCCACATTTACGCTACCCATGCCTGGCCCGAGGGTCAGGAGGAAGAGGAAGGCCAAGAGGCCCACAAGTACGCCAACGTTAACGGCGGCACTTATATGAATGGCAATGGCAACGGCCATGTTCGATCCCGCGCCGAGGCCCAGCGCATTGAAGACGCCGAGGCCTTTGAGCTGCATGGTCTCATCGATGAGGATGACGAAGAAGAAGCGACGACCCCTACGGGTCCTAAAAAGATGACCAACGAAGAGTCGGCACACTAAATTTCGATCTCGGATTTCAAGTCTACCACTTGGCAATATCTCAATGTTTAATTTATGGATGGTTAATTTGGACCTGTCTTGTATCAGCGTACCTTGGTTTTTGGACATATGTACGGAGTCTATAGAAACAATTTACTGGGTCTTTTTTCTGTGAAGCAAACTTGTCAGGCTACTCGCCTTAAATTTAAACAATCCATTATGCATTCTTTTCTCGCTATCGTACAAAAACATGATTCGTAATTTAGTAAAGATCCAATCTAGATTTATCCGTGTGGAACCCCATTCAATCAAAGCCAAAGCGCCAATATTGCTACTAGTCTCCTGAGCTAGGTAGCACTTCGCTCTCGCACCACCTACGCCGTTGTAGAAGGGGTACCATCCACTCGGAACGGAATGGCAGTGGGGTTCCCAGTATCAAGGGGAATCGGGTTTGCAACAGGCGGGATAGCCGCAAGACCTTCTAGACTCATATCGGGAGAGAACAAAGGGTGAAGTGAATAGATAGGGCCAATGTTCTTGTCCGCATCGAAAAGCAGCATGTTTTGTAATGGCTGTTCCCGCGCTGAAAGAACGTTAATCACATCCTGCGCCAACGAGCCACCCAAGAACGCAGACACCGGAGCTAACTCGCTACCCAGGTTTTGTAGGAATGTGCGCAAAAAGACGGAATCAAGTGAAGCCATATCTAGCTGTAGCTCTTGGTGGCTTTGTCCCGCCAACTTGGTAAACAGTTCCAGGTCGGCATGATTGAATGTTGGTGGTCGGCCACCGGATAGCTTCTCGAATTCCCAGAGAGCGCGCAGACAGCTTAAGAGCGGAGTGACTGATTTGCGGAGACGCGGGCGACGGGTATATTCCTCTGGAAGGGGGGAGGTGTTTGCCAGGAGAAGCGGAGAATAGGTTTCGCGCTTTGTAACTAGTTCTACGGTCTTCTCTTCCTTTTTGTCCTTCTTCTTGGCGGTCACGTTGATGATGCGGCGGGTACGGGTTTCTTGGGTCTTGGATGTGACGTTAGACTTTTCGCGCTCGATAACGAAGTCATGCGCAATTAGGTCTGCGAAGATGTAGCCGTAGAATCCGTGTAAGCCTCCGGCGTAGAAGGGACGGTTTGCAAGCCGGCAAGCCGCGTTGATGGTTGCATTGGTGTTGAAGTCTAGTTCTGTTGCAATAGTGATATCGAATTGAGCGAAGAAGTCGGGCTGTTTCGTTCGGACGTCATCCGTGTCTATGGTGAGCTTGACTCGGGGGTTCATGCGCTTGATTTGGGGACCGGCAACTTCGGCACGCTGGAGATGCGGTTAGTCTCTGTCTGTAGCTATCGCAAGAGCTCGTGATGGGCAGGATATGGGAGCTGTTTACATTTTTCCCTTGTTGCAGAATTCCTTCATCGCGATACACTTCTTCCATGAAGAATTGGGCGTCCAGGTCATTTTCTGTCACGGACTCATGGTCGATGATGGTCAGGGAACCTATTCCCGCGAGGACAAGATTCTTCGCGACTTCATTGGCGAGCGCTTTCACAGTGATTAGGAGAATATTGGCCGATCGGATTCTGCAAGAAAGATTAGTACATCTATAACAAATTCTTTGCAATTGTGGATCCACTGACTTCTCTTGGGCTTGCATGCCCCATAATCGAATTTGCCGGTCATACAGGGCAATCTCATCTAGCAAGCATGTTCAGGGACTATTTTGTACTGAATAGATATAAGTTGACTTACCAGCACTGATATGGTTATCCTGGTTATTCTCGGGTTCTGCCATAGTGGGAAAACAAGGCTGGTATACGTAAAGAAGGGGAAATGACGGAAGTGACAAAGCTTAGGAAGTTCAAACACTAAACAAGTGAAGCTTCCCCCACACATCGATGATCTAATCCCCTCTCCAATCACGTGAAAAGCTACAAACACCAGCCTAACTTGTCCATCATGCATTAGCGACTTGGTCTTCTTTTGCTTCTTTGGCGCCACGGGGAATTCTGTGCTTCCCTCATTTCCTATGAAATCTTAAGACATCTGCTGGACAGTCTTCTTGGTAACCATCTAGTCGAACTGCCCAGGTGGCTTCCATTCCCTCCCCTCTGCTCTCTCCCGGAACCCAACTAACCGCACAGGATGGTACGTTTCATATCAGTCTTATTCGTCAAATTTGATGTTAGCTAATCACACCTTGCTTCCACTTTAAAGCCAGAGAACTACGACCATCCACCTGCTTCTTCACGCCGACCTTCCCTTCCAAGTGAGGGGAGTTCTCCTAATATTCCACCGCTTCCACCCAGTCATCGTCGAACACTTTGGAATCATCTTGTCGACCAACATTCCCAGCGAGAGTCAGCAACCTTGGAAGGCATTGATTTGCCCCGACAAACTGTCGATGATGACTCAGATTTGGATACCATACTATCTGAAGTTCGATTTGGCGGTTTTACCCATCGATTTTTGGACCAACTGCTTAATCAAAACCAATCAGAAGAGACACCGCGAGACAGTCAACCTCCAGCGAGGCCGAGAGACAGGTTGATCTATCTTCGAAACCTCATTCACTCAGAGAGCAATCGCACAGATACAGATGCCACCATTCGTGCTTTGGAGACTCTAAACCGAGAGATTGAAGATCACTACATAGATCAAGCCCGGATTGGGAACATGACCTTTATGCAAGCTCAGGCTGCCTTGGATACACATCGCCGCATGTTTGGGGTCGAAAATCCTCGAGGTTCGAGAAATTCTTTCGTAGAACACCTTATCCAAAACCCACCGTCTACCGTGAGCCCCGCAAACCTAGAGCCCCGTCCGCCGAGCAATAGAACTCTCCGACGTCGTTCCTTCCGGCCGGACTTACGAGAATCACTCCCCACGCCATCTCTCATGCCTCAAACTTCTCAGAGCGGTCGTGATCGCGACCGCGACCGCGATCGCAGACTCAAGCGACGTAAGCTGGATGCCGATGATAATCGCGAAGGCAGTCGTGGCTTTAACTATGGTCATCAAGGCCAAGTCGTCCCTGGAGCTTTGAAGATGGAAATCGCAAGCTGTGATGGAGGGATGTACGACCCGGATGGCGATTGTGCATTCCCCGATAACGTTTTACGAAATGATCAGTCGGTGTACAGCACCAAGGCCGATCGCTGCAACCTGGTTCTACGTCACAAAGATGAGGCACCTTTTTGCTTGAAGAAGATTGTTATCAAGGCTCCTCGCTCCGGATTAGATTTACAGTATGTTTTCACTTTTGGTTTCCAATTGGCATGGGGGGAAATTGCATTTACTAATCTAAAGCAGACTTCAAGAAGGCATGGTGTTTGTGTCCATGTCGTCGGACGAGGCACTTGCTCGTACTTCCCAATATCAAATTCAGTATTCCAATCGTCGCCATCGTCGCCAACACCATCGCCGGATGGGCATGCAACCGTCTCAAGAATACTTGACTGGCTCTCGGAATCCTCTTCAATCCCTTGAACGTACTGTGCTCGTGGGTCCTGATTCTAATCTGGCCTTGACAAACGAGGTTGCAGAACGCAGCACACATGATCCACAATCTGAATTTCGTGTCACTACCGACCACGATGATACTGTTGAAGAAAACTTGTTCGTGGATCGGGAGGAAGATAGTATCCTTCCTTCTGTTGCTGAACTGGAAAGGGTCAATGAGGACGATGATCTGCTCTCTGATACCGACGATGAGAGTCCAAGTGATGACTATGATGAGGACAATGCAACGAGCAGTTTTGCGAGCCGACATCGATTCGTATCACCACGACGAGCGGGCAGCACGCGCCGCCAAGCCCCTCTTCCATCTCAACGACGCCGTCCACCCCCAAGCTTTGTCGACCCCCCTCCAGCTGTCAATCAACCCGGATCCTCTCTGTCTACCCCTAACACCGATGTTTTGGTACCATATGCTCGCTTCTTCATTGAGCGGGACAAGAGTATGGTCAGCATCAAATTTGATCCACCCCCGTAAGTTCTCTGACCGTGTCTTGATATGTTCTTTTCTCATTATTTTCTCAGTTCTGGCCGTTTTATCCTTATCAAACTGTGGAGCCCTCGCAGCGGTACCAATATTGATATTCAAAGTATCGTTGCACACGGCTATGCAGGCCCAAGATTCTTTCCATCTGGCGGGTTCCGATGATTTATTTCACTTGTGCCTTTTATTCCCCCCTTGCCCCCCTGCCTGCTTTTTTTCTCCCCTCGGATTACATTTGCGGCCGAATTACCCCTTGAGTACCTATTTCGGATTGGCACGACGAAACGATAATGTGATGACTTTATGACACGGAGAATCAGAATTGCTTTGTAGATGACAGAGTGGATCGTAGCCCCAGTAAGGGTGGACTATCTCACTGTGGAGCTTATCAGAAATAGGCTTGTCAAACCTACCAGAGCAACAGGGGGGTATCATATGAACTCGCCCGTAACATTCAGGTATATACGGGGAACAATAGCGATTATCGTCAAAAGACTCCCTTACCTATAGATAATCTTTACCGTCTATCATATCACTACCGGTATTGTAAGCTCTACATAGATAGAAAACCAAGTGGAAAGACAAGTAGAAAGACGAATGGAAAGACCTGAACTGGATAGGCGCAATGTCTTGTATTGATAGTACTAGACGCAATTCCTAAGTTTCAGATATGATGTAAATACATTTTCTGCTTCAATCTCATCGGTGTATTCATTGTTCAGCATATTGAACAATTTATGGGATGTTTAGCATGTGTCTAGAGAGAAAAAGAAATCAGCTGTCGAATGAATCATCCCCAAGCCGGGTATTTAGGATGTATGCAAGAACGAGCGAGAAAGACTAAACCGTATGACTAATGTTATATTCAATGAAAGTCTTGATACGAACATACTTATCGGGCTTAAACATCTGATAGATACACGTATGTAGGAAATAAACACTTTCTGAGTACGTTTAAAAGGGGGGTTAAGTATGAAATATTGGAGAAATTTAAGAAAATAAAATTTACACAATGAACCTACACGGAACTTTCCAGGTGAATGGAATATACTGAACTCACGAAGGTTTAAGTTGCTCATAATAACTTGTGTGACTTTTAAAGTTGCAATGTTGAATACATTCATCATTCATTTACTGCTATACCGACGGAGGCCGAGACCCTGGACTAGCCGGCCCCACAACGCTAGTGATCCGGAAATAGAGCTTTCACAACACTTCAACGTGAACTGAAGAAAAAGAAAAAGAAAAAGAACACCGAAATGCCACAAATTCCAGTTTGGCAGCTTCCCGAGTTTGAGGATCGAAGCGATTCCTCAGAAGAGCCAGCATGGCTGGTCGTCTTCCTTTTTCCAACGGAGGATGAAGAAAGGGATCAATTCATGCAACAACTTATCACAATCGACCAAGATTGGCCTTATCGCCCGGAAGGTTCCCCAAGGCGGCTGCTACAAGTACCTTGGCTCATGGATACATCTGTTTCATCTTCAATTATATGTTCCATCGTGAAGCGAGCAGAAACGAGCGAGTCCATGATCTTTGTGGATGAGCAGTCACGGACGGATAACTCGGTGATTCTTGTGCATTATGATGAATCCGAAGACGCTTTTCAGACTGTGCGGGCACCTATCAATAGGGCTAATATGTTGCTGGTTGCGGCTGCGGGTGAAGACATTTGTATTGATGGTCTTGTGTCTCTTCCCGAGAACCCGGAAGAGGGGGTACTTATAGTAAGTTGGCCTTAAAAAATACGTATGATCTTTCTGTATAATACTCTAATACACTACAGACGCAAAGAAACAAGTGTTCTTCCGAGGAAAGTATCTTCATATTAGAGTCGATGACCGGGGACGAGATTCAAAAGATTGAAACCGCTTTACTGGCCAAAGGACTCCACGATGACTTCTTCACCTGGGTAGATGTTTCCAGCAAACTTGAATCACCCGATATGGAAGGTCTAATCGCCTACTTTGAATCCGAAGAGAACGAATTTAGAACTCCGCCATCTTACTTTTTGGCTGTTGATCGTGAAGCTGTGAGGATTACCAACCTCCCCGCCGAAAAACAGAAACGAGAATGCCCTATCATTCTCGCATCGAAAGATGGTGGTCGTCTTTCTTTCGGGGACGAACTGGGTGATACACATAGCAGGATAAACTTGGGATATGGCTTTCAGGCACTTGGAATAGAAGAAGCTATCAACGCTTCGGTGAATTTGTCTGTTGGCAATATGGATTTTGAAGAGTTGGCTCCTGGACCGGAGTATGTCTATTGGTTGGGTTATCAGGCTTGGGTGGATCAGAATCTAGATGATTATGAAGATGGCGAAAAGTCTTTTGATTGCGCTTGGGTCCCTGGTCAAGGACGTATTGACGTCGAGTCATATGAGTGAAGAATCATAATGAGCTTCTGCATACATATCATGTCCAACTTGAAGTTTGGCTCCCGCAGGCTTCAATTGAAAGTCTATTCTATGATCTATTTAAGTTAGTTCAACGCCTAGGGCTTTACACAAAAGCTCACAGGTGGCCCTAGATAGCTGCTTTGAACGCCCCCGAGATCCAAACATATTTTTTCGAGTATGATATTTGAATGATTGAGTCGTACTCGGATTGTATGAGCACCTGCCTCCAGGCAACTAAGATGGTGGGTTTCCTTCCACACGCAATCCATGACAGCGTCCAGCCAGCCCTCTGCGGGGAGCTTTGCCTTTTTATCAGTGGACTCCTTGACAAGGATATGCGACTCAATACTTTGATCATCAATACCGATATCATATGACATTTTGTTGCTGGGGTCGATATCAAGAGTCATGTTAAAGTAGAGCACGATTGTTGGCGATTGAACATCCGAGAATATGTAAATCGGGTATTCCAAGAATGTGATAGGGGTATTGTTGCAGGAAGCGGCGTAGTCAATGGCAACTGAGCCTTCGCTTCCTCTGCCTAGCTCGGGATGATATCTGTATGGAGCTTGGATGCCCATACCAATGGAAGGGATAGACACGCAGCCATCCGACTCGACGAAGCCTTGGAAGGATTGAGGAACTTTGTGACTTTTAACAGGCAAATGGACGAGTTCGAAGTCGCCTTCTTTTGACTTCACAGCGATTAAAACCTCTTCGTCAAAATCGCCATTGACTCGATCCCAATCGATGCTGATCCAGACCCGAGCATCCTCTCCATCGGGACTCAAGGTTCCATTAGTGAGGGATAGATGGACCCAAGAATGCGGCACAGAAGCAGTCCAGTGAATTGTCTGTGTCCCTCGTGTGAAGATATCAAACCATCTCTTTGCAGGACCGTACCGACTTATAGAACCCAAAGTTAAACCAGGAGCCAAATCCCGGCGACTTGGATGCGTGCGCTCGCTTTCTTCGTTGATGCGTCCAGCTCGTACTCCTTCGTGACTTTCAACCGCTACGCCCATCTGGCCCACTATCAGATTGCTATTCTGACCTCGCTGGACATATGCTAAGCCAAAAATAGCATCTCGGGATGGAGCATGCCAGGTATCGCCGTATCCCAAATGGGCCTGGCACATCATATGATTCCATTTGCCATCTAGAAGCGAGTGAAACTCTTGAGAAAGGTTAAAATCTGCATCGAACAAATCGAGGGCCTTTCTTAGGAGTTTATTAGCCGTGTTTCGTCTTTGACGCGCATGAAGCTGGTTGTGAGCCTGAGTCACTCGCAGCTGAGTAAAGATTGCACTGGCCTTGACTGGGTGCACGATCAGTTCCCAGATAGCCACTTTCTGCTCTTCATTGGCTTTTTCGTAAATGGCTTCTGCAGCAGAAACGAGTTGCTGCCAGCGATGGACTATATCATCTGCTTCGTTATAGTGGAGCAGTGAGAAAGTCTCTGGGTCAATATGTTCATGTTTGCGAAGACGGACGAGTCGATCGTACTCGTGCCACACAGAAACAATGCCTGGGCTTAGATCTGCGTTGAAATATTCCGTGGCAATATTACTGAAGAATTGCGGAATGCTGCTTTCATGGATATAGTTGATGTCCCATGCCATTTCCATTGCGAAAGTCAGGGGTACTTCAATGGGCTTGATGTCGCCGACGTTGAAGACCCATATCTTTCGAGCATTGCGGTTATAAGCCTCAGATAGTTGATGATAAGTTTTTCCCTGGGGACAGTTAGCTTATGTTTTAATAATGGACATTTGAAAATTTTTTACCAGAGAGTTTGAATTGATCCACTTATAGCTTCGAGGCGCTCCAACATATTCAAAATGGTAGTAGATGCCCGCACCTCCGGATCTTGTCATTTCAGATCCACTGGGCAATCGTCGAAGAGTCCCAAAGTTATCATCAGCAAACAAAAGGGTTACGTCTTCTGGTACTGTAAACTCTCCGGCTTGATATAGATCTTGAATCTCTTTATAAAGAGCAAGAACTTGAGGAACAGCATCCTCACGTCCATGAACCTCCTTGAAGAGAGCGCGTTGTTGCAAGAGTACATCTCTTATGACAGCACCAGGATCATCCGTTGCCATGCCGCGGTCATATTCACCCCGGATGCCCATTGTAAAGTACGACTCAAGTCCTTTGGCCCGTTGGACACCTGTTCGGAAGAACTCAATAATCTCTTCGCGGCTCTTAGTCCAATCCCAAGTTCCATCTGCCCGGGGTTTCTCTTCGAACCATTCTGTTGTAGCTCGCTGCATGGGCTCATGGTGTGATGTTGATATACAGATCCCGTACTCATCAGCAATCCGCTGGTTTTCGGGGTCGTCCATGAAGAATACTGCGCCAGGATTGGGATAGCCGGGCCACATTGCTGGCCACATAAAGTTGGCTTTTAGACGCAGAAGAAGCTCATAAACCTTCTTGTAGAACTCGCTATTGTAGGAGCCAAACTTCTCCAGAACCCACCCTGTGAGCGCTGGCGCCTCGTCATTGATGAAGATTCCTCGATATTGAATGCTGGGCTCGCCGTGGGTCGTCGTGACTGGAAGGGCATAGATCTCTGAATGGAATTTGGCCGGGACATCAGCCCACCAATACCATCTGCATTGGTCAGCTTGGTCTTGGAATATCTCGAATTAGAAGAATGAAAGATGACTTACGGCGACACTCCGATTTGGCGGGATAAGGTGTATGCACCGAATATCGCGGCTCTCTTGTCGCTTCCCGCAATGACCAGCGCTTTGGAGCATCCTGGAATTGGGTTGTCGACTACGGTAGTTATGAATGACTCCCATTTTCCTTTGATCGCGCGGGTGTCGAGCTTGTTCTCGCTCGAGAGTTTCTTGAGTATCCTGCATGACTCGATACAGCCAACAATGATAGCTATATCCGCACTCAATTCATGTACCGAAGCGTCATATACAAGCTGAAATGGATTGGCCTTGCCCCTCGTTACGCGGCTAAAGTCTTCTGCCAGTGCTCGCCCCGCATGGTGAACACCAGCAAAGTCGGACGCATCGGCGAGAATATGAGCCCCGACGAGGTTGACGCGGTCCGAAGACCCTTCAAAAGCCACAATCAGTTTCCCAGACATGATGATTATCCCACGCCAGCAAGAGCGTGGGGAAGTGACGCGTTGAACCTCTTCCCAACCATCATTCAAAAATCACATCGGCTAAACGCTGCGGAGACGGCTCCCCACATCACTCATTCACGCGGACCAGTCCGTGTTGATAATCTCCCCCGAACAGCTTGCTCGGGTTGTTGTCGCCCCGAACCCTTTGCTTGGTGGAGCCGAGCTAGGCTGATGCGGTCATCTCCGTTGCCGACCAAGCAATCAAAGGACCAGCTCGGTGGCTTTGCGCCGAACCCGTACTCGAAGGCTTTGCTAGCTTGGCTCGGTATTAAGATAGCGTGGTGGTTTTGAGTTGAATCTTCCAATGGGTGAATTTTGGTCTGTTCCCGTGCGTGGGGGGCACATCGTCCCATGCTCGCGTATGTTTGAACTTGCATTCCCCACGGGGGAGGGAGATGCCATTCGTCGGCCTCCACCCCCGCATCCCCGGATAAATGCCTACTCCACGGCTCTATGTTTCTCGCACTGGGACTCGACTTTTTCTTCCTAAGGATTTTGTTCAAAGTTAATCCTGAAAGAGAGTTCTGTCTGCACCCAGAGACTCCCCCTCAACGCATTATTTCTTTATTTTTATTTCTCGAGCTTTGATAAACGATTTGATTTTGAGATGGCCAATATGAAGCCAGAAAATCAAGAGATCGAGAACGTGGAGGGAGCTCATGATGCTTATGATGAAGGACCCCTGAAGAATCATACCGATTACTCTCGAGTCGACAAGGAGATTGCCAAGTACGCCACCGACGGCGCCATCGAGATCGACGAAGCCACCAACAAGCGCCTCAAGAAGATGATAGATAGGCGCGTTTTGGTGGTGATGATGTTTACCTATCTTCTGCAGACGCTGGATAAAGGTGCATTGTCTTTTGCTTCGATTATGGGGATTCAGACCGATGCACATCTCATGAACAACCAGGTGAGAGCCATTTGGATGGAATGAATCTCACTAGACACTGACCCCTTTTACTTTTAGTATTCTTGGTTGACTACGATCGTGTATATTGCCATCCTTGTTGTCGAATACCCGGTACGTACGAAGTCAATATGAAGGGAGACGAGATACTTATACTGTTGGTAGGAAAATTGGATTATTCAACGCGTGCCTATTGGAAAATGGCTTTCGATCAACGTTTTGCTATGGGGAATTTGCATCTGTCTGATTGCTGCGATGAACACATTCGAGGGACTGATTGCTCTGCGTGCATTCATGGGTGTTTTCGAGGCAGCCTGTCAACCGACCTTCATTGTCCTGTCAGCGACGTGGTACAAGAGGGAAGAACAGGCTAGCACAATCAACTTTTGGTGAGTATTCGTCTTATCGCGTCTCAAGATCCTCCAACTTACCTCCAGAACAGGTATATGATGAATGGCCTTCAAAATATCATCGGCGGTCTCCTGGCTTTTGGATTCTCATATGTACCTGCCAGCTCCCCAATCAAATCGTGGCAAGCCCTTTTCATGAGCTATGGAATCATCACCGTCCTATGGGCAATCTTCGTTTTCTTTTGGTTGCCCGACTCGATCATGCGCGCCAAATGTTGGACCGAGGAAGATAAACAACTGATGGTGGAGAGAGTGCGACAGAACCAAACTGGTCTGCAGAACCGACAATTCAGATGGGAGCAAGTGCGAGACGCCTTTACCGACCCACAGCGTATGTACTAGGACTGATAAACACAATAATGATTGATACTAACGGAAAGCTTAGTTTACGCCTTTGCTCTTATCCAACTCTTGACTACCATTCCATCCGGTGGAATCGGTGCCTTCGCCAACATCATCGTTAGCTCTTTCGGGTTCAGCACTTGGGCAAGCCAGCTACTACTGATGGTTGTCGGTGCCGTCACAGCAATTACAATGATATCTTCTGCATATCTGGATCGCTACTTCAAGCAAACCATAATCATCATGATTCTGTCCTTGATACCCTGTCTCATCGGCACATCAATCCTAGTCGGGATCCCATTCTCCTCCAGCAAGAAAGTCGGCATGCTCATTGCATACTTCATTTTCTACTCTTTCTTTGCCGTTTCATCCCTGTCGCTTAGTTTGGTATCTCGAAATGTTGCCGGACAAACAAAGAAGTCCATCGTCATCGCCTGTAACTTTGTTTTCTGGGCTGGCGGAAACGCCATTGGTCCGCAGATCTTCCGCGATAAAGATGCGCCGCGCTACTACCTTGCTTTTGCGATTATTATTGGATGCTTCGGGCTTTGTGCTCTTATTCTGGTCGCGCTACGGACGTATTATGTTTATCAGAACAAGAAGCGAGATGCTAAGATTGCATCTGGGGAGGTTGTCCCTGATGTCAACTTTACGCATGCTTTCGAGGATATTACCGATCGGGAGAACCCTCACTTCAGATATATTTACTGATCAGGATTTCTTTTGCAAAATAAATATTGAATGAGTTGGATATTTTAGCTTGTTTAATTCGACCAAAGAATTTTGAGCCAATGGAACTACGTGCTTTACATCTTTGCATGAACAATGAGTCTTTCAATACTACGGAGAAATATTCAAAACTGCAAAATAGGAAGTCTATAATATTCAATCGAGCCGCAAAATACATAAGTAGAATAGTAAATTGTTGGATATTATTCAAATGCCAAAAATTATTTGCATATCATGGGGAGTATAAGCGTGCCAAGGAAAAATAAGAAATATCAGTTCAACGTGCTAGTAGAGTTATCATAAGAAACATGAACATCGTGTTGAACGCGGATATAGTTCGTTCCCAGATATTCTTCAAGGTCGTTTGTAGCCCTGTGAGCACGCATAGGACCAGCCTCAACGTGAGCGGCATGTGTGAACAGACGAATTACGTCGTCATCTTCCTTACCCAGACCCCGCATGGGTGAGCCTCTCACACTTGTGCGCTCGGTTCCAATACTGCTGCCGCTCTTTCGGAGACCGAGGATCGAAGCTCTCGATCGCTTGATTGGCATATGCTTGCGGAGGTACATGTTGTGTTCCACCTTGAGGGCCCATTGCACAATGGGTTGGATTGTAGGGAGTGAGGCGCTGATGATAGATAGACAGGGCTCGATGGTCGACCAGAGGCAGACGGGTGCCATTGTCCATGTGATATCGACGGAACCGGCCCCTTGTACCTTTGTAAGATAGTGAATTCGGACAATACTTGCGGCAAAGACACTAGAAGAAAACAAAAATGTTAGCACTGACTCGAGTGATGCAATCAGGTCCGATGGGGGGTTTCCTACAAGCATCCCAGGAAAAGAACCAGCGACACCATGACCTTCTGCGCAGTTCGCATCTTCAATCCCCAGACAATTGGAATCGGGACAATCAGAATGAGGAAGTCTCCGACCACGTTTGTTGCAGCGTTGCCGATGTACCAGTTGTAGAAGTCGTAGCGATTGTGACCGCTGGTTGGATCTTGGAATTCCGTCCAGAAGAAGGAAATAGGAACTGGGGCGAGGAACAATGCAATAAGACTTCCGATACACCAGCCCACAGCAAAGAACATGGCCACATGGTTCAACCAGTTTACTCCGAACACACGGCGATAGAAACATAGAACGGCCACCTTGATAAAAGCGAGCTCAAATGTATAGATAACCAATGAGCTAAAAAGGAACTAGTAGAGTCATGTTAGATGCTTGCAACTTCGACTGTCAAAAACGAGATATCTACAAACCTTTTCCATTTTAGTCATTCCGCCGACTGTCGCGAGCCAGACATGCTTCCCTAGACCATAATGAGTGGCGACAAAGTTGATAGCAAAGATCGCAGCGAGTGGGCCCTTTAGAGTAGTAGTTAGTTTATGAATAACTTGATCCCAAAGTATATGCTTGGACACGTACTAAACTGGTGAGCATCAACCAGTCATCAAGTCGTGGCTTAGAGCCACTTCGAATTCGAACCGTAAATCGGACAACGACGGTCAAGACTGTAAGAACAAACGCGGCGATGATGGCGGCATTCATGCTCTTTTGAACACTGTCGTTGAGATTTATCCCATCTGGCTGGTGAAAAACCGAAGAAATGGGAGTTGACGGTGGATACGCCATACCGCCAGCGACCGATGTGTCAACGCAAAATGCCTTTGTGTTTTCTTTCTTTTAGCGGGCTCTGCCCTGGTGAGGAGCTTTGATGTCCTTCAAAGTGTATGTGAAGCCGATAAAACCGATCCAGCAGTTTCAGCCAGCGAGGACACTAAACGAGTGATGCAGACTAAAGTGGCCGGGGTCATGGTTTAAAGCCAATTATGCCAGGTTTTGCCTAGAAATCATCCATCACCCTGTGGCAATGCGCACATGGCACTAGGATGTTATCACCAATGAAATTATCTGTAGAGATGGGACCAGAGGCCCAGCTAGGATATTTTGGGGGCTTGTGAATCCTGTCATTGGGCAGTTCTTGGACCCCATGGTGTTTATACTCAACCTCACAGTAGACTGATTCGTTTAGGGTAATGGGGGCCGGAACTATACTACGACTCTTCTGATTGGGTCAAGAAAAGACGCTTTGACTTCATAACGCCGGAAGGATTGAAGGATTATGCAGTGTCCAGAACACGTTCTCTGGCATAGAGAGGGGTTGCATTCAATTATGCTTAGCGAGGACTGGTGGAAATTAAATGCACTTAAAAACCGGGTTATTGAATTCTTGCATAAGCTAAAAGGGGTATCCATGCGTGGAACGAATGGTTTTTTGGTTTTACAAGCGAGGGACCAGGATCCCAACGAATTTCATGGCGGGGCACTAGAGAAGGTCATGCGTGATTGACTGGTTTTGACAGATGGTGTTTCAGAAATTGTGGCTTAATCATGAACAACAATAATGCCATGGCTTTGCTGATTTCTTTCTGAATAGGGCCAAAACTGGGTCTTGTCAGAGTCAGACTTAGTGGGGCCCCGGGGGCCAATTTGGCGTAATGACGCAACTGTGCTTCTGTGAATAAGTTTTTATGAGCGCAAACTCTTGGGCTAGAAGGTTTGTGGTCATCGCGACCGATGTCTAGCCGCTACTAGCTAGTTTATATGAAGAATGATGGTTTATCTCCGTTCTAGCTTATCTCACTCGACCAGTGTGGGCTAATCCAGCCCTTGAGGATGCGTCGCGTATCTAAAGATCATCACGTAAGATGAGATGATCAGATAGTTTATTTTTGACATTTGTTCTTGCCACGAACTTGAATACAATCAGCTCATACTATCTCCTAATTCCTGAAGTCTGAGTACTAAGACTGCCAATCTAGTCTTCTATTCAAAGTTAATCATCAGATACTCGGGTTTTGCCATACATTCTGAGACACCAAGGACTGGGCAGCCTGTGTATACAACTTACTATGGTATGTACAATGTAAAAACCTTCAAAGTAAGCGATCTACTGATCCACAGGAATGAATCCATCGAGATCCTTTAGCTGTAAATAGGACCTTTCTTCGATCGCAAAATCCTTGGTATTGAAGTTTTGCCCCCAATATAGAAAGTGGATCACTATGGCGCCGGTTTCGCGCTGACGATTTGGGAATGCATGATGTACTAAACAAGTCGGGTAATCGGAACATCAAGTTGCTTCCCAATGTAGAGAAAATGACAAGCCCAGTAACTTTTAACCTTTCGCGTGGCAGATGGATGATTTTCCGATATACGAAGCACGGATTCGCACGGCCTTGCGTCCACTATGAAGAGTTCCCACTAGAAATAGTATTAAACACGCCAAGTTCAGACACAAAGGCTGAGCTTTTGCTCCCTTGAAAAAGAAGGTGAGCTGATAATTTAGACATTGTTTATCGCCCCATATTCTATCTAGTAGGAAGACGACGACGATGTTCTGCTCACCGCATGGTCTGGCTGCATCACACGACACCACATCTGCAGAAATGGCCCCCATTAGGGATCGACCCCAAATCCCTTGATGTCATCCATGGAATAGAATTGAAAAGAGCCCCTTGGAAGACCTTGATGGAGCAAAGTTCCACGTACATTGTCTAGAAAAGACGTCGAGATAATCAGCCTAGGAAATTTAATCAAGAACTTGACCCTTTCTATACTCAGCCAAGAACGCTGTAACTAACAGTTCCCACCTTCAAAACCTCCAAATACACCATCAAATCAAACGAACATCCCAAAATACTCGTCGAATAGCCAAAAAAGTATTCGTCTTTGTTGTTTCATTCTCGAGAATTCCAATATACCTGGCACTGCCAGTGACGACCGTGACAGATAAAAGCCTTTCTCAAGAAGTTGGTTGAAGTATCTGGAGCCTTACAGTACGTCTCGAAACTGGCGCGACCACCTACACTCTTTGATTGATTTTCGAACCTTATTGCCAAGACTAGCTAATTCGAAATAAAAATAGTTCCAGGATATAATCCTTCTTGTATCATTCTCAAAACGATATTAAACTACGCTTAAAATGCATTGTTGTCTATTGTAGTTGTAATTGTGATCCAAAGAGTCTAGGAATTCCTATGAGCTTGCGAACAAATCAAACAAATTAAGCAGCAAAGGTCTTGCGAAGTGGACGAGGTGTCACTATCCTCAGTTCCTCATGGAACTAGGTTACGGCCCAGGGCTCATTGATTGACCACTTATAGCAATGGAACTTGCTGGTAAATATAGATATACCTCACTCCACTCCCAAGGGAATCTCCCGTTTCGGACCCGCTACTCCCCACATTCGCTAGACGACCCCCGGTAACGTGAGAAGAGAAGTAACCGCCAAGGTTCAGCGCCCGACAGTCACCTGATCGTGGGGCTGAGCTTCCCTCTCAATGTTGGGGCCTTCTGTGCCTGTGATAGCATCATCGCACACGAGCTATTAAGCATGACTTCCACATCGTTTGGTGACGAGAACTCGGGGACCCAGGTGGGGACCAACCATGGTCCGATAACTCATAACTATTTCTCATCTGGTAAAACACCTGAAGCCATTTTCAAGCCGGGCAATATTGACTGGAAGCCACTTTCCGGCCCAGAGCGACTAGAGACCCCACGGCAGAATATAGACAACGGTTCGCCTCGCTCCCTATGAGTCAAAGAGAATTTCCACTCACAAGTGTGACAGAGGTGCTTAAGTCACTAGCATTCCCGCAGATGCTAGACCGGAAGGATAATATCGAGCCATGCCACACGAATACCTGCAAGTGGATTTTAGAGCTGGAAGAGTTCCAGTCTTGGAGGTGCCAGTCACATGGTCTGCTATGGGTTAAGGGCAAGCCAGGTGCAGGAAAGTCGACCTTGATGGTATTCCTACACGACAAGCTTCAAAGTTTCCAGGACGATAGTCCAGCTATTCATCTCCACTTCTTTTTCACCGCTCGGGGTACAGAGATGCAACGTACACCGCTAGGAATGCTTAGATCCTTACTGAGCCAGATTTTCGACTGTGATCCGACTGTACGTCCTCAGATACGTGAGATATACGACCGGCGATGCAAGCAGTTTGGGTATGGCAAACGTCAGTGGGAATGGCCACAGGTGATGCTAGAAGAATTACTAGCAAGTGTCATTCTGGTATCAGCCAAACAGCAGCACGTGATGGTTTTTGTGGATGCTCTTGACGAGGCTGGGGCTAAATCTGCTCAGCAGCTGGCGGGATATTTTCATCGGCTCGTTGATCGCGCTGAGAAAAAAAAGCTATGCATCCAAGTATGTATCTCATGTCGACACTATCCTATAATGGAAAGTGGACAGGCTATAGAGATAAAGGTCGAAGATCATAATAAGCAAGACATTGCGACATATATCCAGGATAAACTTATCAAGACAGAGGCCAAAGACAACACCAGCCAGAAGATGAGGGAAATGCTAGTTAAGCAATTAACCCAGCAAGCGAATGGTGTATTCCAATGGGTCCATATTATAATTCCCCTCATCGAGCAGAAGGTTCGTGAAAGAGAATCGTTTCACAATATCTGTTGCTGGTTACAGGAGGTTCCAGCTGGCCTGGAAGATACTTACGTGTATATTCTAAACAACGTAATAGAGAAGAGTAACTGCGAGCAGTCATTTCTGTTCTTTCAATGGGTATATCTGGCCGAGCGACCCCTGACTGTGACTGAAATGCGGTACGCATTAGTGGCTAAGAATGTCCAAACAACACCGCATCCAAAGAGATGGGAAAGGATATGTGGATTTATCGAAAGCAACGAGGATATGCTGCGAAGAATCAAGGCTCTTTCTGGCGGACTAGCCGAAGTAGTCTCAAGCTGGGATAATAATGAGACTGTACAGGTGGTACACCAATCGGTCAATGATTTCTTGCGCACAAAAGGGCTCAAGGTTTTGTGTCATAATATCGGCATGAGAACGTCGTCCATGAACGAGGACAAGATTGTTTCTCAATGCCATGGAGCTCTCTACCGAACGTGTTTGGTTTATCTTACAACAGTCCGTATACCGGCAGGAACCAGCGGGTTCAAAGGAACCAAAGAGGGTTTTGTCCAGGATCATCCGTTGATTCATTATGCCACTACGAATCTCTTTGTTCATGCGGAAAAGGCTCTCGACTTTCGTTCCAACGTTCTGCCTAATGAGAAGGAGATTCTACAAAATGTGCTCAGTACTTGGGTCCAGATTTATCAGACGCTAGATGGGCAGATGCTAGATGGGCAGAACAGACTATGCCCACCAAGAGGCACAACACTGTTACATATGGCTGCCGCTGCCAATCTAGTGGATCTCATAGAATCTTTGTTATCAAATCATGAGGATTTCGCAAAGATAAACGGAGATGGAGATACAGCGTTTCACCTGGCAGCCCGAGGTGGTCATGTAACAATTGGTAAAATACTCCGAAGAAAGGGCGCAGACCAAGAGGCAAAGAACCACGGAGGCTACACCCCATTATTCAAGGCAGCCAGTGGTGGACGTATAGAATTTGTCGAATGGCTCCTAGGTGAGGGAGTGAATCTGAGAATAAACGGAAATAGAGAAGCGCTACAAGCAGCTTCTTTTGGAGGTCATGAGAGTGTTGTGCATATACTGCTCGGAGCTGGCGCCAATGTCAACGCCCAGGGTGGTGAATACGGCAATGCCCTACAGGCCGCTGTATGTGGAGAAAGACCTGAGATAGTGCAGATACTGCTTGGAGCTGGCGCTGATGTCAACGCCCTGGGCGGTAAATACGGCAATGCCTTACAGGCCGCTGCAACTCATAAAAGCCCTGAGATAGTGCAGATACTGCTTGGAGCTGGCGCCGATGTCAACGCCCTGGGCGGTAAATACGGCAATGCCTTACAGGCCGCTGCAACTCATAAAAGCCCTGAGATAGTGCAGATACTGCTTGGAGCTGGCGCCGATGTCAACGCTCTGGGCGGTAAATACGGCAATGCCTTACAGGCCGCTGCAACTCATAAAAGCCCTGAGATAGTGCAGATACTGCTTGGAGCTGGCGCCGATGTCAACGCTCTGGGCGGTAAATACGGCAATGCCCTACAGGCTGCTGCACACATTGGAAGCCCTGAGATAGTGCAGATACTGCTCGGAGCTGGCGCCAATGTCAACGCCCCGGGTGGATACTACGGCAATGCCCTACAGGCTGCTGCCGCTGCATGGAGAGGAAGCCTTGAGATAGTGCAGGTACTGCTCGACGCCCATGCCGATGTCAACGCTCTGGGCGGTAAATACGGCAATGCCCTACAGGCCGCTGCATGGAACGGAAGCCCTGAGATAGTGCAGATACTGCTTGGAGCTGGCGCCAATGTCAACGCCCCGGGTGGATACTACGGCAATGCCCTACAGGCCGCTGCAACTCATAAAAGCCCTGAGATAGTGCAGATACTGCTTGGAGCTGGCGCCGATGTCAACGCTCTGGGCGGTAAATACGGCAATGCCCTACAGGCTGCTGCACACATTGGAAGCCCTGAGATAGTGCAGATACTGCTCGGAGCTGGCGCCAATGTCAACGCCCCGGGTGGATACTACGGCAATGCCCTACAGGCCGCTGCAACTCATAAAAGCCCTGAGATAGTGCAGATACTGCTTGGAGCTGGCGCCGATGTCAACGCTCTGGGCGGTAAATACGGCAATGCCCTACAGGCTGCTGCACACATTGGAAGCCCTGAGATAGTGCAGATACTGCTTGGAGCTGGCGCCAATGTCAACGCCCAGGGTGGTGAATATGGATTACCTCTCTTGGCGGCTATTTATGGGGGCGATGCTGATAAAGTTCAACTTCTTCTTTATGCTGGAGCAGATTCACTGCTTGCAGATGAACTTGGCTGTACTCCTCTTCATATTGCAGCTTCGAAAAACATGCTCCATATGCTCCATATGCTCCGTCAGTTTCCACAACTGGCATTGGCTCTTAACAGCCGTAGTGACTTCTTGCAAACTCCTCTCCACCTGGCAGTTTGTCATGGTCACATCAGTTTTGCTATTGCCCTTCTCAATTCTGGTGCTGATCCTTCCCTCCCAGATGGTTATGGTCGACATGTAATGGACTGGGCATCTGATCACGAAACCCTACTGCAGGAAATACATAAGCACTACCCTCGACTGGTGTTGACGCCGCCTAATACTCAAGAGCTAACTGTTCATCGATCACTCTTCGAACTCACCGAGTCGCTTCCAAATTCCAAATTTAAGACTCTATGGCCAATTTTGCAACAATTAGGCCGCTATTATTTGTTCCTTGGCCAATTCGACAACGCACGGTATCTGTTCCAGCTTCATCTGCCTCGAGATGCTTCCTCCGAAAAGGATATCTGGCAGATCTCCTGCAATATGTGTAACCAGACTATCACCGGGACTCGCTTCGTATGCAGACTATGCGCCTGTATGGATCTCTGTTCCTCCTGTGTACTGAAGTACCCCTGCCATAGTCAATTGCATCAAAATCAAGAGCACGAAGTTTTTGAGGTTTCCAATGTGCCTGACAAAAACTCCCAATTCACCGGGCTAGTATCAGAGCGATTCAAACTTTTCTTATGCAATCTTGATCCAAATCATCTCGAGAAAAACGACGATCAATCCGAGAAAGAGCTATTAAATGATTCTATGTTTGCTCTGGCACTGAGGAAGATAGCTCTAGTTCAAAAGACTGCTTTCAGCTTGGTAAAAATCATGTCTGGGATCATAATCGGGGTTTCGGCTATTGTTTTAGGAGCTTGGTATTTTATAACAGGTTAAATTTATTTCATACGCTCCCTCTGTCTCAACTTCTGTAGTATATTGTTCAACAACAATTGTATTCGCCGATTGCTGTACCATACTGAGGATTTCTATTTTGTACTCATAGCTGATTGACTTTGGAGCGCCAAATGTGAAGGAGATGCCAAGGTCTGTTCAGCAATCTATCTGCTCTTCTTATCTTCCCCTTCCATAAGTTATGTAGCTTACGATATTTAAATAATCCTGAATGCTGACACATATTAGAAGAGTTACAGAAGAAAGAATTCATTACTAAATAGATTTATAAAGGACACACGAAGTAGCATACGTATAGCACTCTCGTGTAGATCACGTTATGTGGTGTCACTGATCTGTATTGAAAGATGCACCTACAAAGCCTAGAAAGCAGTTTGCGAAGTAGGAACTTCAAAGACTATCTCATCATGGCTCTATAGGTTCCTGGGGACCTGTCTAACTAGTTTAAATCACTTCTACTGTCAGACCTGTATGACGGAAATGTCCTTCCGCATTTTTCTCTCTTACTCCAACAATATCAATGCACCATTCAAGAAAACTGTCAAAACCTTGATCCGGGTCATTTTCGCAGGACTGCCAATTGCGCCGAATAAACGCTTTTAGTTCAGCAAAGAAATCTTTAATAGGATTCAAGTCGGGGGAGTACGGAGTCAGATATACTAGCTTTACGTAGGCTTCTGAACACATCGTTTCTATTCGAGAGAGAACAATGCCATCTTGAGCATATGCAGGTAGTATTTGGTATCGTTGATCCCGGTAGAGTTTAGAGACTTGAACTGGCGCTATGCCAAGTGGAGACCAACCCGTTTGTCTAAAGCCTATTCTTTTATCACACCCGGACTCATCCACATAGACAAGGTGGTATGACTGGAAATCCGAAATGAAATGATAATACTCATCACGTAGATCTAAGTTGCGTTCTCGAGCCTTGACTCGGGCGATCTTTTTAGACCAGCATTTGAAAGCAAGAGCGCGGCTGATACTCGATTTTGTTGCTTGGATATCGAATTCGTCCCACAGAAAAATCGCTATCTCGTCAAGATAAAGGTCAGGCTTTTCAAGCAGGTAATCACACAAAGCTTTCAACATGATCGGAGTGATGCTTCGTGGTTGACCACCTTTATTAAGCGGCGCTTTGACGCTGCCAAAGATTCTTATATTGGAGGTCATTCTTAGGATGGTCTTCTTGTGGCAGCCAGCGGCCTTCGCCATCTACGAGACAGATAAATCTCCACTGCGGATCACATCGTGAATAAGCTCATACTTTCACACGGCAAGATTGGGTGCCATCGTAGCGCCACCCACTAGTGATTTTCATCAAGAGTTTGTGTACCAAAGGAGAGAGTTTTCGAGGTGGGGCACGGAGGTATCGAGTGTACTAGAGTTACAAGTGAATACAGTCGACTACATCTTGAGTATTCTTTGTAATAAACAATACGATCCTCACTAACAGGGGTATCCCGGGAAAACTCCCAAAATGTGTTAGCGCTACTAAGTCACAAGGGTTCGAGAGTCAGTCAAAGAGTGGAAGTGGTCGCGCCAATTTCGAGATGTTTTGTATACCACGGATTTACATGCAATCATAATTGGAGCAATGATCTCTTGAAGAGCACCCACAGTATCATTATTAAAAAAGTTCAAAATCACTAAGAAAAAGAATGAAATAAGGTCATAAAAGTCAGTAGCAGAAGATCAGAAACGGAAGGTCAGAAACAGAAGACAGAAAAACAAAACAGTAGAGAGCCCTGTATTTCAAGCCCATGCTAAATGAGAGACGAGAACATTCAGTATTCTTTAGGCTTGGGAACTGCTTGGCTAATACCAGCCTTCCATAACCGAAGCCATCATTATTTTTCGACAATATTAGTTTAGTTTGATCAATGTCCCGATTACACTTTTATCACATCTACCATCATACTCATGAGCCGCATTGTGCCATAAACAAGCATATAAACTACCATGGATCTCGCAACGGTTAAAGTTCCACGGACACATGGATGTGTTGTTCGTAATCGTACCTTCACTGAACCGCATCATCTATTTGTCCTTCCATCTTCGTTTCTTGATCTACTTGGCTGTCCCATCAATCCGGTAGGATTAATTCAATTCAGAATTCCACCATGACAGTCTAATCCAAGAGCCCGAAACTTGGTTTTGCTAACAAATCGCATTAGCCTGCCTCAAAGTTGCGCCACTACGAAGCCTCTGTTCGCTAAGTGGGGCCATGATCAGCAGCCCGGAATGCTCAACGGGATTTCGGGATTTCGCTTGATCGTGTTCCGGTTGATCAATTTGTCCAACTTTTGACTCTAAATTTGACATCAGGTCCAGTGTCAGGGTCCGAGAGGGTATCTTGTGGGTATGAGATTCCGAAAAAGTGGAGCTCAAGTATGAAACTATTTAAATGCTTTGTCTATCCTTTCTCGCGTCTTCCCATACCAACACAATTGAAATCGGAAGAGCGCATTAGCTAGGTCTTCTTTTTTCCCTCTCTCGAATTTCGATACACACAACGAAAGCGATGTCTTCCGATCCAAAGGTTGCATTCGTGACAGGAGCCAATGGGATCAGTGGAAATGCCCTGGTCGAGCACTTAATTCGCACCCCCAAGACTGAATGGTACCTAAATTTAATAGCCCAATTCCTATCAGCAAGTAGCTAACTCCTCCAGGTCCAAGATTGTGATTTCGTCTCGCAAGCCTTTGAAGTACCACTGGCAAGACCCACGCGTTCACTTTGTCGCCATCGACTTCTTGAGTGACTTGGAAACAATCACTTCCCAGCTGGCTCCCCACTGTACCGATGTCACGCACGCCTTCTTTACATCCTATGTACACTCGGACGACTTTGAGCAACTTCGTGACGCCAATGTTCCTCTTTTCGAAAACTTTCTAACAGCCATTGATCAAGTGGCAAGGAATACGCTCCAGGGAGTCTGCGTTCAGACCGGTGGAAAGGTAAGAAAATGTTACCCTGGCTGACTGTGAGTGAATGTCTAACATTCGATTCTATAGAATTACGGTGTTCATCTCGGCCCCGTGAAGCAGCCATGCGATGAGCGCCATCCACGCTACGATGACAAGGGCCAGAACTTCTACTACCCACAAGAGGACTTTTTGTTTGAGTTGCAAAAAGAGAGAAACTGGACTTACAATATCATTCGCCCAAACGCTATTATTGGATTTACACCCGGAGGTAGGTTCATGGAGTACCAAACTGGTAATTGATGGCTAACCGATGTTTAAACTCGCAGACAATGGCATGTCTCAAGCCATCACGCTAGCCCTGTACCTCCTCATTTGTCGAGAGACCGGGGAGTTCCCAAGATTCCCAGGGAACAAGTACTTCTACAACTGTGTGGATGATAGTTCTTATGCGCCCAGCATTGCGGATATGTCCGTCTGGGCCCTGACTACCCCCAAAGCCGCCAACCAGGCCTTCAACCATACAAATGGAGACACCTTTGTATGGCGCTACTTCTTCGAAAGAATTGGTGATTACTTTGACCTTGAGGTAAACAGTTATAAATAATGCTTTGAGCCCCTGTTGCGGGATCTCGCTAATTTCGATTTTTTAGGTGCCCGAAACTACCGAGTTCGCGGCTATGGGTGAAACAGACAAACTTGAGAATCAGTTCACCATGTCAGACTGGGCCAAAGATAAGCGACCAGTGTGGGAGGCTGTCTGTAAGAAGTACGGAGGAAATCCAGATGCGTTTGATTGGGGCACATGGGCCTTCTTTGATTGGAGTTTGGGCAAATCATGGCCTACTTTGAGTTCAATTTCCAAGGCGCGCAAAATGGGATGGAACCGATACGATGATACTTTCGAGACGTGGATTGAGACTTATCGATCATTTGAGAATGCGGGTGTGATTCCATCAAGCCTCTCTCTGCGTCAGACAGCGACCAGGGCTTCCTCGAATAAGTAAATAGTTCGTTAATCGCTTTTTGACCAGGGGCGATTGGCAATCAATGTACGAAATTGAGTTCTTCTAACTGCAGGATTGGAGTCTGAACATGCATTTAAAACGAATGACTAGATTAAATTTGGCAATTGAAAATATCAAGAACTTCAAAATGCCACGATGTTGAATCGTTGGGCTACCGTAACGTTGAGGCCATCAAGTATGATCTCATAGAACATCTCAAGCCAGCAAATCCATCAGCAAAAAACTGATTGCGTCCCGGAAAAAACAAGAATAAAATATCAACATGAAAGCCAGACCTCACTGCATGTACCAGTAATTGACATTCGTCTTGCGCGGGGATATGACCAGATCTTTGGAAAGAGGAAGCCGGGTACCAAGGGGCTTCCTATCCCTAAAGATTTGATCATATCCTCGCACGAGACGAATGTCAGTAGCCAGCACCCGTAAGATTATTTCCGTAAGAGTATTTGAACACTGTTGAAACCATAGTAACTGCCAGATGCCGTCATAAAGAGGCCTAGAAGGCCTCTTTATCAGGGCATGTGCCAGAAACTATCGCCAAGGGTATACAAAGCCCCGTCGGAAGATGTGACCTTGAGGATGAACCGGAAGTTAAAAGGTGGTTCAATGCAGGGAATAAGGCGCAGAATTTTCCTAACCTATCCGAAGATAATCACTATATCCGCATAAAACGTATCAAAGCCCGTACAACCATGATATCCCTGCCGCTGTCGAGATAGACGGCTCCGATAATGGCTTCAATGGTAGTCGCCATTAAACGCTCTGGGACGACACCCTGAGCCGAAGGGCTCAATTGAATAAAAGCGCTAAGCCCCAAAGAAAAGCCTATTCTGGCCAAGTTCTCGTTGGTCGCCCGAGTATTCTGGGCTGAGGTCATGTCCCCTTTTATCTCGTTAATAATTAGACAAGACAAAGAAGGAAGAAAGGGGGCATCTCTGGGTTATCACCTATTGAACGATCCTCTTCATATCCCAGTTCATATAAGACTAGTCTCAAGACAGCATCACCAATAAGCGCAAGTCGCTTATTTCCTTGCGCAGCTCCGGAAGACCCCGCCGCTTTCAGAGCATTCGCAATAAACTGCGGGTTGTGGAATCCATAATTTATTATCGCCTCCACGGCCCTAATACGATCGTTGGCCGTCAAGTAAGACATGTTTTCAAGCCTCAAAGGGATGGCAAAAGATGCGGGGGCTAAAAAGGAGTTCACAAGAGAATGAGACGAATCCTGTATGAAAAGTTTCTCGAAAAACACAAAAATAGGTGCCGAATTCCCCCCTTTCATCCTGAAAATTATTTGTAATTTTTATGTCAGCGAGCGGCGAGGCTGACATGGTTCGCTGTGATTTTGATTGCATACGATGGCCACGTCGACATACAGCGCCACACAGTCTCCCGAATCGATAGGCCGAGAGACGTTGCGGAGTTTGCACAGTGCGTCCATGTGATGTAGACACATGAAAATTAGAATACAAGGCGAACAGGGCTGTTGCAAGGAAATATCTTTGACTTTCAGTTGTACCAAGGAGCTTGACGCAGGTAAGCGAACGAGGTAAGGGTGACATCTGGACATTTAAGATAATAGTACCTGAGGTATTATCAAGGTACCTCCCACACTATAACTTTCCAGTTATGTGATCCAGGCTAGAATTGACCTTATATCCGATCAAAGCGATTCAAAGTCTTGAAGATGTCTGCTAGCATGTGCCTTGCTTGCATGTATCGGCAGCAGCGAGCGGGATCTATGAGGCAATACAGAAACCTATATACACTTGGCCTATCTGTCAGTTCCCCACTGTGTAAAGAAGAGTATATATTCTTTCGCGACAGGTACATATAGATATGAGGAACTCTAAGATCGGGTAAAAGCAAAAAGGACATGTCCCGCCTACGTGTCACAAAACATGCGATCCTCGCTGGCCCCGTTCTGCGGCTTTGCTGGCAACCTCTCTATGGAAGATTTCCATTCGGACCGGCCCTCCGCATGTTGGAAAACAATACTATTGAGAACCGGCGGAATGTTCGAAAGTATGACTCAGGTGGTAAATCATGTACTTCAAACTGTTCTCTCTTGGTCATTTCTTTATGCTAGATTACTGTTTTGCGGCTTCGGGATTTTTTAATTCTGAAATATTCTACAAAGATAAGGCCGTACAAAGTACCAAACATTTCAAAGATAGGTTAAAAAAAGGTCCAGAAAGAGATTTGAAGAAAGGTTTGAAACAATCTTTGCAAAACCATTAGAAAAATGTTTACCATGGTGAATTCTCTAGATGAGGCTCTTCTAGCACTGGTACATCATGGAATGACTCATTGCGTACGTTCATCTCTGCACTCGTATCGCCCAATTTGACATTATTTAGTCGTGTCTGCATATACAAAGAATAGCACAATAGCACAGCAGCATAATCACTGAGTCCCTTATATTATAGAGTCAGTAGTGTTACGTATCTGCCTCGGACATGATTCGGGGCCTATTCGGCACAGTTGGTCTCTGCCTCAGGCCTACAATCTCCTTCAAGCTAACCGCTTTCTACCATCCACAGCTGTTGGTATTGACGTATTTCCGACCTACCTCTTCATTCATCATAACTCATCTCAAATACCTCAAACTCCATAGTAAACTTTTCGCTGTCAGGATATTTTCAAAATCAACGCTATTGCAGATCAGGATGACCCGCAGCCCGGGTGGGGCTTGAAGCCCGAGGATCTCGAATACGAAGATGCCTGGGAGGCAGAGGATAGGTGCGGCCAAGATATCTGTAAACAGCCGAATCTTGGAAGAGGCCGTCCGATGATGTGTCATTGCACAGACCATGCATACTTGTTTGAAGCCAGTGGAGGGTTCTACCTGTGGTATTGCGTTGGTCTGGATGTCTTTGAAATCACACACGTCCGACAACCCTTGATAAGATCATCAAGACTATTAAGGAAAAAGGAGATGAAAGCGTGAAGGCTAAGAGGCTTATATGATAGAGAAATCCGAGGAGTCTTCTTGGAGTGGCGCAGTGGGTTCCAGAAATTCCGGTAAACATGGCCAACTGCCGTTGAGTTGACTTCCATGCTGCAAGACCTCTTCGAAATCGAAGTCTGTCATCACTAGATCTTCTAGTCCAGATGATATGAAGACACTGTTTGCTGAAGGAAGAAATGATGGCACCTCTAAGGTGTCATCAGAACTTGCACATTGAAAATTGACGTTTGGTGATTGAGCCATTGTGTTGGAATTTGAAGAATGACGATAGTTATCGCCATTGAAAAAGTGACCTCTAGCGTTTCCATTTGGAGGGCCGATACGGGAGTCATCTGAGAAGCTTCCTTTGCGCCGAGACGCTCGACCATTGTCATGAATTGGATCCGAAGAAAGGTCACAGCGGGGCTCATTTATGATTCCCGAAGCTCTCTCCCTAGGATTCCCATTCTTATCGAATACCAACGCTGTTACTTGGTTTATTCTCGTGGCGGCCCGAATGATCCGTCCAGAAACCCAGGTCTGGGTGCAAAATCGCTCAAGCATACGAGCTGCCTGCACAACGAATGTGAGATCAAGCGATGAAAAGGTTGGCTGCTTAATGATCAGTCCGAGGGCAATCATCGCAGCCGTTGCAACGTAGTTGATAAATGGAAATGTGTGTTTCGGATATTTGTCGGGGATATAGTTGAACTCGAGAACTATGGCGCGACACAGCTGCAGGCAGGTTACTCCGTTGGCATTTGCTTCATCGGAGAACAGCGACGAAGAGTCAAGTGAGGATTTTCGAATAAGTAACCTCAAAAATGTCCATCGCTGGTAATAAGATAGAAAATCAGTCAAATAATCATGTCAAAGTGGATTGCTAACATACAATACGCATAAGCATTTTCTGTTTGATAAGCCACCATTCCATACCGGCAAATTGCCTATGAAATGGTTCTCTAGATCCAGACCAAGCTCTCGACGGCTCTCGTTGTACTGTGCTGGAAATAAGAACCTCAAGATATTCGGCTGTAAGTGGAGTTGAGATGGCATTCCGATCCAGCGCCCCGTAATAGGCTTCCCATACCTTGCCTACTACACGAGAAAAGTCGGCCATGGCGGCAATGTGGGACAGGGGAGTTGGGACATCTCGGTTGATTTCAACTTCGATCTCCTTCCTAAGTTCTTTTGATGTAAGCATCGTGCTTGCATGACAAGACAACCAATCCTCTCCAAGCCCCAAGGGTACAGGTACATCTGTGTTGACATCCTGGATGAGAAATGGACGACCTGTATCAATTGCCAATCGTCGATCCATGATATATGTACACCACCATAAACGTTTGAACATCTCTGCTTCAAAGATGGGCATGTCATCGGTGACTCTTTTCCGGTGGAGACCCAGAAGGTGTGAGTGTGAGACTACCAGGGCCAAGAATTTCTCTGTCTTGTTGTTTGCGTCTATGCGGAAGAGATATATGACCTGGACAAACTTGAAGTTCAGCTTTCAACATCAACACAGTGGCAAGGTAGACGTACAGCTAAGATGATTGCCTGAAGAGCTGGAAGAGATACAGAGAAGTCGTCTAATATCTCTAACGGATCCCCTAATACATCCATACCGGCTTGAAAAAGGCTCCACCCTGCTGAGTGATGTCCCTCTGTATCTTTGCGGGTAGATTCATTGCATCGCCCCGTTGCCAGACAAAAAAGGACTTGGGCAATCTTGACACGGTGGTTGTTATCTTTGTAGCTGCTGCACGATGGAACGATGACTCGATCCCATAAGCCTTCGTATGTGTTCTTGAGGATTGGAAGATGCAAAAAGGGATATAGAATGTGGACATCATCCACGAAACTGTGCAGTAGCTCGTCCCATTCTTCTCGGTCGGGAATAATTCCATGAGATTGTAAAACTGCTTTGATATGGCTTGTCTCTCCTTCCACCTGGCTCTGATAATAAACCGGAGTCAAAGGTAAACTCGGAGGAGGAGATGCCATGAATTTGTTTCTTATGCCCAGTTTTTCTAGTGTGCCTTCCATTTCGTGAAGAACATGAACAAGTGACGGTTCACCGCTGAATACTTCGGTGTCTGATTTCGGAGTATATTGGCTTTGTGCTGTGTGATAAGATGGAGCTGGAAATTGGACGGGATTATGGACGCTCGTGGGGGTATTGCTAGTTTCGCTTCCGGCGACAGTCGATTTCCCATTTTGCTTAAGGATATGATTCAATTGCCGCTGGATATTTCCCAGTGCCAATATCACATCTTCTTTGTCACCTCTGGAATTTTGTGATTGACTAGTAGCCGAGTCATGGCGAATCTCAGCATTGCGAGTCACACAGTCGAGTCCTTTGGCGATACACGCGCTGCATGGGTAACCTCCTTCACACTATTGATATTTGAATGGTCAGTGACAAGCATCAGAGAGTTCCAAGTCTTTCTTTAAAAGGTGATCAAAGAAATACCATGCTGCAATGGCGTAGCGGAGATACCTTTGTCTTTCTCCGCTGGCAATCAGCACTATTTATAGTATTTAGCAGTTGACCAAGAAAGAACCTTCAAGTTGAATATAGTAGTACTACGCACCATGCTTTACTAACATATTTGCCCCGTTTCGGACGTTTTCTTGGAGGCTCCTCCTTACCGCGGGGTCTTCGTGGATGTGTGTGATCCTGGATATTTCTATTTCCCCTTCTCGTGTGGCCGCTTGCCCGATCCGACCCTATTGAGGTATTCGACCATTCTGCGCTCATTATTTGCTTGTATCACACTCCCAGAGATAGAGGGGCACGAAAGTGGAAAGTGAAGTGGAATTTCCCACCGCCTCGGAAATAGATGAGGTGCATTCTCCACTTTAAGTCCGAATTTGTGTCCATATTCTCGTCACGGCTTGGAAGATCGTCACGTACAAGATGTGGATTGGTTCATTTGTCTCCACGCCCCCGCGTTCCCGCGACTGTAATTCCAGTGATAATTCCGGTTTCGTGACACGTTTTCAGTTGTATATTATTGTATATGGTTGATTCCTGGACTCAATTGTAATGCGGTGGTTCATGGTTGCGAAGTCTTAACTTCTTAAGTGCAAATCTAGAAATTACTATATGGACTGAAACTATAGTGACATTAACAAAGAAAGGATCAATATCAACGAAGAATAACTATACTATCTCATCTACTCAGTATAAACAATACGATATACCCATCATCAGAATAATCAACCCTCGAGCACGATTCAAGCCCCACTCCGACCCCCACCCATAGCTGCGGGTGCACCCGCTGGCGCAGCTGCAGGCGTAACATCTGCTACCACACCATCGTTTGCAGGCTGCTTATTAAAATAAACAGTCGGATTCCTCTTCACCCTGTTCACTGGTAGACGACCCAGCTTTAAATCCGATACCCCATCAGGATAAATATTCTCACCCTGTCTGTTAGGCACCGACCCATTAACAATATCTCTCTAAATACAGGTCCATCAAGCCTCTGGTGCATCGCCGGATTAAATTGTCCCATACCCAACGCCGAAAACCCCCCGTGTCCATCGGGTCATTGGACTATTATCGTCATCGTCTGAGGGTAGCCTTACCTCTACCTCAACGACGGGGTAGGCCAACGTGCCTTGTTCGCTGCCTATTTGTGTCATGCCAACGGATATGACTGCTGGGTAGCCCTCGGGTGGACCTAGTGCTCCCATTGCTAGGCGAAGATCGCTTTGCCAGATGAGCATTACTGAAGAACCTGTGTCGTGGAGGACGTCTATCTGTGCCTCACCGGGGTAGCCTACAAGTCTTAGGGACATCGGGTACTATATAGGGGGATGGGGGACAAGGTCAGTACTTAGTACCCAAGTAACTATGTATCAAGGTTTTATTCAAGTAAGGAAGGGGGATCGTACGTGTAGCAGTGGTGATGTGTTTGGATCTGAGTGTACGACTTTTCGATACTTTGACGTTTCGAAGGATGGACTCGATCCCAACTATGTAGAGACTATGTTAGATGACCCTGTATCTATCTTGATTTAAATGCAAGATCCCAATTGAATGACTTTGGTCTATTTTTTTAACGTACTGCTTCAACCAAAAATCCCTTATGTCCCTCATGAGCTTTATTAAGAGCTTCGAATTCATCCCAATCAAATCGCCGTGGCTGTGAAAGCTGTTTCCCCTTGGACCAATATGTGACCAGTTCAGGAAGCCATTGAAGTTTCTTACTACGATAAGCTCTAGTAATGCGTCGATACTTGGAACCTGCTCAAACTGCACATACTCGTCGTTGCCTAGGACATCTTCTTTTATTTCCTTGAGTGTGTTGATTCGCGTGTAGACGTCCCAGCTTAGGCCTTCGGGTTCATTGATTTTGAGTTTTCTAGGTTCTTTGTTAGGAGAACATACTCATTTTCTTTGGCGGTAAATGGTATTATTATGGTGATAATAATGGATAATTAACTTACTCTCGCTGTGCCTCAACTATCCTGTACTGCTCTAATCGCTGCTCAAACATACCAGGCATTATTCCTTCTGAAATTCGCTCATAGCACCGTTTGATGTTCCCTTCGATATCACTGTTCATTTCACATATTAGCATTTGGTATTTTCATGTGGATGGGGACTTCACTTGCAGCCTATCAAGATCGGGATCAGCATTGCTCCATCCCTTAGGTACCTTGTCCAAATCTAAACATGGCTCATTACCCTCCCATGTCCATCGTTTTCTTGGTTGCTCGACTTTCTTAGGCGGCCATTCTATCTCATCTTCATAGGACTTATCGAGATCTAGAGTAGAGATATCGATTTGTTTTCTTTTAGTTTCGCCGTACGTGGTGTCTTCTTCGGTGGTATCTTCAAGTTGCTCCTCGAGTGATTCTTCGAGTTGCCCTTCGGAGGCTTCTTGTTCCTCAGACTCGATCCTTTGCCTTTTAGTAGCACCGTCTACCTCTCCGCCCCGTCTTTTGCGAGTGAATTCTACTCGGAGCATCGTGATATTGGCAAAGAATATTGAATCGGATTCGGAGGAATTGATAAAGTACGGTGGTTGAATGAGGGTTTGGGTTGGGAGACATCAGGATCAAATATGGGTAGATACTACAGTGATCACATTAAAGGTTCGTCAATAAAGAAACGGTCAAAGAAAAAACGTTGATACTATTTTCATCAGAGCCTTTTTGTTTGCCTTTGGCCGGGATTGACTTCAAAGAAGATTATCATGTTCGGTAGAATTATGCTATATCGTTTTTTCTTTTAATGTTTGCTGTCTTTCAAGACGGAGTCACGGTACGTTCGAGGCTAGATGCTGGAACTTATGTTCAAGAGGCAGTCACGACTTGAGTCTACATTGAATACATATAGTTTATGTTATGAATGCTGGGTCATCGTATCGAGATAAGGAGCCCGAGGCTGCAATGTTGCGATTTGGTGATGATCATGATATTGCCTCACACATCACCATCTCGCTTCCTCTCTCCCCTTCCCCTCTAGTTTCGTTAGTTTCGTTGAATTCCTGACCACTCTACTGATCGGCCACGTGACAGTTTCTTTCCTACATATTCTATATTTCATTTGTTGAATTTACATAGGAAGAAAGCTGTTCCAGAAGAAAAAGTATATCATTAAACGCATTAATTCATATCCAGGAGAATAGTTCGTTCCTTTCAATCATGTAAATACATATATATAATCATGCATGTCAAAGAAAATGGGACATACATCTATGACCTCTCACCCGCTTACAGCGAGTTCAAGATACCCTCGACCAAGGGCAACAATCCAGAAACATCATTAATAATAGTAGATGTCTCGTTTACGAACTTAGCAGTGAGCAGATCACCAGCGTTGTTCAAGAGAGTGTGCAATTCCTTGATAGTACCAGGCTGGAGAAGAGACTCGAGCTCTGGCATAGACTTGTCGAGGGAGCTGACCAGGCCACTGAGAGACTTGACGGTAGAAGGCGTGAGGAGTTCGCCAGCCTCGTCGATCAGATTCTTGGTATCGGAGACGAAGGCGGTGTCCAGGAGCACAGTACCGTTGCCGAGGAGGTAGGTCAGGTTCTTGAGTGTCGTGGCGTTCAGGAAGTCCGTTGTGATGTTGGGGACGACTGGGACGAGGTGGTTGAGCAGGTCGCTGAGACCGCCGACGACGTATGGTGTGAGGAGATCGTGAGCGCCTGAGATCAGAGACTCGGTCTCGTTGACAAACGTTGGGGACAGGAGGTCGTTGGCGTTTGTCAAGAGAGATGCGATCATGTCGATGTAGCTCTTTGTCAGAAGCTTCTCCACCTCGGGCAGGATAGGAGTGATCTGGCTGAGAATGCTCTTGAGACCCGAGACCAGGGATGGAGTGAGAAGATCGTCGGCATTCCCGACCAGAGTCTTTGTTTGGTTGACGAAAGAGCTGGTGAGAAGGGAGTTGCCGTTGGTGAGCAGGTCCTCGAGCTCGTCCAGGGTATCCTTGGTGAGGAAACTCTTGAGCTCGGGGAGCAGGGGCACGACAGCACTGAGAATCTCCTTCAGAGCGTTGATCACGGAGGTGGTCAGGAGGCCCGAGGCACCGGCAACCAGGGACTTGGTCTCGGATACGAAAGAATCGGTCAACAGAGAGTTGCCGTTTGTGAGCAAAGTCTGGATATCCGAAATAGTATCGTTGGTGAGCAGGTTCTTGACCTCGGGGAGCAATGGAACAACAGCAGTGAGGATCTCCTTCAGAGCGTTGGTGACAGACGTGGTCAAAAGACCGGAAGCACCAGCAACCAAAGACTTGGTCTCCGAAACGAAGTTGTCGGTAAGCAGAGAGTTGCCGTTCTTGAGAAGGTTCTCCAGCTCGGTGATGGTCGAGGTGGTGAGGAAGCTCTTGAGCTGAGGCAGTAAGGGAACAACAGCGTTGAGGATCTCCTTGAGAGCGTTGGTCACGGAAGTGGTCAACAAGTTGGAAGCACCAGCAACCAAAGACTTGGTCTCCGAAACGAAGCTGTCGGTAAGCAGAGAGTTGCCGTTCTCCAGCAAAGTTTGGATATCCGAGATTGTGCTGTTGGTGAGCAGGCTCTTGACCTCGGGAAGGAGAGGAACGACGGCATCGAGGATCTCCTTGAGGGCATTGGTGACGGAAGTGGTCAACAAGTTGGAAGCACCAGCAACCAAAGACTTGGTCTCGGTAACAAAGTTGTCGGTGAGCAGAGAGTTGCCGTTCTTGAGCAAGTTGCCGAGCTCGGTGAAAGTCTCCTTGGTAAGGAAGTCTTCCAGGTTGGGCAGCAGGGTAACAACATCGCCCAGAATCTTCTTGAGAGCGTTGGTAACATCGGTAGTGAGCAGATCGTTGGCGTTGTCGACCAAGCTCTCGATAGACTTGACGTTCTTAGCAGTGAGCAGAGTGTCGGCATTGTCGACAATGTCGTTGACCTTGTCGATGTTGTCCAGGAGCTTCTGAATTCCATTGAGGTTCTGCTCGGACAGCAGGGCATCGGCCTTAGACAGGATGCTGCTCAGAGTCTTGGTGTTCTTGGCAGACAGCAAGGTGTTAGCGTTGGTAATAAGGTCACCAAGAGCCTGGGTGTTGTCGTTAGACAGCAGAACGCGAATGTTGGTGTCCACGGGAGGAGCCAAGGAAGTAGAGAGGTACTTGAAGGTGTCCTCAATCTCGCTCAGCAGGCTAGGGTTCAGGAGACCGCTAATACCCTTGAGAAGGTCACCCAGTTCGGTACCAATGTCGCCAAGGCCAGAGCCGGAGAGAAGGCTCTCCAAGCCACTGAGAAGGTTGCTGTCGTCGCTGGAGCTATCGCTAGAGTCGCTAGAGGCAGTAGACTTGGTGGAAGAACCGGTGGATGTAGCGGAGCCAGTCTCGGCAACAGAAGCGGCAGCAGTGCTGGAAGCAGCATTGCCAGCAGCCTTGGAAGTAGCAGCGGTGTTTGCAGCAGCAGCAGTAGTCTCTGCAGCACCGTTTGTGTTAGCGGCTGCGGCACTCGTCTCAACGGGGGCATTGTTCGTGGAAGCGGAAGGAGTATCATTGTTACCCTGGTTAGCAGCATTGTTCGCGGAAGCGGCAGTGGTCTCCGCAGCATTTGTCTCGTCATCAGATGAGGCGGCGTTATTATCATTATTAGCCGCGGCAGCGGTAGTTGTGACGGCGGCAGCTGGGCTATTCTGGTTCAGCGCGGTAGTAGCCGCGTTCGCCACACTATTGGCTGCATCATTGGCATCGGCGCTGTTTGTATCATCTTGCGTAGCAGCAACTGACGAGGACGCGGCGGCAGGCGACGCGCCTGTGACCGAGGAGACGGCCAGGAAGGCAGTCGCGAGGACTGGAAAGAAACGCATGTTGTCGGTGTTGGCACTCCAATATCTTTTTGTCGATGCGTTATGGTTCCGCAGTCACGATTGGCGTCAGGCTGAAGGTTGAACCGCGAGATGGGAGAGCCTGAAAGGGGAAACACAACGGAGAACAAGAAAAAAAAGAAAGGATCCATTTCCGGGTCGCGGTAGGTCTTTATTTCTTTATTTTGGCGGGTCATCAGGGATCGACCATCTGGGGTATCTTTTTGGGGGAAAGCCTCACTCCACCTGAGTATTGCGCTAGAGAGCTTTGGATGGGAAGAAAACGCGCGAAATGTGGATCGACGTCCGAGGCAAGAAGACCCAGAACACCGAGATCCCCATGTGATAAGAAAACAAGCAGAGATAAAAAAGAAAAAGGAAAAAAAGAAAAAGAAAAAAAAATACCTGAAAAGCAAAATCCGGGCAGCTCGCTAGTGTCGAGGCTCCTCTCTCTCTGTCCGTCTTTGACATCACCGACCGGGGTACTGGGAGGAGGAGAAAAGATGGAGCCGTAGGTTATTCCGAGGCATAAAGCATAGAATGGAGCCGGTCAATTGGACGAAACCCAGTTTTGGGCGAATTTCATTGACTGTGTATGGCTGTTCAGGGGTTTGAGAGCCACCAGTTCACATGTGTCGCATGAAAATTGGCTTTTCTGTATTTTGGTGGCTTGGAGTGGTTCCCACCGCAGAACAGGGTTTGGTAGCTGGCGATGCGGGAATTGGGCCTGCGCTAGGATAAACTAGATGGGACTAGGATTGACTAGTGCCAGTGTGGTGCAGCGTGGGCTAAACTAAGAAGAGGAACGTGGACTCCACTTGGACCGCGGTCATTGACGGAGCCAACTCGGGCAGACCCAGAGGCCCAAAATGAGGGGTTCTCGGGGATGAAGCTGGAAGTGGAAGCAAAACCTATACCCCGGACCACCGAGCATCAGTGGAGACGGAAGGAGGTGTATCATTGGTTGACGGTGAAGTTGGCCAGATGGATACGGTGCATACGGTCGTGCAACTCTGCCGATCATTGCCTGCAACGAACATAAGGGGCCGGAGAGAAAATACGAAAAGAAACACGATTATTGGTTCAATTGTACGCCAACAGGTCAGGGCCAGGAACGAGAGACCCTGCGTGTAGTGGTAGGATGGAGTCTACGTCGGGAGTGAGTACAATGAGGACCGCGGGTAACTATAGTAGCTGTGGTCTACATTATGGATACTGTGGATGAACAGAAGAAAAATGAAAATATCAAATCATTAAGACTGGATGTAAATATCTCAGATCAATCCTGATTGTTTCTGTAGTACATACTTCGTAAACTGCATACTACAGGGGACACACTAAACACTAACAGAACTAGTTCAATTCATCTAAGACATCAAATTTGGCATGGTCACGTTTCCTTCTTTCCCTTCACTCTTATTGGCTTACCCCTCCACACCGCCCCACCTTCCCCGGTTCTCTTCTCCCGTCCGTCTTCCGTCTCTCGACCCATCTTTGCCCATCTCTTGCTCATCTTCATTTCCTTTTCATTTCCCCAGGCTTATCATGGCGTCATCTACCATGAAAACAGCAGATTATCAGGTCATCGAACGTGACCGTTGTCCGAAAAAACGAAAATAATCAGAAATCTATAAGATTTAAGATTAAAATCTACGTCTTTTGCGGGGATGATACACACCCCAGAGACAACCCCGGCTAACGCCAAGCAGGGGAAGCCGAGCCACAAGGTACACAATGTACATACAGGATGTACAGGATGTACGGAGTACGTGCACTCCTCCAAGCGAGTCTGTGAGCTTCCCAAGCACGAAATGAATCAATGCTTTTGCGCGTCATACATGAACAATGTGGCTCACATCTCGAATGCTCAGACCCGCACGCTAATTCCTGCATGCTGCCAGAGCTACAGCTAGTGCTCAGCTCAGGCTCCCCGAGCTCTGACAGAAAATAATTAATTAAATAAAAAATAATTAAATCCTTCTCTTCATGCACGATCGGAACTTTTTCATGCATGCTCGAAATCCCGATCACCCCGATGTGCATACCTATCGCTCACCGAAATAATGCCATCAGGCATCATCCAGAGCAATAAGACTTCAAAATCACGCGAAAATCTTATTTCTGCTCTGCTCTTCTCAATTTCTAGCTCTTAATAAATCCTACTCTAGTCTAATTCTGATTCTGATTCTGATTCCCCTTTTTCTTCCTCAGCTCCTCGATGGAGTACTAGACCTCCAATTCCGGGATCCACATGCCTGCTCTGGTATGGTCTGGCTACTCTCGTGGGGGCGCGATACACCGGAACCACCGCGACGGAATACGAGCCGGCCCCTTTTATTCGAGTCACAAGATTCATTATACTCTGATTCTCTTTTCTGAGATAATAAGATTGCTGTGAAAGAGATTACATGTAAATTGCCGTGAGCAAGAATAGAAATAGATCAAGCGAAATAACAGTGCTACATTCGCCCCGCTGGAAACTTAATCCAATGGATACACAGACTTGGTCGCCTCAAATTCCAGTCGGACTTTATTTTTTATTCATCCATTTGTACTGCAGGGTCATGATTCACGATTGATTCTCATGATTCTCAACGGTTGCGGCTCCGCTACTAGACCCAATCTATTGTTTCAAGTATTCGTACATACTCGTATACGGAGAAAGCCCGTGTAGATGCACCTGTGCCTCCGTAGAGATACTGTAGATACACATGGACTCGGAAAAACTCGTTTATGAGGCTATTCAGAAGTCCCACATATTCAGGCATAACTGTTTGAAGATGTCCCTCAACCAAAATTTAGATGCCCTAAACCATGACCCTGAACACAAATAACGCACTGTCAAATGCAGGTGATACTTCATCATCATTATCTACCTCTACTTCATCCCTGCTAAGCCCTCTCTGTAAAAACGGTCAAATAGAGTTCGCCGATCGTCTCCCATGCATCATTCGATCGGCGTGGAGATATTAAAGGTGCATCAGCGGCCAAGTTGCGGGGTATTTCAGGCTGGCTTCTTAATCAATTCATCTAATTTAATTTACTTTCCTCCCCTTATCCCTCGGCTGTCAGATCGTGGCTCGATCATTTATATTAATCATGTGTTAATTCCATCATCTTCTTTTTTACTCGCTCCTTATTACCCTCCAGAGTGGGAGAAGGAGCCGGGCTAGGGAGAATTCGGAGGACTTAGATATATCTCCATAGCTAGGATTAGATTTTTTTTAAGCGAGTTCAGGTTGTTTGTTTGTTTGTTCTTTTATTAGATCATCTCATCTCGCTTCATGGTCACAGTCAGAGTTGGGGTTAGCTTCGGCCGGTTCTATCTTGTCGGGTAGCGTGGAGTTGACCCTGCCTGCATCCGTAGATGATAACTTCAAGCCCTGAAGTTCAACCCTTCTTAGTGATTGCTTAGTTATTTATCTGCGAAGAATCATAGAATTATGCATAGAAGATACTCCCTGCTTTGTTTACCTTCGAGTAGGTCTAAGCCTGACTATGTACCTTGTTGAACTTTAGATACATAGTAGCATTCAAGTTAATAACTGTTTGAAGCTATACAGTATATGAACGGAGTAGCTCATGAGTGATTTTCATTTATGTACTACTTGACCGCCGAAGAGAATCTTCGAATGAAATGCCATTCACTCATGTGGACTATACGGTCGCGTGGATCTCTACATTGCCACTGGGAATAACAGCAGCCAAAGTCATGTTAGACCAAGTTCACCATCTTTTGACCTAATCCAAATCCGACCATAATACCCCTACATCTGGGAATGTTACTAGTAGTCATGATATCGTGGTGCTCTGCCTGCCATCCGCGTTTATCGAGCCACTGCATCTGCAGCAGTTGTGCTTGCGTATACTATACTTTTGGTGTGGTGTTCAACTTGAACTTGTTCGTGGTATGATTTTCTTTTATCATGATCATGATCTTATCTGCATATTATACTTTAAATTAGTGTAGTACAATGGAATGTGGAATGTGGTTTATATATTCAAAAAGTTCCTGCCAACTCAGTAACCTCAGGCTCAGGCTGCCAGTGGTTCCATAGGTAACTCAGTTCAAAGTGTTGTACTAATAACGCAAACTTCGAGGGGTATAGCAGGTTAAAGGTAGTAAACAAGTCTGTAACTCTAAATGAAGATGTAGTACACATTTCTCATCAATCTCAGCAATCCCAGTACCTGATTTCAAACTCACATAAGCAGATAATAATTTTAATACGCAGTACTAGGTGCAGAGTGGCACTACCCGCACCTAGGTCAAGTGAGAGCCAAAAGCGTCTCCTACTGAATATGTACAATAGAAAAAGAATGGATCTATATATATTACCCTCGAAGGTAGCTTTATACATCATCATCATCATCATCATTATCGGACAACTCCGAACTGAGGGCAAGTCTTATTATTTAGTCTATTGTTTGGGATTGAGGAGAGTGTTGGCAAAGAAGGAAACGTTCATGTTATCGAGCAATAACTTCCGAGTATAAAGCGCCTATTTGCCTAGAACCTTCAAGGGTGGTCATAACCACGGGAACTTCAAAGTTGAATGTGAATGACGCTATTGAAGCCCACAAGGGTAGTACATATAGATTGGTATCGTGATATTTCAAGGTTTCAAGCCACCTCGTTCAAGTTATTATGAACTCCTCTCCGCCACAATATTTTGTGATTCTACGTACAAAACTAATCGGTGCGATTACAAGAGATTACTCGTTCCGGGGGTCGATCGATCATTTCAGGTTCGAAAGCCGCTGGGACTTGAATTTAATTCATTGATATTGACAGCCAAAAATCCAAAGCTAGGATGTAGTGGTCTTGGTATCATTTTGAATTGAAAATTGTTAGAATCACACCACCACTTTTGGTATCATGATCCAGTACAGCTTAACTCCATGTATTTTTTATATTTAGACAGGTCCACAAACTTGGGTTGTAAGAAGTATCTCCAAGGCCGTCATACAGACTTTGTGTTTCATCGTCAAATGTTTAATTTGGGGAATTTGAAGGTACCTATCAAATAGCCAGTCTCACTAGTATACATATCTATGTTTGAACCGGAAGAATATCAAGATACAATATGGATTTAATGATAGAAATAGAACAGAAAGAAGAAGGCTGGCCGTGAATAGTGAATGCGTCATCGAGAGAATTTATGCCTGGCGCTAAATCCTTGGATGCCTAGGTACATAGTAAAGCCTAGATATACATCATCTGCTGACACAGTGAACATCCTGAGGAGATTCCAAGTTGATATCCCAGAGGGCTCCCGACTACTAAGGCCGCCGCCCTGGCTGCCTGATTGCCTACTATTCTCTAGAGCTCAAGTTCATGATACAACTGAACGATAATATCGTCACTTTTTAGACCCAACGACACGACATTCTGAGAATCCCTGTTGTTCTTTACGCCCGCATATCCCGTATCTTTGCGAGATACAATCCCAATAACGGGTATTACTTCGACGGGCCTAGGAACTGATTCTAGAGGCTCACTCACTGCATGATTAAACAGAGGTTTGTAGCCGGGGTGATGGATGGGAGCTTCGAGGATTTGACAAATCGGTGGAGTTCCAGTCTGGCTTGGTGCACTTTACCCACGAATAAAACAACGCCGATAGACATCCAGACGCTGAAAGCGGGATTGACAGCAGGGTCAACAGCAGGGGTGTAAAACGAACCGAGCAAGCTCGGGAGGGGGTAGAGCCTGGCTGAAGGCGCCAGTAGCTCCTGCGACTGCAGCGTCACGAAGTGTTGGATCAATGGCCCTTTCAATTGGCTATCCGGTGCTGTAGCCAGTTATACTTTGCGTCTAGTAGGACCAATCAATTGTTTGATTCAACAATTGAACCTTGAAGAAGTTGGATACGGACTGCTTGATTTAATGGAGCCTATCTCCGGGCTAGGCAAATAACCATTCCAGCTTTGAACAATATAGACCTGACCCCTCAATCCATAATGGATATAAATTCTACTCGTGATCCTACTCTTGATATTACTCTGCACTCTACCCTGCGTCCTTCAATCCCATCTCTTGTTGACTGTTTATACACGTCCTGTAACTAGCGGAAGGACGACGCCAACAATTTGACAATCGGCTGGAGCATCGTGGGATTTGAGAATTTGTTCGAAATGGTTCAAGCTAACGTGGATTTCTCAAAAAAATGCACGTAAGCAGAATGCTGCTAAGAGATCCGCCGCAGGCAAGGAAGCTCGGGAGAAGAAAGATAGAAAATCTTGATAGCTATTTCCCATCCAGGCCCAGGAATTCTTCCTGCAAACATTTGTCGTATTTTTCTTCCTCTTCGACCTTTCTCATAATTAAATCGAAGGCATTGAACCCCCAATATTGCATCTTAATCGACCAGATCTCTTCTTCCAACTCTTCATCGTCTTTATGGGCCTCGGAAAAACGGGGCTGAATATGGTTATAGAAGATTCCAAATAGTACCGCGGGAGCACTTAGTGCTGGCGAGCACCAAAATGTTCCGTTTTCCCACCCTTGATGTAAGATAGAATGTAACCGAACAGAAGACTGTCGCTCTTTGGAGCATGTCTGTTCCTTTTCTCTCGGTAGATCTATGAACTCCTTATGAAGCGACCCATATACACCCGGGTCGATCGAGCCACCATGTTGATTACTCAACCAAGACGGAGGATGCATCATTTCCACTGGAAGGGAGCATGCCCATTCAAGATCAATAATAGACGTAATATTCCAATCTTTATCCACAAATGTGTTGCTTTGGTGAAGATCGGTGAGGCATAGGAAAAAAGGTCCCGTCAGAAGATCACGACGGAAGAAACAAGGCCATACACTTCTCATAACCATGGTGGAAAAAAGTTTGACAGAAGCCATCCTCGATGTCACGAACGCCATTCGGCTGATAGCGAAGGCGACTTTCATGAAATGCAAGGATGTCACTTATGTATGAATCATACCTCGAGTAGGTGACATGTCGTGGTATGTCAACAGGGATACGTTCTTTTTCATGAAAGTGCATTGCGAGGGTCAAGGGGAAGTTACCCAGCTTAAGATGGCCTGTTTTATCCAAAATGAAAGAGCCTATCTTTGGCAGCGGAATTCGTGTCATCGAAATCATCATACGTGAGAGAGAGCGAAACAAATTCGTGCGCAGCTTTGGTTCGTGGCGGCCATTCTCCCATGTTTCCGAAAGCATTGTGCCCTGTGATGGCTAGATGTAAATCGATCAGAATATAGCCCGACCCAAGAGACTTCGCTTCATCAATGTTATAGGGTACATAGCTAGATGGACTTGGGTAACCCAGCCATCCTAACACTGTACGCCGAAGGTACTGAAAGGTGCGGGTGAGCCAAGTCATATTCCCGGCAAGTGTGAGCTGGGATCATAGTCAGCAGAATACGAAAAAGTAATATCGTCCTGAGTAAGCGCATACAGTTTGCCCCGTCGAAAGCCCAATCCCGTGAAGACGCGGAATAGGCATATTGTAGTATAATGTCGAACTCCGCAGGAGAAGATTACCACCTTTCCTATTATAGATTGATGATTCAGCGCGTGCTAAGATCCTATATTACTGTTTTTGTATGTAAAGCGCACGTAAGCGTACATATGGGCTATACAACTAGCCTATACGAATCAGGCAAGATCGCTCAACTCGATCGAGCACCTAGATAAAACAACCCTCTCTAAATAGTATCCAGTTGTACTAGTTCATACGCGTTCACCCCTATCCGACAGTTATAAGCCCGGTATCGTCGTATAGAATTGGATATTTAGAATAGTTTCTAACTATATATCTCTATACGATTTAGACAGGCCGTGATTAAGCAAACAGGTTAGATTACCCCTAAATTTGCAAAGCGATCGCTACGAACGAAATTCGTTAGCTACCTATATACCCTAGTCGAATTAAATTGAACTAAGATAGAAAACATATAGATCGTAATAGCTAGTTTAGATAGAGAGGAGTTTATAATAATTCCAGCTAACTAGAAGCTTTAGTCAGAAGTATATTAAAGAGTCTAGATAGGATATATCAGGTTAGTAGTAAATTCAGAAGGAATATAGAACTATATCAATCCTAATAGACCTAATAATAAGATCTTAGAGATTCCTATAGCTCTATTAGAACCAGAAGTCCTTAAAGATAATTATAGATAACCAAAAGATCTTAAAGACCTATCCGAAGATAAGATCTAAGTATAGGATTTAAAGATAAGGATCTATAAGAGATCTAAATCAAAATATATAAAGCTCTTAAAGATAATAATATATCTAAATAGTCTTATTACCTAATCGTTAGCTACTAAATATTACTATCTAATCATAGATAAAGACTTACTAAGAGAGAAACTTTTGAAACTAGCTAAAATATTCTACCTAAAGCTAGAAAGCCGTCAATAAGAGCTTCAATAAGTATAGAGAGTAATAATTTAATCATCTAACTAATTAATTAATATTAATTAATAGATTACTTAATAGGATTCCTTATTTAAAGAAGGGAAGATTATAAAGATTCCTAATTACTTACTTAGAGATATATTTATTATTAAAGACTTTCTTAATACTATATAGAATATAGATAATACTTTCTATATAGACTAGAAATAAGAGCTAAATAAACACCTAGATAAGATTAAATTCTATAAAATAACAATAGACTATCAACGCTACTGTACTAACCTATCTACAATATCCTAAAGATTAATATTAAAGATAGTATTTATAACGCTAAATGATCAGCCAGAAGCGAAAGCTTTAAAGCTAAAGCAGTTAGATAAGAAATAGAGATATCTATATAGATTGCTAAGATATTATTTCTTAAAGTACTTCTATCTTAATAAAACTATTTATCTAGAGAGATAGGAACTCCATAAGAATATAGTTAAGAAAGTATAAAAGAACATTAAGAAGATAAGCTAATCAGATTATAATTAAATTAAGAAGATACAACAAAAAAAGAAAAAGAATAATATAAAATCATATACTTAGGAAGAGATAATATTTATAATATCTTATTTCCTAATTAAGTAAATAAGCCCTCTATAATTAAACTAGATTATTAATTCTAGAGCCTTAGTCTATATCTATAATAATCATATAATATTTAAATATTTATTACTATAATCTAATAAGATTAAAACTAGAGATATATATATAGAAATCCTTAGAACTAGAGAAGTTATAATAATAAATAATAATCCTTATATGAAACTTCTAGTTTACCTATATCTTAAAGAAGTATAGTATATATTAGGATTCTATATAAATATAATCTTATATAACTAAATAGAGTATAGTAGGTTCTATTAGGATCCAAACAAAAGCACAATCATCTAGAAGGACATAAATAAACCAATATTAGTAGTAAAAAGATAGAATAGCTTATATATTATTAATACTATAGACTCTATACTAATATATTTAATATTCTTTATCTATTACTTAGAGAAACCCTTAATATCAGAAGCGTCTATAGAGAGATAATATCAACACCTAGAATATATAGCTAAACAGAACCTTTTAAGGATTTAAAAGATAGTCAAGGGTATATAAATTATTAAAGAATTAAATAAAGATAAACAAAACTATCTAGAAAAATATAAAGTCTATTAACTTACTAAGATAAAGCAGTAGATATCCTAATAACCAAATATAAGAAGATTTAGTTGATTTAGATATATTTACTTTGATTTAATCTAAATAGATCTAGACTATAATAGATACTATTAGATTATCTATTTTTATATAGTAGGAATATACTTATATATTATCTTTATATATAAATAAAAAAGTAGCTGTTAGAATACTATTAAAGAGTTTATAGTATATATAAGTAATTAGTAGAATCTACTAATCAAGGTATTCCATTATAATAATAAGTAATCAACTAGCTATAAAGTTAAAGATTATATAGCTAAATAAGGCTTTATAATAGAATATAGTGTTATTAGTACTCTAGAATAGAATTCCTTTATAGAAAGATCTAGAGGAGTAATAATTATAGTTAGTAGAAGCTTAATAATAGATTCAGACCTACTAAAAGCTCTTTAGCCTAAAGCTATCTAAGTAATAGTATAGATTCTAAATAGATTACCTATAAAGATACTAGATAGGAGATAGATCATCCTATATCAGGAAGTACTAATACTAATATTAAACTCCCTACCAATACCTATTAACCTTATAAACCTAAAAGTATATGGCTATTATATATATATAAGAAAATAAGACATTCCAAATATTAATAAGATATAAATATATATAGAAATAGGTTATCTTATTAGATATAAAGCCTTAAATATCTAGAAGATTTAGTTTCTACAATAAGTAATAGTCTAAGAGATCTAAGATATAACCTTTAATAAGAATAGATTCTTTAACCTACAAGATATTATAATTAAATAGATTAGAAATAACATAGAAGCAATACCTTAGATAGATAATAAATTAGAGTTAGATATAAAAAAAGATCTAACCAATAAATAGCCTCTGATTAGTTTATATATATAGTTTAAATCTTTAAATCAGTTAACCAGTAATTATAAATAACAACTAAAAGAAAGGGATTAGTAGCTTTTGTTACTATCCTTAATATCTAATAGAATAATTTAGAATAAATAAGATCCTACCGATCAACTCTAAGATAAGCTTATAGCTATAATTATACTATATATACTAAGAGATATCAATAGAGATATAGATAAATATAATATCGTTATAGGGAGTTATATATAAAAGCCAAAAGAATTTAGCTTTTATACTAATAGTAATTATAAAGATAGAACTCTCTCTACCTTTACAATAGGACTAAATAATACTTATTTATATATAAAAGCCTATAAGGATAAGCTTCTATCCGCCCTAAAGAACTAGTAAGAGATAATAAAATATCCTTACTAAGAAGGCTTCCTAGAAGTATCAGCACTTAAACTAAAGATACTTAAATAAAAAGAAATATACTAGGTTATTTAATAACCAAACAATTATAGTACCTAGATCCTTCTACTTTATTAGATATATATATATAAGTTTAATAGTAATAGCTTCTTAATTAAACTAAAAGTAAGAATCTATATATAAGATAATCTATAAAAGATCACAGCCGAAGAGAAATATTTAGCTACATTAACAGCATAAACAACAAGAGCTATCTTTATCTTAGTAGTAGTATTTAATCTTAATATTTACTAATTTAATACTATCAATACCTTTCTTAATAGTATACTTAATAAGGAAGTAATAATAGAATTACCAGAAGATTATCAACAATCTAGACAATACTAGAAGCTTACAAAAATATTATATAGCCTACGAAAGTCCCTACATTTATAGCAAAGAGAAGCCATAAAGATATTAATAAAGCTGGGATTTCAAGTAGTATAAGAAGATCTCTATCTATTTATAAGCGATAGAATCATTATCTTCTTTTATATTAATAATATTATTATTATTAACCACCCTTCCTAAGCCAAATAGATATAAAAGCTTAGATAACAGCTTATAAATAAATAGAAGTTAAGAGATATTAGTAAGGCCGCCTGGTTCCTTAGGATTCGAATTACCTAAGATTATAACTATAAGGCTCTCTAGCTTTGTTAAGACTTATATATCTCTTCGATAGCTAACCAATACTATCTTACCCATCTTTAATAAATAGTAACACTATTACCAAATATATCCTTTCAGGAGTTTAACAATAAAGTAATACCTAAATAGATCTATAAGTATCAGTAAAAGGTTAGATCAGCTCTATATACTATTATAATAATGCGACCAGATATTACTAAATATATTACTGTCCTCATATAGTTCCTAAAGAATCTAGGACCTAAGTATTTAGATACAA